GGGACTTACGAGACACTTAACATCAGTGTCCTTTAAGTGCCTCGCGAGGCACTTCCGACTTCGAGGCACTTAACAGCAGGCTCCCTTAAGTGCCTCGCGAGGGACTTACGAGACACTTAACATCAGTGTCCTTTAAGTGCCGTACGACGCACTTAACAGCAGGGACCCTTAAGTGCCTCGCGAGACACCTACGTGGCGCCCTTATGTGCCTCGCGAGGCACTTCCGAGGCACTTAACAGCAGGCTCCCTTAAGTGCCTCGCGAGGGACTTACGAGACACTTAACATCAGTGTCCTTTAAGTGCCTCGCGAGGCACTTCCGACTTCGAGGCACTTAACAGCAGGCTCCCTTATGTGCCTCGCGAGGCACTTCCGAGGCACTTAACAGCAGACTCCCTTAAGTGCCTCGCGAGGAACTTACGAGACACTTAACATCAGTGTCCTTTAAGTGCCTCGCGAGGCACTTCCGACTTCGAGGCACTTAACAGCAGGCTCCCTTAAGTGCCTCGCGAGGCGCTTACGAGGCACTTAACATCAGGGTCCCTCAAGTGCCTCGCGAGGCGCTTACGAGGCACGCGATGCTTCCCTTACGTGCCTCGCGCATCGCTTATGCCTCCACGTAGAAATGAGCAACCACATCAACATAGGATGCCTACTTGCAGATACATCTACTCTAAGCGCATTTGCCGTGCCGAAATATATATGACGACTAGTTGCGAGTGTGGAGAGCAGTCGTTTGAAGCAGCCATGGACTGTTGTTCACAACACTTTTCAACGGAACCACGCTCGACCACAGCATCGACTGCGGCATCGCGGCAATCCTACATCTCTTATGGATGAAGAGATTTCATCAGAAGGCTTCTTGAAAGTAGTTTTCCTCGTCGGTCTCGACCGTTGTTCTGTCTAGAATAATGTTACCTAGAAGACCGTTACGTTGAACCATGACAGGGACACAAAAATGGCATCCACCGTCTAATCTATGAGGGCATCTGCGCTTAGCCTTTGCGAAGTTTGAGTTATGCAGACGGGAAACGAGCAGGGAGCGGAGCTTTAAAAGACATGTAAGCAAGAGGAGGATATGATGAAATAAACCGGCCGTCGGTGAGACCTGTATGTAATGATAACTTTTGTTTTGCCCTTTTTTCCTCAACATGAAATGAATGTCCATGTGTAGTCCATATGTATCTACGAAGGTACATGTTTTTGATGAAGTCGTGCGCTAAGAATGCCTACATAAAAGTAAAAGTCAAGAATTTCGTTTTCATTTTGCGATCTCAAATCTTCATACTTTTTCACAACTCATGTCACGCATACTCAAAAGGAGATTTGTTAGGCGTGAGCTGTGCGTCACCTAGCTGTGTAGGAGCTCGACTCATACGGGAAAGATGTGGTAGTTGGAGTAGAATTAACGTCAATGTACATGTAGAAAAAGAATACTGCTCTCTGGAGGTGGACGTAAGCAGTATTTCTCACACACCGAAGTTCTACTTATCTTCGTCTTTGATAGGTTGTCCGACAATGTATAAAATTTTTTGTTAAAAATGTCTATTACCATAAACTTGGGTTCATCTCTGTGTAATTAGTGTACGCGCTGCGTCGTATTGTTAAAGGGCTCATGTAACATTTTTTCGCTATGTATTTTTGTTTTCTCCTTAGTGATTTCGCATCAATATCACCATTCACCAAATATTCAATGCAACAAAATAACAGTCGTGATAGGCCGACTCTCTGTCTCAGTAGTAGATATCGCCGATTCTCTCTTTTTCCTAAGTAAAACATTGATGTGAATCCACAGTGGTCGTGATGGAAGTCACCTCGTCGCCGGTCCTTGTCCGAGTGTGCTGTTGGACGCGTGTAAAATTGTCCATGATAGAGATGAAGATCTTGATTGATCATGGAGTCAAAAAAATGTGAACAATTCTCCTGTCTGACTGTGCGCTGTAAATGTAAAGAAGTCGTGTTTTTGGCTCTTCAGTAGCCACGAAAGTCTGCTGGTCTATCTAGTGGACCCACACCTAACCTAACCTAAAGAATCTGAAGAATGAAGGCACATCATCATCGTCGATAACGATCAACTGGTGGGACATCAAGAGAATACACTTCACTCGTAAAAATCGGGCTCAACTATCTCAGAAGTAGTTTCAAAGTGACCAGGATCATGATGGTTGTCCTTATTGCGACGTCGCGCCTCGGCGTTGCGGGATCTATCAGACACTGAATTCCCATCTTCTCCCTGTGAAATAGTAGTCTAAAAGCGATCTTCTACGGGATTACAACCGCATTATGATTCAATGCGACGAAGGCTCAAGCCCATCTCAGCTACGTTATCAGGACTCAGTAGCGTTTTCGGAATCTGGCGTGTTTGTTCAATACCTTTCCAATAATTTCGACCTGTCATTGATGTTGTGATTTCTTAAGTATCTCGATTGCTCGTACCGTGAAGCAGTAGTTGTACATCACAAGCGAATCATGAATCCTTCTGAATGATTCAATAAAAACTCTGATTCTAATATTTTCTTCTATAGCTGCGGTAAACAGCACCAAAAAAAGAACAATGTTGCCGTCAAATTTGCTTCACACGGCTCTCAACCATCAAGTGATGGTTGAGTTGAAGAGCGGCGAAACTTATTCCGGACTTTTGCTCAAAATCGACAATTTTATGAATGCTCAGGTATTTCTTGTTAAACAAGAAATTTTGTTGGACCGTGACGTTTTTAGGAAGTGCTGAACTGACTCTGCGTTTCAGCATGTGATCATGAAGATATGCTATACCACCGTGTGTGTGACTATGCTGTTGAAAGTACACAAAGAACTCTTCTTTTTTGAACATCAAAGAAATCTTCATCTCGTCGACGTCTTCCTGACACCCTCTATCCAGGTCCGCGACGCCATATGTGTCGATGCACATGGAGATAAATGGACACGAGTGGCGGACGTTTATATAAGGGGGAATAGCATCAAATACCTCCAGATACCGCCAGAAGTAAGCGATATGCTGAAGAGCTCCGAAGCAGCGAACAAAACAGCGATGGTCAAGTTATGTCGTTAATACACCAGCCCAATGAATATATTTTTAGTTGTGGCTGTACCTACTTCCGCTTGTGATAGATTAGTTTTTTTTACTTCATCCGATAAATGCATGTACTTCTAGTTTGCCTACTTGTGATGGATTTTTTCGTAGAGAGCTCCTTGGTGCTGATTTTCTCAAGGCGTTTGGAAAATCTCAATCTTAATCTTCTTATTTGTGTTAGACTAGCGTAAACTTTCTTACTACTACTTCCGTCTCTAAACCCCGGTCCAAACCGCGCAAAAGGCAAAGGCAAGGGCAAGGGAAAGGGCGAAGCAGCTGGACCGCAGGGTCGTGGCGAAAAAGCAAGAGGGCCAGCAAGAGCGAATGATACCGGTGCAGCTAGACCTGCAAAAATGCAGAAACGATAGAGACGACACACTCCTTCCTCGCTTCTGTCGGGTATGAGAAAAGATCTTCCTCTCGAACAAAAGATCTTGAAGTGAACTCCTCACACAACTTCTACATACATTCACATACAACGCGCAGCAAGAAGAGAAGCATTAGTGTGTGAACAAAAAGACGCATAAGGATTTTCCATCATGTTGTCTCGTAACAAGATATTTATCTCCCCGTTTATCCAATTCCCTCAACTTTTACACGCAAATCCGCAATGATCCTACCACGCGCGTCCGCAACTTGCAAATGCATTTTGGCGTCATCATGATACTGTTCATCTGAAAACGGCGAGATGCACTATTTGTATATTGTATCAGAATCAAGTGATGTCGGTTCGAGAGATCAGACTAGGAAAGTCACTCACCCACACAGAAAGATGAGAGTGTTGATGAGCCATGCACAATTATATGCACCCGCTTTGTCCTTCCCAATTCAAATTTTTTTGCTACTCGAAAATGTACTAACTAACTAACTAACTAACTAACTAACCTGAAGGAGCCTCGCTCTTCCAGTGGACCTGCACTGAGAAAATGACCTGTTGATTTTTCATGAGTACTTACATCTAATGAATAGTTACCAGCTATTAGGTGATCATTGTCACAGAATAAATTTATCCTCACATCCCCACATCATCCTCACATCCACTGTCAGAAAACAACATGACCCTTCTTCACAATGTATCATCGGAGGACATCAGTCTGACCTCATTGCTCGTTCTCTGTGGCTTGTGGGCCGTGGCACACCTTTGGGGATGCTTTTTCAAGCACTTACTCTCCACACCGCCGCTATTGGGGTATCTCCTTGCAGGAATCTGTTTCCGCAACGTGGGTAGTGCGGTCGCAACCTTTGCAGTTAGGAGTACCACTGGAGGACAGCATCATGGAGCAGGCGGTCTTCAAGAGCACACTGAAGATGCGAGGAAAAGACACGTGGACTTGCTGATTCCTTCAGCGTTGTCGTCTTTGGTTCGTACCATTGGTCTAGCCACGATTCTCATGATAGCAGGCTGCGAGATAGACTTCCCGCGAATCCGGAAGATGGGTGGTCTGTGTCTTCGACTGACGGTTTTGCCTGGCGTGTCGGAGGCTTTCGCAGTGGCCTTGCTTTCCCGTATTCTTTTCGATTTTCCGTTGCCGTGGGGGCTCACGTTGGGTTTTATTTTATGACCGAAAAAGATCATTCCTAATAATCTTCCGTTCCTTATTTTACCTAGGTCCCCCATCATCCTCGGACGGAGGCGAGCATGTGCCTGTGGGGCTCGTTGAGAAGGATCCACAACCTAACCTAACCTAACCTCTCTTCAGGATCATACTTTAATCCTTCTCGGAGCAGTCTCCCCTGCAGTTGTCTGCGGTGGAATGTTTGCGTTGCAAAAACAGAACTACGGCGTCGCCAAAGGCATTCCCTCGCTAGTTGTTTGTGCAGCAAGCTTGGACGATGTAGTGGCGATTAGTGGGTTCACTACCAGTCTGGGCTTAGCAATGAGCACTTTAGAAGGCGACACTGCGCACAGGAGGTCACTAGAAGGAGTGAGCACGTTAGAAGGAAGTCGAGAAGCAGCGTCAGTGGTTGGTGCGTCGTGGAATGGGCGATCTGAGGATCATAGGTTCTTGATATCAGGGACTTCGCCAGTGGTTGGTGCGTCGTGGAATGGGCGATCTGAGGATCATAGGTTCTTGATATCAGGGACTCCATCCACCTTCCGAGGCCTGATTGGATTGCCCCATGTGCCTGCGCACCCGACTTCGCACTGGCTTGCACTCCTTCATGGTCCTACGAACCTACTGATGGGTGCGTTGTTGGGAGTCTCATTAGGCTTTTTGTTTGCGAAAGTGCAGATGAAGTCATATGGAACTACCCACGTCCAGAAGCCGCGTGGTGGAGGTCACTACAAGTTCTTCGCCTTTGCGGTCTTTGCAACGGGTACAGGGGTTGCGATCACAGCGGTGCATTTCCAATACTCAGGCGCTGGGTTTTTGGCTTGCTTGTTTTTTACCTGTGCTCTGGCACAGTTTACACGAACCCCCTCTGCTGGGGACGACGGTGATGCTGAAAGAGAGGACCAAGTTGATGCAGTAAGAGATGGCCCATTACCTCCACAGACTCTTGGTAGTGCAGGTCACTCGGATGCGCCTGACTTGGAACTAGACGCCATGGAGAAAGCGAATGTTGGCGTGGAAGAGGATGACGATTTTTGGGACAAGGAGGATATTTCTCTTCCACAACCTTCAGCTGCTCCACAAGGAGGTCAACATGCGGCAACGCCTGAAGAACTACATCATGATCATGCTGTGCACAAAGATACGGAGGTTGGAATGGAGAAAGACACCAACATCATAGAACAAGTGTGCGAGGTTTTGAGCTTTATCTGGGAGTTAATTGCTGAGCCGCTTTTGTTTTCGGTGATCGGATCTGTCGTAGACGTTCGTCGCTTGAATTTCCCGATTCTACCACGCGCTACTGTGTTGATACTCGCATGCGTTTTTTGTGTACGCGTTCCGGTTGCGATGCTGGCAGTCGGCTCCTGTGGGTTGAGGGCAAAGAACGAAAACTTCATGTCCGTAGATGGTAGCTTAACCAGGCGTCGAGAACAAGGCCCTATACTTAAGGCCGCGTCGTGGATCTTTTTCAAGTAAACTTAAACTTTGTCATCTTTCCTCGTAATGATCTGATACTAAATTTTGAACTTGATGAAACTGCTGGGTACACCTATTTCTGCATGCACAAACTTGATGAAACTGCATACACCCACACCCCAGCTAACTTAGCAAAAGCGCAAAGTGCATGTAAAAGTGTAGAATCTAGCTCTAACATTTTGACGCTGAAAGAACGGCTTTTTATAGGGCTTTCCTGGATGCCGAAGGCAACGGTGCAGGCAGCCTTGGGCTCTGTGCCTCTAGATCGAGTAAAGTTCGCTGCCGCAGCCTCAACAACAGTTGGAACGGTTGCGTCAACAATAGAAGGCTCCAGTAGTACCCAAGGAGCAGGGGGACCCGGACAGACACTTGCTACGTCACCAGCGCCGACTACTGCGCATGATTTTTTTCATCTCGGTCTGCAGAAGGTGCATGATGCCGCAATGGGACAGGGAAATGGTTATGGTTGAAAACTACAAGTACATTTGTTTATAGCTTGACAAGCTATACTTCTAATATACAACTGGGTGAGAATTCATCCAAACAAGCAAGTTGTAGATAGTAGTTTTCTACAACGAACAAGTCAAACATACTGATATCTTCTTCATTTGATTTCATCTAAGCATTCAAAAGCAGTGCTTTACAACTTAGCGGAGCCGCATCCTCTACGGCAGCCATGCCAGAGTGGGCAGCAACAGGTGAGGCGTATGGCGAAATTATTGTCACGACAGCAGTCCTCTCAATTTTGCTCACAGCACCACTGGGTTTACTTGTAGTTTCGAAATTAGGCCCTCGAATGCTGACGAAAGACGACGTGATGGGCAGAGAGGAGTATCATGATGAAGAGGGAAGTAGTTCGTCGAGGACTATAGAAATGACGGGCAGTACTGTAGTTGTGGGCAAGAGAATACTAGATGGAGCGGGAGGTGGGGAGCAGGGGACTTCACCTGGTGCTTCGGGCTATGGAGTTCCCGAGTAAATGCATGAAACTAAACTCTCGACGCTTTTTGCTGTAGACTAGGTTCTTCCTATCGATTCGTCGCATAGCAACGTCGCGTGCTTGCTAGTGTGCAAGACTCCTTTGTTGTTCTCGTATTCATTTTGACTGGTAGGTCGGATTGCCTTTTCGAAAAATTTCGATTCGCTCGCTTGTAATTTTTAGTGCCCAATGCTTCGACGACCCAGACCTTGCTTCGAATTGCACAAATTATCGTCAATTCGTAAAGTTTCTGGCTGTTGTTAACCACAAACACAAGACTAGATACTGCTAACAGAAGTCCATTAAGAGCGCTTCCCTCCCATCGCTCTCCTCGAAAAATTGTAGGTCACAAAATGCGTATTCGTAAGCAGGATGAATTTTGAAAGAATTTGTTTTTTCATCATGATGCAGGACTACGAAGAGTAAGACAGTCTCAGTCATAAAGAAAGCAATATCATGTGAGCGGTTTTCTCTCATAATGAACGCTCGTTATGAGCAGCATAAGAATGAACGCCATAAGAATGAACCAAGCGATTTTCCGCATGATGCGCGAGCGGCCTATTCAAGAACAATAGAAAAAGAAGTACTTGGGGCTTCTACGTAAGAGACATTTAGTACCTACCCGAGCAAGCACACAAGCAACCGAGGTACAACAGCACGACACGAAGAGACAAGTAGGGCAGCTGTTGCAGCACGCGGAGTGAACAGACCAAGCAACGCCTAAAGCACTAAGCCAACCGCGCGCGCGACATCTCCATCACCAACTACCACACTTATACAACTCAAGAAGGTTCTCCATCACTACCCACCACAACTTTATCGAGCCGCAACTTTATCCAACCGCAACACAAGATGGACCATAATCACGACTCATCGATGTTTTCGGTTGGCACTGCCGCCAGCAGTGTCGATGGGTTACCACCTATCGATCGAAAGATGAGGGGATGGCATCTCTCAGACGATCCCGATTGGGCTGATAGTAGGAACGAAGCCATGAGGAAAACCACGATCAAAAAAAGTCGTTTCGAGACTGTCCATAATAAGACGGTACTTACTTCTATAACAATACTTAATATGTGATACAAATCATGTAAAGTGGGGTTTTTGCTACGATAGGTTGGACCAAGAAGACAACAGGTGATCATTGCTGTATGGAAAATCTTCTTTCCCGGTATCATCACAAGAAGGCCAATTACTGGTTCATCGTTCGTTGTAAAAACCACATCTAGTAACGATTGCTCATCGTAACTACACATACTTACACCTCAAAACAACCTCAGACTCCCTCCAGCAGTACTCGAGGTTCTCCGAGAAGCGGTAGTATGGTTCCCACGGCTCCACCCAATGACTCAAAAGAGGAGAGGATCTCTTACGATATTTTAGTGGCTGAACGTCTAGTCGAAAATCCAAATGAGCTGCGGAGATATCAGCTGATTCCAGCTCCGACGCGAAAACGCCGCTTCGATCGTCGCTCACCGTGTGATGCGACGCCGGTGTATTATACCTACTTGACTTTACTCATAAACCCCACAAGTATAGGACGGTACCTCCTTCTTTTGATCATTCCGAGTGATTTCCATTTGTATAACCTTCCTTTGCACCTCCCTTTGATCTCAGAGTTGCAACTGTATATTACTATGAGGATTTTTTTTCATGTTGTTTCTAATCTTAAATTCTGATAAATCTGGTCAGACGAGGTTGTAAGTACGTGCCCACACCTACCCACCATCTACCACAGCGATTTTCTGAATTTCAAGCGGTTTCAAGATTCGATCCGCAAGAAAGAGCGAAACAGGGATATTTTTGCGGATCCAGAGTTCATAATTATGGCATTTGAATGATTACGAGAGCATGAGCATCTGAGGCTTTGACGGTGGGTTCAATGGAGAAACTAGGTCTGAGGAATAGACTCTCCTCTACTTAATAGAGGTACCTCCCTCTTCATCGACAGATCGATACAAGAAGACCTACAACATTTTCATCCACCTTCCACCTTCTCTAATCTCACCTCAATGGAGGAAAGCGCTGACGTTTTCGCAACATCGCCTGGCCCTATGGTGCAAAACCGGTCTTACTCTTTAGACGCGGCTGACACCTATCCAAGGGAGCTTTTGGTTGGTGGCCGTAAAGCAAAAAAGAAGAGGGGAGCAAAAGCTCAAACGCAGCAGAACATGCCACCGACAGGACAAAATTGGGTTTCGCCACAATTGAAAGGTATTGTTTTTGAGATTTTTTTGATTGTTGATTGAAGGGGGTGTCGTCGCAATTGCATTTCGGTGATGACAATTCAATTTAGATCATGATGGTTATTGTCTTACCGGCCACCGGAGAATTTCCAACAAAATCAAGTTCCCAATTCCACTAAAAATCACATCCAAATAGATCCTCGTCGCATGCTTCATCCCCGCAAGTATGAAAGGGACTTGCTGCACGCGAAGGAGCAGAACTACGTTGCACGCGCGGCTGCCAGTGCTAATCTCAAAGCGGGTTTTGATGCCACCAGTTCACGGTCACCGAAACCGAGTCCCGTTGCTAGCGGAAATATCGACTACACGGATATTCTCGATTCACCAGTTACGACTACACTTGCCGTCAAAGCATCTTCCTTACTTGGCCGCGTCCTACTTGGCTCTTTTTCTACTTAGAAAAGAAGCCCCATGTTCCAAGAGTAATAGTATTGCTCTCAGAGAGGAAGATGCGAACGCAGCTGCTCTAAGCCAGAAGCAAAACACAAGCGCGAGATGTATGCCAATTATTTGCTAGAGCAAGAATTGCGGAAACAACGGGAAGCAGAGGAGCAGAGGAAATTGGAAGAACTAAGACTCGCTGAAGAAGAGGAAAGAAAACGAAGGAAAAAAATCGCGGAAGGAAAGTTACGAAATTCTGTTTGGAACTAAAACACAGCAAATAAAACATTCACGTCTTTTACCTCCTGCAAGTATCTGAAAATGTCCGTACGAATACTATGAGCTTCATTCCCTAGTACGGGTACGGCTATTTTCCCTCGTTTGTTCGGATATTTTTAGTCCCTATGGACAAACTATGGTCATACACTAGAAGTACTTGCCATAGTTAATACTTATCGTCCTCATATCAGTTTCTCTCGTCTAATTCTCGGTTTCGCAGGCAAGAAAAAATCTGCTGGTGCCATGTCTCGGAAGATACTCCAGATGCAGTTCCAAGTGTTGGGCAGTGATGAAGGCGCGGGGGCTAAGAAAGTGAACAAATCTGCTATCGACGACGAGGTAGCACGAAAAAAAGAGGCAGAGAAGGTTAAGGCTACAAGAAATCCATTTCACAGGCGGCCATCTTGGTCCCCCCGTTTTCCTTTTGAAGGGAACATATATATGGCGAACAACCAAGTTGCTGCTTAGGATCCCAAGCCCCTTGTTTTGTACTTCGGGGCTCGCTTAAGAATCAACAGCCCATATACCCTCCCCGTCAGTGCCGCTTAGTTCTAAGAAGGAGAGGAAGCGAAAATTATTGGATTCGCCAGAAGAGAAGGCTAGGGTGAAAGAAGAGGCGGAAAAGGCAGCAGCGCGAGAGGAGGAAAGGGCAAGACGGGCGCGAGAAAAGGAAGCCAGAGCCGAAGCAAGATTGGCCCATGAGTTAAGATTGATATTATACTTTTGAAGAATCTGACTTTTTGGTACAAACATGCTTCGAGAATTTTCGGTTGCCCACGTTTCCATCATATATTGTTTCTTCGAGGCGAGAATCTAATCAAAGCAGCAGAGGCAGAACGACGAAAGCGATTGGAGGCTGGGAATTTTTCAGCCGGTGTCATACCTTCAGCACCTGAGGTCGTTGCAGCTAGTAGTTCCTCAAAAAAGAAGGCCACAGCTGGTAGTAAAGACAAAGAGGAAGCTGTAGGGAAGCCTGCTAAGGTGAGAAGTAGAACAGGGAGTAAAGAAGACACAAGAAAAGCGTCACAACTTATGGCATCTATAAGACTTAGTTGTATGTTGATTTATATTGATGTTATTTTCCGATTAGTGAGTCTCCCCTCATCATATTGGTCACTTTCTAGAATTTTTACTGAAGGTGTGCATGCACGCAGAGGAGAGAAAAATGAATAACTTAGTAGGTGAGGATCAAGCTGTTGCTCTCTAAGAACCACCGATCGAGTAGCAAGGAGCATGCCTCCCTCACCAGTAAGGAAAAGCGAGCTGTCGAGAATGAGGAATTGGAACTCATTTCCAACGATCTAGTGCTAGATCTGTTTGCTGGCGCAACGGCTGTTGAAGCAGAAACGGTTCTGCTCGATGGTGGCATGGAAGGCGGATTAGAATCGCTCAATGCTCTACTTCCCGCGGCAGAGCGGTTTAGCGTTGCGCCAGGACCATCACCTGACGATGCAGGATTACAGTATACGCCAGAAGGAAGCCCCGTTCAGGCTCTAGGCTCAAAAACTGCTACGTCAGGAGTAGCAGTCGGAGCGAAAAAGAGTACATTTAATAAACATCAAGAGGCTAACGTGGAACCAGTGAGAGCGACTGAGAACAAGAGTAAATCTTCTTCAAAAACACACGACTTCAAAAATCAAGTGGCTCCTTCAACGAGTTCCACAGCTGCTTTAGTACAAGCACCCTTGGTAGTACCTGCCACTGAGACTGACTCTCAGACTCAAAACTTAGCTCCTCCAACGGGTACTACTTTCGTAGACCCTCGTCGAATGTTGGACCGTGTCGAGCCACATGCTCCATCTGACACGCCTCCAGTCGCGGTTCCTCGAGTGTCGCCACCTAGTACGGCGTCGAGCGTGCGACGGACACTGCAGAAAGCACACACGGTAGAAGGTGCCATTGCAGCAGCAGCTTCACAAGAGGGTCGCGATATCTATTTTTCTGACGAGGAGAAAAGGACGCTGTCAGACGTGTCTGAGGGCTCTGGCGACGACCTAGATGCAGAAGCCTTACTAGCAGAGAGGGAAAGACAAAGAGCAGAGGAAGAGAATTATGCTGGCTCGCTGCTTGAGTGGGCGTTTATAATGAGGCTAGCAAGCGAACACCTTTAGACCTCATGATTGAAGAGGAGCGCAAAGCTCTAAAATGATGAATAAATTGCACGAACGTCGAAGCCCCATAAGATTCGTCCTCAGGTGGAGTCAGACCATCATCATCCTCTAATCCAAGAGAAGAAACCGGAACAACAATATCGATCCTGGTCCAGGCCACTACAATCAAAAGCCGATGTGGTGCGAGGGCGGGGCAAGATGGAGCATGGGCGACTGTCCACCGAGGAATCTGCTACGACAAGGAACCAATTGGTTATTGAAGCCCAGTTTTGAACTAGGTATAATTGGCTATTGAAACGTAATTCAAGAGAACCACAAAGCAGCCACGTTTACAAACAAACTTTCAACTAGCAAGGAAGACCTGTGATGATGAGTATGGTTGCTGCTATCTTGGGCCCATCACTGAGGTATATCTCAGAAGATCTGACCAGTCCTGGTTCTATGTAGAAGTCGCGGATCATGTGCTAACTAAGCTGACAACATGAATATGATTTGTTGTACTGCTTCGAGAAATTTAGACTTTGAAAAGTCCTAGGTATACCTCATTATATTGCACCTCTTCTTTTTTGTACTCTTTGGTCAGATGTTGTCGAGTCAAACAACGAGTTTTGTTTAGGGGAACGAGAAAGAACAGTAGTGCAAAAAATTCCAAATCCATCTAAGTACTTATTCAAAAACACATCTGTGCGTACAGTAGGGCGTTTCTGTCTGTTGGTTTTAACACATCTGTCCTAGGTAATCCATCTATTCAAACCAACAGCCAACCCCGGACCTGGCCATTATGGGGACGTAGGTGGCCGTACATTGCCTTCGCAGGCCAGTTTTTACATGGGGGTCAAGCCACCAATGTGGAAGCCAGAGCTGAATGACCCACAGATTCCGACGGCAACACACTTGTTCAAACCGGGGCCGCCTTATTTCTCCATCAAGGGCAAACTTCCGGCACAGAAGTCTGCAGTAACGTTCAGTTTTGAGTATCGTCCAGGAAAGGAGTTTTACGAGGGTAGTCGAGTCGCCTTGTCCTCGGACCGCGAATTCTTTGACGAGTTTGGGAGTATGTACATTAAGGCTTCCCCTAGTAAGCTTCCATTTTGAAAAGCATCGCGAAGCTGTCATCCTTGTGCAAATAATACGGAGATGAATCAATGATAAGGAGCGTCAAGGAGATGCGTTTCAAGATGGATAAGTGTACTTAAGTTCTAAGTACAGTCTGGATGGCCAGTCAACCAGAGAAGCGGAGCGCTTTATGTCTCCGGAAAAGCGAAGACAATTATCGAAGGCAGAGCTAGACCACGTGAAGAAGATGGAAAAGCGAGCTGCTGGAAGGTTAAGGCTTGCAAGTTGGCCTTCTTATCTGAGAGCATGTCCACCATGGTGACGTTGCTAAGGGGAAACAGGATAGATAAGCGAGCTAGATAGGTCCACTTGCAACTCCTAAGAACAGAGCAGTCCGAAACACGTGCACCCTCTTCCTTAACCGATCATGGCGCGAGCAAAGGGGAACTACTGGGAGGTGAGGATAATTCTAGCAATTTTCACAGTACTCTAGGAGTTGGTGGCGGTCACCAGCATAGCATGTCGACCTTGGGTCCTGGCGAGGACACTAGCATGAATTTTCGATCGATCCAGTCCGAAACATCCCTGATGTACCCGCCAACGTCACATGTAGAGGAGCTTAGAAAACGACACAACATGAGGACGCGGTATAAGCCGAGTAGCTACACGCAGATTGGTCCGGACGCTAGAAACTTTGATCGTTTTACGATCGCCGCAAACGACCGCCGAACAACGCAGTTTACCAGTAGACCGACGAATACACGGTACGATCCTCACGAGAAAAATTGGTACAGCCAAAATCCGGAATTGCTAGTGTCTGCGGGTCTGAAATACGCTAATGCGCCTTCATGGACTGCGGATCCAACGAAGGGGTTCAGTTATGAGAACATTGCAATGGAGTCTCGTATATCTTCTGACCATCAAGTGCAGACGACATCTTCTCTCTAAGTTATAGATGTGACCATCATCTTATCTTATCACAATATGTTGGTTCCTAGTAAAACAAGATCTACTAGCAACTTGTGATTCCAACATCAACTATTACATCTAAGGGAGGCTAAATTTCCATACGAGCAAAATTATGTATATTTCCCTTCTAACCCACCTTGATCGGCAAAGACATAAAGCCGATGGCCCTGGAGACTGCGGGACGAGACGCACCTGTGCGAGACGTATCTCGATATGAGTCGCGGACAGTGAGAACCAAGGCCTCAGGCTTCTCTTGGGGTGCTAGTAGTAGGTTTGGAGGATTGTATTGCTAGTCTAGTGAGAATCGACAGGAGCGTAGGTTTGGAGAACGATGTCACGTAATACGTTATGAAGGACACACACACAAAATGAACTCATTTTCTTTTAGACTTTTGTTTTTCCGAGGAATCCTCGTCATGCTGAATCACTTCTGTATGGTATCAATGGTGCCTATAATCCTGGGGGAGTTGTAAATGAATCCATCTTGTTGTTGTAGTTTTTGAGAACAGGGAATAAATCTATAATCACTTCTTAGGTTGAAGATGAAGACCAAGATGACTGTCTTAGTGTCATGATGAGAACTAGTTTTAATAATGAACAGAATACGCAAGTTATTTCTACTCTTTCTTAGGTGAATGCCTATGCCATAGTGAACCTTTTAGATTAACCAGACAAGTGAACAGTCAGTGAAGACAGGTGAACGGTCGGCGAGTGACGAACTAAGAAGGTTGTAGAAGCGCGGCCTACATAAAGTGGTCAGAAAATATCTATGTCTCCGCCTTCGCAGGTAGGTACAAAAAGCGAAAATTGGCTAGTATTTGTCCTCCTCCTTGTGGCAAATGCCACATGGACGCCAGGAGGACAATGTTCAATCCACCTGCGACGCTTGTTCATTGTATTTAGATGCGCAATTGCGTTTGCTTGGACGACCAACGGTAATAAGGCAAGGCCTTGTAGAAGTAAGTGAAAGGATGTACAACTCACTGGGTGAATACGAGAAGAGACCTCCTGCATTCAGAAGGGCGTTCTCAATGCCACCAAATGAGGAAGGAAGCTAAAAAAAGTCGAGAGCACGTAAGAGTAGAAAAATGCCGATAAGTGCGTGAAACTTCGAAAAGAAAACGCTGGTAGGAGTTAGCGCAATAGCGACTACGCTAGGTTGCATGGAGGTAATACTTATTGATCTGTACAGTAATGATGCTTTGTTTTTCTAAAAGATAACAACAAAAAATGGAGGATCGCTTGGCTTGTTTGGAGTTCTACTGCAGGCTCAGGCCTCCGTCTCCTGGCTGCGACGAAGCTGCGCGAGCCCTGTTTAGTGTGGAAACCGACCATCGGAAGCGGACGTTCTTGCGTCTAGTACCAGACTTAAGAGCCGTCGATAGGTTGTTACCGATAAGACTTCTATTGGCTTGTACTTGTCGTTGTAGGTAGCTAGTAGTGCTGTGATTCCATTGTTATTTAACAATAACTAAAACTACGTTCTGTGGTTACCGTAAAATTATTTCCATTTGATAACCGGTAGTGTAGCTTTCTGTAGGAGGTACTGCGTCACTGGGTGGCCTCACAAGTAGACACGAATAACTGCACAAGAGGTTCCATGACATGACGTTCTTGAAAAACTTATTTGCTCCATTTAATCTCAGGGTCAGTGAAGATAGTCCAGTTTCCTATAGCTCTAATACACAAGTGGGAAACGGATGTGAAGCCACGTCAATGGCGTTGCTCCTACGCTATGCCTGCTAAAGCGCCTACGGAGAAGCTCTGCCAAACATTGGGCAATGAAGTTTTGGACTGGGTACGCCTACAACCAGTGTGTTTTTAGAGTTGATTCAGAAAGGAAATACGCGTTGTTGAACTGAGTAAGAGTACCTACTACCTGTGTTTTTAGAGTTGATTGAGATTTGAGAAAGCTTAAGATTGTGGTTTTAGATTTGATTGAGAAACGAAGCAAGTGTTGAATTATTGGATTGGCCATCTACTTGATGCTCTACACCTCAAAGGTCCTTGACGGTTACAATGCACTGGTTCTTGGGATGGGCGCAAAGGAGAGCGGAAAGTCCTTCTCACTCTTTGGGGATCCAAGATCATCAAGTGAGGACCCACCACCACCCACGACTGGCTCAACAAATATATCGGAGACCTCCAAGTTAAGGGTTGGTGAAAGTTGACAAGTTGACCTATCATGGTTTTATCTAGCAACTACATGAGTATCTATGAGAACCTTTTCCATTTCCATTTTCGAGTGACACAAGCATAGTGATCACCAATTTTTCATCTGAAACCGCTAAAGGCTAAAGACGATCGACAGTGCGGCTTAGTCTACGCGTTTCTGCGTGAGATCTTTCGAGCCAAACGTAGTGGAGGATTTCGCGTAGGCCTAAGTTGGTGGGACGTGCGTGGAAGCGAGGTCAGAGACCAGAATAAGCGACCCGTTTTCCGGAATATCACGAAATTTGAAGTGCTCGAACCTACTTCTTTCCATTATGATTCGTAAACTACTACTATGTATTGTTATTCTTACAACTGCATCTTTGCTTTAGTAGACCATCTTTTGCCGTGGGGATATACTATTGCCATGGGGATGCACTCAAGGATCCCCGTAGGGATGTACTCAAGGATGCTTTCACGTACTACAGGATAGGAAATATTAGGGCATCTCAATCTCTAAGTCCTAGAAGCCACGCGCGTCGTTGACGATTTGCGTTTGCGGCCAAGTAAAGGCAGTGCGAATAAGTCCCGACATCTATTTTTTCGGGTAGCACTTTTCCACGATTAAGGCAATATTGAAGAGGGCTAGAGAATGCGGAAGGCGGTTCGACAAATTTTAGTTTCTTACTAAGTAAGAGAAGCAAAGGTTTGAACACTGACTCCATGACTTAAAGGTTGGCTTTGTTTCCCACTATTTCTCAAAAAAAGCAAGGAGTACACCTTTAACGTTCAGAGGACAACCTTCTATCGACCGTACACTTTGTGGATCTGGGTAACGAGAACGACAGCGAGTGTCGCAGGGATCTTCTCTCCTTGCATCAATTGCTGCGAGACGTCGCGGGTGAAGATGTCATGCTGGATCTTATGGTCTAGAAGATAAGCAGCATGCCCTTTTGAAACTAGTCCTCTACGAGTACTAAATGGGACACCAGGTTCCATGACCACATGGCATTTACTTGAAGTTCTTGCACTGTCTGACTTTATTTTTAATTTTGATCGGTCCTGACTTCATCTCTAATTCCGACCGTTCCGGAGCAACAGACGCCGATGGCCCCAATGCTTTGCTGCGATCTCCCGTTTCTCCGCAATTCCAGAGTGAACGCCAGTTAGGCGCGCTTCTGATGCCGCTAGTGACGGGGAACTGTAAAACGTTTTTGCTGAACGGAGTCCTGTTATGGAAACAGGAGGTTGAGTAGAATGGTGACCGTCTAAGCGTCTCATTAGAGAGGTGGTTGTAAGCGGTCTCATTAGAGAGGTTGAGTAGATCAGGTGGTTGTAAGTGTCTCATTAGCGATGGAAAAGTAGTATGGTCCACATATAAGTGTGTCTGTGTGACAAGAGAAGAAGAAGAAGAAGAAGAAGATGGTTTGACACGAGAAGAAGAAGATGGTTATGCTTTTATAGCCACGTTATATTCTAAAAAGCTGACGAGGTGGTTTGACTTCCTCTTTTCAGCATTCAACATGTTGTGACAGAAAGAAGAAATCTTCAATTTTCTCTTGTAGCATTTCCTCCCTACTTGATGATCAATTAGAGACTGTAGACCACAACGCTAATCCTCGAATCGCAGATGTCAGAGTTGACGATGCAGGAAACGATCAAGAATCTCGACACCGCTGAACGCGCCTCTTTACTATATGGATGATGTTTTTTGCATCCATCAGACCATCGAGGCTTCCCTATAAAGGCTATACGTTTTTAAGGGGAAAGGGATAGCCGTGACGGTCTGCCTAGATGGAATAGACGCCATTCATATACTAGCGACAACATGTCGTCGGATTTATCTTCGCTCTCTCTCCGACGTCGACATAGTACCGCTTGCAGTAGGTTGGCAGGGTTTCCCTGATAAGCTGCGAACAAACAGTCAAGCCTCTGTTGGAGGAGGTACGGATAGGAACAGTTCGGCAGACACAGCATTGGATTATGACGGGATAGGGTTTGTTTTTTGATGACGAAAGAAACGTGGTTATACGTTGATTATACGAGATTCATCCCAATATCAGTTTACGTAGTGTTTTTTTTGTTAATGACGAGCGTGTGATCAGACACAATGAATTGACTTCTACATAATCTCTCTCTCTCACTGAAGAATTGAAATTAAGTCACAATTACAACGTCTAATCCCTATTACGTGCTGCAAGTGCCGATCTTCGTAGTTTGTCGCAAGAGCGACCTACCTTCCAAAAGCTCGCCGACGTCGATGCCAACATCAGCAGTGAGGACATTCAACGTGTACGGCGTTACGCAGGCGATGAAGGCTTTGGAACGGTGCTCAATTCCATGGCGGCTGAAGAAGAGAGGCGGAAAGAATCTACCTTGGAAAGAGGACGCTCTTTCTCAGGACCTTCTGTAGATCGAGAAGAGAGAAATCCAACTCCCAAAAATCCGAACTCATCTAGGATCCGTGAGCAGACACCACGTGCGGCGGAACAAGAGGGAGATGCCAGTATTAAGGCTTACCCTAATAATTGTACATCTTCAGATAGTACGTCTTGGAAGAGCTGTTCCACAACAAACAGCTTCAAGATGAATGTCAAGATGGACTTGGATGAGCTCTAACAGTAGGCGGAACTCTGCTGGGGAAGAGACGGATGAAGTGCAGATCTTCGATGACAACGCTACTCCGAAGAGTTCTAGCAAGATGGAAAATCGAAATGATGGAAACAGAGTTCCGAAGACTTCTTCTTCGACAAACAAGAACGGGAGAAAGAACAATGCCGTGATCGTTGGAGCCACGGTGAGAGCATCTTCGTCCACAGCACCCAGTAGTGCGAGACCCAGTAGCCCAACGAAGGTCGAGAATGTCGAAGAACCCAGTCTGATCCAGTCTTTCTACGGCAATACGAGCAACTATCTGGAGCTCTCGCGTGCGGAAGGCAGCCCTACGCGGAAGAGTCGGGACGCGAAACTAGCACAGGATTACGAAGCGCTTCTGAAAGCGCACAAACGGGTGCTTCTGCAAGTCGAGACTCTGCAAAACTCGAAAGTCAGCGCGATCGAACATGACTTGTTGGTAAAAATTGTTTTTTGTTTGTTTTTTTTTGGCCTGAGAAGAACACAAAACGGTATCAATGGTTGAGTAGATTACAGTTTGCTTTTGTGTAGATACTAGTAATTGGTCGTTCGGAAGATCGAGTAGATTCCTGCTTCCTTCAAATGAACCATTTATTCCCGCCTTCCGCAGACCAGCAAGTACAGACGAGCTTTGTCGCAAATCGAGGCCCTGGAGAATCGTGAGATAGCAGCTGAAGAAGTTGCTGAAAAGGATTTGGAAATCCAAGATTTGAGGCTTCAAGCCGTAGTTAAGGCTACAAGTAGAAGTCCATCTTGTTTACAGGCATGAATCTTGGTCCTCCCGTTTTTCAACAGGGAACTAACGGGGACCCAAGATGCTGGTGCAGATGGATTTCCCTTACAGTTCTAACGTAGATTTGCGCAAGAAACTACGACTAAGCGTCGCGAATTCCCTAGAGTTGATGGGCGTACCGCCGGATACGACGAGGAACCCCTATGCATTGTTTGACGAGTACGAACAGGAGATATCAGCTCTGAAGGCTGAAATGCGAGCACTGCAGGACCGTAATGTACGACTCTCGGTGGAATTGGAAAAGTACTTTTACAAGCTTACTTCGATCTTCACACAGTAACTCGATTTTTCAAAGCTGTAGTTAGTAGTTGTGTTTACAACCGTTGGCTTTTTTTGATACTCAAAAATGTTGATGTTTCATAAACCTTAAATTTCCAGGTTCCAAACCCCTTTTGGCACTCAATCGGTTACGTCCTTGTCGGATCCCAAAGGGGTTCCTAAGTTTGTCCGTGAATTGCAGAAGGAGCTAAATGCTCTCAAGAAGCGAGAGGAGGAATTCTCACGGAGCGAGAGGAGCAACAGACTAGTAAGTCGCTGCGTGGCGGAATTGACACAGATTATGGTTTTGTTTTCGGTGAGAAGAAAACTGTATGTAGTTTAGTCATGACCTATGGCCGCTGGAGTTACCACTATACCCTGTTCGATGTAGAAGTCGAGTCATTTATGGTCCCCCTCGAGAGAGTTTGTTAGACTCTCATTTTTTAAGCGAGTGTCCTTGAGAAAATTTTGAACGAGTTCTACTTCTAACTCCCAGTTATCCCGTGCCGAAAAAGGACTACAGGACGCAACCCGACGTGCAGATTTGACTGAGAAGAAAGCTGATGCAAGCGAACAATTTCTCGAGAAGATCCTAACCAAAGCTCGCGCGACCGAAACCGAGCTAGAATCTGAAAAACGCGCCAATGAGGGGTTAGATTACGGCCCATGTTGCGATTACTTGTTTCATATTTGAATCTGTGATTCAGGTTGATCTAGATCAACTCGTTCTTTTGTACTTTTGTACTCTCTCTGCTTCAAAGCTCATGGATTCCACAGGTCATTATCATTTCTTCCGTACTCTCTGCTTCAAAGCTCATGGATTCCACAGGTCATTATCATTTCTTCCAGATTTCCTTCTAAAGATTTTGTTAAAATATACACCAGGGTTATTCTTTTAGGATTTAGCCATCTCTAATCACAAGCAGAGGTCGCCGGCCTCAAGGAAGCCTGTTTCCACCAGACCCAGTATCGAAGACAGGAGTCACTTTTGACAAAGTTTTTACCTTTGTCCAAGGCTTTACAGCACAATCCGGGTGTTGGGCCGGGAGGTGCCAGCAACGGCCAAGCGTCCGGTCAAGGCACCAACACTCGGGCTAGATCGCGTGCTGCTTCACAATCGCCTCGTTTTTCATCAGTAATAGATTTGGGAGGTGACGGAGGTGGAGGGATGGGGAATATTATGAACTCACCTGTTGTAATTGAGATAATTTTACCTCGAGCTGTAGCACTGTTAGCACTACCTATGTATTCATTGATATGTTTGTGCAGAAGATAAGTGGACCTTTTGATTTACTTTTTCTGTGTAAAAGTAAATTCTATGAGTCAAATGTAAATCATTCATCTGCGTCTCTACTTCTATGTATTCTCTCTGAATCCGAATCTTTTCTATGTAAACTCTGTTACTCAACCGATCCATCTATCCTCTAACAAAAACGAGTACAGTGCCTACACAGACCGCAATTCGCGTACACCAAGGCAGAGTGAGCGCAATCGACAGAGCTTGATCGAGAACTTTTCGAAATTGCATCAATTAAGGGTACCGTCAGCCCGCATCTTTTAGCCGCATCTTTTAGCCGGTTTCTAGTTGAAAGATGTTCGAAGAGTAAGGTTGCCGGTATCATCTCTAAAAGAAGAAATCACGAAAAACCCAGACTTGAAATTCGTCATTCCCCTCTCGAGTCGCGTGAAAGCCGCTTTAGACGGTCTGCTGCGACAACACACGCAATTGGAGCAAAGTGCCGCGAGCGCGTTACAGGTGATACACAACTCAGCGGCGGCTGAAGTTCGACAACCGACGCGAGACGTAAGCATGAAGTCACTCCGGGAAACAAGAGGTGCCGATGCTGCGGTAAATCTCATGAATGCAGATCCGAGAGCAACGCAGAGCGCGGTCGTGATGAGAGTTATGCGAGGTCGTGACTAGGAGAACTCTTTTTCTAAGGCATTCACATAGTAGAAGTTCTCTTTTTCTATGAAAGATCTACGGGTGCTAGGAACAGCATCAGCAGGGATACACACATACATTTAAGGCGTTGCTTCGCCATACTTCCAGTTCGCGCAGCATAAGAAAAACTATGGACACTCTAACTACATGGAAAGTGAACTGGCGAAACGGGGTCGCACGCGGATGCGCGATTATTAAGTTTGAGGATTACGGGTTGGATGCTTGACAATCTACGGGAGAGGAACTGATGTGCTAAATTGGGACGAAAGAAGCAAAACATAGTATTTATCGCCAAGACGCAAAAACATACTGTTTATGATCGCTGAAGATGTTGGAGAACTTATAACCAGTGATCCATTGATTCAGATTTTGCTTACAGTAAATTGCCAACTCTAGAAGTGTCTACTATTCAGTTCTACGACGTACACGTACACATACACCAACATAAAGAAGTTTACTAATTACCAAGATTTTGATACTCGCATTTTAGTGATTGGGTGGTCAAGACTCGCGCATCTTCACAGGCGTTATGAAGGTAACTCTGAGTTCGATCTCTTCTGATGTTGCCGTCGGCGGCCACGCTGAGAGGTCGTTTTCTGAATGCCGCTTTTCTTTATATGTCGCCTAGTACATAAGCACCCGCAGAGAGAGAGAGAGGGAGAGGGCAAGAGTTGATGATAAAGTATGCGCTTTTTTCACTATCAACAGAGTCGTGCAAAGATGGAGGGAATGATGAAGATATCATCAAGTTAGTTTTTTTCTACTGGTCCGAGTAAGTACGTGTACCGGAGAACGAGCATGGAGATCTCCTATATGTACCCCATATCTTCTAGTAAAGTCTTCTGTTCATGAGGTGAATGAGATCAGAGCAAAAACTGGTAACGGCAAGTAGAAGAGAACATACGTGTTATGCACACCTGACAAGAGACTGGCGACAGAATCTTGCTCGCCATATGCATACACTGCTGATGACCTAGCCAACAAAAACTCCACACATTTAGTTTAATGTCAGATAAAAAAGTAACCCTTATTACAAGTGCGAAAACGTACAGTTTTGTATATCTAATGAATGACCAATAAGGCTTAAACTTAATGATCAAGCTATAGTCTAAGAAGATAAATGAATAAGTAGTAAGTTGTCAGTTTGAGTTTCGAAGTAAAGTACTTATGACGTTTTGGTAGAGAAGAAAGCGTTTCACCCAGAAGATTCAGTAGCATCTAGAACGCAGCTTCCAGCACCACATCAAAAGACTCCAGAACCACAGCGAAAGCCTCGAGAACTACTACAGCGAAAGTAGAGCGCCACGAAGAGGATTTAGCTCGTTTGTCAGAGCAGTGCGAAACGCTATGAAAATGGTGTCATCAACCAAAGACAACGGCAACATGGTAATTGCGGGGCAACGTAGCAATTGCGTGTCCAGTGCTTCAGGTCAACGTAGTGATTGCGGCTTCACTTCTGCCAAGGTCGAGCGTTCGAAAGAGCATGGCAAAAAAACGGACAACCACAATAGCAAAATTGCCGACCATGACCACTGTTCACGAGACGGCCATCCCCTGTGTTTCGGCTGTGTACCGATTCCTCTGGCTTGCTTCCTGCACGCTCTCTTTTTGCTCGTGTTGTTATGACTCACTTTTTGTTCGTGTTGTTATGACTATTCACTCAATAATTTCTAGTCAGGCTCCTGAAGGATCGTTTTTGTACTTAGAAGGGCTATACCAGAAGAAGTTGAATCTTTCTACGAAGAAGAATTTATTTGATATCGTCCTAACACGACTGTGAATAGATTTATTCCACCTGCGACAACACACACACACACACAAACACACTGCTAGTTCTACCCTCTAATTTTCGGTATTCTCCAGCTCTTCTGCTTATCCGGGAATAAGAACGCCTGGCTGCAGTTGTTTGACGTTATCTCTGCCTCATGTGGAGGTCTAGGCATCTACAAAAACAGCGATGCTTCCTACATGGTTTTTTTGGCGAGTCTGTGTCTACAGTGGCCTCTGAAGATGCTGCGGATTGTGGCTACACTTGCGAGACTGAAAGATGCTGTGGGTATCTACTGGATATGCTCATGATTGGAGGACTCATTAGAAACTTCATCTCTACAGGTTTTTTTTTATTCGAAATGAAAGCACTTTTTTCATCTTTTATCCTTCCCATTTCCAGCTGCTCCCCTCTACCGTCCGCATTCTCTGTTACCGGACGTTGTTGATATTTGGCGACAACCATGGGAATTTCTGTCTTCCGGTCTAGAACTTCTCCTCACTACGTATTTGCTGCTTGTCCATAGGCGATACCAAACTACTTACTGCAGTCCGGTGGCTGAACTAGCAGACTGCATGTTTCCAAGTGACGAAAGCGTGTTAAGACAACGTCGAAAGGACGCTTCCAGGAGACCAAAATGTTCGCCCACTACTACTGACGAAGACAATTACGGCTCAACAATATTATTCTTTTCCAATTCATCCGATGGTAGGCCGTTTCTCTTTGTTTCCGTACTGGGAATTCCAATTCCAGTCGTTGTTTCTCTTTGTTTCCGTACTGGGAATCTAGAGAAATGAGCCAGGGAAGTGAATTGCATCGAGCTCTAAGACCATGTTCGTATTGGTGTTCAAGATGAAGACTCCTCTTCGAGTGCAGATGAGAAAGAAGGACTGCTAACATGGGATACATCAGCGAGCACCTTTAATGGTAAAATATCTCCTCGAACAAGTAGCAGCACTAGAAGTACAGCGTCTCCACGAACAGGTAGCAGCAGGACCCGTAGTACAATACTACCTTCTCGCAAAACTACAACTAGTAAAGTAGCTGATAAGCAATGTCCAGCACGACAAGAACGAGGACGAGCAAGACATCTCTTCAGTGATTTAGACACGACAAACGCTGATGACCAAACCTGCGACTCCCTTGAGTTGAGTTCTGACAATGACGGCAAACGCGACTCCCTTGAACTGACTTGTGATAGTTCGAGTGCTTCGCTGTTGCCTGAGGACCTCTTGTGTCGGTCTACAGATTGTGTTATCCATGTGGAGGATGAGGACTCTGCAGAATATCCTCCAAGGAATGCAGGTGCTAGTGCGTACCTCGTTTGTTTTTAGTATGTACTGGTTAGTAAGTTGGTAGTACTCACTAATTTAGCGAAAGTGCTGTTGTAAACCACAACCAAATGCTCACCTGCATAATGTTCTTGTATCGTTTTCATGTCTGATGCGAAAGCGAATCTATTCGGCAGATTGCCTAAGATCTCCCTATCATTTTCATGCATATCAATATAGACCATATTGCAAAACCAACATACAACCATGCCCACACCAACTCTACTTCTCCAGGTCCGCGTGACAGCATCATGCGGCTGAATCTGTGTGCTCTGGTCGATGAGCATCATCTCTACGGATTCGACAAAGATCTTCCGTATGCGTCGGCCGCCACCTCAGCCTCGTCAGCACACCAGATACAAAATGGCAACATTTTCCTCACCGCGACAACCTCTTCCAGTACTAGTTTCAATCACGACAATAGCGTTTCGACGTTGTACGACTTGTCGAGACTCCTGGGTGACGAAGTGCCGACAATAATAGAAGACGTAGCCGACGACGAAGATTTGCATGGACTGGCGCTTAAGGCTCACGCGCAAGCATGTCCTTCGCATCAAGATCCTTGGGTCTTCTTTTTCTAGTTGGAAAAGAGGCCAAGGATGCGCTCAGGGATGCTAACGCTGTAGCTCTAATGCGTGTAGTCTCACATCGATATTAGACGATATGGAGATTGCGGACACTCTTGATGTTTCACCCAAATTGATCGACGGCGATGAGGGTGAAGTTTCGAAAGTCACGTTTTGAGGCGAGGGCCGTAGTTGCGAGATCTACCCTATCTTTGTTGAGTACGCGGATGGACCGTAATTGCGAGACCTACCACCGCGTCATCTCCTGGCTGTAGTAACACTTCTAGCTGCAGACATCGGTCCCTTGATGGTCAGTTCTGAACCGAGCCAGAGATAAGCTTTGCGGCATCCGACACCGTGCCGATATGGCTAGAGCGATTCTACGGTCTCCCACCGGTACTACAGTACTGCTCGCAGCAACCAGGACCCGCGGACTTGCTCGTCCTAGCTGCGCTTCTGCTACGAGCTCAGAAGAGGGAGTCGCTCGTCCTAGCTGCGCTTCTACAGCGATCTCAAAGTTGTAGTAGGTAAGAGCACATCAACCACCACGCATCCAGCGCTTCGTACCCAAGGCTGAGGCAAAAGGCGTGGGAAGCCAACTAGAAGACAACACGAGTCGCGATTAAGTGAGACTGAGTAATGAATGAAGCACTTGTTGAAGGATCTATGTTCTGAGGAATGAATGATGCACTAGTTTCATTTTTGTTTCGATGTCAAAAATGCTCCAATTTGTTTCGTTATATCCCCTGCTTTTCAAAAGCCATAATAGTTATAAAAAACGTCGTAGGTACAACAACACAACTGGAATTAGAAAAGTCACATCTATCTAGAACTAGAAAAGTCGCATACTTAAATAGAACTAGAAAGCCCAACACATCGCATATGAAACGGATATGGTGAACAGACGATGACGGATAGGAAATAGATTTTATATGTTTCTCGTTTCGCAAGAGCTGCTTACAACTACTTACTGAGCAGATGCTAAGCTCGGAACTACCGAGGGATGCTCAACAAGGGTTCTCCAGATTCAATTGCCAGGTTAAAAAAAAAAGCTCTTCCACTGCTCTAAAGCCATAGGCTCTAAAGTCATAGGCTCTTCAATTTCCATATACAACTGGAAAATCAAGAAAATAGGCTAGACTCTATGGAACGGTTTCGACTTCGTTCCCTAGGGTCTGGTCTCAAGGTTGATTCGGCAGGTCTAACCGGAGATAAATGTCATGATTCTATCCTGGTTTCATGATGAGGAAAGACCGCTGGCGTGGAGAGACGGCCACTTGATTCTGGTGCATCCTCAAATAAACTCACACACCCTAGTTTTCTCTGTTCCTTCAAAAGGAAAATGGTTGTACATCCCCTAACTAACCGTTGGAAGGCGATCATCGTGATGTTTTAGGAAACATAATGATAAAGTAATGATAATAAGTAGTCATCAGTCCTAGGAAATATAATGATAAAGTAACTAGAATTACTTGAGCGCTATAGACTCATTGATATCTGTCTATACTTGATATCGCACAATGGGGAACGCCTTCAGTGTCGTCTATGCAACGGGCGTGGACGAACAAGACGGCAAGCAGTTGACAGTCGACCCATACTATCACAGACACGGCTTCGATCCGGAGAAGCCCTATGCGTATTACGGGGACACCTTTCCGCGACCTTTTTCGCACTACGTAGCACTGCGCTGCATACCAGTTTTATGTCTCCTACTTCAAGTACAGACCTAGTAGTGAGATACTTCAACTCATCATGGGTTGTCTGGTGTCTATTAATGGTTCATGAGTTGTCTGGACCTCGTGTCTAAGGACTTTGGTCTAGTTAGTGTAAGGAACGTTGGTGCCTAAGTACTTTTATGTAGTTCTAGTTAATAGTGCAAGGAGCTTAGTTATTAATCTCATCTTGTGATTTGTTCACTTGTCTAGTCAGTGTCAACTAGAAGACGGTGTAGCTGACAATAAGAAAATACTTGCAAGCTCTACTGCTCTTTCTTCCATTTTTCCTTCTTATAAAACCTTTGTCATGTTCTTTCTTACTTTTGCGCTTTCTTCTAAAAGCACCTTCTTTGTGTCCTACTACTTCTAATAGCACCTCTGTCATGTTTCTTTTACGCTTTCTTGAAGAAATAGACCCGTTGATGGGTTACGGGACTAAGCAGTAAGAGTATCGGTGATGTTGTGAAAATTATCTGAAGGTAAGAAATGAATCTTCTAATGAAACCTCTGCTGTGTTTCTTCCACTGCGTATACCTTTTGCTCTTTGGCGCTTTCGAATTGGTTCCAGTCTATGTGCCGTCTGGAGGCACTGCAAGTAGTCCAACAGCCCAATCCGGTACTGTGGCATTACTGTCGCTTCACACAGAATTCAGTACTTTGTCGAATGCAAAAGCTAGTGCGGCGGCTAGCTTCGCATTGGGACACGCAAGTTTATGGCCGCGCCCAATCCATCTTCAGCAACACCCATCAGAAGTTTCAGGAGATCAGGGTGACAACTGTTTAATATTCTTAGTTTCTTGAGGAAAGTCGCTCCAAATGGGAAAAGCGGTTGAGGATGCATCGCGCGATGGCTTAGCGTGAGCTCTAACAAGTAACAGAGTGGGCTCACGTAGTACAACACCCGTAGCAGCTGGCTCAGGAGCTTATGGCGCTACTGCAGTCGGTGCAGCGTCTGGCCCAACATCGAGCTCTCTCACCAACATTAGCTCGTCTTCACTTGCTGAAATATCTTCATCCACATCTGCTGAATCCACATCCTCTACTGTCGAAAAAGCTCAAGGGCCATCCTCTAGCACCCAGAAGACTTCGACGAGTCCCTCACTGGGAGCTCAAAATGGCGGTTGGAGAATCAGACTACGGCTACCAGCGGGTTCCTACTCCATTAAGGGTCGGCAATTATGGATCGTTGGTTTCATTTCCACAGACAGGGAAAATTCAAAGCCTCGACTAAGCTCGAGGGACACTATTTGGAGTGTTCTAACACGGTCATACTTTTTTTTTCGTCATAGAATAGTTCCGGGAGATCAGGGCTACAGCGGTTTCTTATAGCATTTTTAGAAAAATCACTTCAAGAATAAGAAAAGAGCCTATAGATGCAAGAAACTCTAACTCGAGTTCGTCACAACTATTAAACAATCTAGGTGTGGCGTTTTTGGGAATCATTTGCGCACTAGGGATCGCTCCCTCGATTTACGCAGGTCACGGCTCTCCAAGAGAATACTGTTGGCTTTTATCCTTTCGAGCCTTTTTGGCGGTATTCGAATTTTGGTTGTCAGTCCTATACGTACTAACTACAACTAGTTTGAGTATAAAAATAACTACTAGCACTACTTCTAGTACACTAGTAATATTTCTAAGAGATCACTCATACATCACTAGGCACAACAACTAGCTCATCCATGCTCATACATCACCAAGTACAACAACTAACTCATCCATGTTAACATACCACTAACTCATGTTAAAACTAACGCATCCAAGTCCAAAGAAACAAAATCACATCCGCCACTTCCATTGCACTACTTGTCTCATGAAACAACATCACCAAGTACAACAACTAACTCACTCATGGGCACACATCACCGAGTACAACAACTAACTCATCCATGTTCACACACCACCAACTCACTCGTGCTCATACATCATTCTTTTCAGAGCACGACTAAATCACAGGTCCTTGTCTGTTTGCTCGACGCTTGGACGCTTAAAGGATGTGAAGAATGGGAGGAAGATGGGCAAGCTGCCATGGATAAATACGGATATGACGCTTTCCTCGCAGACCTTGGTCGAAATGAGGGCTGCACTTTTGATTAAGGCTGCACGTTATAAATTATACAAATGTTTCTTACAAGATGATTTGTTAAGTTGAGGCTTAAACTCATCGCGATTTCTTAAGTTGCAGCATGACCACGACAGGAAGGACACACACATTGACATGGCATCATTTTTCAGTGCACCTCTGAGAAGTACCTCCTTTCGATCAGTACTTCTATCAAAGACGCAGGTCAAAGCTGCTGATCGGACCGCCCTAAATTGAGACCGTGAAATTTGGGTTTTGCAGCATACTTCAGTTAGTGGCGCTGCTTTACCTGATACAGGTTCAGTTTCGCTGTAATTCGCTGTACGATTGCATGGATGAGACGGTGCATGTGTACGAAAGGCATAAGGCGGAAGTTTTCGAAGCTTTCGACGTGGAGGAGAAAAAGATGCTCATAGATTACTTATGGAGAAAATGAAGATGACGACTCAATGCGCTAGGCTATAGCACACTTTCGTTTTCAGTGATGCAAGTATTGGCTCGAGAATTCTGCGACCCTCTGATCGATAATCTAAGAAAGTCTAGAGCTGTTGACAAGGTTCCGTCTTAGTAGCACGCAACACAAGACTTTCAAGAAGTTTTAAACAGACACTAACTCTTTTTCTCTTCACTGGAGCCGCCATAGACAGGCGTTCAGGCTGGGGCCCTGTTCTCCTCTAAGCGCCTCTCGTTTCCACCCCAGACAAGGCCCTCGACAAGGATACTCGATGGCGGTTAGCGCGCAAGACGACTTAATCCGGTGGGATAGGCGAGACTGGGACGTTCTGCCAAGGTCGCACTTTTCTGACATGCAGTAGACTGGGACGCTCTGCCAAGAGCGCACTTCTCAGATATGCTGTAGTACCAAGTAAGAATGGAGGTGGATGAACAAAATAAGAAAGAAAATGCACTGTAGAACAAAGACAAATGCACAGTTGTGGACTACTTACCTTATATCTAACTTTGCAGCTATTTCTTGACTGTTATTCATGCTTCATCATGTTGTGGAGAAGAAGATGCTACTGTTCTCGCAATGATAGTGATCATCAATATTTATCAGAGAACTCCAGCAACTTGTCGAAAATATAGAAACGAACAGGAGGCTTCAAAAAAATAGTAAGACGAACAGGAGCTTCCAAGAGGCGTCAACTTTCAAGGGCTTCGCGTGACACGGTCGTGAGCTTCCTACCATTTGCGGTAGAATGTGTTTTTTTTTCTACCGATCGGTGTGCAAAGGATTTCGATTCTGGAAGAAATGTAACGAGAGAGAGCGGTGAGGGTGTTCTTGTCCGTCGTAAAATCCGACGTCGCAATCGTGCACTACGTAAACGTCTACTATTAACGCATCTACTCATCTACTGACTCTCTCCCAAGTACCCCTTTCGTCCTTTCCGTTTTTCCATCTAGTAATCTCCTATTACTCCATTCCTTCTCTACTAAGCTGGCGGCTTTTTGTCTGGCCATGCGAAAAGGTAATTTGAGTTACTCAGCCTTTCTTCTGATTCAGTATTCGAACAATAACTGACATGACCACAAGGGCACTGCTTTACGGAATCAATTCCACTTTTGAGTCATGATGGAGCTATACCCACACTTACGAGCTTTGTTTCTGCATTTGTTATAACGCCTTCTATCCCCTTAAAAAAAGCTTCGGAGAGACAAGGAGAACTCGTGTCGAAGCTCAAACCAAAAGAGCAAAGGGAGTCATCGCGTCGTAATTGTTTTTCGAAAACGAGTGAAAAGTGCGCTTTTTCACGAAGAGGACAGACATTCTTGATGATGCTGGCAAAATTACAAAGCGTGTAACTATATTAGTTAAACTGATGACTGCAAGTAGAAAGGGCACCCCAATAGAACACATTACAGTTGAAGAATGGCGACTAAAACAATTTTAGGAAGCGAGTAAGTCAAACACTTTTCAAGACGTCTTTCTATTCTTCAAAAAACAATCAATGTCCTAAGCTCTGTCGGCGCATCGATCTATCCTGGTATCCGGTACGCATTCCATAGCTGTGGGGTTCATTGAGTTGCACTCCTTTGGCGATAGCTCGCCGTGTTTTGCGACAGCGCGTACTGCACTCGCGTGCACCCTCTCCCTGTAGGAGTAACTAACTTGTCGAGAACGACGAGCGATCTTCACATCGCAAGGGCGTTGGTTTCAAGTCTTCGGCTTCGACTCGTTCAATTGTGACCAAGAAATCATCGCGGTTGACATCTCAGACGAGTGCCCTTACGTTCCAGCCGATCCTTTAAGACTGGCGCTTACCCCCTTGTAACCCTACAGTTTAGTTCCCCCTGACACAAACCTGGAACAACTAAGTGCCTGATGTTGAAATGCAATGTAGCTGATGTGTAAATACGACCCAAACTGAAGACATTTCTCTCTAATCTTCTTCTTCATCCTGGAGCGACGACGTGGCAATCAAGTCAAGATGGACGACTCTATCTCTATCATCAGTTGGCGTCTCGTGGGACGTCGCGGCAGGAAAGGCGTCCGATTTTACCGTGTGCGTTGGGTGCCGTCCGACGTTGTATCGCTGTCTGGTGCAGCAGTGGGAGCTGCGCTTTTGAGCTCTTCGACGTCCTCCATGGCTGTACAGGGGCAAGTCACGCATGAGGTTACGCATTACGGCGCAACTGACATCCAAGAAGACGAAGACACGGCACCCGGCACCCCGCACCCGGCACCCGGCACCCGGCACCCGGCACCCGGCCCTGTCACCACATCCACGGACGCTCCGGTGTCATTTGTTTTAAGGACTGGCGAATGACCTTTCTCTACGCATATCTCCTGCTTTTTCAAGGTGGAGTGTCACATTAGGTATACGCGATAGACAGGCCAACGAATTATCAAGCAACCTCTAACTTTTGAGGAGCAGGTGAAGCCGTGGTGGAAAAGTACTGCAGATCTTAAGCAAGAGCTCGCTTCATTTGGAGAACAGCAGCATGCTTCTAACGGCAAAATGGAGAAAGCAATTACAGAGGTTAAGGAAGAGCTCGTCTTATTTCGACAACAGCAAGGCGTTTTTAACGGCAAAATGTTGAAACTGATGCAAAAGAGCGAACGCGCGCCAGTGGTCGATATGGCGCTGAGGTGACGGCGTGACTGAATGAGGCCGTGAAAGAGTAGAGAATAGAGATCAGGACCATCTGAAATGGCTAGCGGTCGACAAGTGACAGCAAATATTGTCAACCGCAAGAAGATTGATCTGGAGCAAAGCTGCAAAGATCCGCGTAGTTGCGTTGCTTCTGTTCTGCTCTCAGACGTTCTATTTTTTTACTGCATTGATTTGATTGTGTTCGTTGAGCTTGCATCTCTGCTCTTTCGCGGTCCCGGTCAGCGTGTAGCGCCGTGCGACCGCCTTTCATGGCTGTGCGTGTTGTAGAACATAAACAAGAAGAACTGCATATCATGGCAGACAAGGTAGCTTTCTTGGGATTCAACGACGATGCTGATGCCAAGATTTTGCGCACGAAGCTACAAGGTGGAGTTCTTACCGAGGCTACAGTACACTGCGGACCTGCATCGGCTAACCCAAGAAAATGCGGCATCAACTTTGAGCAGCCCTTTGGCTTTTCAAGTAGAGTACCAGACGATCGCTATAGCCAATTACTTTTGCTGCTGAAGGATCCGCTGAGTTGGGCAAATCAACTCAAGCTTCTGGAAGCTCACTGGGAGGTACTGTTAGCAAGGGTAGGAAAGAGAGGTGTTGAGACTTGCTAGATAGATCAGAGGTAATATGATTTTATCTTTTGTCGTCCCCGCAATGAGGCTAGCAAAATTCTGTCGTCCCCGCAATTATCTTTCCAGGTCATTGAGAGGAGCTTGTGCCCACAAGGAGAGCGCGACGAGTTGACTGGACCTATTTCGAGTTTGACGCTAAAGGATACTTCAGAAAGCACAATATCTTTTGGGAGCGGGTTTGACGGTGTCAGAAACATGATCGTCGAGTTGACTAAAATCTCGGAGAGGCTGAAGCCTTTCGGGGCTACGGTCACCGTAGAGTGTGGGAGCAGCGGCAGCGCCCTACGGTCTGCGGAGCTGCAATTGGAATTTTCGAACGAGGACAACATTTCCGTCCTGGTGGAGGACACGGCCAGAGATGTTGAAGAAGGATCTTCCGAGTTCGACCTAGGTCAGCAGAAACTGAATCTACGGTTTTTTGACTTAACCGAGAACGAGCTGCCCGGTCCTTTTTTTGTCGGCGCTTTGGACCAGCATGCAGCCGAGAGGACTCGTGATCTTATATTACAATTTGGACAGAGAGCACCTCCCCGTCTTGTGACGGTACTAGAAGGAAGTGGGCAGTCTACCGTCTTCATCATCCGTCTTGCACAACCTCCCTTGCTGAATGAAAATGACCCGCTCAGTATGGGAAAGCAGCTTGATTTTATCGAAAAGAATAGCGGGGTACTGGCTTACTTTATCCACAGAATGAATCTGCTTTGAAGTGAAAAGAGTGATACTCCTTTGTTTCTTTGAAGAGAGGCTGGCAAATCATTAACAGTATCGTCACCATACTGACTCTCATCGCTTCGCAATCATTTTCCCAGGCTTTTTTGCGAGAATTGTGCGTGTACGGCCGCACGGATTCTGCTATAATATTCGAGGAGAGCACGTACCACTACAGTAGCGCAGCACTCACTAACAGCTTGCCATTCCAAAAGGTGGCCGCGGAGTTGAAATCGGTCATCGAGAATGGCGCCTCTGAGGAAAAGGAGCTTACCGTAGAATGCACATTTATGGAGAAAGTAGAATTCCGGGTGAAAGATGTAGAAATCAAAATGAAATTTGAAGTCCAGTTTGATACGGGTGCGGCAATTGAATCGAGTTCGCCACTGCAGGCGGAGCAATCAGTCTCCGAAGAGGGGACGATGAGCGAGGGGTCTGCCGAAACTGACAATTCGATCTCATGATGTAGTCGCGATTATATGAGATAATGTTTCTGACCACCGCATCTGATATGGCTAGCAATCTCACTGTGAAAAGAAAGAGCTAATATTTATAGTGATGCATTATAGACGATAGAGCACACAGGAAGTACCAGAAAACTGAAAGAGTTATAGACTTGAGACCCATGACATTCCGCCTAAGCAGTGACCCTGGCTGTGCGCCTACCATGTGTGTGTAGCGCCATGCCTCTCCTGGAACTACAAACCTACTGCGGCTGAAGCCTGCAACTCCAAAAAATTGAGGGAAGTGTGTCTCATCAACTTCTTTCAGCAGTGTTTGGCAGAGAGCAATCGGCTATATGACTGCTAGCATCGCTTCAGACTCAAACAAGGCCCTGAGTAGGAGAAACAGAGTCATGCTGGGCATAAGGTGTGTGGAGATGCAGAGACTTTGTGTAAGATTTTTTTTGTTTCAAAAATATTGCATATCTATAAGTATGAGGTGGCCCACCAATGATCTTGAGAGCCGGGAAGGCATGCTAGAGGCAACGATCTAGATCCTACATGATAGACAGATCTTGCATCTAGGATCCCCAGTTCCATATCGTCGAAGTCCTCACTTTTTGCTTTACTTTGTACATAACCTTACCTAACCAATGATTCAAATTAATAGACCACGAGAACTTTGTGTCTCATTATAATCACTGAGCTTCTACTTTTTGGAATATGAAAGAATGACCTTGCTTGTCTCCTCTTCTCGTTGAAATAGAAACGCAAACTCAAACTGTGTCTGTTATCGGCAAAGATAAACCACATTGACTCTTTTCATAAATGCTTCCACCTTCGAGGACGTACTTACATCTACCTATAGTTGTCGTCAGTCATGGGGTGTCTACTGCGTGGTGTCCTGATGCTTTCCCTGTTGAAGAGCCTGCTGAGCCTTTTCCAGCTCTGCTCGGACCACGTGGGCAATTTCCTTCGACCATTGCCTCGACTTTTTTGGCTTCTTCAGGAGGTGGACTTCAGAACGGAGTCAACCACTGCAACTACAAGTGTAGGGGAAACAAGTGCAAATTTTAATTTCGAGGACACCAAGTTGAATCTGTTCGTCAATGCGCGACGTGCTGCTGTGGTACCTGCAAGAGGTCGTGGACACTCTGACCAACGCCCAAGAACTACTACTAGTTTCACCCACGGCGACCGACGTCTGGGGTGGAGACTCGGTTGTATTGCGTTTCAGAGTTTTGAGCAAGGCAGGTTTGTTAAGGCTACACTCGCTGAAGCATCCTCCCTACCATCATAATCCCTGACAGGCATCCGCCCTACATCATGATCCCCGACAAGCATTCCCCTACATCATGATCCCATCAGGCTTTGCTCTTTTTATCTAGTACTTGAAAAACAGGAGCAGTACAACTAGGAGATCCACTTAGTCATACCCTATATCTACTTTGAGAAAATAGTGTTCTTTGAACAGGAAACTATTTTCTCAAAGTAGCGGAGGATGGGAACGCGGTCTCTCTAAGTTTGGCGTACCCGCACGGCGAAGGCACTCCACGAAAGCCGGATCAGATAGCCAGCAGGATGGAAGTGGAAGTGGAGATTATGAATTGCCTGTATAAATAATATGTTTGTCGTTTGGAATCTGAACGATCTGTGGAAGAGGTGGACACGTATTTTGTGGACTGTCGATATTTCAGAATTAGAGGATTGTTGATTTCCCGACTCTCTTGCTTGGTTTCTTTATTAATATACTCTTTCTCTCAAGGTGGAATTAAAGACTTTGAAGCGTTCTCCGTAATAAATCTCGTGATGAAATGCTTGCTCTTTCAAGGTGGGATAAAAGACTTTGAGTTGTCCTAACAAGTATACTTTGTTAGACTAATTTGCGCTTAGAGTCGCTGAAGAACGGGAAACGCGACAGTTTGCTGTTTTATCTAAGTCCTTATAATGAGGCTCGCAATTGAACGCCTTTAACTCATGTCATAAAAAGTATCTAAGTTGTCCTCGTGAGGTCAGCAGTGGCTATCACGGCTCTGGATTTGGTACGTGTTTTGTCCCAAGATGGTTGGCATCATCGATTGCCGGCATTGGCGGACTTCATCCTTGAAGAGGAGACACCTTGGGAGATCGAACGCCTTCTCGGGGCTGCGCCTTTTTTGGAACAAGTTGAAGGTATTGCTTTCCCGCGTGGGTTAATGGTGGAGTTAACGGCACAACTGCTTTTCCCCGTTGGTCAGTTTTTACTGGGTGTTTTTTGGAAGACATCTATTGCTTTCCCTCGTGGGTTGATAGTTGGCGTTGGTTGTAGTTTTGAACCTTGATGCTGTTGCGAACACTACTACTACTACTAGTTGGCTGGTGCTCCCGTCTTAAGTCCAATATTTAGATGAGTTATCGTGTAGAAGCTGCCTGAAAGAGAAGAAGCGGGTCTCTTACGTACTTCCACCGCTTAGGACATAAGTCTCGGATATTCGTTTCTTGGGTTCTATCATCTATAACGCCTGACAGTGAGTGGTCCAGGAACATTCCTTTGACAGAGGGTTCAGGAACATTCCCCTGACAGTGAGTTCATGACGTGGCCTTCCCCGAGTCACTGTCAACATCTCTCTAGGTGGCGGGGAGCGTGTTTTCTCCTTGCGCTTGGAAATTAACGAGAAGGACCTGACGAGAAAGCGGCAGCTTTTTATACTTATGGCCTTCATTCTTGTTGGTGAAGGAGCATAGATACTAGAACAACTCCTACAACGGGGGAGCAGCTTTTGATTATTAGTCAAGGCCTTCATTCTTTGACTTAAGCTGATGGCGACTGCAGCAATTACCTTCATCAGCTGAGGCCTTCCCTCATCCATAAATATGAGAAGGGGTGATGCATGCCCACTCAGCACTCCGATCGTCTAGGATGTACTATTTCAAGGATTGTCTAGGATGTACTATATCGACAGGATGGAAATATGTTAAAGAAGGACATTAAGGTCTAACATAGAGCACGTCCTCTGTTCCGCGTGGTATCAACTACACTTCGTTTCCGGCGGTGCTTTGGCAGTGCAAAAGCTCTTCGACCTTGTGTCGTTGGCTCCAGGACAACTACCGAGAACAAGCGACGCATTACCATCGACAACAAGCGAGTTGTTTATTATGGTGCTTCTAACACAATTACGATCTAGACAACGTCATCATTCTCATTACTAAACGGCGCTTCTCCTGGATCAGCATTAGTATTACAAGTATGTATCTATTTATCGTTCTATACATTTTAGTTCTTTGTTGAGGGCAACAAACTAAAAGACAAAGCATTTATATCTGGTGCATTTATTTCGTCTACGGTCATCAGGAAATAAGTTGACAGCAGGGACATCGCATGCATGAGCATGCGTTTTAGCTTGGGGAAGATTCCAACGATGTCCAAGTTGAACAGTAGAGCATCAATCTATGATGTTGAAATCTGAGAAGGACAGGAAAAGCGTGTTCAAGAAATTGAAATACTCCATTCACATGAAGATCATTGCTTCCAGGTCTTGTATGAAGATTTGCCCCTCCAATTTATTCTAGGTTAGTCCCTCCAATCAAATGTAGGAAGATTGGCCTCTAAAGTTTAGGACCAGCTTTTTTTGCCTGCCGGACAAAGCCCTCTACGCCTGCTGGAACTGGACGCTGTTGCGGAAGGCATACGCGCAGACCTGCCGACATATACAGAGCTCGTCTCCTATGTCCGGCAATGCTCAAAAGTTCACCATAGTACTGATACAGGAGATGCTGGACATTCTTATGGGAAACTTGAGGATGATGCTGGACATTCTCAGTGTAGGAGTGGACCTGGTGGAGTTGCGACAGTGGTCAACACAGATGAAACAGACTTCGAGAATGACGTTGATGAAGCAGAAGGCTTCGAGAATGAAGTTGATGAAGCAGAAGGCTTCGAGAATGAAGTTGAACAATCTAGTACTGGAGGTGTGCCTGCTAGTTGTGAGCAGCCAGTATGTGACGCCACATGTTCCAGCTCAAGAAAACAGTTTGAACAATTCGGGGAGTGCGCTGAAGAAGATACTTAAGGATACAAGAAATCCATCTTCGCAGGCATCTCGGTCCTCCCGTCTTTTTAAAGGGACGAAAAGGAGACCCAGGAAAGATGCTGCTGAAGATGGATCTCTCTTAGTTCTAAGATAAAGAAGCAGGAGAGTTGGAGTTGGAGCGATTACGCGCATTGTATCTGACTGAGGAGGAGCTGGCTTACGGCTCATGGATGAATCAGTCAGCAGCTGAAGTCGAGACATCTTCTTCGAGTACAAGACCGGCATCTTCTTCGAGCGCCACTACGTCCGGTGGATCTTCTTCGAGCACAACTACGTCCCATGGCGTCTCGTTTTCAAATGCAAATACCAGGGGCGTTGTTACAGTTGATAAACAAGATTCTAAAGTAGACAAAGACAACACCAAGTCCCAGAAGCTGCCGAAGCATGTGTCGTTCGAAGAAGTTGGAGAGGCGAAGACCTCTACTCCTACAACTGGGAGCGCAACTGAAGAAGAACTACAGTTGAAAAATGGATTATCACGGGAGTGCATACGTCAAATCACAGCGCTGATGCGTGACGACATATCCCAAGCTCGCAAATTCCTGTTGAGAGTCGCCCTGCGGCTTGTAGGTCCGGGAGCCGAAACCACCTATGGCCCTGCTGAAGCAAATATTGGGCTTGGGCATGGAGAACAAGAGGACGCAGCGAATCATGCTTCCGCTACGTCTAATCGCAAAACTGAGAACACAACTGCAACTGCAACTACTGAAAAGGAGAAGAAGGCCAGTCCTTATGTTGTGCCACCAAGGGAGAAGAAGGCCGTAAATGTGCCACTTTTGTCGGGTAGTGCAAGAGACCCACTTGTGTCGGGTAGTACAAGAGACGTATCGGCATCTTCCCCGTGTAAGAAATCGTCGTCCAGCACTTGTCAAAGCAGTGGTAGTGGTCAAAGTGCTAGTGCTTCCTCGACTAGCGCTCTAGCACCTTGTCCAGACGAGTCTGGACCATCCGACGACGCCTTCCATGCGATAAGAAAAAACATCTTGGAGTTGGCTTTAGCGGAGATTTCACGAGACAGCATTGTCTACGCTTTTTTGAATGGTGATGTTAAGACAACCAAAAAAGGATCCTCGTGCAGTATCATCTTCCTTGGCTTGCTTTTCAACTACGATAAGAGGTTTAGGGCTGGTACCCTAAACGTCTTTTCGGCGGTGGTGCCAGGGATGGAGGTGCATCTCTTCCTTTCGTCTCGGGTCATCAGGAAACAAGTTGAACACCTGCTACGGGGTATTTCAATAAACGGCGATAGCCCTAATGATGCGTTCAATTTCCGTCTTCTGCTACGACGGGAGGGGGACAGGCTTGGCCTTTTTTCAGGTGGCCTGCATGTGGTGCGTTTGCCTGCAGAAGAGCATCTCGTTCGTTTGCGTGCAGAAGTTATGAATGTAGGGTATTCATCTCCTAAGTCATCTGGAAGAGAAAGACAAGAGGAAAAAGGGACCCAGATGATCCCTGAGATGAATCCCCGATACATCTAAAGAAGACGCAGCTTCGCTGTTTTACACGGGACGAAAGCAAGCAATATCACTGGGCGGGGATCAACGTTAAGACTAAAAAAGTATCTTGGTCCCCTACAAGAATATAATGAGATCACTTACATCTTCGGAGGACTGTAAAGCCCTAGGGAGCCCCTTGGGATTGAAAGCACATCAGTAAAGCAGCCTGCTAGTTTTCCCTCTATTCTTAGGCTTATCCCTTCTGGAAATATAATGGGATCACTTACAGCTGGGCTACAACTTTTTACAGGAGGCGATCATGCGCGACGACTCACTTTGCGTATAAGCTAACTGAAAGTTGATCACTCAAATTGATAATTTGAAAGCCAAGTAGAAGGCGCAGTGCTTGTAACGCACTAAGTACTTCAGAACATGTCTAAAAAGGAAGCTTCTTACTGATGAAAGTCCGCTTCTAAAAACGTCAGGTGAGTCCACAGGCGGAATTTGCGAATCGGTTACACCAATGCGAGGATAGTTGCGAGAATAGTAGGAATTCCTGGCGACTAGTGCAAGACCGAGCTTACCGCCAAGAAGTGAGTACAGTGAGCGCGATTCGGCAGCGACAGCAACACATGCAGACCTTGTGGCGCTGGAGGGCAGAAGCAGACGCGTGCTCACAACTTGATGCTGGAGGTGGTGCCGGGAGTAGCCAAGGACATGTAGTTCTTAAGGCAGAAATATGTATCAACTAAGAAGATGATAGATGCTATCCCCAATAGGCTACACTTCCCAAGTACGCACGAATCAGATGTACTTCCATAACTCTTCCTGAGATTGGCTTCCTCGTGAGAAGTACTATCGCTCCTGTTCTTGTTGATACAATTTCTGAGCATGGTGCATCGGAAAAGTGACGTTGTATTGATTGCGACCATGTCCTCTTTGTCTATGCTTATATATACAAACATCAATAACATGTCTTCTAACTAATAATTCCGATCCCTCCATACCCACAACTTCTAGCCAAGGAATAGGAAGTTACGCGTCTAATATTTCGTCTGCTGAAGAACGAAGAATGTTGGAGAGAACAAGCGACGCAAATCCATCGCTGCACGCAAATAGTCGGGCATTTTATTGTCCTACAGTTTGCGGTAGGACAGGATCGGGGCAACATATGTTGACCAGTCAGTCACTGGAGCACTATTATCATTAAGGCCCTACTGGACTAGCTTTCGCAAGCGTGACCTCTTTGTTGAAAACAGAACGGCTCTGGCTTCCTTTACAAGTCGTGGGAGCTAACCGCTTGATAATTTCCCGCACCTAGGAATCCTCTCAACTGATTTATGTTTACGAGTTTTCGCAGATTTGTTAGGTTCTAATAGCAGCCGTTTCAAGCTGGAGGTAACCCGTATCCTGCGCATTACTACAATACAGTCTCTCCGTATCCGAGCCAGTATGCTGCAGCGCAAAGCGCTGCCATGCACCAGTACGCAGTAGCACAGCATATTTAAGGTTTCAAGATAAGATCCATCGGTATAAGGTAAAATCCGCAGTCGTATATCTAAGGATATGTAGAAGTCAGGCATTTATGCACAGTTTCAGACGTAAGATATTAAAATCCATATCGATTCAGAAAACCTTGATGAACGGTTTCCAAACTTTGGAGGGGCATTTTGCAAAGGGAAAAAGGGACGCCATGATGCCTGTGAAGGTGGAGACAAGGTCTTAACTAGGTGAACTCTTGAAAGGTCTAATCTGTGCTCAATCACATGGCGGCTAGCAGAGTCCCCTCCCACGATATTAACATGAGGGAGGAAGGAAGGGGTCGTCGTCAGACTACATGGAGCAACCTAGGAGACCACGAGCGCGACATCCGCGCAACTGAGGCAATTAGGCGTGGGTTCGAAAGTGGGGAACTGTATCAAGAGGTCGATAGCCCTCAGACTTCTAGAAGACAGGACTCTACTCGAAAGCAGGACTCTAGACAGGAAGACGTGCAGAATTCTAGACAGGAAGGCGTCCACAATTCTAGACAGGAGCAGAATTCACCAGTCGAAGGAGAAGTTGTAGAGCTGCCAGTTGAGGAGGCACGAACGTCCTCGCAAGGAATTCCAGCACCAAAGCGACCAGGATTAGTCCTAAGAACTACAGAACTGCCCAGTGCACATGGTAGGCAAGTAGAGGCCTCATCTTCCTCTCCAGGAGACAGGAGACAAGACGCGCGAACAACAGAACCAGATGCTTTGCCGAAAGAAGTACTAAGGGTAGGTTAAAGGCGCTTTTCTTACCGCTTTCTATGCCTCTCCTAAGGGAGAAAGGCATAAAAAGCGGGGTAAGCGAGCACCAAAAACCTACCTCTAAAAGTATCAGAAGACTTTATCACTAGAGGAAAAAAGGAAGGAACGCCAAACAAGATTCCTACGAAGAAGCCCGCTGCACTTTCGTCTACTTCCACTGCTCGTCTTTCGTCTAGTTCTTCTACACATCAACGAGGAGCAGATCTGGAGGGCGTTGAAAAGGAAGGAACATCGAGCAGGTCCTCTGCTGTTCGTCAAAGTTCTTTTTTCCATCGAGAGCCTCATCCGGCTACTCAATCGTCCTCAAGTTCTTCTTCCATGTCTGCAGCGGCTCTCCCTTTCTTACCTGCCTCCGCAAGCGCTGCACCGAACAGGTTTACATATATGATTAAAGCTTGCTACCCTAATCCATCTTCTGAAGCATCTAAGACCTGTCCCTTAAGGGGAGAATAGGTCTAAGGTGAATCCCCCGATGGATTAGGGTGAGCTTTGAATATGAGCAAAGAGCGCCGACATGGTACAGAACTACGTCAAGGCACACGACCAGGCAGAACAACAACGCTAGATGTCTCTCCAGAGGAGGAGCAAGGGTCTGAGCCAGAGTCTCTAGGCCAGTTTTATTCTCGAAGAGCACGGGAAAAAGAATCGGGAGGCCACATGGACATGAGCATAGTTATGGTCAGCTTTTATCCGTCTCTCTCGGGTGCTTCTTGGTACGCTTTTTCGTTGTATTTCATGGGAAAGGAGTCGAGATGAGGGCGCCGGGATGAATAAAAACCGAGACTCTAACATGGACGCTGATGGTTTGAACTTCGCGCCATCCTCTGCGATGGCCTTCGCGCCATCCTCTGCGATGGCATTTTACTCTGGTGTACCGTGGCCTAGTCGAGATAGCTATGGCCCTTCCTCGGTTTTGAGGAATACGAATATTGTTGGAAGAAGTACTAGATCTTCGATGACTTCTCATGGTCCGGCTGTAGAAGAAAGAAGAGCTTTTACGACAGCTTCTATGACAGTAGGAACTAATGGTACAAGAACTTCCTCAACCACGACTATGAACCATAAAATGGTGACCGCGAGCCAGGTGTTTGGGGCAGTTGCTCCGAGTCCGGCACACTACTACGCGCTTGCGGGTGGAGTGGAGGTGGAGCAACAGCATCAGGAAGATGCCTATCTTGCAGCGGCTTCTGCGCGTCATCACGGAGATGCCTATCTTGCAGCGGCTTCTGCGTCTCAGGAGATAGCAGGAATAGGGAAGCAGCATCAACAGATCTTAGTTGATGGCAGTGGTGGTTGTAATGGATCATCTCAGGACTCATGTGGTGGTATTGGCACTGGTGGTGTAGTGTGCACACCCTCAGCACCAGTTGCGCCTCCACCAATTGCGCCGCCACTGACCCCACCGAGGCCACTTGATCAACCAGTTGTCCAGCGCTCTTCGCCACCGGTGACACCTGGCGAAGCCGCCTGTTCATCTCAAAGGGCCTTTGCTAAGACCAAGACCCCTCGCCGGAGTTATAAACTTAAGGCTTTGATGATGAGAATTTCACAGGATATCAATGCTTACCACTAGCTTACTTCATCAGCAGCAAGGAAATTTTACTTAGCGCTAGTATCTTCGATTGATGTCACAAGAACCGTCACAGTCACTGTCACGTGCGTGGAGTCCTGGAATATTTTTGGAGCACATGGAATCTTCATCCAGGATGTACTACATGGGGCATGATGATGATGATGATGAGGATCTTCATCCTGAAAGTAAAATAAGAGAGTCAGCATCATCTAAGAAACCAAGGAGTCGCGTTGCGATGTCCACGCCGGTCCGAAAGTCGTTGAAAGCGAGTGGCAAGGCTATTCTGCAAGAAATCAAACTCGGAAACATGCGCTCTGAGGCTATTGATTCAGCTAAAATGAGGCTTGTGAACCGAAATAGGCCGATTGCAACACCCGTAGGAGAGTCTTTCACGAGGTCGTCTTTCTCAGTCGCTATTGATCTTGGAGCTAGTCCTAAGATGACTAGGGGAGACGGCTCATCAACGAGTGCAGGTTTATCAACAAACGCAGGCTCATCAACAAACGCAGGCTCATCAACGAATGCAGGCTCATCAACAAACGCAGGCTCATCAACGAATGCAGGCTCATCAACGAATGCAGTTTCATCAACGAATGCGGCGTCTTCATTCTCAAGACTGGCAGGCTCCTCCCCCTCTGTGGCTCCAAGTTTTCTCATACCAAGTGACAAGCACTATGGGCAAACTTCCGACATGGACGTGGACATGGCTGACATGGACGTGGACAAAATAGAGGAAGCCGAAGACGGATATGACGGAAGAGCCGGAAGAGCCAAGCTCCTAGATTAAGGCTACCTAGTACTCTTAAGCATGTCAAACCAACTGCCTCTTGTTTTAATCAATGGTTTTTAGTGCAGGGTTTAGTTTACTCTACGGCCTACAATCTAGTCCTCTCATCATCATCATTATGATAGATCCTTGGCTCTTCTTTTTCTACTTGAAAAAGAAGGTAGGGATGGTCTCGGGAAAGAGTCCCTCCTGGCTCTTTTGTTGTTACTTGAAAAATATGGAGCTGCCAAAGATATGTCTCTCAGGGAAGACGCGATATGTCTCTCAGGGAAGATGCGTAGGCGCTAGCTCTAACTAAAGGAGATGGATGACGACTCTGACGAAGACTCTGATGAACCCTCTGAACTTTTTGGATTTCCTGATGCCTGTCGCGGAGAACCAGGGGTGGATGAAGATTATGATATTCGCATATGGATCATTTCGCGTGTGGAAAGTCCAAGTTGTAAATATAAGTAGAAGTTGTAATATGAATTCTGGTCAGCTTTTTTCCATCATTCGCGGCATCGTGGTCCCCTTTTCCCTTGTATTCTCGTGAAATACAAGGTAAAAGAGGTCAAGATGAGAGGACCGAGACGCATTCTAGCACGCGCTAAATGAAATATGTGGTCGAAGTCCCGCTGAGAACTTGTTCCAGATACTATGTACTCTTACAGTCTAAATGAACTTTCTGCAAGTAATTACTATGCTGTATTGTACTCTAAGTCCGATAGTCTTACTTCTGAGAACTCCTTGCAAATACTTGCTATGCTAAGTAAATGCACTCTAAGAGGACACGCATAGTGAGCCTTTTCAAGGTGCCTTCCGTAACGTGGCTCCTGGCAATCTGGCTGTGCCAGTTGGTGCGAGACCGGTTGGTTCGAAGCCAGACATTTTTGCGGCATTTTCTCGGTCTGTGTCGTCTGCCTCGGCTGATGCTGATGCTACGTACGAAGACACATGTGATTGGACGATGATTGGGGAGCAAGGGGAGGTGGTTGACACCCAGGAAGGAGGTGAGGTTGCTGACAAGCACACACTACGGGCAGACGCAGAACAAGGTGACGAGAGAAGTGGTCTAGGACACAGACACAATCTCCACGAGAAGAAAGATGCACGACACAAAAATCTTCACGAGAAGAAAGCAGAAGGGGAGTCCATAGTACACCATCACAACCAGAAAGATCATCAGGACCGGGATGAACAAGATGAACAAGAGAACGAACATGAGTCCACCTCTAGGATGAAACCCTATACACTATCACCTAGAAGTGTGAAGCAGATTTTGTCCGATAATGAGCGGCAAGCAAAAAGTCGCACGCCTCTGAAACTTCGTGCTTTGCGCGCAGTAAGAGCGTTGATGCAAGTTGCGGTGCCGCAAATTTCTTCGAGTCCTTTTCTGCCTCCTACTTCTTTGCCTGCTGGTCAAACAACGGCGACTGCAGCCGCTGCGAGGACATTCGAGTCTTCTATTAAGGTTCGAATTTGTAACTCATCTCCACAGACTAGCTGGTGGGTCGGTTTCCCTCTTAGATTCTGAGAATATTAAGGAAAGCTAGCCGGTTAGTTTCCCTCGTTTTTCTCCCTTCAAGACTGAGGTAAGAAATAATGAATCATTGCGAGCTCTAATAAATCTTCCACTACGCCTTCGAATATGGTGCTTCTGCAACGCATGTTAGAAGATGGAGTCGAAAAGGCTCCACCCACAACAAGCTCGCCTCCCCGAGAACGATCCTCAGGAGCATCACTGCGAAAGGCCAGCGAAGACAGCGCTGGAACCTCTTCTGCATGGGGGTCGCCTACGTTATCTGCCTCTCCAACGAAGACGGTGTTGGAGTCTCCTACGCTGTCTGCCTCTCCTATTAAGGGTTGAAGCATTTCTATTTCATTTTTTCAAGTCTTCTTTACTTGAGCGCGCAGCGGATAAGGGGGAAGGAAGGCACTGGATGATGCCATTGATCAAGAAGAAATGAAAGGTTCCAACCACCTCTAATCCTCGAAGCCTGCCTGAAGCAGACTTTGTGCTAGAGCCACAGTTTGTTGTGACGGATGTAAGACCTTTCGGAAGCTTCGCAAATGGCGTCGATACTGGCGAATCCGACGTAGATGTCTCTGTCATGGTCAGAGCTAACTTATGAGCGATGGCGCACTATGAAGTGTATTAACACTTTCGCTTTGTTTTGATATTTTACATCGAGTAGATCATGATGATAATGATGGTGATGGTGATAGATTGATGTCGCCACCTTTGTGCTTGCAAGGTGTGCATGAATGTTGTGCAGCTGCAATCTCTTTTCAAGAAGAATCAATAGGTCTCATCCCAATAATATCCACCTCGCTAAAAGTTGCAGAGACCAACAGCAATTCTACCGCATCATGTGGGAGAAAGCGGCTCAACGTCACCACCTACCAAGAGGGTTGGAAGGAGTCGGCGAGCAGTTGTCCGGTAGAAGTAGATACTCGACATTTGCTACCCAGCGTGGCTGCCGCGCTCTTTGGCTACGTTCACTACTCTGCTTCTTACTCTGGTGGGAACGATGACCGCATTAAGGCTTTCCTAGTCTTCAACAGAGAGCACTTTTTTGACAAGAAACAATACTTGACAAGGACAGAACTTGCTTATCTGGAACTTTACATCAAAGTGACATACCACATCAACGTTATTTTGATCATGATAGGTAAGTATATTTAATATACAGACATATTTATTATTTTTCTAATTTCCTATTCCTGTCAATATATCTATATTCTTCTAATTTCCTGTCAAGAATGACGATTTCCGCGTCTTCCGGTAGCGTGCTTTCGGGTGAGAGAGGTGACGCAGGTGGTCACGAGCATTTTCAACCGTGGTTTACCTGGGCCCGGTTTCCCGGAGTCGAGGGTGAGTGGCGGATGCGTCGTGGATGCGAGGGTGGTGTGTTAAGGCTCGTGCGTTAGATTCTGATATTCGCGTCGGCGTGTCGTTAGCTTAGAAGACATGAAGAGGGTGCATCTTTGAGGTGCTTTCAAGTTCAAGGGGAACATGATTAGCTTAGAGATGCGCTCCAAGATGAATGTCGGTAAGGTCTAAGTGTAGGAGCAAGAGTTCCCGTTTTGTCTCTGGAGTGGCGACCAATTCAAACTAGTGCCACTGCTAGTGGTCGTGGTGGTGGTGCATCTTCTCTAGATCATTCTACGGTCTCCTCGATGGGTTGCAGCATTCTCGACGCTGCCTGTCGGAATTTTTCTTCGTCACAGGAGGAAGGTCTAGGGGAAGACGAGTTGCATGGAGGTGGTCCAGTTCTATTGGATGTGACTGTAAACAATCAGAATGCACTTCGGAATACTGACGTAATTCGACTTTTCACGGATCGGAGCACGTTTGTCAAGGAGTTCTTTCTTCTGGTCAAGATCATGCTGAAGATTAAGTCTCAAAATAATTCATTCACTCCAAGCGTCATTTATTCGTTTTCTTTCCTTCTTGGGATATTGAGAAATGAGCGAAAGAAATGACTTACTTTGAGCTCTAAGAATGGAGCGGGAGTCGTTGGAGCAAGGCAGGGGTGGCTAAGCAGTTACGGCTGGGCACTTGTCACTTTGCACTTTTTGCAAATGTTGGGGGTGTCGCCAGTTTTGCCTCCGGAATCCGCGACGAGTGACGCCAAAACGTCAGACGAGTACGATGCTTCAACGGCTACAGCAGTTCTTGGTCACGTAGAAGAACCCTTTGCACCTCATTGGACCTTTGCGTCTGTACGTGAGGAACTACCGGAGCTTGCTCGCGTTGCTACGGGTACAGAGCAGAGGCAGGAGACGAGAGATCCAACAACTTCACTGGGATCGCGAAATCGACATCGACTACTTGGGAGGCTATTCGCCTACTTTGTGGATTATTTAATCCATAACTGGAATGCGTTTTCAGCTCCGGGAGGGCACGTTATCACGGTTCGCGCAGCGGATGAGGGGGAAGGAAGGTACTTGATGATGGGTCAAAGCAATGAAACGCCGGCGCATCCTGGGCACAGATGGATCCGAGCTCTCGAAAGTTTTGGGGCCCTAGCGCCGACCGTAGCAGCCCGCCCCTTAACTGGCAGCGCTTTCCGCTGCCTTTCCGGCAGGTACGCCGGGGGCATAGGTCGCGCCGCTTTATCGCGTCAGTCGCTAGGGCTTAGCAGCTGGCCCCGCGCGCTCCCTTAGCGATGTGCCTGAAAGTACGGCCCCGTCCACTCTCAAAAAAGGTGCCGGGCTTGTGAAAGTCAAGCGCAGCGCGCGGGCGATTCTCTTGCTGAGTGGGCGGCCACTGCGTCGCCTGCTTGGGATTGGGCTTCGTCGGCTGCTGAAGGCCGCTCAGTGGCGTACTGATTAGCTGGCCCCTATCTAATGCAGTGGCAGCGGGCAGGCCAAGCATGCAAGCGCTGCCATTCGGGGGAGCCGGCGGCCCAGGTCTTTGGCTTCTTTGCACCATCAAAGGCAGGCTTAGCTAGTAGCGACGCCGCCAGCGGGGCACGCTCTCGCAAGGGTGGCGGCTTGCCTTGTTTGTGTTGGGTGTAGCTAAGTCACTGTTTGATACCTAGCTATCACAGAGAGAGAGAACACGCAAAGGGGCGCTTTGCTAAGCAGTTTTGAAATGAGCGAACCTCCCAACAAATCCTCAATCTTAACCAAAACATCCATCGTACAGTTTGGCGGGATTGCCACTCCTTGCGAGAGAGCGCCATGTGTGGACAGGAGCAGCGACCGGAAGTGATGCCCCATGCCTCACAGCTTGGCCCCACCGTTTGGGGAATTTGGTTTTGTTATGGCTTCGTTTGTAACATTTTGTTTTTTTTTTTTTACTGTGCAGACCAAGGAGTCACAACTAGATTGATGTTCAACTTCGACTTTAAGGACTAGGGGTTCATTATCCTCCTAGAATAATCCACTACTCCTGTAGTAGACCATATTAAATAATTGGTTGTGCCTTAAATTCTGTGTACTGTGCAGTTTGCAATGGTTTCACACGATGATCTCTATTAGATTTATTTGTCGAGATCCAACGATGGGCCTCATTCATCGAGATCCAACGGTGGGTCCTCTAATTTCTCGAGATCCGACGATGGGTGGTAAACAATGGCTAGCTATCCGTAACAAAGGTGAGCATGGTCATACGTTGGAGGAGTTCGCTCAAAAAGTACAACATTAAGCTCATTAAAGGTGTTTCTGTTACCGTCTGTAATGTCTCTCCTAACCAGGGGGACAGGCATAACAAACGGGATACAGAAACACCAAAACCCTGCCTCGAACAAAACGCTTTCGCGGAACTTGCGCTTTTGTAGGGCCATGGAGCAAGTCTTTGGGGTCTTTCATGAGAATGAGTAGGAGGATCCTCCGCATCGAATATCAAGTAGCACGATGAATAGAAAGCCCCTCGAGATGAATATGAGGTGATGATTTGTTTTTACGAAGACAACTAAGCCTTATGTTCTATTTCCAGTGCATAAAATACAGATAGTTTGTTCTTTGGGACACATTTGATGACTCTTGTAACTAGACGATGAATTCGAGTTTGCAATCCCATGTGCATCGATCAGATTCAAGTTCAGGACATAAAAAAGACGCAGTAGATGTAGGAAGTTGCACTTGTAACTAAAGAATATGGAGACAGATCTACTTCATAATTGAGCGTCAGAAATACGGAGTTGGCGCTGAATACTGTAATACTGCGAAAGAAATTTTGAAGGAGATTGATTATCTCTGTCAAATGGAGGACTCTTTACATGACGATCTTGTATTACATTCATGAAATAAAGAACTTTACAAGTTGGACATGATTTAACACAGGAACAGAATGAAGAGAAATTTATTGCAAGGAAGTGCACTCATGTACTCTGAAGGAAGTTTCTTGTACTCTGAAGGCCTACATGATTATTGATTTTCAATTTTGTTGTAGACTGATAAATGATGACTCCTTGCAGCTTATGAGGTATAAGTACGTAGTCGTGTCTTTTTTGTTCTTTCGTGGTTGACCACTGAGATTATAGCTTCTTTTGCTTACAATGAAAAACATGTCTTCTTTCTATTCAACTCTGTGCAGAAGAAAGATATTACTACTTAATATAGTGGCCACGAGTGGCCATATTATCAGGGGCACTCACATGACGTCAATGGAGAATTATCATTGTGAGGAGCCATGTTTGAGAATACAGAAGAAGTATGAACTAAAAATCCATTTCTGCAGATACATTTTTGACGTTAAAGTTTACGGTGAACAACAAACAGAAACATAAACAGGAATCAGCAAGGCTAATGAATGCCTTGATAAGTTATGAAGTATCGCGACTTTGGGAGATCACTCCTGAATCTTAAGAGCCAGCTTCGCGGAAGCGTCATTGTGCATCCGCAAGTGGCGACTGAAGGAAGCCACGACCTGAGAGGATCTCTACCTTTCCCTAAGCCCTAGCCCTAAGCCCTAGGCCCTACCCTTCCTCACACCAAAATATAAGAGAGAGTTGGCAGATCGAAAATTGAGATACCTGTTGCGTTATTAACATGTCTTATCCCAATACAAAAAATCAGTAGGTGTTTAGAACTCTCCTGTTGATACTTCCCCTGAAAAAAAAACAGCCGTCAACATTGAGTCTTATGTTTCAAGTCTTACAAAAAAACAAAAGCTGACTCAAGAGACCATCCAACAGACGTGGTCTAAGCGAGTTCAAAAATACCATGGCTGTTGCTTTCATGCACTAGTTCGTCCACCTGTCCCTCTTTACATGGATCCTCTCCTATCTTATCCTAGTAGTTATTACTAGAAGCATTCTGGATTGCTAAGGTCGATGACACCTTCCGCTCAAAATTCATAGCATAGCAGATGCAAAATGAACGCACTACCGACTAAGGAGAAGGACGGTGGACGAAGTCTGCTGGCTGGCGTCTCAACCGTCCCACCTGCAAGTCGCGATCGATTCGTTGCAGGCATTAAGGCATCGACAAAAACTAGTTCATCTTGGGGAGCATCTTTATCACCTTGGGCATTTTTTTTTCAAGGGAAAAAGGTAGGAATATTTTCATCTTCGGATTCCGGATCTTTTCCATGGGACATCAAGGACTCCATGGTATCCTGAAGGTGACCTTACTAGGCAGAGTCTAATGGCAGCGTCGTTTGCTTTTTTTTTCCGGCTCGCCTCACCGTCTTCGTCAACGCAGTCTTCACGTTGATTTTCGGGATCATACTGTTGTACGGCAGACAGTCCCTGCATCTGCACTGGTTCGGAGGTGGGTATACCCATGCAACCAGCACGCTTTTAGGCTTGGCAGACTTCCTAGGGATAATTTTGGGCGGTTTCGGCGTTAGCGCTGCGTGGAAGAATCGTGGAAATTACCATTTCGCCTTCCTGCTCTACGGTTTTTATCGGACCGTGAATCTGGCAGCATGCTTCGTTTTGGATTATACCATGATCACGACGTGCGAGCTTTGGCTTTCGGATATCAAAGGCCAGACAGAGACGCATGGATTTAGCCATACAATGTACCATTAGACCTAAAAATACTTGGCAGAGGCAACTACACGGGGATTTAGCTGGCATACAATAACAATGTTGCACTTTCTTATACGCCTGTCGTGAGAAAGTAAGAGCATACTACACAAAAAACTTCGACTCCACTGAAGGTTCCGCATGGCTTTCGAGGGTCATTGCGCAGACGAAAGAAGAGATTACTTCCTGACCTCTTATTCCTTGTTTTTTCTCTACGGTTACCTTTTCTACGTCTCTTGGAAGTATCACAGGGAATTGGCGGAAAGGCCAAAATACCTCTTTTCCAAGCCACCAGATGATTTGGCGTACTACACAACTGAGGGAGGGGCGGCACAAGTGTGACCCACACGTGACCAGATGATATGAATCTAGTGCTTGTTGTGAGGTTTTTGACACTCACTTACTCGTAGTGGCAGTTGTGATATTCTTTTTCTTGTTTTTTCCGATATGATTCATGAGCAGTGCTACCAAGAATGTATGTCCGCAGCATTTAGTATTATTTCCGATTATGATCTCCGTTGGAGACTGGGCGGTGGCCTTTTTTCTGTAGAACGGATCATATGGAGGATCGGCAATTACGGAAATTCATTTGTAGCGACGCAAGGAGAGGACGTGAAAATGTAAATGAGAGCGACGCAAGGAGAGGACGAGGTTTGTGAGGTGCAGAGAACAACAGCAGGTATATACTGGCTGAGTACATCAATCGGTACTGCTCCTAGGTATCTTTAAAAATATCTGCAATGACTTACACATGAGAGAGAGTACTAGAAGAAAACAGTCTACCAAAGAAAGTATGCTAGAATGAAGAAATTGTGCTTTTTTAGATAGCCATCCAAGATGAGTTCGGCCACTCTAGACCCTTATTCTGCTCTCTTAGAGCAGACGGTGCAGGAGTTGAAGTCGCAGAGGAGGGATCGATCGGTATCGTTGCGTTCCTTACGCGCACTGTACCAAGCCAGCATCCGTGCGTCTGGTCGAGGTGAATCATCGCATCGCAGAGGCGAGCCGTCGAACCTTGCTTCCATTAAGACTAAAAGATAGTAGAAGTTGTTGTACATGTCCATTGTGTCTTTAAAAAGTGATAGCGTAGCTCCTGTTTACACAGGGCTGTGCATGTACTGCGTCTTTAAAAAGTGGCACTATTATTTCGTAGCTTCTTTTTGCGTTTACTCAGTTAGTCCTAGGATATGCTTTTCCCAGTTCTGGGAAAAGTTAAAGAGTCTGGCTGGCGCAAGTTGTCAGGGCAATCCTAGGCACCTTCCCGAGATGAAGTAGACTCAATGCGTCAGAAGTGGAAAAAGACCGAGAAATGGTATTTTTATCAAGGAGTTTGTTCCCCAGTCTGGTATCTCATCCTCATCTACTAATCCAAGAACGCGCTGTGTGAAAGAGCTGTTTGCTTTGCTTTTGTCGCCGTCTTCGGTAAGTTCTTGTTCGCCACGAGCGAGGATTTTGGCTGCAGCCCTGATACGAGAAATAGTATCCGAGCGTCCGGATTGTGTGCGAAGTGCGTTATTGGAGAACCTAAACTTGCAGCAGGAAAAGAATGTGGGACCGGCGTCGCCATTTAAGACCGCTCATAGTAACTTAGTTGTATATCAATTCATTTTTTTTTCTGCGGTTTATCCTAGTACTTATTCTTCCTCGGAGGAACAGGATCTGACAAGATGAAGCTAGAACATGAATTCATGGGTTTTTATGGGATTAAGCAATATGAGAATCGGTGATGTTGCTCTCTAAGCCATCTGAATTGCTATTGCGATTTGCCAACTTTGCGCAGGGTAGACGCAGTAACAAAGTGGACCTGGTCTCGCCAGCTACTATACAGAATGGTTATGGCGGCAGCTAGGCAGCGTGTCTGATTGATAGATTCTCAAGAGACAGGATCATCCTTGCTTAGGTCTTTTGCTTGCACCTTGTATACCCTTTACCTAACCTTACCTTTTTTTTCCTAGTTAGCTTGGCTCCACCCGTATATTAATAAAGAAAAATATATAACGATGGTAAGCAGAATGATATCTCTATCAAGGATGCGAAAGCGCAATAAAAATTCGGTAGAAGTACACTCTAAATTCAAGCGCTTGTTCGGAGCAGCACAACTTCTAGTACAACCAGTGCGATGAATCACTGTGCCGCTCCTTCGGTATTAGCCGCATCTACCTCCGAGTATTTCCTGAAGATGGCCCTTTTAGAACTCGCAGACCCCGTCGGTGCCATCATTGATGATCATGTAAATTCTGGAGTTGTTACAACTGGAACAGCAATCCACCACAACTCCACGATTAAGGCTTAAATATGAATATTCTATTCTAAATCTTCTTCTTCTGAAGCACCTTGGAGCTGTCCCGTATCAGGGGAAAACATCTCCGAGATGAATCTCAAGAGAGACTTGGACCAAGCTCTATCTAAAACTACAACTTCTCAGTATCGATGTGGAGTCGGTCTGGTCCAGTTGTGTGGACGGGGTGGAACTTCTTCATCTGGTTCAGTAGACCGCAATGTCGATAGAGGTGCTCTGCAACAAAGGTATCAAGACCTTTTTGTGCTTTTACCCACCGGTGACTTATGTCGAGATGCGAACTTGGAAAATGTGTTAGGTTGGATTCTAGGATTTAATGGCGGACGATCCAACTCTGCCTCTGTAGGGCGGAAGACACAGCAAGCACGCTTGCTCTTACGCACTAGCATCGCAGTATTGGAAAAACGGAGAAAAGACACAGAACGCGAAGACCCAACTGGGAATAGGAATGCTTATGATTTCGATTTTGAGACTCTTGTCAGCATGGAATACATAGAAATTGAAGTGTTTAGCATCTGAGGAGATGTTGTCAGCTGTGTTTATCATTTTTTTGAATTTTCATTTTTCATTCAGAGAGGAGAAAACCGAATAGACAAAAGCGCTTCTTCTTTGAGGCTTGATTACCCCTTTGGTTTTCAGACTCTTAAGAGTATGACTCTATTACTCCTGATTCTTCTATTAACTCAGTATTCTTCTATTGCTCATCTCCGCTATAATGCACTGCTGTGGCAGGATCATTTGCCTTCGGTGGACGATACCCGCTCCTTGCTGTTCCAACGTCCCCAGCGCACCTCTCCAGGCTCGATCAGAAAGTCAGCGAGCAGTGCTATTGAGACGACGGGAAGTTATGACACGCGATATGAGGATACTGACAATGATGACTAACTAACTAACTAACTAACTAACTAACTAACTAACTAACTAACTAACTAACTAACTAACTACCTAACTAATTGGTGATTGAAGTGACATTTACAGAACAAGAAGTGCAATCCAATGATGTGAATCCAATTATGTGAATTCATCATGGATCGAACATAGGAAGCCCTTGTGGTCCCTCATCATACTTTTTATATATGTTCATCGTTTTCATCATTCATGAGGATCACGATCATCATTCACGATCCATCCCTACTTCTAAAACGCGTCCTCCAGCGCAAGCATGACATCGCCACTCGAGCCTGGTTCGAGTCGCTGCTATCTCGACAAGTTCTGCGTCGAATGTCCTTTGCCCTCAGTAGCCGAGCTAGTATCGTCCATGGATTCCGTGACGATATCACTGCGACTACATGCTCTCTCCGCTCTAGTCCAGCACTTCTCGCAGCAGAGTGGGAAAAGCCCGGAATTACCGAAAGAAGACCTCTCTTTGCTCGAATGGTCTAGTATAGAAGACGACGCGTTTTCGGAAGAACAAAATGGTCCTTCTGTGGAAAGTGATAGCACATCTAGAAGTGGTTCGGCGTTGGGAACAACTGGAGCAAAACTACGTGCTGGAGACGATGACCTTCATAAAGAGGATGATGAAGAGCAGGAGGATGACACAAAAAGTACTACATCTTCTAGTAAAACAGATGCGATGTCTGAAGCAAGTACGCGGCCAAGTAGTGCAGGAGGAGTTTCGGATGTAGAAAGTCTGCTCTTTGACGCGATGAGAAAACGCACCACCGCCGATTTGCATCAGCTCGCAGGAAGGAGTGGAATGCTTCGCTGGGGTTGTCTCGCGGAAGCCCCTTCTTCAGCTGAGATCAGGAAGATTTCACAATCGGACTCGGCAGAAAATAGTTCAACCGAAGAGCAGATGACTGGAAAATGGGCTTCGAACCTCCTTCATCATCAAGAGGGAAGGGAGGGAGACAGGGAAAGAAGAGCACGGCACAGGAGTTCTAGAAGCGGACCTCCTGGACCTTTTTCCTTGCGGCCAGTTACGAACGTCGTCGTCGCGGACCCTCGTTCACATACTCCAGACAGTTTTTATGCAGCCTTGATCTCTCCTGTGGAGCAGTTTTTCGCGTATTTACTCCGTGCAGCATCTACGAAAACGAAAAAATTTGCAGGCGCGAAGAAACTCTGGAAACGGCTCTTTTTTAAGGCTAGTTTATCACTATGTATCCAATTTGTAGAATAAATATGCTGCTGTGTGGATTCTTCCTTGATTTAATAAAGGCGCAATAAAGTAGGAAAGAGGGACGAGAACTCACTAAACTAGGCCTAGCGAAAGCCTACCTTTAACATTTCGTCGAGTAGCGAGTATCGTCCTATCACGGAAGTAGACGGTGCCCCAGTGGCGCCTGGCGATCCCTTCACGGCATTGACGCAGGCGATTTGGTACAGCGACGACCAAGTTTTGAACGTCGCTGTGTTCTCCATTCTTTTTAAGGCTATATTAGAAATTGAAACGAGAACGTTCGGATGTGGTTCTTAGCCCCTATTCGCAAGCTAATCTTCTCCGACATCGACCTTTTTTCAAGGCAAAAGAGGCACGCAGATCATGTCCTTGCTCATGTCCTTGCAGATAGATCTATTTCTAATGTGTACTCCTATCTCTACTACGTGTACCATCTGGGACTCACCACAAGGCTGCGGCTCGTCGACGCGGAAATATCTCGAGTACAAATGCCAGGGAGAAGCAGTAAAGGGGGACAACCGCAAAGCGATAGTTGTGTTGTAGACGCTGATAGAGGTGGCTCGACCACAACTTCATCTGCCTATACAAGAACTGACGACTTCGCCACTGCTATGAACAGTAACAACCACAGTTCCTTCGAGCAGAACTATGACTCGCGTCTTGACCTGTATACGATTCATCCCTATTTTCGCGATTCCGTCATCAGCTATTGTTTACGTCTCTTAGCGCAGAGTGAGCGCGATTTCCAAGCGAAACCGGGGACAGGTGCTGCCAAAGGTCCTGAAGATAGTTTTGCACGTTATCTAGCCCACGGCTATGCTCATTGGCAAAGAGAGATGGTCGAAGCGACGGCGATGGAAGCTGTTAGAATTCTTGTTATGGCTACTTGTTCTACTGCTGTTCTACATGTTCTACTCCCCTAATGTTCTACTTGTTTACATGTTCTACTGCTGTAAGTGTAATCGAAACCGATTCATCTCTGAGTGTGTTCTCCAGGACGATTTGGGTTGTTCCAAAAGTCTGTAGCGTTTCGATAGAATTGAAAAGCCACAGGGACATGATGTTCCACCTACGGAGATGGATTTTTAAGGGCGGTTCGTAGCTCTAATCTTGACCTGTTGTGCATTACGGATCCCTCACTCGTCTCCCAGATCTTTCCAGCGATCAAACGAGTGTACGATCGTCGTGTCTTCTCAGGTGGCATCCCTGGCATGACCCCTGGCAGTGGAGGACCTGCGGGAGGTGGCTCAGGAGCAGGTGGGTCGAAAAATGCCGGTCATGGAGGTAGATCCGGAGCGGGAGGAAATGGTGGAGCAGGTGTTGGAACAAGCCATGGGGGAAACACTGTTAAGGCTACCGCGGCTGGTAAAGAACAATCCTATTGATTCATATTCTCGTACTTCAGGATGATCCCTGGCGCTTTTTCTACCTGAAAAAGAAGGATATCGATATGACTCTGAAGGAAGATGCGAACACGCGGTAGAGGCTTTAAGCATGGCGGCAATAGCAGTGGTGCTTCGAAATACTGCAGTCCACGGGAATTGCAGCTGTTTTGCGCTGTGTTGCAGTTTTTCTTGAATCACGGACACCACGTCATTTTCGATACGGAACCAGTCTTGCACCATTTCTTCCTCTGTCTAGCAGCCAACCCTTCTCCACCGTTAGCGGCGCTGAACACAGTGCTTTTCCTGATCCAGAACCGTGAAACTTTGCTGAAGCAAACCAACGTGTTTGCACGCTACTTCCCGGTCATCCTAAAACTTGTCGTGTTTCATCCACGCATCGTGGCGCAAGAAGTCCTCTCGCTCTTGCCTGCGATGGCAAATCCAAGTTCCATGGCTGCCTTGTTTCATCAAATTTTAGACCTCCCACTCACTGCAGCCTTTGTTGGAGACGAGTTTCTCTCAAATCTTGACGCTTTTGCCCATTTTTTCTCGTCCCCCGTAACTGCTACGACTCCCGTGGGTGCTGGGGACAACAACAACAACAACTTGTTAGCACCTGGAAGCTCATCTTCTAGTACTGCGACTGGTAATTCTGCTTCCAGTTTCAATCGCAACACAGGAGGGGCAGGACGCAATAGCAGCAGCAGGATTAATATGTAAGGCTAGTTAAACGTCCCTATCTGGCGTGAGGTATGCTGGGCGACGTTTCCCTTAATTCAAAGGGGACACCAAGGGGAAGGGAAGCAGCTCACTCAACCACAGATCGTGACTTGCTGACGTTAAAATGTAAACGACAGTAGTACTCCTGCAACAGGAGCAGCAGCTTCTCAGCTGGGAAGAGCAACAGCAGTTATTCCTGGGACAAGTGCAGCAATATCATTGCAGCAAAACACCATTGCAGGTGGATCCCCTTCCGGTCGTGGCTCTGCGTCTGGTTCATCTGTCGTGCCTTCTCGCGATAGTGTAGAAAGGCTGCATACGAGTCTAGAGCATGGTGAAGCCACGTCACCTTTCAAAGCGAGCGCTCCGATAGGTACGCGAACAGCCTCGCTGACAACAGCTTCGTCAACTAGTAGGATTAAGGCTACCGCTGAAGCATCCTCAGCACCATCCTCGGCCTCTTTTTCAAGGGGGAAAAGGGCCCAGGGATGGGCATTGGGATGCGACGCGGTAGCTCTAATAGAAGTAGGCCTTCGTATGGTAATCATGTTACAGGTGGATCATCAATGACACATCCTCCTGTATCCACCTCTTCAGAAGGATACAACCCAGGAGCACCTAAGAAGAAAAAGAGTATGTCGACAAATTTTATGCTGTTAAAGCGAGTGCAGCGCTACGTCCTCAGAAATCAGTCGACCACGGATTTCATCTGGCAGTATGACGATCATTTGAACCCGAACAACAGTGGTGCGACTTCTACTAGTAATGCCTCCTTTAGTGAAGTAGATCGACAATCCAGGTGGAACAACACGATTAATGGGGGTGCTTCAGTTGTATCATCCTCTAGTGGTGTAGGGAGTGTCTCCTCTGGTAGAAATCTTGGCAGTAGCAGGGTATCTTCAGCAAGCGCTACTAGGAATTCTGCTGGTGCCCGCGCTGGTCGTTCATCTGCCTCCTCGTCACTGAGTCGGGAACAGCAACTGTTTTTGCAGGAACGTGATGGCTTTTTGTTATGGTCCACTTTTATTCATCTTCGCAGTATCTTGGTAGTGGTAAGTACGCCTTTCCAGGCTAGGGAACAGGTTAAGGTGCCAAGATGAGGTGCCCGAGATGAAATCAAGCCTACTCTAATTCTGGACTATTTGTGGCAGTTGCTTCCTATCACCCCTCGAGTTAGTGGCATATGCAAGCTGGTGCCAAAATGTCTCCGCATGTTCTTTGAAGTCGTCCTAGAACACGGGAGTATCGAAAGCATCCAGAATCTGGTGCCCCTCTTGCTCCAGCGCTTCGCGACCGCTCTCTGTCCTGTCGATTTTTTCCAGACATCGATACACGACTTGATCATTGTTATGGAAAACGGGCATTGATTTTCAAAATGACTTTGACCACTAAGTAGATGATAGAGGAGGTGCTTGTTGTGCTAATATACATGCTCATGATGCGTTGTAGCATGACCTTTTGATGCTCTTTAGGAAGAAGTAATTGCGATCGTTACACGAAGAAGCGAAGATCTTCATGTGTTTTATCCATAGTACTAAGTATTCTGGAAGGAAAGCCAGACTTATCAGCTACAAGCTATGTCGCTCTAACACGTACAATCTGCAGAAGATTTTCTGGAAGTACCCTTTTTTCGTTTCCTCCCTAGCACCGGAAATCGTCCGCACGTTGAGAGCAGGTCGTCGCGCTTTCGCCTTACATTTCGACCATGCACCGCATCCGCATATGCTCAACTATTCTTCCGATACGACAGGGACAGGACTTGCAGGAGGTGGAGGCGTGGGTGGGACATCAAAGTCACAGAATTACAGTTCTTTTGGAGGTTCTAGGTCTTCCTCTGGTTTGAATTACGAATCATCATCTTCTAGTCGAAACGAGTCGAGACTCCACTCACCAGCACGGTCCGGCTTCGAGGGGGCTGAGCGTTCTTCACCAAGCCTACTACAGACCTCATTCGATAGTGGAGCAGGAGACTTTAGTGGCGAATTTAGTGCATCGGCGGGTGGTCCTGGTCAGTCACCATATGGCAGGAGTGTAGGCTTTCATTGGAGTAGTTCTAATATGAAACTGAAAGGTATCTCCATTGACACCAGGTGCAACAGCTTGGAAGTACATTTGACAACTGTCCTCCATCCGAATACGTGCGTATACTACTTTGAGATGATTATAGATCACATCCATCCGAATACGTGCGTACTACTTTGAGATGATTATAGATCACACTTATGAGATCTAAAACCGTTCTAGGAGAAACAGCGGCCATCTCAACCCAATGGATTACGGTGTAGTGCGACGCCTATTCCCTGGCGCGCCACGCGAGTTGGTGCCTTGGTATCTCCTAGGCGAAAACGACCCGATTTTGAAGCAACAGGCGAGCATGTATTTGAAATTAGTCCTCCACCTCTGCTGGCTTATGGGTGAACTTCTGGAGCGAACTTCAGAGCAAGATGACGTTAAGGCTACCGCTAGCGCATCCTCAACACCCTCCTTGGCTTCTTTTTCAAGGGGAAAATAACTGCCCAAGGATATGGCTCGTAAAGACGATGCGACCTGGTAGCTCTAATGACGTCACCAAAGTTCGAACTACCGCAGAGCAAGGTGACGTCACCTTCGGGGTGTCAACGAGTGCGTCAAACGACCTTGATAAATGCACTTCGACGTCTTCTCACGACATCCATGATCATCAGCGTCAATATAAGTCATCTTTGGTGAACAAGAACAACGATGAAATATTCGACGCTCTGATCCACTTCTTCGTTTCGGGATCTATGCGGATGGAACTGTACCTGTACGGCTTCGTCGACAGCATCTTCGACTACCAGAGCTTAGATTCCACACTTGGAGGAGGAGATGGCACTACTACTACTACGGTGTCAAGAACAATTGTTAAGGCTCAGCTTTCATCTGAAATCGAAGAGGTTGGCCACTGAAATCGAAGAGGAGACCCCCTGAGAGAACAGGGGAAAACAAGGGGTTTAGGGGGGAGGCATTTCTCTTTCAGAATCAGTGACCACTGACTGCTGACCTTTAAAACATGTGCTGGCGCAACAACGAATATGGGCAGCTATTCAGCATCAGGATCCGGCGCAGCATCCTCTTCAACAGGCAGCTTCCTCAACCATTCAGGAGTATCCTCCTCGTCTGCCTCCATGAGAAGTGGTGACAACTTCTTCCATGATGTTGAGCAAAAACCGGTATTTGCTTCTCCCAATAGAGGAACATCTTCAAGATCAGTAGGGACGAATGAAGCTGATTCATCATTCGACCAAAAAAATAGTGCTTCATTCAATCGACGTCGAGAATATGAGGAGGAAATGGTGCAAATGGATTTCAACGTAACGGGTTGGCAAACCGATGTTAAGGCTACCGCTGAAGCATGTCCATAACCCTATAGTCCTTGGATCTTCTTTCTCTAGACTTGAAAAAGAAGCCTCTTCTAAGGATACTATCACTCTCAAAGAGGAGGATGCGAACGCGGTAGCTCTAATGATGTCGCAGATCTGCAGAGTTTAGTCCGCTCCCTGGCGATACTGATTAGTTCCTTGACGAAAATAGCTGTGGCCACCAACGAACGCACGCCGCGGGTTATTAGATGTCTTTCGAAATTGAGACACCTCCTGGACCAGCGATTACAGCGACTACAACGACCGCGGTCCGAGGAAGGCGAGGCCTTGTTGTCACACTTAGATTATGGCTCGTCCTGGTTGAAGACACTGAGTTATCCTTATTAGTTGGCCCGAGGACATCAAAAAGTACAACTAGGACAACTTAAACCTTACACATATATATGTTTACTAGTTGGAATAAAGAATCAAGAAGATCAACATCTTGGTTTCTTGGCTTTGAAACCACATTCATAGAAGGACGGCAACTCTAAAAGGACATTAACTCTAGAAGTGCAGAAGTATTGCTACTACGTACTAATCTCTCTGCTACGTTGTATGTGCCAGGAATGGGGACACTCACACGTTCTGTAGAAATGAAAGTACTGCAGCAGAAGTATTGCTACTGCAGCCCCTCTCTAACCCGAAGGTCGGTTAAAAGATGCTCTGCGGTTGCTGCAAAAGACTCCGGCTCTTGGTGCGGTGTTATATTCGAACGTTCATCCTCCGCTGAATCTACCCCACACTTCTCACGGGCATTTGCATGTGCCTGGACCAAGTTTGCATGTCTTTCAGATCTAGCCTGGACCGGACCAAGTAGTTTTTTTTTGCGTTTCCGGTATGGCTGTCGCCTCATGGGAGCAAACTGGATACGCCGACCCTACTGATGCACACAGCATGATGATCATACATAGGGCTAATATTAGGACCATGTATAATATTACACTTGTCCTCAAGCAACAAATTGTCAAAGTTGTGAACACATTTTTTTTGCTTTTTGAAGATGACGGTATCACGCTCGATGTAGGAGTAGATCATAGATGAGACACTGTATTTTGTAGGATTAGATGTAGTAGATGATGAGATACTCGATGTAGGTATAAGTGTAGACTATGTCATACTAGCGAGATGTTGATGATGTGATACTGGCAAGATGTTTATAGATTTAGACGATGAGCATGAGGTGCTAGGGAGTTTTTCAATGGGATTGCGTTTTCCTGGGAGTAGACAGACGTGGATGTCATTCCATCTCAGGCCTATGCTCGGACGGAGAGAGAGCTTAGGCTTAATACCTAAACCAAAGAAAAAGGAAATCGTCATGCAACAGAGCAAAGAAATGAGTTTTTGCGACTGAAAAAACCTCGAACCGAAAGAAAAGGTGTAGCGAACCCTGAAAGACAATCCACAACCTTAGGATCGCTCCTGCAGAACGAGATTTACTGACATTTTTTTTTCCGTGCTGCGTATCTGGTCTCTACGTACCATATTTTGAAGTTATTTCATTCATGGTTGTGAGATAAGTACTTCGAATCATTATGTGAGATAAGAAGAACGTACATAATTACTTCGAATCAATACGAAATCAAACCATATCTTAGCGAGTAGAGTCCACCGCGACACCGAGAAAGGGACTTCCTGAGACCAGGACTCCGAGACATACACTATGGCAGCAACGCAGCAGGGGTCGAGTCCGCACTTGAAAATTCTTTTCGTCGGCCCAGAAGGAGTAGGGAAAACATGGCTTGTGAATACACTTTGTGATTACGGCTAAGTCGTTTTGACTCATGGCTTCTGAATACACTCTGTGATTAAGGCTAACTCAACTTTACTCATTGATTGAACTTTATGAAGAAATAGCGGGTAGTGCGTGGTACTCATTCATGCTGATGCTCGCAGAGGATCAGGATGCTAAACCATCACCCACCTTTGATTTCTTGCATGCGGAAAGTATGCAGCTAGTGGTCTCATCGAGTTTAGGAATTACTCAGCTTTAACAGTATATATAAAGCTCTAATCCCAACACCACTCTTCCTACTGTCCGCCAACAGTCGGAGTCAGAATATTAGAGTACGACGACAGTGCAGCCCACCAAGGGAAGAGCTACGACGACTCTGTCCAGCTGTGGGATTGCTCAGGCGCACAAACTTGGGAAAATTGTTTCCCAGCATTAGCAAAAGACGTTGGAGGAGTAGTGTATGTTTACAATTAAGGCATTTAAGAAAATGTAGATGTAGATCATCTCAACATGGGTGTGATACGTTCAACGTATCGGTTCGGCGTGATTTGAATTCAATGTGGAAGAGGACCACTGACCATGTTTGGAAAGATTGACTAGGCGACTCGACTAGGCGAGGACCATCATGTATGATGTTTGTCCCGTGCCCCATCACCTGCGGAGTCGAGCAGGTGCCGGGGGTGCTCGATGTGCAGGATTCACAACTTAACCTAACCACTTTATACAGATTTACTAGGTCCTTCTAATCTCCTCCCGAGCTACCGGAACAAACAGACGCTCTCGAGTACTGGTACGATCGCTTTGGCCCACGGTCACTCGGGCTCCCGCCACAATCATTCATGATATGTCAGGTACTTTACGCTTCCTCTTACCATCCTTTCGAATCTTTTCAGGAACTGCTTCGTCTTGACAATGGTTAAGAGTGACCATTTGAGACGCAATGATGATGATGATGATGATGATACATGGACCACGACTCTTGATAAGTATGATTACATAGATGGCCCACTGATGATACATGGACCACGACTCTTGATAGGTATAATTACATAGATGGCCCACTCTCTATAGCTTGTGTCAACAACTAAACCATTTTTTTCGATATTCATTAGAAGTCGAAGTTTTTTAATCTCTTCTGTGCAATGGTTATTTTGACAAATTTAGATTAGCAAGGCCTTTTTTCTTTAGACCTAGAGGTCCTCACATCACCTCCCAGATGTTAAAAAGCAATCAAATGCGGGATTACGTAGTTCCAACGAAGATTAGCTTTGCCAGTATCCAACAGCCTCTAACAATGACGTGGGAGAATGCAGCAGCAAAGGTAATGCTTCTTTTATTTTGGATTTTTTTCAATTAAGTGTACGTATCAATCTGCTTCTACGATTTGCACAAATCCATCCTGTGGATATAAGACGTTATGTTCAGATTTACTACTTTTTGGTACACTTATCCTGATATACATAGACGTTTTCAGATTTACTTAGTACTTTTTGGTACTCACTCTTCTTACCAAAACATCCTCGAAACATCAATGATACCGCCACGACAGATGAAGCCAGCGTTCGACAAGTATCTGGGGAAAGTGTATAAAACTGTGCAGGAAAGACAGCGCCAGGAGGAAGAGGACGTGATGAAGATGTAGCCTCTGATTATCGCACACTGTGACTAGCTGGTGCACTTTAGCGTATTAATCCACTCTGACCCTGACTCTGCTGCATCCTGTCTGACTCTCCTACATCCTGACTCCCTGACCCTGTGCTACTCCAGTGCACCATTAATGAATGTGGCACGACTCTTCTCGCGACTCAGGAAGCGATACAGTGACGTGTCTGGTATGTTTGCTGGGTTTTGTGTCTTGGATTTGAAAATCGGTCGGAGTAATCAAGTCCTTTGTTATTATTCGGAAAAGCTTCTGGCCCGTTTTAGGATTGTCATCAGCAAGACAGGAAAAGAGGGTGAACATCGGTCGGTTGATATAAGCCACATCTTTTGGAAAAGACGGATCGCTCCCCTTGCCTACACGACCCCCGGACCTCCTAAACTCCTGAACACCAATTTTCTTCACCAGTCTATTCATCTAAATTCAACATCTTGATTTTCAATAACAATATTCCGCAACAATCATTTATAGGACAGTGAAAAGTACACAACCCATCTGGAACGAAGTTGTGTTTCCCACTGACAAACAGAAAAGTAGTTGTGCATAGTTTCTCCCCCCAGAGGCGTGTTTCCTCCCCTGTGGAGGTCCTCTCCTCCTCCCTAACTTTCTAGAAGATCTGCTCCCTGGCTAACTAAAGGGTGGTTAGTAAGATACTACTAGGTATTAACACCTCCCTTCCGAAGGGGTGGTCAACATCAAGGTCCTAGTACTGCTAGGTATTAACGTATTTATACTAGTACAACTTGAACAGTTGTACTAGCAAAGTAAAGTGGAAAGAAGATGCCGTTCAATATGGAGGCCCTCGAGGGCAAGCGGGCAGAGATCCTTGCCGCTTCGCTCGAGAACGCAAACGAGATGAAATTCGGTTACTTCGGATTCACCGCACCACTAGCAGTCGGTGATAACAGCCAAGCGCCAAGAACGAAGAAGGTACTGTCATGTTTGTATTGTTCTTCTATTTAGAAGGTACAACAACATGACTGAATGACCTCACATCCACTTTGACCTAACGTGGTAAGCGAGGGCACACGACCTGACATAACTTGGATTTGCAAGTTGTAATTATCAAGCGCCAGTAAAAGCAAGGTAAAAAGTAGAAGATCTATCGTTTTCTTTGTTGTGGTATTTAGCCGTTGTGACGGCAAAGACACTTTTCATGAAAGCACCAGTAAAAGCAAGGTCTAAAAAGTAAAAGACACTTTCCATCAGACTTTTGCTTGTTCAATCCAAATGACTATGACATACTTGTTTTCACTTCTAACATACACCCTCCTCCATACATTCACTCTCTCCAGATGTCCGAAGAAGAGCTAATAGAGCGAACTAAGCCGAATATAGTAACAAATCCGGGAAAGAAGGGTATGACCCTGGACACCATGTTCGAGTTTATCCAGCCAATCTGCATAGGAGACCCCTATCAGGTGAGAGCAGGAGCAGTGAAAAGAGACGGTGGAAAACAGTATGCCGAAGAACCGTTTAGACCACCAGGTACTGATAAATCACAGTATGGTGCAGATGAAGATCCTACCCTATTCTATCTTTAGACCACCAGGTAAAAATATATATAAAAAAGATGTTATAATGTTTAGGTTTGGTGGTCCTCATCCTCGTGCATGATCCAGCTATTTTTAGAAGACCCCTAATATGCATGACACGACATAACATGATCTTCTTGAACATCATTATGACGACTAGTGCTTTTATCCTCAACAACTTCAACTCCCCTCAACAACTCGCAGGCGCCGTGAAATTCGGGACATCAGGTGGGGTAGTATGGATGCCATCGGGAGAGCCGAAAGTGACTAGAAGAGAAAAGGTAGCTGAGATTTTGTTGCAATCTTTCATTCAAAATTCCTTTTTTAATTTAGGGTTACGAATGTCTTCTAATGTTTGTAACTTCTACCTCCTCCACACGTAACTACCCCCTTCCCACGTAAGTACAACCTTACCCAGGTCGAGCCCGTGTTGCAGCCAAATATAATGACAACGCCATCGAAGAAAGGTGGTGGCGGTATATTAACTCCAGGAGTGCTTTTTGGTTGGGACGAAGAAAGGAGATTTCCAGAGCATGTGCCGGATGATTATGATATCGCATCCAAACTCCGAAGAGCAGAATTGAAAAAAGAACAAGAAAGGACCACGCATGAACAGGCGTTTAGAGGGTACTTACTACTTATGTACTTCTACTATCAGTACTACTATATAGAGTATAGTTATAATTCCCAGTAGTGCCCAACCAAGACGAACCTTATCTGCTTATGTCTCCTTTAGAAGAAGGTTTAGAGGTTTTTCTAGATTTTCTCTGTAATTATGAGGATGATTTTTGCAGATGACATTGCAAATACGTCGTCTCCGAACATCACATTTTCTCAGGTGCGGCTACGGAAATAAGACCTTTGACGGAAATGAGATTTATTTCTGCGATCAACCTTGGGGACTATTGCGACCGGAAAAAGAGATGGCTACGAAAAAGGTATTGAGTGGATAGTGTGGATGGCTACGAAAAAGGTATCTGTAGAATAGTTTTTTCGACTATCTAAGGTGCACAAGGGTATTGATTGGATTTTTCTTCTTCTCTGCATGCTAATCTTTAGGAGACACATCTTCAATATGACAGCACTTTTATTTACAAACTACAGTTCTACTGCAAATAGTAACACGGACTTATTTTTATAAGAAGTGCCTGGCACCAAACCACGAATCATATTACTTCTATCCTAGCATTTTCAAGCCATCAATCGCTTCCCACTCAGGCGCAACACGAGGCCCCCTTCCGACCACCAGGTGGTATTAAAGATGGCCATGACGCATATATGGGCTACATTGATGACGAGGGAGACAGCAAATCCTTCCCAAAGTGGCGACCAGATCCGGTACCAGCGCCACGTAAAAGGCAACCCGCAGGCGAGGAGAAGGAGAAGGAACCTTGGAAGGTATCTATAGGTCTAGAAGTGTTTTGTTTTTGCTACGATCGGGCTCAGGTTCTTAGTCGAACACAGCCTCTAAAGAAGACGAACAATTGACTAGGAACTGACTACTGCTGATGTCTATACGTTGATACAGTAAGTGACGATCGATCCCCACCATCTTTTCCCCACCATGTCAATACTACCAACAGGTTGGAGCGCCAGTGATAGTGGACACGCCGACACCACCAGTGCAAATGATAGCTAGGAATTTGCGCGCAGAGTTTCCGAAGAGCTTTGCAAGACCGCAACTCTAGTAAAGCTGGAAGGCCGAATCGCTAGGATCACTGCAACTAGTGTTAGATAGATCATTTATAGCTGCAATAAGCTTAGAAATTGACGACGAATTGCGACGAATAGTTACTAACAATTACCGTACTCTTAAGAATTCACCGTATTGAGAATATAGTTGAGAATACCATTACATCATGTGTCTGAAAGAAGTACGAGAGGAACTGGCAGTTATAAGTGTTGTTTCAAGTTCTTCTTGCTGATTTGAGAATATAGTGAAAATTGAATACGTCCGGGTCCGATAATCGTAAGCGCAAGTATTTGTGTTTGTCCGATAATCGTTGAAGTAGTATTTGTCTAACCGATGATTTATGTCTAACCGATGGTGTAAGTGCTGCAAATGAACAATCAGTGAGGAATAATGAACTTATTGGTCTAGTTGTGTAAGGATCAGTAATCATAGGTAGTATATCTTCAAAAATAAACTGTACATATAATTTCCTCTGGTGTTGTAAAAATTCAGTGTTTCTTTGTTGTACATAAGCATGAATGATCTTGCAATAGTACTACTAGGGACTATAATTATTATTCTGTTTTTTATTATGGCATCAATAAGTACTAGAAATCAATACACACAGAAAAGACCCGCTTCAACGTTGGTGCTAGAATCACTGAAGAACCTACAAGACTCAAGTCCTAACTACTGGAAGACGCCTTCATCTTTGAAATCTGAAATCTACTGCAAGACGTCGTCTTTGATAGGACGAGAGTGTATTAAGTAAGTATTTTGGTGAAAGAAAGAGTGTTCGACGAACATGACACGACGACCTCCTGTCTCAGCATTTGACGAGACCGTGACCGACGCGCATGGCTAGTGTGGAGGAAACTCAACGTGCAGGTGAAAGACAGTGCAGGTGAAAGAAGTCGGTATCTGTTCACCCTTGTGTGTCCCGATAATGTACGCAAGACGAGAAAGGTCGATCATTATTGATGATGTTGCAGGCAGCATTGAGTCAATTTATTCCCTTTCATACCCAAGTTTTTCCGATGTTTTTAATTATTCCCCAGCTGGGTTACAACATTATAGCTATCTCTTTCCCCAGCATACTTAAACAATATTTCCTGTTCGATCCATTTTCGATCACAAATTTTTTTTGACATTATCGATCCTAAATTTATTTCCCCGAATCCTTGAATAGTCTGTTTCCCTCGTATGCGGTAAAGGTCTTCCATGTAATGGCACTTGTGTACAGAGAGTGTGAAGAAATAGCAATAAGTGTGTTTTGTAGTCGTCTTAGCTACATTTAACTAAGGAATACACATACATCGATTTCACTTCATATTCTTGTTGTGTTATTTTTCGTGTGAAGAAAGATGTTGGGAGGTCTGCTTGGGTCCAATGCTGCGCAGGGGTGTAACCCTAATGCTGCTCCACAGGGTTCTGCTGTGGTTGCATTCGCCAACGATGTTTCCGGTGTTAACGCAATGGCAGGGCCAGGTGGGGCGTCCTCATCATCCTTTGGGCCTGGTGGTCCCCTTTTCGCTCCTGGTGGTATGTCTGGTGGGCCAGTCGGTCCTTTGGGCGATTCAATGGCGGAGCAATTACGAAAACACACCAGTAAGTAAGGCTTACCTCATATATTCATTTTGAGAGGCATTTTTGACATGCTTTCAAGGGGAAAAGTAGGTCAAAGATGATCTCCAAGGTAGATGAATAACAGGCAGGTCTAATGTAATATGGCAGGAGCAATAAATGGACCAATGCAGACTGCAGATCCATCTTTTTATTCGAATGCAGGAGCAGAAATACCACTACATATGCGTGTAGCTGCAAGTACAGGCGCTGGGCCAATAGCAGGGCCGTCAATGATATCAGCGAGTAGTTCGGCGGGTCCAATGGTCGGAGGGCCTACCTCATCAGGACCTATGGCGACAGGGCCCATAAACACTGCAGGACCGCAAATGATGGGAGGACCAATGTTAAGGCTCAAACTTTCCCACAGAGAGATTAACAACTTATATCTTCTTAACTTATATCTTCCAGATTAGTTCATTTTCCCACAGATTCACTCATCAATCTTCTCACAGATCGATGACTAAAAGACTATTGCTCCTTGCTATCTTGCCTCCTGGAGTCTATTCCGAGGACTTGTTGTACTAGTGACTTACTCAGAAATACCAAGAGATCGTGAACTCAGAGAGGGCCACAGCTCTAAGAATAATGGCTGGCCCGATGATGGGTGGCCCCATGCCAATGATGGGTGCTCAAATGATGATGCAGCAACAGCAGATAAATCAGCAAATGAACATGATGCAGCAGATGAACATGATGCAGCAGCATCAGCAAATGATGATGAACGCTGCGCAGCAAGCCAGCAGCCCATCTTCGACGCAGAATAGGATACCTTATGATTGGGATGGTCAGAATCGAAAAAATCGAGTTCGTTTTCTGGCTCAGGTGGTTCATGGTCACGCCCTTGATTAACGTCACTGCAATGCATGATAGATACGCAATTTGTGACAAAGATTAAATGACTTCTACCGAATATTGAAGACATATATCTTCTAGTCGTGAGGGAGGTTCCACCACTAATATTAAACATCAACACGACTTCGACTACACCCAGCATCCATCTAATTCCCACAAGCCCAAAGCACTAGCGAACCCGTTGCACCAACAGAACGTCTCGCGGGCACGCGCGGTGCTTTTGAAGCTACAGCTGGATCCGCAGACGCAGCAGCGTTTCAGCATTAAGGCTACCGCTGGGGCATCCGCAGCATCGTCCCTGGCTCTTTTTCAACTTGGAGATAATGGAGCCAAGGATGCTGTCAGGGATGCGACCGCGGGAGCTCTAACCGAAGGAGATACAAGAGTTGCAACAAGAACAAAACTTCTCCTCAGCAGAGCAAATGGTCCAGTTTTTGCGGACGAGCGGGAACCCTAAATTCGCCTCCTCGCAGTTTGTCGCTTTCGTCGACAAACTAGCGAAGGGGGACATGAAGTTTTACGGGCAGCTTTTATCCATCTTCCTGAGCATCTCGATACCCTATTCGCGTGAAAAACAAGGGAAAAGGTGCCGAAATGAGAGGACTGATCTTCTGAATAAAAGCAATAACAGGTTTAGCTTTTAAAAGAGAACACGGGTCTAGCTTTTAGTGGTACAAGCTTGACTTGCTGTTGTACACACTCTTGAAAAGGTGCCGAGATGAGAGGACTGATCTGAATAAAAGCAAACCACTCTAACAGTTGGTCGAAGGCGGGATCGTGTCCGATGAAAAGCAATCTACAGTAGTCGACGTGAACGGGGAAGACATCGATTGGGACAATCTATACGACGTGGACGCGGAGAAGTATGATGGGACGTCATCAGTGCCGAAAGACGAGGCGGCGAAGCTGCTAGAAGCGAATACGTCGTTGGGACAGAATGGGGTTATTCCTGGTATAAAATTGGGAATTTTTTAGTTACTTAAGAGATTTAAGCTCGTTTTTCTCGTCTCTCACGCTCACCAGTTTTTTAGTTGAAAGAAACTGTGAATAATGAAAATGAAAATGAAACTACAGATATGTCGAATCTGCAGGAGATAGATTCTCTCCTAGAAAAAGCGTGGGCTGAGACAGAGCAAAACGGCGGTGGTTTTCTAGAAACTCTCTTGGGACCGGAAGGGGCTGCTGCAGCCCAGCGAACAGGTGAAATAGGGGAAGATCCTTTGTCTTATGGTGTGTGTGTGTGTGTGATCCTTTGTCTTATGGTGTGTGTGTGATCCTTTTCCTTTGTCTTATGGTGTGTGTGAGATCCTTTGTCTTATGGTGTGTGTGTGATCCTTTGTCTTATGGTGGGTGTGTGTGTGTGTGTCTGTCTGTCTGTCTATCCGGAGAGAGAGGAGAAAAGAATGAAACAAAAAGGAAAGCTGCCACTCGCTTCGCAATAGGTAAAGCTACTGTCACGTAAGTGAATGTGATATCTTCATGTGGTTCTTCTAATCACCCCTCTCGGAAAACGAGGATATTGCTTTAGCACGGGCGCTGAAAGAGACCCCGTTAGCCGATATGCAAAGGGAAATTGAAGAGGCCGAGCAAGCAGAGGAAAACGATTTTGTAAGGCAAGCTGGATATCCAGACCTAGCCGGTGAATTTGAAAATACCTACGGTGCACGAACTGAGCCGGCAATTTGGGGTCCAGGCGTGTCAAAGATAGCGGACTACACGTTTCAAAATGATAACCCGTATTTGTTATGGCTAAGCTACTGCATGTGACGCATTGAAGATAAACTGACTGTATATGGCCAGGCGACAGGTAGGCTCATTGTATATGACCTGGTGATCGGAGGATCATACTCTCTCAAACCTGATCCAGGATATCTAACACTTGAAACAACCTCGATACCATAAAGATTTTTACTGGAAACAACCCCAGGCCCACATCATTTCATAGTCTATTAAAAGCCCAAGCTTATCTAATGCCAGCCCAGCCAGCAGAACCCTCTAGCAGCTCCTCCAGTACTCAGGCTGTGGTTATCAATAGACCAATGCCAATAGACTTAAGGGTTTCCACATTGCATCCTGCACTAACATCCCTGATTCTTTTTCCAGTAAAAATGAGGCCAGGGGTGTTCTGAAGAATGCAATGTCGCAACCTCTATTAGACACTGACGGCGCTTTGGCTTTAGCGAAGAGGCTGATAGATGAAGGCAAGGATCTCGAAGCCATCCAAGTTTTGGAGGTGGAGGTACAACGACAACCGGATAGCGCTGAAGCCTGGTGTTTGATGGGCCAGACGTGGGCATATCAGGATCAATTAAGTCACATTGTTGCGTCTTGCACTAGTTTTTCTGACCTGTCTATTTCCAATATCAGAGAGCGTCTTGTGTCTTCTCTTCGGAGGGCGCAGGGCACCTCGCATACTCTAGGTGCTGGTATGCTAGCCAGTGATAGACTTCATGGAATGAAATCAGAGAGGTCAAGGATAGCGTGAAGAATGCAATAGCGAAACCACTAAATCAAGACGAAAGGGCAATACAATGTCTTGTCAAGGGCCACGATGCGGATCCATATAATCTAGACTCGCTTTCGTCACTGGCTGTCTGTTGTACCAATGATGGGTTGCATCTGGAAGCCTTGCGGTATCTTCACAAGTGGATAGAATCCCACGAGGAGTTTGGAGTGTTGCTGAGGACTAGGGGTATTCACTTCTTTCCAACATTGATTTCTGGCCGTATGCGTACTTGGCAACGGTTGATTACTGCCTGTTCTACTAAGGCGCATATACAACTGAGGGTGAGGACTAGAAGAGGTAAGGACTTAAGTACTTAAAAGGTGCTTGTGAAGGTGGAGTTATACAGGAGGAGGCACTTGCTACTTTTGAAGTTATTTCCACCTCCGTCAAATCCAAACAGCCGATTCCGGAGCTTCCGTACTGGACCAGAACGACTTTTCGGACTACGAAAAATTGCGTGACGAGGTCACATCGTTGCTTCAGACTGCTGCAGATGAGGTGTTGGCAAGAGGGCCGACCGATCCCGTAACACAAGCAGCGCAAGCTAAAGAAGAAGCCAGCCTATTCGTCGTATTGGGGGTAGTTCTCAACGTCAATCGTGCTTTTGGTGCTGCTGTCAAGGCATTGCGAGCAGGCGTAGAAAGGAGTCCCATGGATGCTTCGGTAATGTTGTTTTGTACTGTTGTTTGTTTCTACGATAGGACTTTTGGGTCTGTAGTGTACTACCCCCTTGCAGCATCTCTTTGGGCTAAGCTATGCGCTACAGCTTAGGATGACTTTGTTGACACAAGAATTTTAACGTCAACGTTTTTCCGAGACATATAATATGTAGATTTATAATAGATTAAAACCTGCAACACCAACCGCAGCTCTGGAACAAGCTTGGGGCGACTCTAGCTAATAGTGGCAACCCGGAAGCTGCACTGACCTGCTACTATCAAGCTTTAGCTTTGAAGCCTAATTGCGCGAGGTCATGGTCGAATTTGGCTGTTGCTCATGCCAATCTCGGCAATCACGAGGACGCGGCAAGATTCTATCTTTATGTCAACAGATTATTTGTCTAGAGGTCTACCCATGGACTAAGAAAGGTAAACTTAGAAGTACTGTGACGACTTTATGGAAAAGTCGTGCTGAATCTTTTCTCTAATCCTTTTCCTCTCTCGTGCTGAATCCTAAAGCGGATCATCTCTGGTCTTTTGTGCACACGACAATGATCAACCTCGCAAGCGATATAGGAGACCCTACGAATCAGTCCCTGACTGACGTTTTCAATGATCCGACAGGAAGAGCCGGATTGTTTGGACCGAATGCGGGATCTGGTTTATCGATTTGGATTTGTAGTTTCGAAGATCGCATTTATGCGATAATTGTCTCTGCGCTCCTTTATTTTAAAAGAGACCACTTAAATTTAAGAGAAATGGTGCAGATCTTGATCTTCACTACTTCCGCGTCTTCTATCTCCTGCATACACCAACTCAGAAGTTCAACAACATGGTAGATCTTCTGCTCCTTCAAAAAATCCAATCCAGATGACCTCCTCTCCCAAGAAACACTGGCTACGCGATATTTGAAAGCGGCTTACATGAGGGACATGGACGAATGTCGCAAACTGATCCCAGACATCCTGGAGTTAAGGCTTCAAGAAATCCATCTTAGCCAGCATCGATCTTGGCTCTTAGCCGCTCTTCTTGTGGGAGTGTGAAGGGGGGTGAAGAAAGATTTTCCTCTCCAACAAGATGGATTTCTTCTAGATCTAAGAGAGAGTGCAGACGCCTTGCCTCCACGATCGACGGAACTAGATAGGCCTTTGGGTGAAATCCTTGCGGAATTGCCAACGGGTGATGGGATCGCGAAGGCGTGAGGAGTTTCCACACAAGATTGATGTTCAGACATGATCATCAGACATGACGACTAGACATGATGATCTACCAGAAGGGATGACTCCTTCCCTAGGCTATATTATCGTTTCGCATTTGATGTTCTTTTTTCGCATTACTAGATATATGTCAAAGCTATTGGCCCTGACAAAAACTGTAGATAAATACGATGTATTGCAACCTCTTTCTTTAATCTGCATCTTCCTTTTTCGATTCTAAATCATTCGTCTTTTTTTGTCTTAAGCCTTGGTTTGGACAGTTTTCATTTTCCAGACTGCACCTCGTGGCGGGAAGAGCCTGCCACTTGGGAATGAACACCTCACTGCTTGAAGAAGATTATTCATAATTAGTGCCGTTTGTCTCAGAAGGACGAACTGGTGTCTTCAAGGAACACGAAGGGCACACTCTTGTCCGTTGTCGTGTGAACGGACTAGGATGATCCTTTTTGCAAAGTAGGATGGGCCCTATGTGAGTAGGATGTATGAGAGGATGTCTACTTGTGGAGTTGAGATGATGTATGAGTGAATGAATGAATGTCTTGTGGAGTTGGAATAGCGAGGATATCTGAATGTGGTTCATCGAGCTCAGGAGAGAGGACGGCCGAGCGAATAATTGCTGAAATAATTATGTAGAATTAGATTGGGTAGTGGGGCACAAGTAGCAAGGCAGAAGCCTGAGTCTCGTCGTTCACCATCAGGAACAACAGGAACAATCGACAGACCAATAACAATCCAACAACAAGCTAGACTAGCGGGTAGAACTCGTCTGGGAAATCTTAGGCAGCTCGCCGAATAGATTCAATTCATCAGATTGGGTAGTGGGATTCGGACGTGAGAGTGTGCCTCTCGATTTATGATCAGATGAGTTCACAACATCAGGATGGAGGGAGATCTTGTTTGATGTGAATATCAGCGCGATATTGTTGCAGTCAAGCATATTGAACAACAAGTCGATATTATACAAAATGAAAACAAACTGGTTTATTAAGATCTTTCATCCACTCGATAAAAAATGATGTCGCCTTTTTCGTCCTCATCTCAGTGCTCTTGCTCCTCTTGTTCCTTCGAGGAAGGCTCGTCGTGTATCAACGAGCCTGGTGCGAAAATACCTCGTCGCCCCTGCAATGGCACAAGGCTGATTTCCAACAAAAGGCGGCTGCGTCGTCGCTCTCTTTCTCTATCAGCAACTGCTCTCACCTTGTTCGCGAATCCAGCGTTTCACTTGCTACTCAAAGACGCGCTCGCCGGTGACGTGATTGACTCGTGCCGAGAGAGCATCAATAACTTCTACTTTTTAAGGCCTTGTTCAGAGAAGACACTTTCTTCACTTGCTTCTTGCTCCCGGGCACTGCTATGTACAACAGCGTTGTTTTTTTCGCTTGGTTTCCTTTCGTCTAGGATTCTCTAATCTTTGGCCTCTACGAAGATGAGATCGACGGAGTACCTGTCCTCACGAAAGCTGACCCGGACACGAATGATACAGTGCAACTGGAATGGGCTAGATATGCTCAATGCATTCGCTATGTGAGAAGGGATCCTTTCATTATGGCAACCTAAGAGTTGGAGTAAGATTAAGAAGCGCAAACGCTGTCCCTCTCAGTAGAGCCAGCCGCGATTTTTTCTGAATCCGCTTCTAGGAACGAGAGAACTTCTTCTACGTCGGATGACATTTAAACATTATTTGCATTTTCGTGCTAACGTCGTACGTAGGTCCACCGAGGTTGGGCAAGAAAAACAACAGCCAATCAGTCCCCCGATCTTCTAACCTCTCCGCCCGCGAGTATCTAGAGAGCACCCCACCAGGTTACTCCGTTGCCCTAGGTCGCCAACATCCGGTATTGTTGACGCCGGCAAAGCCTGATTTGAGCAGATATTTTTTGATCCCGGCGTTGGATTTTGTGGTTGGCGGTTTTGTCAAGCACAGTGGCGTCTACGACGTCACGGAGGAACACGTATTGCGCACATTGGTCAGAGAAAACGACTGCGTCATCGAAATCGGCAGCAATATTGGGAGCTATATTATGGTGGAGGGGGGGTTGATTTTGCTTTTCGTGTTGTTTTGACAGAGATTCCAGCAAGGACATTCAGTCAACAATTTAGAGATTTGGGCAAGGACATTCAGTCAGCAATTTTTTGTCGCTAAGTTTGCAATGAAAAGACATCATATAATGTTGTTACTCGTCGAATATTCAAACCCGATCTCCAAGTATCGTCATTCCTAGTACCCAAGCCCTTCTATTAGAGTCTGTCTAATCTTCCAGTAGTGCTTGCAGATGAAGTCGGAGTAAATGGAAGAGTGTATGCCTACGAGCCTTTTCGGAAGATATTTCATATCATGAATGCAAACCTGGCCTTGCAAGGCTTTGGGAACGTGGTAACGAGGCAAGTGGGCATGTCAAATGTGACGATGTTATGAAAGAAACACGCAATTTGGTACTCTGGACTAAAAGTGATAACTTCCTTTATCAGTAGAGTTGGGTACAACCAGAGGAGGGTTTTGATTTCTATCTCCATGAAATAGGTTCGCAAACATGATTATGCAACTTAAACGGAACCCCAAAAAGTTTCCTCCTGATCAGCAACTCCCAAACCAAACCGAACTTCTCGCAAAGGAAACCAAACCTCTCCTTTCATAGTTCTTCAAGAGCGTGAATGCGCCAGACCTGAACGACTACATCAATCTTGGAGCAGCACGGGTCTTTCACCAACAGAAACCTGAGATTGCCCATGTCCATTTTGATGGGATGGAAGAAATCGAAGTGGAGACGTTGGACAACCTTTTCCAACGTGGAAACATTAAATGCGATTTGAGTGTGGTGAAGATTTATGATTCATTCTTTACTTGGAGTTGGAGGTTTCAGTATTTTTTCTGATCTCCCCTCTATACGTAGTCTGATAGTACATGCGGGATGCGATGCGAGAGGCATGAGGATTTGATAGGTGTGCAGCTAGTTCACCTTCAAGCACTGAGTTCTCCGCTTTAAAGCTTATAGATGACCTCCTTTTAGACATATTGCAGTAGATGAGGCTTACCTCATCTTGGATAGTGAAGATAAAGATAGATTATCATGTGAGTAGAATGATAGGATGTAGGTGATTTCTATGAAGAGGGGGAACACAAAAGAATAGATGGATACAACATGATCACTGACCTTAGTAGGGTGTTAGAGTTCAAAAACTACTTGTAACCAACGAACAAGAATTTCCTGGTGTATACTTGATAGGATACATCAATCGTCTACCACTCTTAGCTCCAGGAGGGTCGTTGATCTTGATTTCTCTCTCCATCTGTGTTCATACTCTCGATACGGAGGGCATGGAACTTGAAGTGGTACAGGGTGGCTTGAAATTACTCGAGACGTATTCGCCGATAATTTACGTCGAATCCCAGCCATATTTCGCGGATGGAGACAAGCGATTCGTTAACTTCATGGAAGAGTTATGGAGATATTCGGAGTCACAGTTGTCTATCAATCTCTGTGAAGATATACGAAGGTGTCGACTTTCACTCCCCGTTATAAAAGAGTCAGGCTCTCTCTATCTATTTTCAATATCGAATGCTGGTTGTCATGTACGGTAGTGTCTACGTGTCTACAATGAAATTCAAATTTCTAAATCAAGAAGCCTCATACACCTGCCGACCAGTCCAGAACTTGGAGATGCATGAGATTTTACTTTGTATACCTCACGCGCGCGCAGACTACTGGAACCAAAGACTTGCGGATGACTTCAGAAACGGCTAAAGGTTAGGAGAGGACTTCAGAAACGGCTACAGAACGCAAATAGTAAAGTTGTAGCCAAATAGCTGTTGTTCAGTGCGCATAGTGAAGTTTTTACATAGTGAACAAAATTAGGAAGGTGGGAAGAAATGGACATGTTGGGTTCATAGGATTTGTTCTTGATGAAAGGCTAGCGCCCTGTGTTGTAGTCACATATTTTTAAGCGACGACAATCAAAGAGAAAGATCATATTTCTTGAGAATAAAGGTATTGAAAGGACAACAAGGTAACTGAACTCAATATTCGATTATCACAACTTGCATACATAAGGACTAGATCGAAGCAGCCCGCAATACGACATGAGGAAATTCATGAGCCACAATAGTAACAAACATTGACCGAAGACATGATGAGACATTTACTGGTGATGCGTCGAACTTTCGAAAATCTGAAGAGACGAACTTCGAGGAAGAAGGTGAAAATCTGTGAAGAAATGGCACCAAGTGGAAGATGATGAAACTCGTGCAGAACCGCCTTTGAATCAAAGGAGACGAGTCAAGCATTCGATATAAGGATGTTAAAGACGATCAACAGGAAAGAAGTGCGATAATTTTTGGAAGAGAGAGGCATCTGAATCAGACTTCATAATGCTGAAAATCGGAAAAAAAAGGCAAAAGAACTTACTTACTCCCATCAATGTTGAATACTTTCCGGACTACATCACGACTGTTCGTTGTACATAGAAGAACCAAAGAGCCGACAATAGTTCGCAAGCACTTATTTAAATGAGCCGACTCATTTACAACAAATTACTGTTAGTACTCGATAGGCCAGCAATATGTTGAGGCACGCGGCTAGCTCAGTGCTAGCACTACTGCTTTTCAGCAGTGGTTTGCAGTACGCGTTCGGTGATTCGGTGACGCTCAAAAGGCAGCATGTAGTGGACCGGCGCAGCGACGAAATCCACCCTCCTTATGTTGAGACTACTCAAGACAAACCACAAGTAGGAAATACTGAAGATTTTTCTAGTCTGATCCATCAGGTGAATATGTAGTCTGATTTAGTCTTACTCACTTTCATACTTCCCCACTCTCGTTTCTTGCAGTTTCGGAGCATGCAAAGCGATCTGAGGAGGAACACAAAGAGCTAACCAACTACGATGATGACGGCGAACTGTTGGATGATGGCTATGGTTTCCGGTTTGTAATGAACTGTGGGAGACATCCAGGAAAAATGCGCTATTTCTGATAGTTCTACTGCTGTAGTGAGAGTATTGTCTTTACAGAGAGTTAGCAAAGGAGCCCTGGAGCATATCGTGACTCTACTTCAGATCATTTTCCTTCGAGTACTTTATCAGCCCTACTCCTGCCAAAAAACAAAAACAAGACTCCTTTCTTCTAACCTCCCACATCCGGTGGTTCCCTGTTGCAGCTATCGCCTGGGATCGTCACGATACCACACTCCAACCAAGATGAAAAAACCGGAACTACACAGATGAGCAGGACAAGTGGTGGAGGAGGTATTACTATTACTTCAAATCTAGTGAAATACTTTTAGCGTGGTGAAATACTTGATGAAGATGATAATGCAGCTACTTCTACACTCAAGGGCACAACGCTCACAACCATTCACCTAAGCACCAGTTAAGAGGCCACAAATTTTCGCATTTCTGTCTACCTTAACTTTGCTGAGCGCTGTGAGAGCATTTTCTGCCTTCTTCACTCTGTCTTTCACCTCTGGTGGAGGAGGTATTACTTCACCTAGTGGTGACATACTTGTATCACATCTTCTTTGTCTTAAATCTTACGCTTATCTCTCCAACAAATTTTCCTCCAGATGATTTGGCTGCGGCTCTCGCAGACCCCGAGCCTATCAGTCTGTGATCAAAGTAAAGGGGATGCGGATATGATACGAACGCAGGAGCACTGAGACTGACTTGCTGGAAAATGTACACTGATATTGAAGGAGCGCACAACTACAACTGATGTACCTACTACAAATGAACCTACAACTTTTTCTGACGAATTTGTGTTGTCGAAATGACTGTTATAGAAGAAGTCCTTTTAATGCATTGCGGTTTCACTATTGTGAATGAGTACTAAACTTCGAATAAACCCGCCTAATGAACACTTCGCCGAGAAAGAATCCGCATAGTCTATGCCAAATACCTTTCATCACGACCACTCTCGCTACAAATTGTACACTAGTATTCAAGAAGGAACGACTAGGGAATCGATCTATGTCCGTGTGGTCACAATGGTGTTCTCCTGAATGAAACGCGACGAGATGAGGTGAGTTGTTTTGCAAGAATTGGAATTTGAGAAGGTGACGCGAATTTTTTGTGTATGATGGAAGGATCCATGTTATGTCCTGTTGATGTATGAATTCAAAGCTTGTACGAGGCCTTGCCTTCGTCTCGCTCCATATTAATCTTGGACAAAGAACATGCTTATCCTTTCTGCAGGGCGTGTATGAACTTAATATCACCATTGTTTTGCCTCATATTAGTTTTTTGAATTTTGTCCTTCATTCCAAGAGTGCCGTTTGCCTTTTAGCTTTTTGATTAGCGCTTGCTTCAGTATAAGTAGAAGGTACCCAAGAATTGATTGTGCTAGATGGTTCAGTGTTGAGTATGTGATCCCAACACGACCTCTATTTGGTGTTTAGTCACATTATTCAGTCTGTAAGGCTAAGGCTGACTAAGTCTTTCTACTTTAAGTAAGAATCTATCAGCACTCCAGAAGATGTCGACCGCCGGGATTTCGCTGAAGGCCACGCAGGCCGATGGCTTCTACTTCCCACCGGACTGGGACCCCTCAAAGGGGTCGCTGGATTCCTACCAGCGCAAAAAGGGTTTCGAGCATGCTCTGGGCAAAAACCGTGTTAAAAACCTAGATAAAGGCATCCTCCAAATCCGGTTCGAGCTGCCCTTCAAAATCCAATGTCTCAATTGCGAGGATATGATCGGACAGGGAACGCGGTTTGATGCGGATAAAAAGCGAGTGGGGAATTATTATTACGGCTACTTTTGGTCGCGTAGTAGGTTGTAGTGGGCTCTTCTACCCCATTTCTATAATAATTTTTGAACTCGTATAAAAATAATGTGTTGCTGTTGCTAGTGGTTTTTGGTCTAGTTGCTATTGCTAGTGGTTTAGTCGATGATAAATAACATTTACTAGGGGAAATCGTACTAGGTCCAATCCGAATCGGCTAACATCATCAAACTACATCTACTAGGTGTGCTGGTTAGTCGTACTAGTACAACTCTGCACATCCAACTTGGGCAAACTTCATTTCTTCTTTGTCTAACTCTAAATGAGGACTTAGGTGTATAAATACACACTCGTCTGCTCTAGCTCACACAGTAGATTTTTTGACCCCAACATGCTAGTGCACAGTGCTTCCCTGCCTCTAATCTCCCACCACTCCGATATACGAATTTCGTATGCGATGTGGTCAAATCGTCGACCCCTCTGTGTCTGTAGACGGCAAAACTCACTGTAATTGCGAATGGGTCATCCAAACGGACCCTCAGAATGCCGATTACGCGTTGGTTGCTGGCTGTGTGCGTCCCGGCAAGACCACTGGATTTCGCAACAGCAAGGACTTGGCTGGCCATGCTGCCCAAAGGGATGGGGAACAAGCTACGGAGTTGGACCCTCTCTACATGGACACAGACGCTCGAAGGGAAATGGCTCAAGATCCGATGTTCAGGTTGGAAATGCTTGCAAAAAGGACAGCAGAGAGAGCTGGGATACAAGTAGACAACGTGGGAGATCAAGGAGCGCTGGAGGATGAGAACAATAACAGGAAAGCGGTACTAGATGACCAGCAGGAAGATGTTGATCGCGAAGATCGAGATGAAAGATCATCACTCCATCAACGTCAACAAGACACCACCAATAGTAAGCGTCGTAAAGTAATGCTCGGCGTCAACGAGGATGTTTCTGACGTGAAGTTCCGCATGCACCCCAGAGAGTCTGAGACGCCCTCATGGATGCGCGCACCGGGAGTCAGGGGCAGTCGCAAGAAGGACGAGGACAAAGAGCGCCTCGACATGGAACGAGAAGCACACCAAGTCTTCAAGAATGCCGGAACATCTAGTTTGAGTGGAAGCTTCCATGCTTTGGATGGATTTGGTGGAAGTGGTTCGGGAGGAGGAAGCTCTAGTGGTATCAGTAGCACAACGACTGGTGGAAGTGGAAGTGCTTTTGACGATGCAGATATGCAGCAATACATCGCTGCAGCGGAGAAAAAGAAGCGCAATGACGGTAATTTGAAGAAACTCTACTTACTAAAAAAAGAGACCAAAAACGACTTTGATCTGAACAGTAAACTGCGTGGGATGTTTAGAGCAGACCGGAATCGGGAAAAACAATTTAGCAGTAGTAGTAGCGGCGGGACAACAAGTGGTGGGGTAGGAGGCTCAGCTAAGGGCTCTAAAGAAGCCCACAAACCTCATTTCGGACTACCCTTGAAGGAGTCGGATTCCGAAGACGAAGAAGAACTGCGTCAGTTGTTCATGATGAAAAGTGGCAAGAACGCCAAATCTTCCTCGTCAACAGGAGCTTTTCCAGGAAGTGGCTCTGGATCTGCAAGTGGAGTACAGCAGAACTACAAGCAGTATTCCACAAAAACAACGTCATCTAGTCGAACGACTGGTGGAGCAAGCAGCAGTAGCAAAACTACTACATCATCTAGAGCAGCGCAAGGAATTGGTGGACCTGGAGGAGCGGCGGGAACGTCTTCTGAGATGAAAGAAGCGCTGAAGCAAAAAGCTTTGGAACAAAGACACGCGGGACTAGCGTTCGAGAAGCAACTACAGCGAAGGAAGTTGTTGAATGCAGAATCCATAATTCCACGTTCTAATGCTAATGGTAGTGGTACTACTTCTAGAGGAGGAATAGGAATAGGCTCCTCCCAGCAATCATCAGTTCAAGCGAGGATGAATGAAAAATTTGCTTTATTCAAACAGTGTCAGTCGCAAGCGCAAAAAAACAGAAACCGCTAGCTAAGTACCAGACCATTTGTAAGTATATCAGTACCAGTACAGAACACTAACAGACTTTCACGATCCCCTTCTATTTCCCGTACCCCCTTCGACGACTCACGCCTACCTTGTGAGCCGCGATATGAACTCTATCGTCTTGTTTGGTCACATCATCTTCTAAGAAGAGCGAAATATTATCTACACGAGTCTCTGGCTCTTCATCTTCTGTGTTGGGGACGCACCAGTGCAGCACAGTGCATTTGTTTATCATCCTTTTCTTTGTGTTCTTTCTGTCGCTGTGAAGAAGACGAGAGACGTCATTCTGCAGCTGTGGAGGTGATGAGAGGCTTTGATATGCTCCATGATTTCTGTTGCAGAGAGACTCGGTTGAGTGAATGAGAAACCGAAGCTGGTGTGTGTTATAGAGGGTACTAGAGCGATCATTGTGACAACGAGCACTGATATTAGTATTTCTAGTGACTATCAATAATCTATAGGGACGCGTCGATAATGAGCAGCTCGTCCTCACGTTGACAGGATCCACGTCTTCTGTTCCAGATCCTCTGTATAGAGAGAGAGAGAATCATGATGTTCCATCTCACTGATGAACCATCGACATGACATTTTGTATTATTCTTTTCCGTTTTCTCTTTTGCCCTTCCCTTGCTTTTCCATTTTTTTGTTGACCTTCCCTTGGTTGTGCTTTGTTTTTTCTTTCAAACAAATGCATGTGTGGTTCGAACGTGCATCTTCGTCCAATGCTCATTAAATCTATAGGAGAAAGTAACGAGTAAAATCAAAGTAGACTAGTTCTACAACCACGCTTTTTAAGTCTTCAAACAGGTAGCGACTTCTTCGCGAAAACAACATCGATTCTTTTTGAGCTTTTCTAAGCCCAAAAAACTTTCGACAAGATGGGAAACATGTGCTGCAAGAAGCGCCCGGGCATCATCCAGGGCGACGTCAAAGATGGTGCCGCGTTCGCTAACGCTAAATGCATGTTGGCCTCCACAACGACTAAAGTCGGATCTGGGTACTATTTTCGCTATGTTCCTATTCATCAAGAAGAATAACTTAACTGCTTGAAGATTTTCCCACCCTTGTAGTTATAATTACTTCTCCCTCCATGATGATATTCAGATGAAGATCTCAAATAAAATAATAATCAGTCTGCACCCGCTCTTCATGAGCTGGGTATCTCTCCTATTCCTATGTTGATTCATGCCAGAAACTTATGTTGTCTTTCCTCGTGCAGCTAGACTTTGCACTTATATACTCTTGCTAGAATTTGATGCACTTGTACTTGTTGATTCCGTAACTGCAACTGCATTCTCATTTAATATGCAGTTTACTAGGTAGTCAATATAGTGTACGACTTCAACTATTCAAACTGTCTTTTCCTAAACATCACATAACAGCGCTGCCGATCCCAATGCCGTCAAAGCGATGGAGGGAATCTACACCCAGGTTAATGGCGATTTGAACCAATTAGCGTCTAAAACTGGAGCCAATTTGGGTGCTCTTAAAAAGAAGCCGCCGACCAGCGCCAAGGACTTCGCTACTAACCTTCTGCAGGGTGCCTACTCGTAGACCACTTGGATTCTAGCGGTCGAATATTTGTAAGGGAGAACTTATGAGAAAGAAGAACGTATGAACATGAGATTTACATACAACCATTGTTCATCATGGATCCTGCTTCGGATCTTCTCCTAATGACAATAATTTCTCCTAATAGTAATAATGGATCCCTCGGATGTAGTTCTCAGTTTCTATTCGCAATACATTCATTCTTCATAAGTGGAAGGTCCAGTCCTCAATTGTAGAAACACCTTAGCACTAGAACTATAATTTTTAAGGAGCTGGTGTCTGGACAATCTGAGCGAAGCTTTTCTGACTAGATCTACTGTGATGGCAATGCATACGTTCTTACTTTCTTCTCGTTTCACAAATGATACGATTTTTGAAAACTACAAGAAATACAAAGTCTGTTCATTCTTCATATAAGTATTCATACTTCGTTCTGATTAGTACAGGAGGTACAGCACCAAGAAGTAGAAGACGGAGGTACAGTCCTCAGATGAAAAAGATTAGTGTTACAAGAGGAGACTAAAAACATTGGTTGGTGACAATGAATCATTGTAGAAGATAAGGCATCATGAAAATGAATCTTGGAAAAGAATTGAAAAATATAGTCCGCGCTTGAACTAACGCTCGCAAAGCACTAGGCATCGCTAGATGACTGCGCAAGCACATACTCATAATTAGAGAAATATCGGCATTATGATCATCTATATTCTTCACGAAAGCATTATGATCATCAATCTATAAAATCTTCAGGAGCAAAGTGGTTTGATTAGCTATAATCGTCACAGAATTTCAAAAATGAATATCGAATATAATCTTCGTAGAAAGCATAACCATGGGTAAGATACTACGTACTAGGACAGTGATGAGATTTACAATCGCAAGAGTATCGTGGACTTTATTATCAATGGGCATAAGAATACTTTATCTTTATCGACGCGACCCAATAGAAATATATCGTACTGTAACTACTATCGGAAATCTAATATTACCGATGTCACTAGAAGAGGGCTGCTAGAGGAGGCCGCCCACAAAAAAAACCATGAGGAGCATGTGGGCGAACGAATTTTTATGTCCAAGGGAATAAATATAATGCTTCTATGTTATATGAACAACGAGGCAGAGCGATCCGGGTGTGACTGGTGTCGCATTCGAATGAAACGGTTTGCACTCGCGTCTCCACCAAATGTGTTCCTGAGGCATTTCATTTCTGTAAGAGGTGTATCTGTCTGTAGCACGCAGAGAGTATCTACTTCTGTAGAGTGTGAAAATGAGCAGGCCATCTTTATTCTGTACCATTGATAGGAGAGGATTTGAGAGTACAAGTCTGTGAAGGCCTCCCAGTAGAGAGAGAGAGGATGTTTGTGCGGTAGTCGAAGTTTTCGACTTTTATGATAACTATGAAAGTGAGATTCTTGATCCTCGAAGCTAGGTAGTTGAAATCAAGATCCACTTGTACTACATTTGGTTATCATCTGTGACCTGTCTGCTGAACATCACCATCCACTATTTCTCTTCTTTGCCCCGCCCCCTTCCTTGCGCCCAATTCTATTACCTCTTGTTTCATCTTGCTTTTTCTACTACTTGGTTCCTTCTTGTTCTTTTCTCCTGCTTCTTGATTTTGCTGTCTAGGCTTGTAGAGAAACATTTACGAGGACTTTCGCAATCGCAAATCCGATATTTTGAGCTTTTCTAAGCCAAGAAACCTTCGACAGGATGGGAAACATGTTGTGCTGCAAGAAGCGCCCGGGAATCATCCAGGGCGACATCAAAGATGGTTCCGCGTTTGCCAACGCTAAAGGCCAGTTGGCCTCCACCAAGACCAAAGTCGGCACTGGGTACAACTTCTTTTGCTATTTTTCTATTCGCATGCCCTCAAACAATTCGAGTTCTTTTCTGTTTAAATTCTAATTCACGTCCCTTCACTTGTACAACTGCTTTCTTACAGCTGTTAGAAAGTTTAGCAGTTGTAAAGTTCGTTAAAGTCTTGTCTTTCCTAAACATCACATAACAGGGCTGCCGATCCCAATGCCGTCAAAGCGATGGAGGGAATCTACACCCAGGTTAATGGCGATTTGAACCAATTAGCGTCTAAAACTGGAGCCAATTTGGGTGCTCTTAAAAAGAAGCCGCCGACCAGCGCCAAGGACTTCGCTACTAACCTTCTGCAGGGTGCCTACTCGTAGGAGTCGAAAGCTGCGTTGAAGTCTAGTTACATCTTCATCTAGGTACTTTCGTAGGAGTCGAAAGGTGTGTTAGCAGATTCTACGAAGTATCTGCTAACTTTTACCCACGCTAAGTGAAGAGTAGATGAGTAGATCTACTTTTGCTTGCGCTGAGTAAGTGAGTAGATGAGTAGATGTAGGCTATCAACATAGGTACATGTTTCACAAATGATAAGAAGACATATTAAGCTATAATTGTTTTGTCGAAGAATAAGAAAAGGTATATCTGGTCTTGCTGAACATGGACTGCTAGTGGTCACTTTAGTCGCACATCGTAGTTGTTGTAAGTCTAAGCAGCTGCTTCGTTGACGGAAGGGTGTGACTACAGGGACGACACTAGACGGGGAATTTTTTACGGAGTATTGTATTTGTTTATCTATTTTTGGAACAACTCTGATTGTAAGAAATTGAAAAATATAGTCCGCGCGCCAAAGAAACCATGATAAGAATTGAACTAAATAATGGAAATACGAGAATGTGCTTATCATGTTGTATAATCGAAAATATAACCTAACGCTCCGCAATACAAGATAGAATAATGAACGCTCTTCACAATGCGAACCTTTGATCGCACAGGAAGCACATTCTACATAATTAATGAAATACCAGTAGTAGAACTATTCGAAGATCGTCAACATAAAAAGTCATCATCGTCATGATCAATAGATAGAGTAATGAGAGGGTGGGAACAAGAACAGCGTGACTCCGGACCTTGTACTTCTAGTTGCATAGAGATGAAGATCGGCATATCATGAGTAGTCACAGAAGCATTTGCCATTACCAGGGCTAGAAGTTCCTCACAAAAAAGACCAAAAGGAGAGCTTGTGGGTGAACGAATTATGGTGTGTACTCTCGATGAGTTGAGTAGATGATATGGTGTTGCTGGCAGAGTCCTCAGATTGATTGTGGTCTCGAAAGGGATAGATAAGTAGTATTGTGTTCTTCGTGATGTATTTTTACAATTCAGTGTAGCACGACAGCGACTATAATGAGGTAGAAGAGCTCCGACACGACCAAACTGAAGTCTGTCTTTCGATAACTACCTCCGTGTCCCAGAGGGGCATACAGCCATACTCGCTAGTTTCGAGGAGAGATTTCAAAATCAACCGCTCTGTGACTTGAGTCGAGCATGCAAGGATAGAGTCTGTGCCTCTGAGAAGTGCGATTGTCATGGCAGACGCAGATGATGCCACAGAAGATCATGCGAAGATTATACCACTGTCGGTAGCTCCGTGAGAGTGGATAGAGTTCTGTTTTGAGTGCTTCTCAGAGTTGTGCTTGTTGTTGTCTGTAGTAATTTCTATTCCCCGTGACGTTGTTCTCTGATGATTTGTCACTGTCCTCCTCTCACGATCCATGGCTCATACGATTTTTTCCTTTGTCCCCTTTGCCCCTTTTTTTCTTCTTTAGATTATCTGCTTTCGCAAGTCTGAACTTTCTGTTTAGCTTTTCTAAGCCCAAAAACCTTCGACAAGATGGGAAACATGTTGTGCTGCAAGAAGCGCCCGGGAATCATCCAGGGTGACGTCAAAGACGGCGCCGCGTTCGCCAACGCTAAAGGCCAGCTGGCCTCCACCAAGACCAAAATGGGAGACGGGTACAACGCCTTACTTCTTGATGCGATACTGGTGTCCACTTTAGTTTTCGATACCCATCCTTTACATTTATTGATAAGCATGGTCGTAGACTAGTGTTGGTCCACCGAGTAATTTGCCAATCATGCACATTATGTTGGTGATGGAATCTCAGGGAAATTCTAGGCAAATTGCCGAATAGATTCGAGTGGTCTTGTTAAGGATGGAACAAACTACATTTAGACAAATACATGATCACAGATCCGCTGATCCGCAAGCCGTGAGAGCCATGGAAGCTCTATATGACCAGGTGGCTGGCGACTTGCCTCAGTTGTCTGCTAAGACCGGTGCTAAGCTTCCTGCGCTGAAAAAGAACCCGCCGAAAAACAAGAAGGATTTCGCTACCAATCTCTTGCTGGGGGCTTATTCCTAGAATATTATAGGCTATAACGCATCCTGTGGACATAGAATACAGGCTGTGAAACATCCATCCTGTGAACAGAAATAGAAAACCTGGTTACGACTGTTTTGAAGTGTGAAAGTATTTTTGAAATTGCATTTGATTGTCGTAGAACTCAATTTTGACAAAAGAGATTCTTTCAGGGAAGCCGTAGGTCCTAGCCGAATCGACCAACATCATCATTCTTGATCTTGTTCGTGTCTATCAATCGGTGACTCTATTAACGTGTGAAGTCTAAGAACTATTGTTTTGCGATGCCAACATCATACTACCGACAAGGAAAAGGTGGCTATGTGAAGATTAATGAAAAAAATAAATCATCGTAATCAGTCATGTTGAAAGTAATTCTGACTAGGATTATCATTGTACGTTTTTTTGGCTCGCAGATTGATTGATGAAAGAATTAGAACGGCATCAAGATAAAGTCACAATTAAGACAGCACTGAACGAAGTATGGCAATGCTGTAATGAAAGTCATTTTCGAGGACCATAATTCATGAAATAAAGAAAAACTACCACTGGCAAGTGACAGCAAAAGGACCGCAAAACGTGGGTGAAAAGCATCGTCCGGCATCAACCCGGAGGTATAGAAATAGAGAAATCTGGTGTTTTCGATTTGAAATTGCATAAGGAGCACGACCAGAGACCTTCTTTGAATCTAGAGACTAGATCACACTGACTAGTTGTATTGGATCACGATCATTTTAGAAAAAGGATCAAGAGAAGGGGATGAACGCATGTCCCTCATAGTAGTACGTCTGTTGAATCGGATTCCAGGAAAAAGAGGCAGAGAAAACTATGAGATCAGAAAGTACAACAACGATTACTTCTTGCCTCAGTTCCGTGTCGTTGTTAGTTAAGTAAAAACCTGTGTGAGTAAGCATCGTGGCGAAACACTATGACGCCGCGCGGCAGTCTGCACTTGAAACTGTGCGAGATCAATTGTATTGCGTTGTAAGGGGATCGAGGAGTAGTTCTCAGTGATAATCCAACGCGATCAAAATAGAACTCACAGCCACACCCCAACACGATCAAAGAGCTCACTACGAAAGAAAGCGATCAAATTTTGTTCTTGCAGTCTCATGGACGCGGCCATTTTGATCCCCCGTTCCACATATAGTAACAGACTACATATTCATCTCTGAACTACTACTCACTTACATTTGTATTCTGAATTTTTTCCCAAATGTCTATCAGGTAGTTTTCTTCAGTTTAAACTCCTCGTTTTTTTCAAGCAACACAAGCAGCTACACCTCATCGTATCTAGCATTTTGTTGTTCCTTCATCTTTTCGATAAGTACCAGGAAGTTGTAGTTTAAGTATCTTACTGGAGATAGCCAAACGCTCAGAATGGAAGTGGTACAGCAAGTGGTCGCTGACCTTGAATGCGCCAAATCTTCTGGATGCAAGATGGACATGGTTCCGGAGGTTCCAGGGCAGCTCTCAGAGCAACACCAGACCCAGTTCAGGAGAGCCAGAGAGGCGACCGCCACACCGGAGAAAGCGCATTATGTCTGCGCTGGGTTTGTAGCGCCGACGTTTGGCAACGTCTTCTACGCGATCGAAAGCCAGTTGATGTGCTACAATTATGAAAATGGATACTATCACTATCTGTAGCTATTGTGAACGAAACTGTAACTGTAATAGAAGCGAAATTAAGCGAAAGGTAGAGCACTCACTTCTCCATGATGTATTTTTTGCTCCCTCCTTTTGATTTGTAACGAGAGAACCTGTACAGCTACAACATTCATCACATTATGAAATCCACTCGGGCATGAAAAAAATCAGTGACTTTTGAACACTCACTTTTGCATGCCTCTAAACTTTTGAAGAAAAGAAGGAGTTTCTGTCCTGGTCTTCGCAGCCACATACTGGTCCTGTACGCGGACTATGCGAAAATGCGTACTTGAAGCAAGAAGTTTTGCGCAAGAATGTAGTAGAGGCAGAACGAGAAGCAAAAGAGCAAGAAGATGTTGCTGCAGGAGGTGATAAAGGAGACGTCGAGGAAACTAAACGGAGGAAAATTGAAACCACGTCAACTCCTTCCTCGATGCAACCTTATATGGCCACCGGTGGGGATGACAAGATGATTGTCCTTTGGTCTGCAGACCGCAAAGAGCTGTATCGTTATACACATCCTAAGAAAATCACCTGTCTACTTTTTGCGCCGGATCAAAGTCTTTTGTTCGCAGACAAATTTGGCGACGTCTATCGATTGGACTTTTCGAAGCTGGGATTGGCAGAAGGTTCTACTCTTACTTCTGCAACAACATCTTCCTCCTCCGAAGCAGCAGCAGCTGTAACACTCCTCTTTGGCCATCTGGCGATTGTGACGTGTATGATCTTCTGCGGAGATTTGCTGGTAACAGGTGACAACCATGAGAAGATCCGGGTCAGTCGTTACCCAGAGCACTGGAACATCGAGACCTTCTGTTTGGCACACACCGGACACATCACCAGGTTGCTATCTCTGCCCACGAAAGGGACACCGATGGAAGAGACCTCCAAGAAGAGTAGTTCTACTACAACAACGAATTATGCGTTAGTCAGTCTAGGGGCCGACGGACGCGTGTGCCTTTGGAACCCACTGAATGGACAGATGCTGGACCAGTACTGCTTTCCCAGTACTTCTACAGCTACTGGAGAACAAGAAACACCAAATGCTCCAGAGTTTGCAACCGAAGTCGCAGTTTTGCCGGACGCCTACGTCAAGCCAAAGCTGTTGCTACATTGTAACGCTTCTTCAAGTTGTGCTTGTGCTTTTGCTTCTGATCAGCACTCTTCTAGTGGTCCGTCTGCGTCCACCTCTTCTACTTCGACAACAACAGCTGCAGGGCCAAAAGATATTAATGTTTCTTTGCAAATCCAAGGCCCTCTCGAATACTCGCCGTTTCTCCTATTCCAACGTTCTCTGACAAAAGGCACAACCAACGCCACCAGTTTGCTGGGTTATTCATCGAGTAAACGCGTGTATTATGTGGATCAGAAGACGGGACATTTGCTTGCTGCAACGTTAGAAAACCAACCTAGAGAAATCGACTCAGATCACGACATTCATCTATCTGGGAACAAAACGACATCGAGTGAAAAGCCTTCTTCGACAACTGATACCAAGAACATGACTAAGAAGGTCAACACAAAAACCCTGAAGCTAGAGGATTTGGGCTTTCAACCAGGCATGACGTTGATTTCTGGCGCAAGGAAGGAGAAGCTGTACAAATACTTCAAGGATGGTGGAGAGGATGATGAGGAATAGATGACTTTGGGGAAAGACCATTGATTTCTACATGGACATACCTTGTAGTAGTAGACCTCGTAAAAAAATGCATCAATGCCAAAAATAGATCGGCTTTCCAGCTTCGAAACTGACATTCTAAATGCGCTCAGATGAAAACATGAAGATGACCTTTTCCTTTTGCCCTTTACACCATGATATGAATTGTGACACCGGGTGCTAGACGCGAAAGGCGATGTGCTGCGGACGAAAAATTGGATGTATTTATCTGCCAATAATATTGATATCAGTAAAAACTACTTCTACTATGAGTCCTCTCCTAATATTCCTACAGTTGTTGGTGTGCTGAGAGAATCTACACCTACTCGAGAGGTATGATGTAACGAGCGATTGTGTACCGAGAGACCGCTGTTGGGGTTTATAAGTGGCAGTGAGCAGATGTGAATTTGAAAGAGCAGTGCGAGCTGTGATTGTGAGGCGAGAGAAACAGAAAGGGAATGGTGGCATGAACAAAAATGAGATGTAAGTAGACGACGAGCACTTGTTGTCATTCTGTCAAGAATAGCATGCTCGGTTCATCTCAAGACCTTGGCTCTCTCATACAAAAGTTTCATCTGTTCTTGTTCTAGAGAAGCGAACTCTTTTTTTGTCTAAGGTGGTCTACCTGATTACATACGTCTACGTCAAGGAACAAGACAGGAACATGCAGCTTCGCAGTCCTACCTCACGCACTACGGGTGGGGGTCCGAGGGTTGGACGGAAGCCCAGCACTGCGCAACTCGGTTATCTGACTCCCCAGCACCCTTCACTCGTAATGAAGCCGCTACAAGCACCGAAATTTTCCCCTCGCAATTTGATCGACCAAGGACAGGGCGAGCCACATGCACAAGCTTCGGCTGGTGGCGGTGGAGTTATGACTGGTCTGGTTGTTCAAGAGGAAACATCTATCTATGATTTCTTCACGAAGCAGACGTACTATAAGGCGTCTTGTTGTAATACCAGGAACGATAGTATCAGAAACACATACACACGCGGTGGTGTGTAGTGCTCTATCTCCATGATTGCCTACATCAGCCTGCTCTAAAAAGAGTGCCAGCAAAACTAACGCACAAGCCCAATCCTCCGATCCAGGTACAACATATCTTCATGCTGAAGTGACTGGCGCTGGCGGGCTAGGAAATTGTGCACGAAGCAGCAGTAAACTGAGGACCTCTGTAGGCAACTTTGCACCACAACCAAGGATTGGGTTCAAATGCAGCACATTTTTTTATGCTCCTATAAATCAATGGATGAACAAAGAGATAGTGCATTGCTTCGCTATTACTAGTGGAGGTGTTGCAGCAGAAGGTAGTGTACATAGGAAAGTGTGCTCCTATGGCTCCACATCAAGCTAATACCCAAGAAAGATGAAAGTGAAACACTCTAATCCCTTGGAGCAGCAGGCGCAAACAATACGACAATCTTGAAAACCCGAGGAAAGCAGCAGCAACGTGCCCCGACTATTGGTGTTCCTTCTGCCGGTGGATTAATTACAGCGAATACCTCGAATACGCTGGCATCGTGCGCTGCAACCTCATCAGGGCATTTAGCGGAGGATTTGCAGACTACGCTGATCACAACTTATGATAAATATGCAGACTATGCTAATTCTGATAACAACGTTCGTAATCGTATGGTTGATTACTATAATTAATCTTGCAGACTAAAAGCACTTCTAGCGAAAACAGTGTTGATCCTCTCACTCTAACTCCCCACCAAGTCCAGCATCAGCAGTAGTTCTGGAGGGCCATCAACTACTGCGCATGAGAGCAGCACATCATCTTCCTCGAGTGAGGAACAGGAGCTCGCTGCTACATTATCCGTCCTACAGCGAGAAAGGACGAGGCTGCTGCACCAAGGAGTAGCATTGCAAAGAAAGTGGGATAGCAGAAGGCATTTACTTGGGCATGATCTGCAAGTGATGGTAAAAGTTTTTCTTTTTCACTTTTGTTATGAAGCATGCATTTGTTATTTTTCACTTTTGTTCTGTGTAGCACCTCGCTGAGCGACAATGATGAAGTTTGCATATCGAAGAAGTAAAATACACGACGACCAATCTTCTTTTTTGTCCAACTAGTGTCTGTCCTCAAAATTTTATCACATATATCACCTCCACTCCACTACTCCCCACACAGCGTTTCGTGCTCGCTCTTTGGCGCGCAGCTTGTTATCGGCATCCTGTAGAACTGGAGAAGCACTACCACGCTCTGGAGAGTGAGCAGAATGAAAACGCCCAACTTTTTCGACGTGAGATGGATGCTGCTACAGCACGTTTCTTGACGGAAACACGAAGAGAGGAAACTTTGGTCGCTGCAAGGAGTGACGAACTGGAGATTCTTAGTAAACGAAGACGGGAATTTTAAGGCTTTGACGAGTTATTTAGCTACTGTCTAAGTCTAGTAGGTAAGTATATGTACAACTGCTATGAGTTCTTGTGCTGAGTTCTGCAAAATGTTAAAGTTTTTTTTCTTACGATGCGTGTCAGTCTCTAAGATCAAGATGTAGACCTCGCTACGGAAGAAGGAAATTTGACACGCAAGTTGCGTGAAAAGGAAGCTTTGGTGAGGACGTGGAAGGACGCGCTTAAGCGTTCTGAGAAGAGGAATGTAGTAGATACAAGGAAAAATGCGAGTGAAGGTGGAACGAATTTTTTGGATGTCAACCTTGGTCAACAGCTGAATGAAAGCAGACGTACATCATCTTCTTCGTCCGCAACTACTGTGGACACGTTGCGGCAAGTGAAAACGCAGCTGCAAGCCTTGAGTTTTCAACTTTTGTCTGACCCAAAGTTACGACGTGTTGCTACGCCAACTCTCGGGTCGCGCAGCGATCGCGTTACAGGCTTCATTTCAGGCAGCCTAACGAATCGGGGCCATTCGTCAGCCGCTGCGCCGCGCCACTTTCGCTATGCCTCGCCATTGCAAAGTCCGCCTTTCAGAGCGTGATTTTGGTGCCTAACCTAGTTGTATAAAAATTACATCTCAACAGAGACTCTCCGTTCGCATGTTCGACAAAACAACTGTTGCTAACAGTTAGACAGATGTTTTTACAAGTACTGGACTCGTTTTTTAGGTATAGCTCATTGTGCTTCGTGTGATGTGCATGTTGTACGACTCTCGACACAGAAGTGTTTGAGCACTGGTGCGAGTAAACGAGAAGTTCCTACGAAGAAGTAGAGAGTCACAAGTGATACATTGTTCTTGATGCTTGAACGTACGAGAACGTCAGACGAGCGCATCTGTCCTATGTTTAGTTAGCAACGTATGACTCTTCGGTATAATTGGCAGTATTTGATACTAGACGCTGACGCTGTACGAGTTAATTGGAAAGTCGGTTCTGGTATCGGGTGCACGGTGTGGATGGACTCATTGTGTTGTGAACGCAGAGTGAGTATTTAACTAGGACGATGAGTGTCGGAAGAACGAGTCTACCCTCAAGTCAAGCTACTACACTCAACCCAGACCCGAACCTTCCCCATGCAGCTCCCCAAATCTTCCTTTTTCCCTTGCGCATTATAGATGATAAATTTTCGTCATCGCTGTAGTTGCTGTGTTTCTGAAAATATACCTTAGTTACACTAGAAGATTTGGTCACGTCATGTGGATATGTCATACTGATTTTGTTTAAGCCGCATGAACGGGTAGAGTCTGCTCAAGACCCTGGAAAAATGGGTGAATTATGGACTGTGGTAGTAGGCGGGTTAGTCGATCTAGCACGAGGATGAAGCCATCAACAGGACGCTCTGCTCATGTGTCAAGGACAACGATGGGGCGCGAAGAACTAGTCTCTCTCGGGACTTCGTGCCCATCCGTCATGCGAGCTTTTGCCCGTCGTGGTCTTGTATTGGTGGCGTGCTACATGTGCATCGAAGACAGTAACACTATCCTACACGACTTTAAGCAGGGCCATCGGTTCAGGAGGACAGATCATGACAGGCGGACCTCGTCGGCGGGACTGCAACAGGGGCATCGAAAACACGTCTTTCAGAGGGGGTCATCAACTACATTCTGCAGCAGCAGAGACGATGACTGGCGATGGCGGGATTTGCTGAGGGATAAACAAAGTGTTTCAAGTAGAAGACCATCCTTACCTGTTGCGGCGATTCCCTCGTCATCCTCATCTTTGCCTCCGACGACTCAAACGACAACCTCTGGCGCTCTTCTCTGTCACAAAGCTCCAAGCCCAGCACGAGCCTCGTCATCCACCTCCCTCCCTGCCCTCCCGGCCCAACAATTACCCCATGAAGAAACATTCCTACGTTCGGAACCCAGAATAAGTACTACGCTTTTCGCCGCTGCGCAGACCGACGTGGCTGTTCACCCCAACGGTCCCGACCCCGCCACGTCCAATAATACCTGGCCTCCCCTAGACGTCCTCTACGTGGCGCAGCAAGGGTTCTACGTAACCACGGCGCCACCGATTCCCGAAGGCATCTTTGACCCGTGCGAGGGGGATCGGCCACCAGAAACCTACGCCGAAATAATGGCTGCGAAAGAGGAAGAGAAACGCGAGGAAGAGCGGCAAAGCTTCTACCTATTTATCGCACTTTTGGTGTTGATCGCGTGCGTCGTGCTTCCGCTCTATGTCATTCCGTTTCTGGGGGCGACAGGGTTTTCGGCGCCCTATACGTTCATCTATAAGGTACAACCATGACCACTATTTGGTTTCTATGACCCCTATTCAGTTTTTCTCACGCTAGGTCTTTGACAGACTGGTCGTGTGCAAGTTGTATGTAGTCCCTGCTTCATCTATGGGTCTCTCATTTTCCGATATAGAGTAAAGAAATCATCCCCATCTACCACACAAATCTACTACTATTTCAGGCATTGACCATCAACGCTATCCCCGAGCAGCGATTGCGCACTCCATTGACCAAGAACCCAGACGTGATGGACCTTGAGTACCCCTGGTATTCTTTTACTGAAGATATGCAATTGTTTCTGCACTCTTGGTGCTGCTACGCGACACGAGTGGCGCACACCTACGACGCAGCCGAGATCATGCCGTTCTGGGAAGCGTATAGAAAAGCAGTCATCTTCAACTGCTGCGCCGGAGCGGCGTTTTCGGAGCAGCGGTATCATTAAGGCTAGATCCATCCACAGCGTTACCTTAATAAATAGTAGTTCAGTAAATCAAATATATCTAATAATCCTGCGTTCCCTTATAAAAATAAGGCTAGAGTTCATCTTCATTCTTCTGCTCCTGCAGATAATGCATCCTGGCCGAAGAGGCTTTTCAAGTCGAAGAGGATGTTTCTCAAGATGAATTTAGGTAGGTTCTAATATCAATTGAGAAAGCTGAAGGGTCTGAATCATGACTGGTACGATTTGACGATGGCCCAGCAGCGAATGGCGATGGTCGAGGGCTACATGTGCGCATGCTGTTACGCTTACCATTAAGGCTTCCATTAATTATTCATCTTTTACTAAAGGGATCGTCCCTCAAGAAGAGCCGTATGCAGATGCACCCCAATACTACAAGGAAGATCATGGTTAATACTTAGTGAGGCATATTCATCCTGTGAGGGGTGATCCCCACAGGAATGAACTCGGGAGAGGTCTAATAGGAAGAAGCCAAAGAAGTTGACGAAGCAGCAAGGATCCACATATCGTGTTGTTGTCAAGTGTCTGACCTAGAGGACAAATATGCGGAATTCACGGTTGGGCCAGCAATCAAAGCCGCAGCTGCAGATACAGAGGTTACGACTCCCCCTAATCCATCAGCGGAAGCATCGTAGCGACGTTTCCAAGGGGAAAACAGTCTCAGGATGGACTTGGAGATGGATTCGGGTGAGCTCTAAAGAGGGTCTGCCAGGAGCTAAGAAGGAAGGCGAAGGTGATGGAGGGAAAATAGCTGGCGCGGGGGGAGGGAAGTTTTTAAGGCCATAAGTTGTTGTCAGGGTTTACTAGTATTTATTGCTTAATCAACAGAGTCTGAGTCAGACGGAGAAGGGGTGATCCATGACATGATTCCCGGAGAATCATGTTACTTGCTTCGCCGTGCTGTCCCCCTAAACCCTAATAGTAATCCATCGTAGTCATTGTAGTCATCTTCTAACACCCGATGACCCAGGCGGCGTACCTTTGACGCAGCTGTCGTTGAGGCAACTCGAAGAGGCCACCGGTGGTGAGCGCGGTCAAGCAATTCCCGCAGATCAGATGTCGTTTGCTTCTAGGGTCATTCAGGAGATGGACACGCCAGCAGCGAGGGCTAGGAAGAAAGACCTAGATTTATGGCTCGTGATAATTCTTTTTCATTTCCAAAACGAAAAATTATACTTTTTTCTGATTCATCATTTGCACCAAAAATTGTAGTTCCGGGTGTTCTACTCTCCTGTTGCTCAAATAGCATCTAAGAGAGAATTTAGCCGCGTAAAAAGTGAAAAAGTAGAAGTACCTTCTCCGTAGTTGATCTTCTCCTCTAACAGCTACGATGTCAGAAGCTACAAGTGTGCATCCTACCGCACCTGTGATAGGAAGACAGCGGACTCGGGAGACGCCTTTAGATGAGGATATTGCGGCAGCTGGGACAACGGCGCTGGCTGTGGAAGATCACGAAGAGGAAGCTGAGTTATGATTATAATTTCTGATTGTGGTTACTCTTAATATTCAGACGCCGTGGACATCGGTCGCTCGGCAACGACTTTACTCAGGTCACCTGCCTCGGTAAAGAATGATAGATGAATTCCTGGTTTTGTTGTAGCATAGAAGATGAAGCATTACACAGAGTTGAGTAGGAGTTTACACAGGTCACCCATCATCCTCGGAGTCGAGCCGGTGCCGGTGGGGCTCGATGTGCAGGATCCATGACCATGACCTAACCTAGCCTTTCAATCCAAGTGCACAACTACTTTCAGGGTACTTAAGTAAGTGAGTTTCAATAGACAGCTACCTGCTACTTTCGCCCTCAAAATGGTTTTCTAGAAACCTAAACTAACGTTTCACAATCCTCTTCATCTAGTTCCCTATAGACAGCTACCTGCTACTTTTGCCCTTAAAATGGTGTTCTAGAATCCTCTTCTAATTCCCTATTTTCCCGAGGCAACGAAGCGTGAGCTGACTGCCGAAGAGCTTGCTGCCTTAGAGGAGAAGCGACGACGTAGGGATCTCCGCGAGAAAGAAAAGCGTGCTCTAGAGGGCACCTTAACGGAGGAAGATAGAATGGCCAGGCAAGTTCGACTAAAGAGTCTCCATTTAAGGCTGCCTTGCTGGCTGCTAATTCATCTTGTCGTAAAGCATCTACTAACTTTGTCTTTGGCCTTATTCCCCATACTGTTAAATATATGAATAGTTTATGGGGAATCAATGTTGTATGCGTATGGAACCCATCGAGCCACAATAATGATGTGAGTGACTCTCTCTAGATGAGAATAGATTCTAGAAGGCGCAAGGTCTTCTAAGCCATGCTCGACAGAAAGCGGCTCAGACACCAGAGGGGGCGATAGTGGAGATGAATTCTAGCAAGCGGAGAAACCAGATTTAAGGCTCAACTTTCAATGGTCATTGTGGTTGGTCACTGGGATCGCAGCGAGGCTCTTCTTAGAAAACAGGGGAAAACACAGGGAGAACAAGTAGAGGGGTAAAGGGCCCTTTTCTTTCAGCATCAGTGACCAATGAATGCTGAGCTTTAACAGATGGAGCGGGATCGAGCAGCGAAGGAGGAACTGCGCAGGATAAAGGAAAGGGAACGGATGAAAGCGGAAGGTACAACTTAGATGTTCTTGAAGAATAAAGCAAAGGGAACGGATGAAAGCGGAAGGTAGTTGTAGTTTCTTTTGGAAGAGGTTTTAGGAGGTCAAGTAGAACTCAATGTTCGAAGTGCATGGGCTGGATTAGTAGCAAAGTGAAATCTAATTCCAATACGTCATAGTGTATTCGTATCTCTTCTCATATTTCTTCTTTTCAATTTCCTCCAGGTTTGATTCCTGAGTCTACCACCGGCGTTTCCTCGACTGACATTGATGATGCAACGTCAGTAGCGCAGACGGAACAGCAATCCCCTGTTGTTAGGGCTGAATTTCTACTGCACCGAATGCTCTACCTACTTAATATAAATATTGTTTTCATCCCCATAAAGACACGAGTTGTATACCTGTTGTAGATGATGAACACTTTTAGATTCTTAACCTCCATATCATGCGAGTCTTCTGAAGAGTCAGGAGACGGACCAAAGTAGAAGTCGAGTCGCACTCACGCCTAAGACTCCCACTACACTATAATCATCCATATCATCATCTCCCACTACACCAGTAGACACAATAACAGAGACTATATGTATAAGGATCATACTAGATTCTTAACCTCCATATCATCTGCTCCCACTACAGACACTCACTCTAAGGATCATCATCATTTCTAATTCTTGCGCAGCGCGTGGTACACTCTATGATATCCCGGAGGAGTCCGATGGGCGCACAGATGTTTTCTCTTTGCAGACGAAGCAACGAACCGTGAAGAACTCGACGTATGCAACAAGCGAGACGACTGACGACTCAGAATACTCCATTAAGGCTCCACTTTCACTGGTCACCATTTAGATTGGGGTCACTGAGATCAATGAGGGGCTCGCTCCCGTGAGAGAACAGAGGAAAATCAAGGGAAAGCAAAGGGAGAGGCATGGGGCCCTTTTCTTTCAGAATCAGTGGCCACTGACTGCTACCCTTTAACTCCAGCACCTTTATCGCGAAGCAAGAAGCCAAGCGGAAGAGGAAGCAACAAAAGATGCTAAAGAAAAGCTTCATCGATAATGAAAGCGACGTATTCTTGATCTCTTGTAACTATAAAGTAGGCTACACAGATGCCTGTGTGTGTGTCGGAGAACATCAAACATTTTTTATGGTTTGTGTGTAGAGCCAATTAAGTAGTTGTGAGATACAACAATTGTTGTACAGGAACGAAATATCTTCACATGATGTCCCTATAAGACATACCATCTACCCCTACACAGGTATCCGATGCCAGCACCCATGCGAAGAAACTAGCAAGAGTGAAATTACCTTCCGGCGTTTTCACGAAAAAGCAGTTCAAGAGGCTAGATGAGGACAAGATCAAAAAATTGTTTCTAGAGGCAGACGAAGATCAATCTGGCTCTATAACGTTGGAAGAATTCGGACTGTTTCTAGACAGAAGGTTTGGAGTGCGACCCAGTATATCTTATGGGTAAACTACAACTAGTTCATGCAGTAATAGTAAGAGTTTTTTACCACATCTTGATCTTTTATCGCTCCTGGTAGGTGGCATCTTCCTATATATCTTCTGGAAGCTGCTCCTTCAGTGATTATACCACGCTATTCATAGCGGAATCTCTAATCTTCAACCCTGAACATGCTGATGAAGCAAATCGACGACAACAACGACGGCGAGATCGACGAGGAAGAATTCGTGGCCTTCTTTCTGCTAGTCTTGAAGTACGCGAATAACGCCAAGAAGTTGAACGACTTGCGTACTAAGAAGCTCATGATGAATGTCTGTTCCAACGGAGCTTTGTTGTTGGCCTTTGGAATACTGACACTGTTTGCCTACAACAGTTCCCGAACATGTGAGGAGGTGTGCCGCGACGAGACCTTTGCTTGCCCCGGCGAGTCGAGAGGCCATTGCACCTACACTTGTTTTTTGCCGAAGCCCATGAATATTAAGGCCATGATTAGTTTATCACTTCTGTCCCATGTGCCATGTGGAGGATGCTAGCTGAGTGAAAGCTAGAAGTACTCAGAGATCTTTCTAGACCAGGAAATCGCACTCCCAGACAGCATATCACTCAGTTCCCATTGTTTGATTTCAAGGGGAAACAAAGGGGGACGCAGAGCATACCACTGACTCAGCCTGGGAGAATGAAAAACTAGCGTTAAGAAAACCTACGTGGAATACGGTTTACTCGATGCGATGATGTTTTGGATGCTATCCGGTGCGATCGCGAGCGCGATCTTCGTCTTCTTCTGCTTACCGAGTATCTGGGGCCTGGTTGTGAAGTGCTGCGGCGCAAGAAAGGGTGATGGTGATACAACGAAGATTCACTATGACGACGACTTTGATCCGGAGAGCTGGGCACCGCAACGACTCCGAAAACAAGTCAAAGATATGCACAAATTGGCGCCGACAATGGTACAACTAGATTTGAATATGTTCATTTGCGTGTGATTTAATTATGCCTACCGCCAATGTCGATTGTTTGATAACTTTCGCTACATTGAAGATGTTAATAGAATGAGTCTAGCTACATTTTTGATCCTGTAGCTAGACTCATTCTATTAACATCTTCAATCTATCCCATTATTGTCTTGTTCAACCTTTCCACAGGTGCGCAATCATCGAGTGGAGGATTATGCTGCTGCTGAGCGCGAACAGACCCTAAACCAACTGGCGAAAGGCAATCAGATCTACTTCCAGCCTCTCGGTCTCGGCAATGAGGGCAAGAAACACCACGATCCCAGAGTCCCAGATCCACTGAAGATTATGGAGGCTGAGTTCGAAAATGAAGAGGCCTTCTTGCAGGCTTTGAGTTTGAATCCATTGGATCCGGTTGCTTGGGTGCCTCCTGGCTTGGCCGACGACTTTTGCGTGCAAGTCTTGCAAAAGGAGGAAGAAGACGAAGAAAAATCACGGAAAAGACGGCGGAAAGAAAAGTTGAAAAATTATGGAACGCAAGAAGTTCGTTGCACTAGTTTTTCGTACTATTTGTTTTTAGAAAGTTGCCTCTATTTGTTTTTAGAAAGTTGCCACCTAGTTGTAGAAGCGGGCTCAATGACAAATTCTACCTGTACCAACCCTACCTGTTACTACTCTAATACATGCTACAAAAACGGGCCAATCGTGACGCCATGGATGCGCTCAACAAAAAGAATGACGTAGGACACAGTGCTCTTCCGCTAGAAGATGGTGATGTGGGTGGCGGAAATCCTTTTGGAGAGGCTGCCAAACGATCATCGGGACGCAGGGGGAAGAAGGTATCTTCACTTGATACATGTTAATTTAAGTAGTTACCCTAAGCGGCCTAAAAGAGTATGAGGAGTTGCGACCTTGGAGTATTAGAGTAGGAAGATGCACGCATTTTCTTTATCCATAAGCGTTTGATATTCTCCAAATTTACCGCCCCTCTGTCTGTAACGAAAATTATGAATCTTGCTCGTCAGATACTAGAAACACGCACACGACTGACTATCAAAGTAAACTCAACATTACTCTCTCTTGTTTCAGGCTCAATCCGGCAAATTGAAGCATGTGGACACGCGGGAACTGGACAGAATGGGCCAGTCGCAGAAAGCGCGCGTAGAAGGCATGTTAGCTGGAAGAGTGTCTGGAGCTGTCCGTAATCTCGATTTGCGAGATGATGGCAAGACCGATTATGAAAACGTCATTTTGATGTTACTAGTATTCGAAATCTTGAGCTAATCAACTGAGCAGATAGAGTTAACTGAGATGGAGCAAGGAAGAAGAACTAAATTGGAGGAACTCGTCAAGGCTATTAATATCAGATCCCAACGAAGCAGGACTCTAGTCACCATCAGAATCTTCACCTACGGATTCTCTCTCCTCCAGTTAACTCTAGTCACCAAGAATCACCTCTCGGCTTCAACGTTCTCTCTCACTCTCTCCCTCTCCCTCTAATCCTCCGAAGACCAAGAGGTCGATGCCCTTTTTCAAGATGCAGAAGGTCGCGTCATGCGACAAGAGACGCTGTTACCTGGCGGTTTAGAGGAAGGGAGTGACGGCGAAGGTAGTATAGAAGATGAGACCCAAGCACGTGCAAGGATGGAAGGGAGAGGTGCCAATTCGTCGCAGATGGCACTACAACATTCGCAACAGTTAGCCATTCCGATGACAGAAGCGGAGAAGGAGAGAGCGGCATACTATGCGAGGCCAATGTACGATCAACCGGAAAGCGTGCAGGTGAATCACGACCAATGGTCGAACTGGGAGCAAGAATATAGAGCACATCAGAGGTACTGCTTTTTTTTCAATGGTCAAATTGGGAACAAGAATACAGAGGACATCAGAGGTACTGAGGTGGAGCTGTGTGGTTTCTTAGTTCAGTTTTGCAGTCTACCAGTATCTTTACACGGGTTTGTAATTGTACGCGATGTTTCAATTTTCGACGTTACAACTTTGGATTTTATGATCATGGTTCAGTTAGTATCGAAGATGACATCTTGTTCACAAATAAAACAAGTGCTGAATTATATTGTTCTTCTCCTTGTCCAACTACTAACTTCTCAGTAATATTTATAAATTATAAATACAGGTCTGCGATACGTAAGCGTGTAAACCAGCTTATTCTAGCCGCCGGTGAAGATCCCGAGAAATACCGCGCTGCCGTGGAAGTAGCCAGGCAGAATGGTCCCGGTAACGCTTGCATGGCCTTCGACGAAGATGACATAAGGCGTCTAGACCGCAAACTACGTGAAATGCGGCAAGCCAAGGACCAAGCTGACGCAGAGAGGGATGATTAAGGCTTATTGTCCGAGTCCATTTCGTGAAGCATCCTGGGACGGCTTTTGAAAGGGAGAAAGGTCGACGCAGGATGATCTTCAAGATGGATTAGGGTGAGCAGCTCTAAGATGAAAAAGTGCAAGCGCAAATCGCGCAGTTAGAGCAGGCAATGATCACTAGGGAGCCCTATCAATTGGAGGAAGCGTTAGCGAATCTCAGTTCGCTCTGTAAGGGAACACGGGAGCATGCAAGGTTACTGTCCATCGCGCGAGCAGAGTTGCCGGTAATACAAAAAGAGGCTGAGAAAAATCGTGTTGCGGCTGGCTCCCACGCAATGGCCCCGCATTGGAGCAAATACGTTGCGCCGGATTTTATGGCTGTCCTCACTGAGTATCAAACGATACATCAGATTTTTTTGAGTACTTAGCTACCTAATTGTCGTGATCCCCGACACTGCAATCGCAAGCGATGTCGTTTCATCTTTTGTTAAATGAGTCAGTCCATCTAGAAGTTGGTTCTCTACTGATTAGCTCCATCTCTATCTCTAATCCCTTCGACGAAGAAAAAGAGCTCGATCCGATGCGATTTCAAGTGCCCGATCGGAATAAGGACAAGGCAGAAGAGAATACATTGATGCCTGGAGAGCGGAAGGATTCACCCAAAAAGAAAACAGGGGCTGCGAGGTTTAAAATCGGGAAAATGAAATCATGATAGGCTTTGCCGGTGATCTCGACAACAGTAGATTATGAATAGAAGATGCAAAGATGACCTTTTTTTAGCTTTCATTCACTGATATTAGATTGTAAGAATGTTCATCTCGACGTGACCCCGTGTGGCAGAAGAGAATCGCTGCAGCGATGACACTGATATTTCTTCTTCTCGACAATAGTTATGTGAGTAGATCCTAAGATGACACTGATATTTCGTCTCAACGATAAGGGAGATGTGATCGATCCTTTTTATTTCTGATGCAACAACGGACATTGCTAACACCTAGAGGTCCCTCCATTCCAATGACGTATTATTTATAGGATGGACCTCGTCTTTCTGAGCCGTCCTGGCAAGGCGAATTTTCATGTTCCTCATCTTCTGTCTCCCCGAAAGCATTCCACCCTAGATTCCACATGATTGTAATTCCACAGGACTCCTCTAGGGTGGAATGCTTTCGCGAAGACAAAAGATGGGGGGCCTGTGATGAGAGTGCATCACATGAAGGAAGGAAAAATGAGCTGTGTCTGAAGACTGCGAGAGATAGAGGATAAAGAGTTCTATCTGTTGTATTTCCAGTGAGGAGAAGAGACTGAAGGAGGTTTTTATGATGATAGAATCTGGAGCATTCTTGAGGTAAGATTGAGAGTGATGTTAGGTTGAATTCTGTTTTATGAAAGACGGGCACTTGAGAAGTGAGTCACTGATTGTGGTGAGTATAATCATGATGGATGAACGTCTGTTTTCTGAGTTATGACTGATTCGCACTTTGTTCTGTTGAGAGAAAATAATGTCTTTGTGTGTAGGTCCACGCTTTTGTTATCAATACTTTTGCAGGTGACAAATCTACTATGTTTTCCCACTCTCTAAGTTCCCATGAATGTTCCCTTTGTTTTCGGCCCTGGATATTCCTTGACTCATCATCTGTGTTAAATGAGAACTGTTTGGTTCAAATAATTTTGTTTTGTATTCCTTAAAACTCAAATTACCCATCATCCTCGGAGTCGAGCCAGGTGCCGGGCGGACTCGTTGTGCAGGATTCACAACCTAACCTAACCTGACCATTAGACAAGAGGTCTAGTTCTACATACACCATCAAGTTCAAGATGTCACTCGTCGCTCTAGGCAGACAGGGAACGCAAGAATCCGACATGATGAAGGCCACTGGAGGAGGTTCATCTGAATCGGAGTCAGCTTCTTCAGGAGCTTTCTCTTCCGCCTCTCGTCGTCATAGAGATGAACATGCGAATTTGGCTGCTCTTGCTGCCGCCGATGAGTGGAAGGAGTCGGATTTGAGCTCGTTTTTAGGCTGGACCGATGCGGAGACTACTGAGCATGAGATTGATGATGTTAAGGCAAAGGCTCTCACTAATTTAAATTCGTCTTTGATCATTCTTGCATCCTTGGGCAGTCGTGTGGGAGAGTCAGTTGTATCACACTAGGAAGATGACGCGCGGATAGTTCTAATGATGAAGATGTTTTGGATTTCGCGAACGATACGATGCTTGGTGCTATGGCTTTAGGCTTAACTGGTCAAACTCGTCGTCACTCTCCAGAGGAAGCCAAGAGGCTGCAGGAAGCGGGAGCAGCGTATAGGGCGAAAAAGCTAGCCGAAGCAGCAGCTGCCAGACAAGCAGCTCTAGACGCAGAAGATGCGGTCGAAGATGCTTGGGAGCAAGCTGCTGCAGATGTGATGGATAATTTCGATAAGACTGTGGAGGAACAAGAAGCTTTGGTGAAAAAAAAGACGGGCACCATGAAGAAAAAAGGCAAAAAGAAACCTAGAAGTGTTGGAGAACGAGAGTCTTCTGGTTTCGCCCTAATCGAAGAAGCAGGCGATGGCGACGATGCTAAGAAGAAAAAGAAGAAGAAAGGGGGTGTGTTAGGGAGTTATTCCGGGTCTTCCTCTTCTTTTAAGGCTCAACTTTCAATGGTCATTGGGGCTGGTCAATGAGGTCGAAGAGGCGCCCCCTTGAGAGAACCAACAGGGGAAAACGAAGGGAAAAGGGAGAGCTTTGGGGGGAGTCTCCTCCGTTCGGAGTCAGTGACCAATGAATGCTGAGCTTTAATTCTTCGTCGTTGTACACGACAGGAGCATCTTCCTATACCTCCAGCAGTGGATCCTCCTACACCACTTCTTCCTCAGATTCCGACATCGTTATGATAGACTTAGAGGGCACAGCAGCCAAAGATGACGCTGACGCCGAACTAAGCGACGAGATGGAGGAGGAATTTGGATCAGATGATGCAGAGAATTTGGATGGAGAGATGATCCGTGGTGGTGCAGGACCAGGAGGTGTAAAGTTAAGGGTTTCCGAATTTTTACATCCCTCACCTAGTGATTACTTGGCTCATTCTCAAGGGGAAAATAGGTCAAGGATGTTTTGAAGAATGCAACTCGGCAACCTCTAATATAGAACGATGGCAGTGGTACTGGGAGAGTAGGAGGACCTGCAGCAGGTGGAAAAGATGTAGCGAGTCCTCCAGGATCCCAAGCAGTTTCTTCTGTTATCATGTCGAAACGGGCAGCCTTGCGGAAAGCAGCAGGCCTGAACGAAGGTCAGAAAATGAGTACACTGTTGAGCGAATTAGCCGTTCAATCCGATGGCGAGTTGTCGACCTATGACGCAGCTGAGTCGCTCGCGAGAGCCTATACCTCTATTGCAGCCGCTGGAGAAGGTCCAAAGGTAGTTGCTGATATCTTTGCTAGCAGTGGTGCAAAAGCAGGTGATGATGCAACTGCAAGCAAGGCTGCAGGTGGTACAACTAGTACTGCCGAGGACGGCGCAAAAAAGGAACCAGAGACACCGGCTCAGAAAGAGAAGGCGCAATTGTTACGTAAACAGCAGGAGCAACAACAGCTTTTAGCCCTCGGGTTGATCGATGAGCCTCCACGACATCCGTTGCTGAGTTTTCATGCTGCAGCCGCGATTCGAGACGTTTTCCTCCCGGACTCTGCAGTAAATTGGCTCCGCAGTGGCAGTACCAATCCCGAAGCGCCAGTGCCTGGAGACAAGGATATCCAAGGTATTCGAAAGCTGACCGGCGGCTTCCTGCCGATGTATCCGAACGAAGAGGAGAAAGAACGGGAAAGAGCACGACCGCCTTTGGACGTAGGCGTTTTTGGAGTCCGACATGCGAAATTGTTGACGAATTCGCGCTTAGCTGTACCGCATCCGCAGAGTGGAGGAATGCCCCTGGGTTTTCTAGGGTTTCGCGTTCAGGACATCCCGAACCCAGGTGATAAGCCAGAAAACTACCCTATGTCCATGCCTGCTGCAGCGGGGACATCCACTTCCACACATCAATCAAAAACTACAGAAGTTGTCAAAAGTGGAAGAATTGTGCCTGCTCCAGCATCGGATGTGCAAGTTGGAAGTTTGGATCATGCGCAACACGTTTTGCTGACCGGAAACGCAGAGGCGCAACCCTCCATCAAAGGAACCAGGAAAGGAAAGGATGTTGATAAAATGTTGAAGGGTTCTGGTGTGAGTGATTTCGCCGCTTATGAGCGGTATAAGGAAATCGAAGCCATATACGCCGAAATGGAGGGCCTAGAGATCGACGATCTAGACGCTATTATGCTCGAGCGTACTCGCCACGATCAGTATGACCGTGATTACGTCGAAGAGGCGAAGTTACAGCAGCTGAGGCTGCTGTTCTTGTTCCGGAACCAGTTGGCTACGACTTTGAAGGACCATGAAGAAAAAGTGTCCAAGCATGCAATAAAATTAATGCAATTCGAAGGACCTTTGTCGAAAGCTATGCGTCGAAAATTTGAGGCACAGGAGGCAACGAAACGCGCAGCTGCGCGAAAGGAGGCTGAAAAAGAACGGAAACGAAAACTGAAAGCCCGTAACGTCAAAATCGCCTTGAAAGGAGATGCCAATGTGGGTAAGGGTACTATGACGGCTCGACAACTGCGCGGACGCGAGTTGAATACGGATCATATTCGCAACTGGCTAGTGCAAGAGAAAAGTGATAACGACGATGATTCCTCAAGCGATGAAGAGGAGAAGATGTCCGGAGAAGCCATGGCAGCGGCTAAGAAAGCTCTGGAGGACATGAAAGGAGCTGATGAGGACGCGGCATTTGGAACGCATCCTGCACTGGCTACTTCTGCAGCTTTCCACAAAAAACGCGTTTCCCAATTACGTGTCGATCACGTGCATCGATCGATTTTACAGCAACTAGAAGATTCTGAATCCGAGGTCGACGGCGTCTTGCAAGAAGCGGGGGACGAAAACTTGTACCCAGCACACGGAATTCGATTACGCGAAGTATACCCGACTGTGAGGGAATTTCGCAGACGAGAGGCCATGTTAAAGACCAAGGAGTTGGAAAAACAACGGAAAACCTTGTTAACAGATCAGTCTGTTGGAGGAGCGCTGTTGGCCATGACGAAGGAGGAACTGGAAGAAGCGAAGAGAGAGCAGGAAGCAGCGAGTAAAAAGAAAGAAGAAAAGCCTCCACCTCCAGATGACGACGAGGACGATGATTTCGCCGCAGACGGATTAACCGATGCGATTAACGCTATCGTCAAAAAAATCACCGACGCCGCCGATAGAGTCCAGGAAAAATTAGAGCCCATGGTTGATTCAGTGGTCGCAGATGTCGCAGACAATGTGAATTTGGACAATGACGAAGCTGTCCCCGAGGAGGTGATGGAAATCTTCAGCGGAAACCAACGAGCCTCGGATTACGCGTCCGCCAGAAAAAGCAATAAGATGCACGACTTGCTGAAACAAAGATACCAAATTTTGAAATCAAAACACGGACTCTTGGATGTGAAAGGCTTAAAAGCGAAGGGGTTTTTAGGTGGGCAGAAAGTTAACCCGAATGATGAGGACGCGTTCTTGAAAGAAATTGAGGATGATGAAAATGCGCATAAAAAGCTGGTCAGCCCGGAGCATCACAGCGAAATGGTAGAAGCAGATGCACAGAAGCACCGGGACAGGGAAGCGAAATTCCTAAGACACGAAAATCACACTGATTTGGCGCATCCTAGTATGACCGACCGAAAGCGCAATCATCATCTCGTGTTTCCGCCACCACACGTGAAAATCCCCGACCCGGATGTTTACCAGAGCATGGCCGTGGACCATCACGGACTTACAAAGCGTGCGGCTGACTTCGGTTACCATGCGAGACAAGGCCATGTGCTGGAGAACTTGTACCAAATCAAAGATCCCGAAGAAGAGGCCTTTTTTCACTCCAGAAAGCTCCTGCATGAACGCAGGAGAAATTGGAACGGCGAACGCCGGAACATGAATTCCAACATACCAGGAGGAGTTGCGAGTCGAGGAGCCAGTAAGGATAGCGCGGCTGGAGACGAGGATAGTACTGGTGCTGAAGGAGCGGCCGCCAGTTTCTTCCAAAAGCCCGCTAGTCCTAAAAAGGAAAAGGATGTTGAGAAGAACGAAGCGGAAGGCGATGAAGGAGAAGACAAAAGTGGTGCTGCTTCTTCTCTCTCTCCAGGAGGAGGCACAACTACTACGAAAAAGAAAGGCAAAACGAAAACGAAAGACATCGCTAGCAAGGATCATCAAGACAAATACTTAATGTTGGACTTCAACATCCCTGAAAAGTTTGAAGACACTGCGAAAAGACGCACGGCTCAGCAAGATAGAAAGAATAGCACTGGTAGCAGGACGTCCGCCACAGGCTTGACGGCAGGGTTGTTGACAGGTAAGAAGAGTCCTGCACGTCGTCTTGAAGAGAAGCAACATCAACAACAGCAAGAACAACTGAAAAACCAGCTCGAAGAGCAAGCGTTGGCCGATAGACCTGCCAAGAAAGCGAGTCACAAGTTCGGTTGGTCGCATGAGTATGACAAACATCTTGCCGAAGAGCCACAGGAAAGGTCCGACTTCTTTCTCTTCCGAGACGGCGTGAAAAGTCGAGAAGACGCCATGGCGAAACAGAGGACTTTGTTGGATGCAAAGTTGAAAAATATGGCTAAAGCTAGCAGAGCGAAGGCGAAAGAAGAGCATGAAGCGTTCAAGCGCGCAGCACGGGATTACAGGCCGCGTATAGTAGAAGCGACGATTGAGATGATGCGTACGGGAGGAGCGCCAGAGGGTGCAGAAGATGACTCGGCACTCGACGAAAGCAGTTCTGCGGAGGAAAATGACGACAAGGACAAGAAGGATGCTGACGATGCAGCTGATGACACCGCGTCCAAAACGTCAAAGAAAGAGTTAAAGGTCTCTGCGAAGAGGGTTAGGTTACATCCTTATACAAGAGCATGCGCAGAGCGTCTGCGGCGTTTCGGAAAGGGCGAGGAGGTATGGGATGCGGATGATGGCTACTAGAGATTATGATATGTTGTGGCTGTAGCGGAGCAACTGATGTTCTTGGGGAAAAAAGTAAATGTGGTGTGAAAAGAAAAAGGTCGAAGTAGCTGTAGTACTCAAGCAAATACCTACAAATAGAAATACTGACAAGAAAAGGATAATGGGGAACCTGTACTATTAGCTATTCTTTGGGGAAAATTCATTTATGTAAAATACCTATTTGGAAGTTGTACGCTTATCTGATTATACAAAAGAACCTAAGGTAGGCGCATCGCACATAGACACTTATCGTTACTCACTTAGACACTTATCGTTACTCACTCGAACTAGAATGTATGTATAAACACAGGAATATATCGCACCACGACTTTTCTTACTTATGTTGAACTCTTTGAACTTCTTTTCGAACACGAACTCTCTTCTTACTAAGAGCCATCAAAATCAATGCTATTCGTTTGCAGATGAACACTCAAGTTGGGGGTTTTAAGATCTGAATTTGGGGTTTTAAGGTGTAGTTACAATTGGGGCATCTGCAACTCGTGCTTTACGATGCTGTCTAGTACAGCAGTTTTGACGACCTGATCGTGGTTTTTGACTCTTTGTTCTTTTCGAGGGAACAGTGAGGTGCGAGAAAACATCTTCATCAAGCCGGAAGAGAGAGAGGAAGCATAGAAGGAAAATTGGTTACTAAAGAGGGGAAAAAAAGAGCAGAATAACTACAGACAACAGTTACTAGTTACAACTCATAATTCATCAAGAAAACCACAACTTCTTGATCTTGATCAAGCTGAGAGAAGTCCTCTCGCGAAATGCATGATGGCGGCAGGCACATCAAGACCAGGTCCTCGAGGAACAAGTCGGCGGCGGCATATAGTGGATGTCGCCGAGGGCCAGAGGCCCACACCGTCACAGTCTCCAAGAACGCTGCCTTCAGTAATAACGACACGATCCTCGAAAAAATTCAAAAATTCGGAGAGGTACGCAACGACAAAAAGAAAACAGGCGGCGACGGATGCAGGGGTGAAAAAAAGGATCAAGCAGTTAGTTCAGTGGACCCGCAAATGCAAGAAACCGCTGAAATCCTGGCTGGCTCTCTCTGTGCAGGTGGCGTCCGCTGTTGTGGTCTTTGGGTCTTTCCATACCGTAGTTACGACGAAGGCTTTCTTCTAGACAGGATACCTAGTAATGGTTTTCAACTAACATTCCACACTCAGACGTGGACTACAAGGTTGATAAGAAAGTATCTTGTTCGAGAATTTATCATCCAAATATAGCGAACAACGTGGGACAACATCGACCTTCGTCTAAACCGTTTTCCGCCGAATTCGAGGCAGACACTTCCGCCAAAAGTAGTAAGTACAACTGGAGCAGCTCTTGCAGATAATATCCAGATATTAGAACAAGAGGAAAGGAAGTTTTCCCTAGTTTCACTGGCAGTATCTTCGATGTTGCTCGGCTCTTTCGCGTTTGTGATGGCCATGTTCTATCTTTATGATTCACTCTGAATTTTAGATCTTCTTACGGTGGTCCTAAACTCGTATAGAACAAGTTTTTTCTGATGAATATGTATTTATTCATACAACTACGTACTACCCCGGTTGAGCATGAATAGATGTGGCTACTGTGAGAGCGATGGCTGGGAAAGGTGGCGTGAAGACAGCTGCCAAGAACACTCTCGGGGGAGTAGATCTAGATGAAAAGACGAAAGCGCTTTTAGAGAAGGCTCAGGGAGTGAAGCTGTAGGTTTATGTTTAGGCGACAGGAGGTGGACAGGTTAACCATTCTTATGTCATCATGTCTTCATAGACGGAATCGAATTAAGATTTTTTTAAAGATCAGTTCTTGATGGTTTTTCATTTCTTTTTGAAAATGGCTGCCAGCTTTCTGGTGCCTCGCGCGAGTAGCAAGCATGTGTATTATATAGAAAGATTGTGACATTGAGTTATAATTTTTGGGTACTTCCTTGTCGCAGTAAGGTTTTTTCAACATCCACAATGTTTCAAACAAACTACGTGCGGCTCATTTCAAACAAACTACCTTCCAACATTTTCCGTATCAGTTTGACCTAGTTGTGTTTCGTATTCTATTTCGTGTTGTTCGTTCAAGCTACGACTACGACTTAGACTTCCTTGTCTGTGGGCGCTTATTCCGATTAGCGGCCGTCTCCGTACAGAAACGACAATGCACAGATGTTAACAGTCGTATGATTGCGGACGACAGACCAAAACGCACAGTCTAAGATATCAATTTTTCCAAATTCATTGTTCTTAACATCCAAGATGACTTAGCTTCTTTCGATATTTTTCGGATACAAACTAGCTAGGAGATGCTGCTTGATGTTGTTGTGCCATATTTTAATGGGGTTCGGATTGAGCTGCCCCTCCAGAGGTGCAAACAGCACTCCTGCTTTCATGGTCCTTCATAGACGCGGATAGTCCTACAAGAAACAGCGTTTCCTTCAACGAAGGTACTTATATATCGAACTGTTACGAGTACCCAACTTGCCTGCAGGCCTATGAGTATGACGTCAAACGACCACTAGGTAGCACCGAGAAGTTGATCGCATTTTATATGGTGCGTCTTTTACTGTGGAGGGCGTGCGACGACGCAGAGAAACCAAAGAAAGTCAACACAGCCTGAAAGGTTATTTTCCCTGAGCGTTAACGTGTAGCAGGAGCTGGAGGGAGAAAAAGAAAGACCCAATGACCAGAGCCTGAAAGAATGAAACCTGCATTCACTCAAAACTTTCACTTAAAACGTCCTTTCTCTCATCTTTGTAACTTCACTGTATATTTCTTGAAATTCTAGGGTCTACATGCTTACTGAAGACGTTCTTCCGTGTTTCACAATCACACCTCCTATGACAAGAACTTTCTTGCATTATCGACGCACTGCACATTCACGACAAGCACAACAGAAGATTTTCGTATTTCGTATTTCGTCGGTTTCAAAACTATCGTGACTAATTATCCTAAGACTAACCTGACAGTCACAGCTTCAACCTACTTCATAATCCTCATCTACTTAAGGAACTAGATTATAAGCGTTCAACGAACCAGGTAATCCTAGGTAACCTCTAAAAGCAATACCACTCGTACCTCAACAAGATGTGTCGTTTTCGAGCACGTGGTGCATCACCAAAGCTTTTTGCGGTCTTGACCATGATTTCCCTGTTCTGCGAAGTTTTTGTTCATTCGGTCGGCTGGCTAAGGAGAGCAGAGGCAGGATGGAACGTTTTCCTTCAGATTCTTATGGGATTTTTGAATTTTTGTCTGATGTTTGGGTTTGAGGTTTTTGAATTTTTCTTTTTGTCGTCACGAATTTTTTGATTTGATTCTTGAACATCTTGTTTCCCCGCGTCCTCCTAGGTACTTTCGAATCAATCGATTCTTGAAGATCTTGTTTCCCCGCGTCCTCCTACGCACTTTCCTTCATTTCTCGAACGTGGGACTGTTGGGGCATTCGCGGATACGATTGGGTTTCCTACTTCGCGACCACGAGGAACCTGTTGCATTACTATCAAAGCGAAACCCTCATGAATATTGCGTGCACGTCACCGATATGCATGTGGTATCGGAGCAAGCATCAGAAGTTTCTACATTTAGGGCTTTCGCATGAAGTCACCTGTAACCCGGCTAGTCATTTCCCTTGATGGTTCGAATATTGTTTTTGTTAGTCTCTGTCCACAACGAAGGATTATAGTTTTGGTAACAATCTGTATAGAGATACTAACTTTATATTCCACACAGTCTGTCAGCTACAACCTCACACAACCTTTAGCAAGCGCTAATACTCCTCGCAATGTTTGGATACGCGGCAGGTGGGATGATGTTGGGAGTGACACTTATGATGCTCCGCGCTTTTCTCTGGACCATGTCCTTCTCACCTAGGGAACTGCGCTACTCTTTTGTGACGACCTTCGTGGCGATGCACCTGCTGGTATTTTTGAATTGTAGTTTGGAGATTACTTCTGTAAAAGTTCCAGAAGACACTCAGCGCAACGACGGCAGTTCTCCCACACTATACTCTGGAGGAAAAACATTTACATGATAAACTTCTAGTCTTGCACTACATCACGACTTCATGAATAATAGGGTTTTTAGTAGTTTCTCTCATTCTAGTACTTCAGCTTCAATCAGGTGATATAACTTACTACATACTTATGTCGCTTCTGATAAACACCTCAGGTGGTAGTGATATAACTTACTACATATGTTCTTCTGCGTTAATCCGCTTGAGAATGCAGCTAAACACTGCGGATGTCGGATCACATCCTAATCCTAATCCAAACACCTCAGGTGATAGTCCATGTCGTATTCGATATGGGCATGGAGCATGTATACGTGGACCTAAACGAACAACACCACTATCCCAATCCGCCTTACGGTCTTGGGACCTACATGCTCTGGGGATGGATGGGCCTTACCTTTCTGCGGTTGCTGGTGAGTGTTATGGCCACTGAATTAGACTGTGTCTGCGATATTAGACTGTGTCTGCGATATTATAGGCAGATCTTCTGTACAACTTACACGATAGTGTGCATCCTATCTACAACTTACACGCATTGACGAATCTGGGACGATATAGGATGCACTATGACAAGACCTTAATACAGCACTGTTGCAGTAAAAGTAATAAGACTTCTGTCTCGTTCATCATCTCGTATGATGGGTAATATAACGTGGGGAAACTCTTAACGTAGGGACGAAACTCTTCTAAAATCGGATTCCTTTTTGCAAAAAGTCGAGAGTTCGAGCATGACGAGACAAGCAGCGACGATTCTAGTGATGATGCGGACGAGGTGAGGAGGGCCAAAGATAATTTCAAGTTATGATCATCAACACAGCGACGGTCGGTTCATCATGTTGAAGTTATAATCTTCTGAAATAATACTCGAATACTCAAAATAAGCGAGTAAGTAACACAATAACCTCCGAGTATCTGAGAAGATTATTATCGTCTGGGATACTCGGTTATTTCAGTTTCTCGATTAATTGCTTAGGCATGTAGCTTGCTGCATCTGCACGTACAGAAGTTGTAGAAAAAAATTCGCTTTTCGCTTTGTATCATGAAGAGGTAGGTTGTTTGATATGATAGATCTAACCGCAGGCATGAAAGGGATGCGCGTGGCACCTGACAAGGGTGTAGGCAAGATGAACGTGATGAGGAAAGGAAAGAAATAAATGGCATCAAGACTGGTGGACTTCCTCGCGCGCTCGTTTTTTTGTCCAAATTTTTTTTGATTTGCGGCTCTCTGGCTAAGATGGTTTAGAACGAGTAAATGCAGCCGACCGGGACCACGTGACGGACATCTCATTTTGCGGACCCGCCTTCTCCTACACGCTGATGAGCGGCTACGATTGACCAATAAAGGAGCAGTCGAGGACATCACGGGCACGCTCGCGGATGCCGGAAGCCGACGGAAGATATACAGGATGCAGTTGGCGAATGCACGTCCTCCGATTGAAACAGGCATCAAGAAGTAATCATCTTCATCAATAGATGAAAGAAAGGAGCTGTAGTTGTCGTGCTATAGAACAGTACTTCTTGGTTGGCATTTTTCCAAGAAATTTCTGACTTGAAGTAGCTAGTACAATTCGTTGTCCTAGTGGATATGATGATCACCTGTCTTTCAAGGAATGTATGAAAATGAAAGATTTTCCGTGGATCTCCACTGACTTATCTCCCTGCGAGATCCGTGCTTTCGATCGATGGTGTTCGAAAAAGTTTTCATTTTTTTACGCACAGGCACACACGCACCGTCGTTGTGTCCTTCATTCTTAGACTCTGCACAGAAAAATAAATGATTCAGGGCGGATATTACAGTTTTTAGATAAGGCACTAACTGCCTTCTAGCAAGAAACTAGAAGTAGAAGCACATAATACGAGTGCGAGTTGTTTTTGTTTCTTTGTATAGAGCACCAGTTTTCTTTCTTTGTATTCTCCTTTTCATTAAACCGTAACATAGTGGCTTCGCCCTTACTATCATTTTTGATTGCTCTTCACCAGCAGTCTACAAAAGACAAAGATGTCATCGTCCACGTCCTCCTACACGGAAGCACTCGAGTGCTATGTTGACGAGGAATATGCCACGTGCAAAGCGTTACTTTTGGGCGCACAGTCCGACGCCAAGAACTGGCGATCACCGAAGTTGCTTGGTTTGGCACTTTATCAGTTAGGTGACCTAGATGCTGCCAGAGGACGCCTTACCACTAGTCTTGAAGCATTTCACGCCCAAGTCGGTGAAAATATGACTCCTGCTGGTGATCAAACCCTTGTGAGACAATTAGACGCGCTGAATTTAGCGTTGGGAAAGGTGTGCTTTTACCAACGGGATTGGGACGCAGCTATGAAATATTTTGGGAAGACAGATAGCGCTCTGTGGCAGGCTAAGGTGTCTGCGGCACAAAGCGGATCCGCTCTACCTCTTAAAGGGTTCATCAAACAACCTGTGGGAGGTAGTAGCACTACTAGCATTAAGGCTTCCCGCGTTACATCCTCCACTAACTTCCTTCCCCTGTTAGTTTTCAAGTGGGAAATACTGAATAGGTCAAGGCTGTTCGGAAGAGTGTAATGCTGCAACCTTTAATAGCGGCATCAAGCCGGCAGCTGCTGCAGCAGCAGCAACTTCTACTTCTAGTATGGGAGAAGTTAGTTCTGCCTCGTCTGCGAGTCCAAGTAGAGCGCCCAAAGTTAAGGCTATTATCTCAACTTGCTATGCAAAAACAGGATAAGATGGGTGGGAAAGAACACGAAGAATATATGAACTATTGTAGAGACGTACTATTTGTAGAGAACAAGTACAAGAACTAGAGCAAGTGAAAGATCTCCTCTAACAAGAACACTCCGGTCGCAAAAAAAGCCGAGAAGCAGAAGAAGTCCTTGGACAATGGTCATTCTGACGACGAGGACGACATTGAAATCGAAGAAGTAGAGGAAGAAAAGACCGAGTTGAAGCCGATTCGTCACGAGTGGTATCAGAACAACGAATTCGTCATTGTGTCAGTGTATCTGAAGAACCTACCTGCAGACAAGGTGAAGATCGGGATGGGCGACAGATTTTAAGGCACGAAACAGCACACCGCTTGCGATCTTGGCCCTTTGAATACACTACTTTTTAGTTCTAAGATAATGTTATAAGCACTCAGCATTCTCATTCACTCGAGTAGACGCTGTAGCTACAGTGAAAAACTGCATATTAGCAACACTTATGATGTCCTCTCCGTTGCTGTTCTAATGCACCCTGCATCTAGAATACGAACGTGAGGCATCGGATCCGCTATGTGCGAAGGAGGAGGGTTTTGCAAAAGAACTCAGGTTGGAACTGTTCGAGGAAATCAATCCTGCAGGAAGCTCTATTGACCATGGAAAGGTACTACAACTAGTATTGTATCGTAGTATTATAGAAGACTGTCTATATTGTTGTTGCCATCGTCAAGTTTAGAATCTTATCGACTTAATTCTTATCGACCTAATCCTAATGCTAAGTCGACAGATTTCTGAGAATATCAGCCTAGTATAATCCTTATCGTCCTTTCTGCAGGTAAAAATCGAGTTCCGGTTGAAGAAAGCGCAGACGGGGGTCCAGTGGACTGGTCTCACGCCTGTAGCGAAGATTGTCAACGAACGTCCTCTCGCTTACCCAACTTCGAACAAGCAGAAAAAGAAGTGGGATGCGGAATTGGAAGACGAGGATGATTATGAAACAAATGTTGTAGGTGGTTTTGAGAAGATCGTAGAAGGAAGTTTGGGTTTAGAGGTAGTCGTTTGTCATCTTGTGGAAGGATCAGCATCGTGTCACTTTGGTTCGCACTGGCTAGACGACCGTTGTATTGTCTTTTTAGACCCAGACCAATATCAGTACTAGTAGCGGAGGATCATCTCCGTTGTTTGAATGGCCAGCTCTAAACTTCAAAGCCAGAAGGAGATGAAGCATTAAATAAGCTTTTCAAGGAAATCTACGGCAACGCGACAGACGAAACCCGGAAGGCTATGGTACAGTTTACCTTTAGTTTTGAGATATTTTTTGTGTCGACGACCACACTTCCATGAGTTTGACTTGTCAGAGTCAGAATGATGTCTGCACTCGCTTGGGTATGATTTTCTTCACTTTCATCTAGCTGCCCTAGCGCGACTACTGTTCCTGCACGGGCGTCCGCAGTCGCTTCAAGAAGGTGGGCCTACGCTGCCCGAACTTTCGCGCTACCCATTGCCGACGAGGCCGAGGGCGTCCGTCGGCTGAAAGAAGAGGGAAAGGAGAGGATCCACCGAGAGGCCAAGGGAAGAAATGAAGCTCGAAAGCGGAAACGCTTCGCGCGCAGGCCTCGGGATGCCGACGAAAGGGCCAGCCCCTGCGTTTTTGTTATCTGGGTGGGGCGCTTCGCATCTACTTGAAGAGTATGGGAATGAAGAAGGAGAGCGCGACACGCATTGGCAGCCGTGAGACTGAGGACGCGCGCCGCGGTGTGGTCTCTCACCTGCACGGCCGCGGGGCCGTTCACGTTGGTCCGCACATCAAAGGCACCGGCCTCGCAAATGGGACAGCCTGCGCCTTCGGTTTTGGGCAGTCGATGCATAGCGTGGAACTGATGACGAAGCGCGAAAAGGGTCGCCATCTTTTCGGCTCTCGGCCTTCCCCTTTTTTCTCTCCAGGACGCCCTGCGATCCTTCGCGCTGGCCGCAGAGAATTGCGCGAAGCCGGCGCACTTGTGGCGTGCGAGAGCAAGCCCGCCAAAGTGGGCGATGCATATCCGTCGGATGTGAGGCCTTCGATACAGCATCGCGAAGGGACGGAAAGAAGGCCGGCGGGGTTACTCGTCGGGGCTAGGGTGAAAGCCTGCCCTTGGGACTGCTCGGGCACTTTACAGCCAGGGGACTGGCCTGCGGCGCCGGTTCTGCTCGGACAGTCGGGCCTTGTCGGTCTTACGTTGTTGGTTCGAGGGAGCTCTGCCCCCGCTGGATGCGTTGCCTGTGCATGCTGTGGAGCTGAGCGGCGCAAGCTTGGGGAGATAGCTGCACCCGGCTGGCTGTGGCCCGCCCCGGGTCGAACGCGAACGCGCCACGCCAGCGAGGAGGGAAACGAGGGACCCAGGACGAGGCGCCAGAAGAGCAGGGACACAGCAGCGCCCGCGCCACTAGAGCTACGCACGCAAGCAAGGGGGGGCGGCCTGGGTGCCGTTGTGTCAAGCGTTCGCGGAATGCTACCAGGGTCAGCGAATGGACCCCCAGGACAGGAAAGAGGGCAGACGTAGACGCGTGCGCAATTCTGGACGGAAGCAGCTGCGCGCTGTTGAAGCAGGTGCGGCTGGGAAAGGCCGCGGGGCTTCGGAGGGAGATCGTGAGAAGGCAAGTGGGACAAAGGAAATAGCGCGGAGCAAGTCTCGCGGAAAGTGGGGGCTTGGGTCTGTGTTTTGTTTTTGCTTCAGTTATGGGCTGTTTAGTGTCAGTCTACCAGAATGCTTTAAGCTAGTCGGCTGCACTCGTAACTACTTGCTCGTCATCATTGACATCGAACACGAACGCCTTGCTATGACAAAAACAAATATTGAAAGTAGAAGTACTATGAAGCAATTACTTGTTGCAGTATCTCTGAGGTAGTTTGTTATGGGAGGCACAAGAGACCCCTCAAAAAAGGGACAAGGAGTGCAAAAAAAACAAAGAGGAGGCATGGAAAATGACTGCGCCCAAAAAACAACAGGCAGCGCTGACCTTACATACTGCAAGAGTTTGCTCTCCTTGTGGGGCACAAAGGTTGAAAGTCCTTACTCCTGGCAGATAGTTCAGGACCAAAGGCGACATGGCCGGGCAACACTGAATGGCCACGTCGTTGTAATATCTTCGAAGACTGTAGTGCCTGTAGATGATCACCTTCTCAACTGGGATCCCTCTCAAACTAGATGAATTTTTTTCTTTCCTCCGCACATAGGTAAAGTCCTTCCAGACGTCTGGCGGGACAGTATTGTCCACAAACTGGGACGAAGTAGGTAAAGCTGATTATGAGGGCAAGGATCGGCCTAGCGCGCCTGACGGACAAAAATGGCAGAAGTGGTAGTTTCAAAAGAATTGTTGATGTTTCATGCCGAAAGGGGGCTGTCGTAAATCCCTAAAGAACCTAGGGCTTGCTTACAGTGCCTTAAGGTATATGATTATGATAGGGTTCCTTGGAGGTGGAGGAGGGACTCGGCGCACATCGAAGAGGACACTGCTCCCATGCCTGTGGTTATGAAGATACGACTAGTCTTGATAATAGTTGCACTTCCTGCTGTACATGCTGTCCTATGTTGAACACAAGTACAGTAGTAGGTACTACGCAGGACTGGTGTCCCTCTTCTGGGCATCTGTTTGATGAGAAGATACGAAGATCATACTGGACTCCCCATGTTGGTTGTGATTCCCCTCATTGACTTGTCCAGCACCTGCTACACAGCAAAAAAACCTTTTCAATATTCTTATAGACGACAGAAATTGTTATACAGAGAATGAACTCAGAGACCACTAACTATGATTATGGACGAAAGTCTTGATCATTCTTATTGCTTCTACCGCTGCTGGTGCAAAAAATCCACACTTGTCGGACAATCTGGTACATTAAGTCAACGAAGAGAGAAAATAGAGAGCGGAGAAGTACGCCTAGTATCGCAGATCATGGAGGGCTGCAAGCCAGATGTCGTGTACAGGTGTACTAGGGCGAACAGCCTCCAGGAGAGTATTTCGGTCGGAAGTGGTCACTAAAAAGTAATGGTATTACAATCCTTTAAAAATGGTACTAAAGGTCCCTACAAGATCCTTTCCCCTGTCTGCCCACTGGTGCAACCCGGCTGCGTATATTTTTTTGACCGTCTTTTGAGATTGTGTTGGTTGTTTCTTTTGGAATATGATACATTTTTGACACAGATTGACGTAGGCGCAGTTTCAATTCGTTGATACAGGATTACTTAAGTAAATTTTTAAGCGCCAAACCTAAGCAAGGCAAGGTTTGTGTCATTTTTGTTGTTGTTGCCCTTATAATTGTATAATTATCATGGTTTCCTGTTCTATTTGATTCTTTTCTGTTCGAAGTAAGCTAACAAAATGCAGTATCCTGTCCAATCTCCGCGCGATGACGCAACGACGTCCGCACCCATTCCCGAGACAGGACGTAGTGCGACCTACCATGGCCCTGGCATTCCCTCACGAGACTTCTATTCGGCACCGCCTCTTCTCTTATGGGCGGTCGTAGTTGACGAGCTCTTCTAATGATCTATTGTTCCTTCTCATAGGCGGTAGTTTTTTATTTGGGCAAAACTAGCTTGACTTCGTGACTAAATACTATAGTACGGTGGTTGTAAGTAATTAAACACATGAATAGACTCCGCACTAATTTCAGAAAACAGCAACGACGGGCCAATATCAAGGACGTACTCTGCACTCGACGAGCCGCATGAACAGCGCACGTACCATGAAGCGGGAGGCAATGGGAATGGAAATCAGGAGTATGGCCACCTAGGATATGTTCGTAGAAATCAGTATGGCCGCCTAGGCAAATTATCAGTATGGCCTTGAGAGTCAGATCTAGTGTGAAAGGATCTTGTTGCTATAAGATCCTCAATAGGTAGAGTCAATTTGGATCCCGAAACTAACCGAGCCCATTTTTTTGGTAGGATTGTTACCATAATTACTTGTATGAAGATGAAGATGTAACATGGATCACACAGAAATACACAACGTCCACCAATATTTTTCTCTAAAACTCGCTATTTCTACCAACTACCTCGACGTGCAATGTGGTATCACCTGGTGGCGAAGCGATGTCAAGAGGAAATACGCAGGACCCCACGCAGAACTCATGCTCTCCCATTAAGGGGATCGACTTGGATTTGGATTTAATTCAAAGGAGTCACTCACTCAGAGACTTTCACAGATCTTTGTAGTTTTTTTTGTCTATTCCGTCCACCTATAGCTCAGTAGGTTGTATCACAGACTGTGAGAAAGGAGGGTGATGTGAGAGCTTATAATGACTCAGTTTCGTTTGTTTTCTACATTGTTGAACGAGATTTCCTTTGGAACAATAGGGTTAGCAGTTTCTCTTCATCGTTTCCAAAGGAGTATTTCTATTTTCTTTCCAAACTTTGCTCTAAGTTACGCTCCCCCGTCACCTATTCCCCACCTCGGCGCATGGTGAATTCCCGACTATACTCCATGTTCGACCGCGAATTACCGAAGTACTCTTCTTAAGGCAGCAGGTCGGATCTCAAAAAAAATATCGGCTCAACCGGATTTTCTCTTCGGGGCACCATAATGTTAACATCTTCAGAATCTAATGATCCTCCGCTACATCTCTTAGAGAGCGGCGCTATACAGTCATCGTCTACCACACATCCATGGAACGGCTGGCGAAACGAGTGCAATCTCTATATCCAGGGAAAATTTACCTCATTGGTATTCTTGCTGTTGCTACTAGTATGCAAATGCTTGAGGACGAGTAAGAGTACATCAAGCGAAAAACAACTATTCGTGTTTCTACATACTCATACACATCACACACAGACACAGGCTTCTTGTTCTTTTACACAATAAATCCATACATCCAGCAGATCCTACCTACACATCCAAAATCCAAAGGTCCCAAGTTCGAGCGTTTTAAGGATGGCTGGCCCAATGTTGCGTTCACGCCTGAACAAGTATTCCGCATGCAAGATGAGCGAGCTTCCGTAACCTACCTCGCAAGTTTTCACAACCCGGAGATCGTCTTCGAACAACTAGCTGTGATTTTATGGCACTACAATCAACTGGTTAATAATCTTTCGGTATGTAGAGGCCACTGGCACTGACCACATGTGTCATAGTGCTGCACCTTGATAAATGGCAATATTACCTTTCGACTAAGAGCATCATCAAGACATGTAAGCTTCAAACTCGTCCGTCATTGGTGTCCATCATGGTAGATCTCCACTGTCCAGTTTCTAATTATCTACGCACTTCCGAAAATGCTAGTCCGCAACTACCGGATCGTGGTGCCTTGGTTCGCGACAGGTAACATCTTTTGAGATATACTGGAAAGATGATCAACATGACGTGTGTAAGGACTCCGATATACACTTCATTTATATGAGGATTCAGGATAGCATCGCATAGTCTAGGGGCTGGTATGCTCGCCAGTGATTATAAGTAGACTCAATGGAATGGATCGGCATGATCTTTCACTCCGATGAATGTTGTACACCCTACTAGAATATTTCAGGCACCATGGAACGTATCGAAACGAGTGGCCAGATAGCGACAGCCATGACGATGGCACGCGTGCTTGATTGTACACCTCGATGTCGAACCGGACCATCGATCATTACCATCTACGATATCCATGCTTTACAGGAGCAGTTCTATTTCTCGGACGACGTCTTGGTGGAGTTGAAATCCGGCGTTTTCTTGGTCAAGCACGAACTTGCGAGAATGGATAGGATTGCTAGCCAAGTGAACCTGCAGAACAATATGGTGGCAGTGCCCAGTGTCGAGTCTATCGTAAGCTCCGTCTCTGCTGGCATGGTGGAAACCAAAAATTTACGGAAAGCATATCTTGCAACGTGTGTTAACACTAAGTAATGAAGACCCCTCTTCTTGAAAACCTTCTAATTTGTGCTACGCAAAATGGCGGTCTTGGTGGAGATCCGGAAAATCAAGGAGATGCAAGTACCTCTATGAATATACATTTAGACAGGAGAATATGACTACATTCAGAGTCGAGTAGATGTAGACTATCTATGACTTCGTGAATCAAGGTGTTTTGACTACAACTTCCATCTTCATGGGTTAAACAAGTAGTTTAATCTTAAGGTGTACTAGTGATTTGGATTTGCTTTTCATCAAACAAAAATAGAGTTCCACCTTCCACAAAACATAGCCGAGATTTATCCCAACAAACAACAAAAATAGAGTTCAAGACGGCCTTCTTCTAATCCTCCACCTTCAAACGGATATCAGAGAAGTTTATAGCACGCATGGAGCTGCATGGAGCTAAAGGGGGCGCTTCTTGCGTCCCTTAGAGATCTGCGCTCCATGCACTCCATGCTACTCCATTGCGCCATGCGTGCTATAGACACCTCTGGCATCCGTTCGAAGGTGCAGGCTTAGAAGAAGGCCGTGGGATAAACAAGACGGCCTTCTTCTAATCCTCCACCTTCAAACGGATACGCTCTGAGTGGGCCTAATAATCAACAAGCCAATCAACAAGGCAATAACTTTTCTCTCGTGGTCGAGCCGGAGAACAACGAGCCTCCCGTTCCATTCCGCAGCAAAATCATGATCGGTTTTCCCGACGACGGAGCGAAAAAGCGATTCGGGAGCAAATTTCCTGAATGGGAACACGTTGTCATCGCAAAACAGAGAATATATGGAGAACAATATTTTTTTCAGACGAGTGAAGAAGAATAGAAACGAATCAGGGCACGTTGTACTTGTATTGTATTAGAAAGGATCTTGGTTGCTTTCTTCATGAAGGAGGAGAAAAACGAATATGCCGAATACAGGACGGGACCGATGTGAGTGGCAAGCATGTCATTTTGGTAGACGACTTGGTACAAACCGGAGGAACCTTGATTGAGTCTATTAAGGGCGGTAGGTCTTCAACATGACACCCTGTTAGTTACTATCTTTATTTTTTCTCGCCAGTGGATGGTGGAGGATGACCCCCAGAGATGCATAGGCATGATGCTCGGTGTTTCCGTGACCGTTTGTTGTGGCTTTCCACCTAGGGGAGAAAAGCACAACGAACGGGGAACAGCAAACCCTAAACCCTAAGGAGTAGGTGCTACGACCTTTAATTCCATGCGGGCTCTCGCTGATGCTGGAGCGGAGAAAGTCAGCTGTTACGTAACCCACGCTGTTTTTCCTGACGACAGTTGGCGAAAGTTTCTGGACATACCGCATTTATGTTAGCATTTATACAGAAGTTGCGTGAGGAACAGCTACCAGAGGAATGAAAGCATTCCCTCTGTCTTGTATTTTAGGATGAGGCACGACGACTAGATGAATCAATACAAGAATGAATAAGAAAGGGAACGGCGGAAAGCGCCCTGTCAGCACTGAGGTCCTTCGCGTTCCTTCGTAGGTAAGCGCCATCTCTTCGTGGGGATGCTGATCATAATATACGGAATGAATTATACCTCTAACGCACTTGGACACATTCTATGTCTGCGATACCATCCCAACAACCGCGGCTACCTTGGAGAAGGTCGGGAAGCCTTTCAAAGTCCTCAGTATTGCGCCACTGTTGGGCTATTTGCTAGTGGGCAGGGAGCCGCACTCAGTCATGCGTGATATAGATAAACTTGATACCTAATGACGTCGCAGGATTTTGTGTAATTATAGTACTATTTTTTCTGATACAAGAATCTTGCGCTCGCCCTCTAATCAGGCCGTGAGGACATATTCTGACATCCTTATCTTTATGAGGCTGTGGGCACATATTGTGACAAGTGTAATACTTTTGAAAATATGTTTCCCATTTTTTATCGGCTTGTTAGGAGCAGCATATTCTTACTGGCTGTTTTATAACATTGTTCGCATAAATCACGTAGTAAGTCGTTGACCGCCAGTCACCCTCTACTATCACGCACTTCCCTAGTTGTTCTAATATTTTTATCATCATCATCAATCAATCTCGTGCCAGGCACATCAATCAATCAATTAATCAATAGTAGCGTAAGGTAGAAAATACTTAGTACTGCTTAAACCGAGAAGGGCGGAGAGGTATTGCTGAGACGAGCAACGTAAACAACGACAACGACAGCAGTAGCCTCCTCCTAACCAACGCAAGAAGAAGCGCCGCCACTACTACCACTAGCACTACCGTAGAAACCGTGGAGCGTCCTCACAGCTTCAACATCAGGGAAATCCGTAGAACTCAAAGAAGACTCAGGGAAGTTGTAGGTCCAATCCGGACCGACTAACATCGTTATTACTGTATGACGTTCTAGTATCTTCAATAGTAAGGTAGAACCAGTGCCGTAAATGATGTGCACCTGTACCAAAATTTGTTTGCTTCTACATCACTATCTACAGCACGAAATTGTAAGTACTTGCTTCGCATCCATCAATTCGTACTTACTGTACTAAAACTAAACCTTGGCTCGCAAGTACTGTACCTCGGGGTGTTGATCTGCTGGAGCGGAACAGTCACCTCTGCTGGTGACCGCGACGTCGAGGCATCCTGTCCTATCCCAAAAAGTATTAAAAAACTTTCGCCAATATGTTGAATATTTTTTCTCTTCTCGATTAATCATTTCATGTCAAAGTGTGTGGATGGTGATTCGCTGCCCTGGCCAGGGAGGGGTAGATATGAAACACTTGGCTATGACTCACTGATGATCGTACACGACTTTCACAACTGATGATGATCGTTTCCTCTTTTCTTTTCCGACACATAGAGACGTCGTGAAGGTTGTGGACAAGGTTGACAAGCCTCAACCCGCGGATTCTGTGAGGCTGTGTGGGCAATGTCTTGACAACCCGGATTGATATTAGTTTGTTCGCTTGAACCACGAAATGAAGCGCAGCATTCTGAGTGATCAGAAGGCGTGCTATCAACATGTGTCACAAGCACGAAGCACCTGGGCGGTTCTTCCGGAAGACTTTCCTTGTTCTCCTCATCAGCATCCGCGAGACAAGAGATTGCGAAGAAATTTCCGCAAAAGGTTTCCGGTATCACTGACGAGGACTTGCGGTACTGGGCCGAAAGTATAATCTTCTACAAGAACTGGCCCTTTGGCCGGAGAAATTAAAATTGAAGAGATCGCCTATCATCTACAAGTGGTATACGTAGGCGAGGAGGCGGACACTAGGAAAGGAGTTGGACGCATAGCTTACAATAAGCCGTAGCTTAGAAGACATAGCTTATATGAATTTTTGGACAATTTTTTCCCAGTCAGTATCATGTGTTGTCAAGGCATCCTCGACAGGTTACCTTTCACGACGGCTATTCACAAGGCATGAGCATGAAAGATGAAAACGTGAATAATGAAACCGGGACAAGCACATGAACTGAATGATAGAAATTCTGAATCGATAAGATAAACTAGAATACGCATTCATATAGGGAGTATTGTAAGAAAATGAAAAATGCACCAATATTGTTTGAGCACAATTTTTTGACAGAGAAGGGCTGTCGGGATGCAAAAGTATAATAAATGGGGTAAGATCTCCAAAGTGGGTGTCCAAGTTCTTTTTTGGGTGTTCTACCGGTACCTACTAGTAAGTGCCGGAAGATGACAGATACAGGGAATCCTGAGTGATCGTTTCATCACGTCGAACGAGCGACGGTAACTGTAAGCGGTGACCTATCATCTCTTAGGCTAAAGCAGCTTCAAGGACGAGTCTGGAATATGCCATGATCATCAACGCTTTCGCTCCTTTTGGACTGTGCCCCCAGACTGAGTTTACTACTATCACCACTACGACGCATACTAGAAGAATGTGAATGTCTGAAGAAAATAATGATGTGCTCGTCTTTGTTTGGACTACGTCAGCATGTCAGAATGCCGACGCGGCTTGCGCTTGTGGTTCGTCATGTTAGCTACAACGCCAAGAACCTATTAGCAGGGACGCCACCAAGAGGGGGCCCTCCCAGTACTTGGAAGGAATAGCACGATGAGAACCATGCGGCCTGCTTCGTCGAGAGCGCGGATCTGTCCCGCGTCGTCGATGAAGCGACTGAAGATTGTGCTCGTCTGGTGCTTTCTTTGTGGAAGAGGCATCTATGCCGATTCTACGACAAGTTCTTCCGATCATGGCTTGTATGCCTCGTCTGGCTCTGCGACTCCTTACGATGTAAAAGTTGATCAGATCCGCAAAGAGCATGAGGCAGAGGGTTCGAAACTGTCTGACGGTCTGTTGCGTCAGATGTTCCTCTCAGCTCAGGAGCATAACGCGAAGACTTTCGCAACACCACATTAAGGCCTAAGTACTTTTTTGTCATGAAGTTAAAGAAGATTGGTTTACTTATAGATTTGGTTTTGGAGTGATAATTTTTACCAAAAATGGGGAGGTGCTCGCCGGTTATTGGACTGATGGGAAGGTAAAATATTTATAGGGAAGTTGTAAATCATGAAGCACTCATCAGGAAATCATGCGTTGATATGATTAGGAGGTGCAGCTTTGTTGAGAACTTTTCTAGGGATTATTACGATCTCGATTTTTCTTGTAAGGATTATGACGATCTCGATTTATCCTTCATGTTTATCGTTAATGTACGTGGTTGCAAAATGCGGTACCACGTAGACAATTAATTTCTAACGACAACAAAGAAAGGAACCTGGACTGGCCGGTGGGCACTTGAACGATAATGTTAATGGAGTGGAAGTAGATGAAGAAGATCAAACCGATGGAGTTGGAGAACAGCCGCCTTCATAAGGCTCAACTTTCATTGGACATTGAAGTTGGTCACTGACACCGAAGAGGGGACCCCTTGAGAGAACAGGGAAAATGAAGGGAAAAGAATGGGAGAGGCGTGGCGCCTTTTTCTTTCTGAATCAGTGACCACTGACTGCCGACCTTTAATAAACCGAAGCCCAAGTCACATCCACAACGCCGTTTTTGTTGGATTGCAAATGTGCTTTGAGTGCCCACACGGCAGAGTTTCCACGAACAAGGGTGAAGTATGACGTCTTTGGTTTCAAGGTGGTCTTCGAGTATATGTGGAGAAGCAAGAGGTCCCTTCGAGAATGGATCTACGGGGATTATTGGCGCCACTGGAAATTAGGTCGTCCGACAGTAGTGGACCAGCAACCAGTGCCATTAATTTAAGGCGAATAGTCACAGTACTAGCCATGGTACAGATTATGTACTTATGATTATTTAGTAGTAGATAAGTTCTTGCCTGACCTTTCTTTTTTCGGTTTTTGTTTTTTCTAGTTAGGTATGCTCCGCCAACATTATAGATAAATTATCTGTTACTCTTTTAGCCCACGAATGACGAGCACACTGGCTACTTCTACTATTCCTCCTCCTTCTAGTACTACAGCACCTACTCCTCCTCTAACTTCATTCTATCGTCTATCTAATAATTGCGTACAGGCACGCTGCATGTTGCCTTAGATCCAACAGTAGTCCAAAGAGACAGAGAAGAGGATGGAGAGGTGCTACCTCCTGACGAAGAAGGTGCAGGGCCGTCTGCGGTACAATTTTCTTACGGCTTCCCCAAATTTGCATTTATTTCAGCTTCAGGAGTATCCTAGAATGGCTTTCCAAGATAGAACAAAGAGCTCTACGAGGGACCTTGTTGAGATAGATTCGCGCAGTTTCATTCTAACTCTCGGAATTTCGCGGTGTTCTGCTGGAACGGGATCTTCCACGCTTCACTGAGGTGCAACACGAGGTCTTCGAGCGCGCAGTCTACCGTCTCCTTACACGCGACGTTGCTCCAGTGACTGTCGAAGCAGCTATGGAGATGGTAGAAATTATCCTGAGCGTTGGGAGGGCGTCAGACGGTAACAATTTGCACTCCTTGTTGACGAATTTGCAAGCGGCGGCGTACGAATGTCTTCCGATTGCATTGTTGAAGATGCTGTTGAGTCTCCTACGTGTGCAAGAGGAAATGCAATTCAGAGGAGCCGCGATGAAGACGGTTTTCTTCTCTTTTCCGCCATCGCACATGCTTTTACTCGCGGACATCATGCCAGAAGTTCTTCAGTGCTTTCCTGGTGGTGGCTCTTTCGCTGTTGACGACGACGGAAGCTTCCAAAAAGAGAGGGCCAAATGGTTCCTCGGTGTTGTGGAAGACGAGGGAAGCGGAGGGACAGCCAGTGTTGGATCCGTTGACGAGACTACTTCTAAGTCTCCTTTTGTGACGAAAAAAAATGCACAGGGACATTATAATTTTGAGCAGCTTTCTTCTGCTGACAACTGGTCGAACAATCAGTTGCAGCTTCCTCGTGACCTCCTACGTTCTCGTCTGCATCCCCCTGTGATCGAGAGTCCTGCTGGCACGCCTGAAACAACACTCTTCTCCTTCTGGGATCGTTCGTTGAATGCTCTGTCTTTGCACAGAGCATTTTTGTCTTTTTTTGACACACAGTGGAGACGTGACCGGTTGTGGTACCCCGTTTACGACGTCTATCCTTGCCTTGCACACGACGGTTTTCAGAGGATCTTAGAACTCGAAGTCTTGGGAGGACCCTTTGTTGAGGAACTAGCACGACTTGGGAGCAAGAGAGGAGATCTGACAGATGAAATTGCGAGTGGCATCAAAACTAGGGCTGGTCGTACGGGCACTGCAGATAGCCGCGGTGACAAGACAAAGCTTCTACTCGCTCGTCTTGCGGCATGGCCTGAGGAGGTCGCCAAGCCATTTTGGACACGAGAGGGTGATAGTCGGATCATACAAGAAGAGGAAACTGCACAACATCATGATGCTCCTGAACATCAAGAGCGGGAACAAAAGGACTACAGCACACACACACTAGAACTCGACCAAAGTAGTAAGTCCTTTGTAGCGATACCAAGAGTATTTCATGCTCGGTTAACTGATTCAAATCGTGTAGCGATGTATGAGGCAGAACAGATGAAAGAGGCCGCGACCAGTTCTCGAGAAACTGAAGAGACATCTTCTCTTGTTGGACTGAGTCTTTCGTATGCGAAGATGCGGCGTGATTTGGAAGACCTTAGAAAAACTAGTACTGCCAGTTTACCTGAAGATGCTATTGAAAAGCATCCTTCTACTAGTACTTCTGAAACGAAAGACCCAGGGCCAGAGCCAGAGACCTGTTCTCTTCTCCGTGTCCGCACAGGTCGTGGGCTAGATTTCGGATTGTATCAAGCTGATGGCCAAAATTTCGACATGCATCAACTTCCGCATGCAAATTGCTATGCCCTGATGGTTCGCCTAGGTGGAGATACGATTCTCACTTTTCGCAGTTCAGAATTGCTAGCAACCGTGGATATGGAGGCGAAATTGAAGCGATATGATGCTGATATTTAAGGATAGCCACGATGTTTTTGCGTCCAGTGTGAAAATATTGTCCTTGATGAGCTCTATTTTTTGAACTTGAAACAACTTGAAAGTGTAAGTCAAGGAGGTTCATTTGAGGAATGTAATGCTGGAAAGAACCTCTAAGATGTGGAAGGCAACGGAGGACACGTTCCTCCCTTCACAGAGGAAGAAGCGGAAAATTATATACATCGGATGCGCAACAGAGCACCTTGGAAATGTTGGGTTTTCAGATGTTGGGATGGAACTGTTTTGCGCGATCCTCAAGCAGCCATAAACCGAGACCCAATGTTGAGGTACAATTCCATGCAGCATCAAAGCGGTTCTGGAACAAGTGGCACCTCGTCTAGTGAAGGACCTGGTGGACTCGATTCTGCAGCAGGAGACGGAGCTTCTTCATCTTATACGGGTGTTACTGAAGCAGAAGCGATTCAAAGTCAGCATTTAAAGACGCTAGCGCCGAACGCGCCCCTTCATCCTAACGCCTTGTATGGTGGTTCTAGGGGTGGAGGTGGAAATGATAGAGACGCTCGCCATGTTGGTAATGACGTATCTATACAGTATCCGATCCCCCATCAAACCTATATGCATAAAGAATTGCTAGCCCGTCGAGTCGCAAGAACGATCAGACAGACCCTGTTTGGCATTAAAGACGGAGACAAACAGAAGGATAATTTCCTCAGATACGCGGCTACAGAGGATGAGCTGTTGCCGACTATGCTAGGATCTATGCTCAAAGGAGAACGCGGTGAGAAGGACCGATCGCTTTTTCAATGGCTCACGAGTGGTAGTGAAAGTGATATTAAAGCTGGTAGACTTACTAGCGCTAGCGGTAGTCGTAGTACTAGCTCCGATGAAGTTCTTGTACTTGGTGGTGTTGGCGGTTCCTCATCTTCTGGAGGCGGCTCTGCTGGACCTGAGCATGTTTCTGGAGATGATCAAGATGAAGATACGTTACTGGATGACCTATCCTGGATGAAAAGGATAGGGCTTTCAAATTTCGATCTGTACTCGCGATTTTGCCATATGCTTCCCTCTCTCACCGATGTCCAATTTAGCTTCCGACCCGACCTAGATCGCCATTATCCGTTCTATGATCCAAAGGGAGCTACAGACCCTGGGGATACAACTCTTTTCTCTACTAGCACTAGTAGTGCAACGACAACGAGCTTGTTGAAAAGTGACAAGATCATGCAAACGTCGACGGAGGATACGGAAGTGGAAGAGCAGAGTGATACGAGAAATGAAGACGTTACGGCCATCAATGAAGACGCTGTTCCTTCGGAATACGAAGCCAATTTTGCTAAGCAAGACCTAACTCCTGATGCGTCGAGGGCAGACGTGGACGATCACTCTTTCGAATTCAGCAATTACTGCAAGGAGGAATACGTTGAGTTTTCGAACGACCGTGAACCTTCGCAGGAGACGTCCTTCTCGAGTAGCACAGCTGCTGCTGGAGGAACTACTAGAAGAACGACGACGAATGCATCTTCGGGAACGGAGAATGCCTCTTCAGGAACCAAGAATGCATCATCTTCGACATCAGGAGTTGTAGACTCAGCCACTGTAGCCTCTGTCACGCGTGTAGAAGAAGGACCCCGGCGTAGACCTCAGAAGATCGCTTGTCTAGCGCCTATTGTCTACCATCATGAACGAAGTATCATGGTAAACCAGACTAATTTCATTGCTCCCTACTGTTAAGGCTTTCGGTATTAATTCAAGCATCTTCAATCACAGATTCCAGATCACTACTCGTCTCTTTCGATCCATCTGCGAGTATCTCATCGGATGAAGTGAATCGGCGTGAGCTCTAATTTCGCGACGATTTCATCTTCTTCGCAGCCAACCGATCCGCTCCAGAGTACTTCAATGGTTACCGCGTTCACAACCTCGACATCATTGCAGACGAGTGGCAATCGGAATATCGTAGTCCGAACGGCCTTGAGAAGGAAAACGCAATGATGCTAGAGGCTTATTTTTACTACTTTTTTCCTCAACAGCACCAAGGAGAGAGCGGAACGACGTACCAAGGAAATGGAAACAAGAACTACGGGAAAAGTAGGGTTCATGAGTTCGGTCCCGGGTCATTGGATGGAACCGACGATGACGCTTGGTACCGGCCGAGACCAAAGAAGCTATTTGAAAAGAATGCCGAAGAAGATAAAAAAAATGTTGATAGCAGTGTCGTCTCTACGATTCCTCGTGACGATTCTCCACCAGCAGGTTGGATTTCCTACGGTTTGTCAAGTCCTAGAGGCCGCTTTCTTACTGGTGAAGTCCTCTATGCGGCGGACGATCGCAACGTCTTACGTGAAATCGATGACACCTTGGACGAAGACGAAAGATGGCTACAGAAACAGCGACAAGAACTGTTGGAGAACTTTCCGTTTCATCTATTGCTGCACGAAGACGATTCTGACGAGTCCTCCTTCACCGGGCTATCAGGGAAGAACGGGATTGGAAAAAAAGCTTCATCGTCTTCAAGAACGGTACAAGAACTAGTAGAAAATGTGACCAGATGGATTCACGATGAGCGTTATCTTACTTTATCCACCCGTTTCAAGCCTAGTGCTGGTGATGGGAGTCTGTCGCTGAGTGCGGCTTTGGGTGATTCGCAAAGCTTGACGGATCGTGTTCTTTCCTACTACTGCAATGAGGATCTTCGCAAGAATTATAGGGAAGCAGAGGATCGGCTTATCCTAGAGCTCTCCTACCGCAACGTGAGCGACCCTTCTGTTTTGGGCCCCATTTCTCCGGACCACTACCTGAAATTCATCAACCCGCCGAAAGTCCAAGAATCGGAGTATGCATGTGCGAAAGCAGCAGAATCGAGGATCTTCGCAAGGATTATCAGGGACGTTCACCGACGCCACCGAGAAAGTAGGGCAAAATGGTACGAAAGACAAGACTTCCTGTCTCCTGGCAAAAACCTTTTTTTCTATGACGTTCGAGCTTTGGAGCGCGTGGCAGCGGATAGAAAAGCAGAGGAGCAGCAACAATTGATGATGAATGGAGAAACACTAACACGGAAGAAATCGACGACCAGAAGAAGAGAAGTTGTACTAGATGAAGAGCAGGAAAAGGAAATTTAAGGCTTGGGAGTTGACCTATCATCTAAGGGCGTCTCTATGTCTTCTTCAAGTAGGAAAGCCACAGATATGCGACCTACTAGAGGGGGGCCAACTTTCAACCCCTAAGAAATGGAAAGTGCCAGCTCGTCAACGTTGTCCTCTCCTTCACTCTCCTCATCCTCGTCAACAAGTCCTTCCTCCTCCAAAAAAGAGCATCAGATGAGAGTGTGGGTGCACAATCTCCATACTGTCAGAGACGGGTTTCTCGAAAACGATGAGGACTTGCTAAATGCCTACGATGAGCTCGAGGACCAAAGACTAGCCTTAGTTGCGCAAGCTTGCGAGACTTCTTTGATAGTGGGAGATGCTAGGATTTCCGATTATAGTACGGACGAGGCTGATGAGGAGTATGGTAGTTTCAATACTGCCTCTGATGATGCACAAGGTAGAAGTAGCAACACGGCTTCAGATTTGGACCTGTTCTGTGCCGTATCAAAAGGTCTCTCGTTTACTGCGAGACGCGAGATGGCTAGGATAAGAAAACGACAGAAGAACATTGCTAGAGTGTTGAATTCTCTGTATCGCGGGAGAGCACTGTTGGAAGACCACGTGCTGGAACACGGGGATGAACCGACATTGCATCAACTTCCCGGTAAGCAGGTTATTAAACAAGGTGATGCAGACGATGGCCGCGATACAGATGCTGATCACACGAGAACAACTCCTTCATCTGATCCGGCGAGTCCTTTGAGTGATCCAGTCGAGTCCTTTGAGTCTCAATTACCTGACTGGTACTGTCAGATTGAGTCGGATTTGTATTTTATACCTGAAAACTTTGAACGCTTCGTAAAACTACGACATTTCGATTCCGACACGCCTTTATACCTTGGTCACGTGTGGAGCACTATTACGGACAAAGTCTTTGGCCTAGAAAGAACGGGTTTCAGCACTGAGGTGACGCAAGGCCAGTGCGTTAGTAGAGCAGGACTCCGTGTTTTGGCGGAGTTTTACAAGTATTTCTACGTCGGAAGAAGCGAAAAATACAAAATTCTCCTAGCTGATATGGAAAACAAGCACCAAGTGTCGATAAATCGAATATTGACGAGTGAACGTGCAGCCAAACGGGACTTTGGAATCGATGCAGTGGATTTTTTCGCTTCCAGACATCTTCAAAACAAGGATGAAAAACCTAACTCCTCAACATCCTCCACAGGTGTTACTACTACTACTGTATCTTTTGATGTCAAGTCCATTCTCCAAAGCACGGATCCATTAGGAGACGAGGAAGCGGCAGTGCTAGGTCCCAGTCTACACTCCCTCTTTGAGCTGTATCAGATGCACCAAACGGCGCCTCCACAGTTGGAGGGTGACCTAGCCTTAGCAAGAGAGCTTTTTACCACTGAAGACGGGGTGTTGGAGAGGGATCTTCTAGGTGGGCAGAACGAGCAAATAATGCAAACCATGTCGATATCGACAACCGGTTTTGCTCGCAGCGTAGCAGGAATGGCCTTGCACAAGCGGATCAATTTTTATCATGATAAGGCTTCTTGAAAGTTGAGCGATCATGATCTAGGAGCATATTATCTATGACCTTATACGACCAAGGGTAAAATGTAGGGTACTAGATCTGCACTCTAGATCATCGGTCAACTTCCAACCCCTAATCATGGTTTGCGTTTCTTCAGCGTCGCAAGCAGTCTGACATATTTGGGCCACATGGGTATTGCTGCGGATGGCAGCGCGAGTCGAAGTAACCGAGTCTCCATTGACTCGAATTTTGGGGCAAAACTGGGGTACCAATGTCTGCCATTTCAATCTTTCGTTTGGGAAAGCTACATGGATATGAACTCCATTTGCTTGCGGGAAGTGGCGCACATGCACCCAACCATGTGGACCCAAGCTATTCAGGTGACGCACGACGCATTAGCTCGCATGTTCTGGGCGCGCGAATTAGACAAAGTAAAGTTGTTCAAACCGAACCCGTTTAATGAGTTGTCAGCTTTACCGTACGACTATGGACGGAAGATTACGGCTGAATAAACATGATGTGACCAATTATTTTTACAAGTCATTGAATGATTTTTCACAAGTGCTCCTACTCTCCTTCTAAGTTAATAGATTCTGAGAACAAAATCAAAACAAGCATATAAGAAATGCATTATAGGATTAGCTTCAGCTCAACATCTAAGAAGACGCACGCGATGGTCGCCAGTGAGTGGGTCGAATCCGGTGCACTTGATAAAGCTCTGTCCAAAATGGGCGAACATTTTGACATACTGTGGGAACAGCGTAACACTTTCTCAAACCGCATGCCTGCTGTGAAAGTGTGCTGGAAACATCGTCTACAACGTTTGGTTAGTGCAATGGCACTGGAGGAAGAAACCGAGAAGATGGTGTTGCGACGACGAGGGGAGACATTAGAGGGCACAGCTGCTTCAACAAGTGAGCGGACCATCGAAAAAGTAGAACAAGTCGCATCTTCTTCCCTTCTATCCCGTGCTACAAAGCGACTCTACGACGAAACGTTTTACTATTCGCCTTTCCCTATCGCTTTTCACGGTCACCGTGCTGAGACGAATGAGAAGATACAGAGGATGTTTGGTGAGAAGCAGACCTCTGGCGGTGCGACGCGGATCTATTTCGAAACAAACGCATTCTCGAAAAAAGCAAGAGAAGCTCGGGAAAGAGAACGTCGGGAACTCGAAGCTAAACGGCGGAGACGAGAGAGAAGACGAGGTCTGGAGAATAAAGAAGCGGAGGTTGTAGCGACGTCGGCGTCATACGCAGTAGAAGTAGCAGCTAGTGTTCAACACGGAGAAGGACAGGTAGAAGAAAATGGTAGTGGAAAAGAAGAAAAGGATCAAAGTGCAACCTCTCGTTCGCCTGGAGACCACGATGCTACGACTAACAGTGCCAAGAATATGAGCACGAACACAAGTTCAACTGCCAAAGATAACCGTGACAATCAAGATCGTACGAAACGTAGTCGCTTCACTCTTGCCGACGTGCATTTAATTGTCCGTGGTTATTGTCCTCGACCTAGCTATTTCGCCCTCCGCGGCATCGGCCAAGCCGCTGCTGCTCAAGACGAGGGAAACCGCCAAGCTCGTGCAGAACGATTGCTGCCGATGCTTGGTCATTACCGTCCACTAGTCTGGTCCTCCGATCCATTGCGGTGTAGCTGGCCGGTTGCCGATCATCGAACGAGAAAAGGGGATATTTCAAGAACAACAGAGGTGCAAATAGATGAAAAGCGGAACAACCAGCAAGAAGTGGAGCTGGGTTACGAGATGAAGGCTGAAGGCTTTGATAACCACTTGTTGATGGAAGCAATGGCTGCTTGATTTTTTTAGAGAATAACCAACTTGGTCCAAGACCCTAAATGTTAGAAGACGAGAAAACTAAAGATCATCAGAGATAAAAAGTCAACATGAAGAAGATAGCGGAAGCGACCAACAAGGAAAAGCAATAGATTCTATGAAGACTACGTGCAGCAAGAAATGTCGATGACCAATTCAGTGGGAAGAGGTAGCATCAAAGCATATTCACTCCGATGTGGACGGAAGTAGGTGTATGAAAGTTTTGCTTTGTGTTCTGGCTGACTGCGACGATTCAGCGACGATCTTAGCGCGGCATAATTTTTCACTGATATTAGAAGCTTCTTGCGTATGCGTGTGATGCATTTGCGTGGATGTCGATGCTGATCATATTTTTTGCCTTATGTGCGTGCATAGTTCTTTGTTGCAGATCGACTTCTAGCAACATGTGATGTCTGCCATGTTCCACTTTTTGTGGTGAAGATTGATAGCTGTGGTGGTACTAGATCCCGGGATGCTTGGTGCAATGTCAAGTGGTAGTACTTAGCAGTGTCAGTTTCGCTGAAGATTAAAATTTAGTAGGATACTAGGCGAAGATCAAGAATAATCAACACCAAGATAGCTTCTAGTGTCACGACTAGTACGTTAGAGTGATCGGCACGGTAATACCGATCCCATCAATCATCCGAAGGGCTCTTCCATTTGTGCACAACGGCTGTCATTGAAGAACTGACGCGCATGAAAACTGTAACACTGATGAACAGGTGGAGGAAGCTACGAATAGGTTTCTACATCATGTAAAATATGCTGAATAATGAGGTTCACACACTATATATAATGATATGGGTGTGGAACAAAAATTCGATTGACCTGATAGACACTTGCCTAGTCGTTAATACCATTCATTTTTTCTCATCTCTGTTAATCTCATAGGAAGGCGTACGTAGGATTACGAAATCTAACAGACGGAATTCGACGAGTGCAATGGTGTTGTAGCTTCTAGACAGTCTTAGCTTTTTTATCTCTTGTAAGGAGTGGCGCTCACAGTCACACACGTCATGATAGAAGTGTTGTAGGGCAATAATAAGTTATACCAGTATAAGTTCTTTTAGGCCTCTGAATTTCCGAGAAATATTTGATTATTCTTTTTCACTCAGACTCAATCTTAGTACTAGTTTGGTTTGGTTATCGATCTACTTATTTATTCACTTATCCGAACACCGAATTATCGTATGTTAAAAACAGGAACAAAATGACGTCTACGGGGCAGAAGATGACGACAGAGCAGGTAATGGGGGCACCACCTCAAGGTCATTATGTTGCCAATTTTCATTCCCATGTTGATTCCCACTAGCTAGATCTACTAAGTAAAATGAATAATTACTTCTCGATCTACATCATCTACTTCTACTCAACATCTGTCCATTTTCATCCCCCGCCGCCTTCTTCCGCAGCACACCAGAAGGATTGGTATAATTGCAAGCGAGCCTTAATGTTCTCCAACGAGGCAGATTCAGAAGAATCCCCAACACTTAACTTAAGGCTTCCCCTAATCCATCTCCATAGGGATCCCTCAACCCTATGCGCCCCGCCAATATAAAGGGAACCTTGACGCATACGCTTGAGGGATTTTTTCCACGGGGATGACTTGGGGAGGGGTCTAATTAACAGAGGGACGATTATAACTTCTGCGTCGTCCCCGAGCACTCCGCCACCTCAGACTGCGCCACCAAAGGCTCCAGCGGACCCTCCCAGCACAAGATCGTTTGCATCAGCATTGGCTTCCGGACAAAAGAAGGCAGAGATAGATAGCTTTCCCCCTTGTCCTGATCGTCCAGAGCATAGTTTAGTTGGTGGATTACAACAACCTCCAGGAGGCCACCAGCAAATGGAGCAGCTGCCTACGATTAAGACTCCTGCTGGGATAGTACCTTCATCTGGAGGACTTCCATCGCATTGCAACAGTAACAGCTCCTTCGGGCAAGTGCTGGACCCAACAGCACCATGCACGACTGGAAGTGGTGGCCCAGGAGGAGAGAGCAGTATTAGTACAACAGCTCATCTCTACCCTAGTGGTAGTGGTTTTGAGCAGCCTAGTGGCGGATCTGGATTGGTGGACTCTTCGCAGTTGACAAATACTATGATTTACAATTACAACAATACTACAGGACGTCTTCCTACGGGGAGTGGGGGGAGTTACAACACCACAACTTCGGGTCGTGCATCTTCTCTGGACGCGAGTGGTAATGGGAATAATAATATTTTGGGAGCAGGGCCCTTTCTTCCACCTGCAGCAGGATCATGTGGACCGCTTCTTGGATCTGGTTTACCAGGAAACATGAACGGAGGAGTAGGTCCTCAGAGCTGCAGTAACGGAAATGGACCTCCTGATTTGAACACGTCATCAATGCTGGGCTCCCTATCACTGCTCAATGCGTACAGGAATTCGTTAGGGGGCAGCCCCTCATTAGGTCCGTCCGAACCACCACGGCCGCTACAACTCGGGGGAGGAGCGGGTATTTTTTATTAATATAAATATTTGTTGTGAGTTTTTAGTTGCTTGTGTAGGGCTCCTGAGCTCTGTTCTGTTACACATGAGTATCTTCAGCTAGATTCTTGTATCCAGAGCGACCCTGTAGCTACATTCTCACTCATTCTCTAGTTCTTGACCTCGCCGTCACAAGGAGAAACATTATATATATAACAAAGAGACTAATCAAAGACACTACCTACGACCTGTAGGACATACATTCAATCTACACTTCAGGTCAAACACTCACCGCTTCGCAGACACTTGACCCCTTGGGATCGTCATGCAACTCCCTGTCCGGTCTTATGCCTATATTGCCGACGTTATCGTTTCCAGTCCCGGATTCCTTGTCCTCGACCGTCACGTCCTTACAACCAACATTGCAACCACTGCCGGTCGACACTCTGCTCCAGCAGCATCTAGCATCGACTCAAGGGAGTGGTAGTGTAGGAACTGGACCGGGAGTTGACCCAGCACTATCTTCATCTAGTGGAGGGCAGCAAATGCTGTCTTCCAGTTCATCTATACCTAGAAGTGTAGCTGGCGCAACGAATAGTAACAATGCTGCATCTACTGGAGGCAACCTGGGATCGTCGATGTTTCAGCAGCAGTTAGGAGGAAGCAACGGCGTCAGCGCCAGCAGTAACTTTGCGGATCAGCAATTCTTGGCGTCCTCGTTGCAACCTGGTGGTTGCGATAATTCATCTTCGTCCTTGGGACTCCCGTCAACAACGAGCTGCAACAATGTTGAACTGCAACATATTCTGAATATGAACACTCTAGATCAATCGATGCAGCAGAACAACCAAAATATGATCAACAATTTGTTATCATCGACGAGTAGTCCTCCAGGAGCATCAGTTTCATCAGGAGCAACTACTTCTTGTCCGCCACTGCTGTTAGCTGGTACGGGAACTGGTAACGGAGCAGGGCCAACATCACTTGGCCAAGGTGGAACTACCTCGTGCACCGCGGGACTACCGGCTTCCACCTTCAATACAGCAGGGCTTCTAGTACCTGGGTTACCTCCCACGACCGGAACAAATCCATTGCAGCAACACGTTGGGGGATTGGGAACGTCATCGAGCTGTACCTCCTTGATTCCACAACACATGTTAGGGGCCCTCGATCTCGCGGCCTTTGAATCGAAACGAGAGTCACTCATATCGTTCCCAGATGTGCCGACACTGAGTAAGCGGTCAAGTGTGGTCACGTATTACAACCCGGGGTATGCCCCACTCATGCCTCTTAGCCGAGCGAGTGAGCTAGTGAGTCGTCTGCCGTCAGTTAGCGATCTAGGAAACCCAGGACTGGCCGCTGCAGGCGCTTTGCTGAGCTTGGGGTCTTTGTCAAGCTCTGGCGGTGGAGGTGGACACAACCCCTTAGGGAATCCTGGTGGTCAGGGTCACAATCTATTTTTAGGTGAAAGGAACCCAGGTAGCGGCGTTGCTATCAACGGAGCATCCTCCACGACTCCTACGCTATTACCAAGTGGTGCACATCTTCACCAAGAACAACAAGATCTTAGTGCAGCGTTTCAACTCCATCCAAATCCAAACCCTGGTACAAATCCAAACCCTGGAGCGCAACATTCATCAGGGAGTTATCAACAAATGTCTAGTACTACGTCAATAAATTACACCTCTACCACTCCTGCATCTTGTACCTCAATGAGTGCTCCCTCTCAACATCTTCTGGAAAACAACGGTTGTACGCCTTGCCATCAAGGCAACGCAGGAGGTGGACTTCCTCCTGGAGGAGGTGGAGCTGGAGGGTTATTCGGCAACCGCACTACTAGTAGTACACTAGTGAGCCAGCAATTCGGGTCGCCGCAATTTTCACCTGCTCATCCACAATACTCTTCAACTACTAACTCTTCAGGAACCACATTTAGTGGCAATGATAAGCGTGTGGGAGGCAGCGAGAACAAACTAAATTTAGACATTCCACCACCAGGAACAAATAAAGGTGGCGCGTCAAGAACGTCGCATCTACATCACCTAGGAGGAGGTATGAAGCATAGTAGTATGAGTTCCATGATGACAGGAGCAGGCACTACAGGTAGTCAAGCAGGGTCTTCTTCAACTTCCTTTGGAGCTAGCGGTGGAAGTGGGTGGAATATCAACAAAGGTAGTGGAAAAAAGGGCAGCCGAACGAGCAAAGCGATGCAGCTTGGAGGCGGAGCAAATAGCTACACTAGTACAGCTGCAGCGAATTCGTTCTCGTCACAGCACCAGGGAAGCAATAATTACAACCAAACAAGTACAAGATATGATAGCACATCCACATCTGGCGTTGGAGTTGGAAGTGTCTCGTCGAATACTATGATGTTGAATCAGTATGGCGGCAAAAACTCTTCTAGCAACACTGTGACAGATCAGCAACAGCATCACTACAGCAGAAGCAGTGCGATAGTACCTCCACCTGCGCCAAAGGCTTTACATATTATACATGGTGGATATAACAACTCGAATTCGACTCGAGACCAACACCAAGGACAACATCAGCATCAGTCTCAGAACTCGTACAATGAACAACAGAAAAATGCAACCTCCTCTAGAGGTATTCAACAACAGGGCCAGTATCAGAATCAATCTGCAGGAGCAGGGGCACACCAAGTAGAGGCACACCAGGTAGAGGGTCGTCAACCTTCGTCTAGCTCTACTCGGGGTGCTCCTGTCGTGTCAGAGTCAGGTTGTACTCAACAAGATGATCGACAAAGTGAACAACAGGAGCAAGAACATGCTGACTTATTACTTCCGAGTGGTGGGGGGGATATGGATGCTGGATTAATACAAAACTTGTTACAAATAGTACAGACACCGGTAAATAAGATGAACAAAAACAAGGACCAAGGCCGTAGTTCCGCACCGCCTGCAGTCATTTCCAAGATTAAGGCTTTCTTGATTCGAAACAAGCAGCTGCCTGCACTTACAAACACACATCCATCGTCGAGTACGGACGAGTACTTAGTTCATAAAGAAGTTGTGCCTTTTTTTTTCGATATAGATAGAATAAAAGAATGAAGAGAATGGTAGTCATGTTTTTCGTTTGTGAACAATTTTCATGCGATCGTTTACGTTTTTACCCCTGTCTGTATGTACAAAGCAGAAACAGTTCTAGTTCTAATGAAAAAACCGCTGTAGAGACGCCTGTATTGCCAAATACGGTGAACAACACACCTGTTCTAGTAAATGACAGCATGATGCATCTGCGTACGTCACCGAGCAAAACAAACCACGCGGCCTCTCAGACTCCTGGTGGAAGCGCAAATCATACGGCCGCTTGTTGTGATTGCATTTTGCTTTGCTTCATTCTTGGATCATGACAGTGAGTTGTTGACTAGTAGTTGTGATCTTCGCTACTGGATGAAACGCAACATGATACTGCTCGTCTATAATGAGGACGAGGACTACTTAAGTACGTGGTTATTGTTGCTAAGCGCTAAGAGCTACACTTTCTAATTTTGCCACCGCAATAGCGATGCCTTCTTCTGCTGCTGTCCAGTCAGGAGCAGCTTTGAATCAAGCAGCGAACAAGAATTACAGCGCGTATAGTGGAGGTGCGGGAGCGAACTCCTCGCCGTATAGGAATCAAGCTACTCCTACCGTTACCTCTCCATATAGCACAACGAGCAGTGGAAATAATCAGACCAGAGTTCCTGGTGGACAAGAGGGCTTTGACTCGAGCAAGCACCCGTCCACGGGTCAGTCTCAAGGGGACCCGGCAACAATCTCGCTTATCAAAGGCCTGGGGCTGCGGTCAGAGTACTTAAAGATACTTCTGGAGCTTTTTTGTGATTAGTTTTCTGCTAACAGTCGGCGCCAAGGTTGCTGACGTTTTTCTATCATGGAGTTTATGCGCGGCCTCATTCTCGGACACCGCCGCTTGTGGGGCTTCGTTGTTTCATGTCGATCCTGAGGATGAAGCGGCGCGGCTCGATGCTTCGGAAATAGTCCAAGAGGAGGGGGGAGAGGCCGAGGGAAAAGGGGAGGCCGCTCAGCTTTGCGGACTGCTCCCCGCGGTCCGCGAACTGCGAGCCCGGCGCCGGCTGGGTCGCCTCTGTTCATCTTCTCGGCGGTGACGGCAGTCCTGGCGAGGAAAATTATGAGAGCAGGCGCCCGCTTTGGGGTTTTTTATAATCTCCAGGGGGGACTTCTCTTCGGCTCTTGCAGCAGGTGAGACAACGGCCGAGGCCGCTGAGGCTTCCACCACTTCACCCAGCGAGTGCGCGGGCCTTGGGAGTGGGCTGCACTGCAGGGAGCAGCCAGGCGCACGACGGACGACGAGGCGCGCCGAGTCTGGACGGGAGACGCCACGCCACGCAAGAGATCGGCAACAGATGGAGCAACTTCCTCGCAACATCGGCGCCCCGATGGCTTTCGTGTAGTCAACGCAGCTGAGGGCATTAGCGTCGTCAGCCGTGGCCCCTTCTCAGTCGCAGGCGGGTGCAGGCCACTGACTGGAATGCGTGTCGTGAGATACATAACCGAGCCGGGGCCCCTTCGTCGCGCCTCTGTTGTTCCCCGTTCGTATTCAATTGGAGCGCCAAAGAGCGCCGCACGCGACGAGGCTCGCGCCAAAGTTGGCGACCTCTTTCGGGGGGAGGTCTCTGCAGAAAGGCGCACGGGCTGCCACTCCAGTGGCCGAATGTAACCGGTATGATCATGAAAGCGCAGCGCGCGCGAGTTATGAAACCACGGGGAGGCTCCGCCTTTCCTTAGCTAAAAGCTGCGCCGTGGCTCACTCTGGTGATGCTACTGAGCAGGGCGCGCGCTCTCGTTGTGTTTCTTGCTAGCGTGTGAAAGAAGTCGCCCCCAAGAGCGTGCTGAGTTACAAACCGGCCCGCAAACGTGGCACGAACCTAACCGTCGATGGCGGCGCGCCTTCTCACCCTCGTGCACCACCTACGTGCAAAGCTGTCAAGCGCTTCTCGTGTCTTCGATGGTTGCCAGAGTTTTCGTTCGTCTCTTGGTGGTGGTAAATAGGAAGGGGGGAGGAAGTGCCTACCGTCAACAGAAACCGCGCTCTGCCCGAATTCGTTGCCCCTATCTTCTCGCTGGGGCAGGGTCTTGCGCCTTTATGTGTTGGGTCCACTTTCCTTCGCGTGGTTCGCTGTGAAGCAAAAGGCGAAGGCAGCCCCTGGAAAGCGGAGCGGGCTCGCCGGGGCTGGGCTTCGCTTTGACAGCCTCCAAGACGTGGGGGATTTCCCTTGTGAATTTGGTGGCGCTTTTGCTCGACTGTGGGAGGCAGGGCCCGGGCCGGCCGCTGGTTGATTTTGCAAATGCAGCATGGATGGGCTTTCATGATGGAAAAGCAAGGCAGGCCGCGCTATTGCTTCGTTCTGACTTTTTCTCATCTTCGTCGCTGTGCGTGGTTCGCCACGCTTTTTAGGATTTTCTTACCGCTAAAACCAAGGAAGTAAGAGGGAGGCGCCGCGTCGCCGTAGTTGGATAGATGAGTTTAATCGTGAGTAACTTTCTTGTATATTTTTTTGGCTTTAATTCTAGAAGATCTACCCCAGTCGCTCAAAGAAAACGCCAAAAGAACAAAGAACACACAGAGGCTGAGTGACTCTATCAAAAACAAACACAGGCCCTCTTTGGTGTGCCGTGAAGTAGGGGATGAGCAGCTCGCTTCTCTTGGGTCAAAGCTTCATGCGATTGGAACTTGTAATGTTTCTCTTGTGCCTGATCATACGTCTACTAGTCATTTCCTAGATACGTGTACTAGTCATTTTCAATACTTCAAACAGGAAATACCCGATACATCAATCTTTATCTATTGTCATTCTTTCTGAGCAATGTTAGGGACAGGGACAACTGTGTAGAAAAGTGATAAGGCGACAAACTTATCAGCCATAGTTCCTACGGTCACTGCGGGGAAAGATATTAACAACAAACACTCGCATGACACCAAGACCAACGTGACAACCAGGTAAACCATGCGCGTTTGTCCACAGACCTGAGGGATGCACGAACGGCAAGCAGTGCGAATTTTGTCACGAGTGTCCACTTGGGGAAATCAAACGAAGAAAAAAGCAAAAGCAGAAACAGCGAAACGCACACAAAATGACCTTGTGGGATCAACATCAAGTTGTAGAGGCTTCATCAAGTTCAGCACAACAACAAGAGCCACCGGCGCCCCAATATCAGTATCCGAATCTTCATGCCACACCGTACGGAAACTCAGGTGGAATGGGAGCAGTACCACATACTTTATTTAGCTTGTCAACAGTGAGTAGTGACTGATCATGAATCATTAGTCATTAAAATCTCTCTCATCATCAGCAGCAGACTTTTTATATATTTATAATCTAGAAGAGAATCCTCGGCTCCTTGCGTTCATGCATTTTTTTAGTCTTTTCAACTACATAAGCCCTTGTAGTTGGTCTTCATCTACGGACGTAAATTCTGGGTATCTATGTATAGTATCTTCAGTGATATGAGTAAGCGCCATTCTGTTGAGCGTCGGGAAGGACACGAGCTATCTATATTATTCCAACTTCCTGTGACAACATCTATTTCGATTTCAGCCCGGAGCAGGCGCGAGTGGAAATTACTATAGTCCAGTGGAGGGAGAAGCAGAAACGCTGTTTAATCACTACACCCAGAACAACGCTTTTAATCACCACAGTTATGTGGAGAAAAAAAGCTGTTAGTTGTCCAATTCCATTGATTTGGTAGTTCTACTTGTGTTACTTGTAGTCAGAAGACTACTAGCTTTTGTATGCTTTGATAGGTGATCATGATTACGGTAGTTGTCTTTGTTCTAGTTGTATTAAGTATTAGAGGTAGGTTTTTGGTGCTCGCTTACCCCGCTTGTTATGCCTTTCTCCCTTAGGAGAGGCATAAAAAGCGGTAAGAAAAGCACCTTTAGCCTACTCTTAAAAGTATGTTTTAGACTTCCTCATAAGTACCATTGATTCGTTTCAGATTTTTTGTTGACAAAAGATTAATTCCCTAGTCCTCTTCTTCTTCATAAGTACGGTCAGCAGCATCAACAGGACCCAATAAGGCAGTTGAACAGCAGGGACGCCAGCCATGGTGTGTCAATGCATAACAACAGCAGCATTCAAAATGGTAGCTCCTCCATGTATCCCCAACAAGAACAGCATCCGCCGATTCTTCACACTGGAGCAGGACACCAGCATGAGCTTCTTAAGGGTCCTGGAGTGCAGCAGCACGTGGTAGTTGATGGCAATTACAACTTACACCATCAGCATGGACATTCACAGCCACAGGGCTATAATGGTACGAATTACGGGACGACATCCATGTCATGTAACTACACGTCGACAGGAGGAGGAGGACATCCTCCAGGAGGAGTACAGCATCAGCACCAAGTGTATCTTCACGGTCAGCACCACTCTTCAGCAGGAGGACACACATCGACTCCACAAAAGATAGAACAGCAGAATCACAACATCAGCTACAACCATATGAATACAAGCAGTGGACGAGGTGGCGGCTTCGCAACTGATTTCTCACAAGAATCGCACATGATGAATCAGTCTTACCAGCAGCAGTCGAACTTACCTCCAACGATGCAGCAGGTAGCAGGTCATCACCTCCCAATCGCTAGCGGTCAACAGCAAGATTTCAGTGCAGCAGGAGCTACAATGGGCATGATGGGCGGTAACGTGTCATCAATGCATGGACATCATGGTAGTGACATGAATAGTGCTACTACTGGTTATCATGCAGCAGGAAATAGTTTTGGTGCAGCTCCCTCTGCATCGTCAACAGGAGCGACGCCATGTGGAGCCGCCTTCCAGACCCCGCAAAAAGACCCCAGTAACCGCGGTCTGCCTCGGACACTATCGACGGTGCAGAGCAGTACTAAATCGTCGCACACTAGCTACGACCAGAATATTAACCACAACAACTACGTAGCAGGTGCTGGTGCTGGGTCATCTTCGTGCAGCTACAATGTAAACACGATGGGCACTCATATGAACACTTCTATGAACATGAGTATGAACAATAACATGTCGAGCACACAGCAGCAACTCCCGAGTGGCGCAGGTGGCTATAATCTTCATGGTTACAACATGAATAGCAATACCAATGCTGGTGAACAAAGCATCAGTTACAACGCGAATCTAGCTTACCACGGCAGTGGAGCTTGTTCTAGTACTACTAGTGTTAGCAATGTCGGAGGTGTTGTAGGTGGAGTCCAGCAGGGACGAGTCTCAGCATCACCAAATGACTACAACCATAGTCCAAAAGATGGCCATGGCGCTACATCACACTACAACACGCCCAAGGAGCAGCCATCTTGCATGCAAAATTTGCAAAATCACAACAGCAAAAATAGTTCTTTTGCTTCTTCCTGTTACAACAATAGCACCAATGTGGATCATTCGAATAGGATGATGAACATGTACAACCCTTGTAGTGGTACAACTAGTAATATGAATACTAGTGCTACAGCATCGAGTTGCACACGTGCTTGGGGTCACGATCAACATATGCCGTATAGTAGTGGTACTGGGATGAATGGAGGGGGCGGGAACGCTGCTGCAGGTGGAAACACAACTTACAACGAATGGGGCAGAACTACTACAACATCTTCAAACAATTACAGTGGATGTGGAGCGGTGCAGCAGCAACAGCAACACTATAATCAACAGGGAACAATAGTTCCTTCAGCCAACAGCTCTACAACTTGCAACCATCAAACGACCGCATACAAAGGCAATAAAATTGAAAGGGGATCATACACCGGTGCTGGCCAACAACATGTTCACGGCACGTCGAACGCTAATGATCGAAATGCTTGGGGAATGGGGACTTCGGGAACGTTAGGAAAAGGGGACCAGCATCCGAAAGGCGCGTATAGCGTGTCGAAATGGTAGAGAAAACTGAAGGCTTATGATACCTACTTAGATTAGATATCATCACTTGAGACGCAATGAATCAATGAATACTTAATATCTAGCTCCACTAAATTTACTAAATAAATACTTCTTAAACACTTAATGCGCTTTTCGTCATGTCAATACAATTGTAGAAATGGAATATCACTGGTGGTCATCCAAATTTGATGAGTTCATCGTCATTCGCTTGTCACAATTACTCTCTACATGCTAGGCTAACTGCTAGGTAAGATTAATCATCATCATGTCGATTGGCCACCACTTTACTATACTAGTACTGGATCATGTCGTGACTCCGAATTCATTTTTAGCATATATATAAGAAAAATGATGACCCACATTGACGAAACCAAGGTACTTGAGAAAGTAAATGGAAGATTCCGATTTGTGCGAGTGTGAATAAAGTAAAAGTCTATCGCACCACCATTCAAAAATAGCCATTACTTGTCAATACTTCATGCTCAGCACAACTTGCACTTGTCTAATGTCTAGCGAGGTTCTTAGTGACACCAAACTCATACAGACTAATGTATAATTGTAGTTCCACTTGTTCCTTCACCTTCCCCTATTAAAGCTCTCAACATATTCACAAAACCGAATCATATTTATGAAGATACCGATCTCCATTGTTTATGCTCACCACATCTAGTAAAAGAAATGTGCGTGGACAAAGAACAATTACCCTTTTCTCCCGATGATGTCCCGCGTGAGAGAGCACAATACAGCTGTAGCCCACGACCTCTTGGTGCTGTACTTGCTCAAAGATCAGGGACAACGACGGACAACATCTCTCCTCTATATTTAGAAAATAAATCCTTACCCTCTGACTTATTGTTCTTCTCGGATGTCCGATTGATAGACCACGACCACTCTCCTGCTTCATTGAAGTACCCTGATGCGCTCAAGAGCAACCAACCACGTCGAAAGGACTGCTGAGCTTGAATTGCTCTTTGATGATGTACTTCTTAGTCAAAGTTAATAAGCGGCACTATCTAAACGTCGTGGACGGGTTTTATGTGAGCTGAATTGCCGAACCCGAACCGCGAACATGAATGAATGAATGAAATAAATCCTTACCCTCTGACTTATTGTTCTTCTCGGATGTCCGATTGATAGACCACGATGAAAGCGATTCCGTAGCAGTTGCTGTTCGTAGATCAATCGTCAACAAGGCGTGGTGGTGGTGTAGAGGTTCTATTTGTTTCAAGGCGAAGTCTGTGATCGTGATGCGAAGTAGATCTGGTGGGCTTTGTGAAGAGTACTTTTTGCAGTGTAGCTGCAGCCAACAGATTCATTGATACTTTCTCGCTACCTGCTCTTGCGTCCTCCATCAATGAGTGCATCCGTCAGTCGTTGCGAAGTTGGAGTGGCTACTGTTGATGATGCAATTTAATACTACAGTTTTCTCACATCATATTACGGTACTAGAACACAGGATCGCACACACATATATTTATAAGTAGCATATTATACACATTCCTCCACCATCTTTATTCTAAATAAATAATTAGATAATATGCCCAATTATAATATAAATGTATTAGATAAAGTATTAAATGTTAACACCAGGCACAGTAGAAAGTGCTACAAAAATAACAGAGAGTAATTACGGACATTTAGCGACCAGCTCTCTCATGGTCGGCCTTCCCTTCCCAAAACAACTTTAGGATGAGAGAAAAGAAAGGAAGTCTTTGAACTTCTACGCAAGAAATACATTAGTAACTACTAACTGATGAAAGCGCCTACAATCATCTAAACAAATCCATCATCCTTCACATTCATCTCTTCTACAACGTTGCACACGGCGGGTACTTTCTCTGTTGTATCAGTACAAGAATTATACGAAACCTCCTTAACACAACAAAGAAGCACCATGCAGCAGCATCCGCACTTAGTCCCTGGTCCGCACCAGGGAGTCCCTGGTCAGTATCCCACCAGCCACATGAATATGCAGTACGGTGCTGGGCCGATGCCTCACCAACAAATGGATCCGCAACAATATTATCCCGGAGGTGGTGCCGGGCACTACCAACCCGGACTGCCTCAAAGTGGAATGCCACAGCTGCATTCATACGGAGCATGCGGGTCGGACCCTCAAGTTATGTTCTTGAACTCATTTCTAGGAGATGAAGTACCGAGTGTAGTGTCTGAACAATTTTTTGCTGGCGTTTCATACGCAGGCTGGTGTTTCATACGCAGCTACTCAAGGAGTGTTCTTGAGTACAAATTTGTTACCGTACGTAACTACTACAGAGTCTGTATGTTACTGCTTGCTGTTTCAATTCCACTGTGGTACACTGCAATTTTCACCAATCCAAAAACGCTATCTAACAACTCGGGGCCACAGTTCATGCCGAACCAAGCGCAGCCACATTTGCGGTGTGAGATTGATGGATGCCAGGGTTGTGCGTTTGTCCATTGTGGGGAGTGCAGTATAGGAGCTAAGCAGTATTTGGACTATCATTAAGGCTAGTACCGCTGAAGCATCCTCCTACATACCCTCGCTGGAGCATCGTCCTCAACACCCCTCCCTGGCTTCTTTTTAACGGGGAAAAAGAAGGCTCCAAGGATTTGGGTCCCCAGGAAGATGCGGCGTGGTAGTTCTAATATCACTGTGGCAAAAAAATGTGCCAGATGCATGGGAGCTTGAAACACGTAAACAAGTCCGCAGATAGTTGCTGCTCAGACACGAAAGTAAGGGTGTCTTACAATTATGACATGATGTGATTGAGCAATTGTGACATGATGTGAAAATAGAGATCTTTCAGGAGAAAGATAGAGATCTTGATTAATACTTGTTTGATCTCGCCGGAGACAGTACAGGCGAATCAGTGTCTCAAGAATACTCTAGTAACTCTCTTTCTCTTCCTAGTAGTTTCTTGCTCTCCTACTAGGCGGTTGTTCTGTCGCCATCACACTCTAATCCCTTGTCTACCTCTGTCCAGAATGCCATGCAAAGACGAACCGATGGCAGGCCTGTCAAACTGGGACTGCAATTGTTCTGCTTATCGTTTTGGTCTGCTTCTGTGTCCTCGGTTTCTCGCGCCGCTGAGGTAAGGGTCTCAACAGTGGATCCTCTGTGGAGGGATTCCACTTGTTCCATGTACTGGTGTTGACATGACGTGACATGACATGAAGCTAGACAAGCAAACTGCTTGTTTCCACGCGAATTTGAATTTGAATTTGATGAACAATGTACGACAAGATTTTGGATGCTGTTTTCTGTCAACAATTACTATGCTCGATGCGGGTCGTTTCTTCAACGATTTTTACTATTCCCGATGTCTAAAAACGATAATGATTAATCTGCGATAAAAAATGATTGAGTGTGAGTCAGTCTCTCGTCCACTTTGTCGGATTATAATGTGCATCAAAGAGATTTAATGATTTTCGTTTTCTTCTTATCCTACGGCGCAGATCCACATCCAAGGAGTTTCAAGAAAGAATGAAATGCCATTCTGAGTTCTTTTTCACCAAAATGAACAACAATTATGTATCATTTGCGTACGATACAGGGCACGCCTCGTTTAGCAGGGGAGTTAATTTCACAACGCTGAATTTACGCTTTTCAAGTTTCCGATGAAAATGTATAAATTCTCAGATGGTGGTTGAAGAAAGCACCGCAGGAGTGTGGTTCTTGTCGTATCCTGTTGTGTTCCGATAGATTACTGAATCCAATTCCACGAATTTATGGTGATGTGGTCAGGGCCGTGACCGTGGTCTGTCATCTCATGTGCACGATCCAAGATGGGTTGTGGATGATCTGAGAAGATGGGTTCTTGCACTTCTTTCCAACGGTGTTGAACAGTGCTGAAGACTCCAAGAAAATATTAAATTTCCGATCTCCAGATTTGGGAATTGGAATCGCTAGAATTTGTGACGTCGCGAAGACTAAGATTCTCTCCTGAAGAAAAGACGACTTGATATCCTTGCTGCACTGTGTACAAGTATGTATGTATGTATGTATGTATGTATGTATGTATGTATGTATGTATTGGCATGTTGCAGTTCGCCATCATTCCCGTTCAATAGAGCCCACAACATTTGTAGGCCCTCCTGACGTCATTAGTGCTCATCGGGTTTGCTGCACTGTGTACAAGTGGCTCCTTCTCATAAGTTTTACGTTCTTCGCCCTCATACAACCACAGGAGCTGATGTTGAGGTTAACGGATGATATGAGGGACTAAAAGTTGTAGACAGACTTCGACCATATAGTATAGTCTCTATGTTCCGAACCGCTAACATCATCAGTCTCTATGTTCATGATGATCTCACAACTTGAGGTTCTCATATGATTTGAAATATGGGACACCTTCTTTATTTGTGAAAGTCCGTGTCATTGAGGATTTTCTTTGAGAAGTGGAGACTCGACGCCACGTATTGACGTTGTTGTGGGCTGGTCGTGCTACCCGAGCTGAACTGCCAGTTGTAACTAATTAGTACGCGAAGACCCTGACTCCTCATCTGGACCTGGAGCTGGTCAACGTGCCTTCTGGATTGCCCAGCTTTACGTAGCTGAATCTTCAAGTTCACGTCTGACAATCCCACAAGAGCAAGATGGCCACTGATTTCGATGACTACAGCGACGAGGACGTCGCAGAGATTCCGAAGGATATCGTGCCTGCCCTCTCCAAGGCCACCTCCGTGAAGAGTTTCATAGCAAGAGACCTGCCACGAGTGAACCCAAACCCGGATGTGTCGACGTTTGGCCTAGAGCATCGAGTGGTGGACGTAAGCAAAACTGGTGGCAAGTTAATCACGAATCCGAAGTTTTCAGCGTTGGAGAACCCCTTACAAGGGCCACTGGACCCGGCAAAAGGAGCAGTAAGCTTGGAATCGAAGATAAAAAACCACCATTTAGGGTTACTAGAGAAGCAGGAGATGGCGGAGTTCGCTTTTCAAGATGCGATGTTGTCACATGGTACTGACTATGATAATTACAAGTTGTCAGAATCTCGCTGATCCGGTTAGTACTAGACCTTTCTTCGTTGTAACATAGTCAAACACGACCACCTCGATCTCCTCTTCCAACCCTAAAAACCAAGCCCTATAATCTCCCAACCATCGACATGACAGACAAATTCGGTGCCAAGGCTTCGACCGGTAGTGTATGGGGAGAATCCGCGTTAGGCTTACGAAAACGCAAAAAAGACCTCAACGCAGAGGGAGCAAGGAAAAGGATACGGAATGACGATCCTGCAGATACCGAAAATTTTAGAGGGCCTTGGGCTAGCTTTGAAGGGGAAGCAGAAAGAAAGGGCTTCTGGAAAGGGCAGATGGAGGAGATGAAGGTAAAAATGTTGTTATTTTGGCTTAGTACTAGAATCCATCGAGGAGTGGAAAAGATTGAGATGGATCATGATCATGTTGTCCTTACCGTGGCGAGTCATGATTTGTACTAGTCGGTTTTTAGGAACCAACCACATTGCAAACCCCCCTTCCAAACACCCACAGAGCGACCAACAGCGCATCAAGGAAGAGGAGAACATTCAGAAGGCCAGTGGCAAGGACGTGGTGAAAATAGCCGAGACCAGCAGATTCTACGGCAAGGTCGAATACGATTATCAGGGCAGAAGCTGGATGGAACCCAAGCCCCACTTGCTGGATCAACAAGACAGGCGGAATTTGGACCAGATGTTGGAGGACGAGGAGAGTTGGTGCTTCCTGCCGAAGAAGGTGGTGCACACGTTTACCGGACACACCCAAGGAGTGCAGACAGTGCGGTTGTTTCCGAAAACTGGCCATTTATTGCTCTCTGCTGGTTTGGATTGTAAGGTCAAGATATGGGACTTCTACAACCAGAGGCAGTGTTTGAGGGATTACATGGGGCACGACGTTGGCGTCCGCGATGTCAAGTTCACAGACGACGGAACCAAATTTTACTCTTGTTCCTTCGACAAGAACATCAATCTTTGGGATACGGAGACAGGCAAGATCATCGTGACCATGACGAACAACAAGACACCATATTGCCTAGCTGTACACCCGAACCCAGCAAAACAAAATACCTTTATCGCCGGATGCAGCAACAAGAAAGCGGTGGAGTGGGACGCGAATAGTGGGAAAATCGTCCAAGAGTACGACGAACACTTAGGTTCGGTCAATAGCGTGACGTTTTGTGAGGAGGGCAAGAAAATCGTGACGACATCGGATGATAAGAAGATCCTCATCTGGGAATACGGGATTCCAGTAGTCATGAAGTACATCTCCGAACCTAGCATGCACTCGATTCCTTCAATCGCAGTCAGACCCTGCAAGAAGTGGCTCGTGGGACAAAGTATGGACAACAAGTTGGTGACGTACGAAGCGACAGGGAGGTTTAAATACCAAGCTAGTCGAAAGTTTGTGGGTCATATGTCAGCGGGATTCGCGTGTGAACCTAGTTTCTCGCCAGATGGCAACTTTGTAGCCAGTGGAGACGGAAACGGACGCTTATTCCTGTGGGGATGGAAGAACTGCAGACTCTTCAAATCGTTTGACGCACATACTGGAGCTTGCATGGGCAGCGTCTGGCATCCAAAGCACACGTCTAAAATGTTGACGTGTGGCTACGATGGTTTGATCAAGCTGTGGGATTAATAGAGACTCTTTTTCTACTATCGAAGTCTTAACGGCCACGCAACACATAGAGACATAACAGACAACTTTGACCTTCCCCACCTGCTTTTCGCTTACTTCATGTTTATTCTTTCACCCTGGTGTAAGAATGCTTACAAGTAGTAGACATCCCCATAAAAATAAGGCGATCTAATTAGATCCAGCATTGAAGTGCTTGCAATTGGAGACGTGTTCTCAATATCGGTTTAAAGGTGCACAGCAGCAGGATGCTTGAGTTGTTGAGAACAAAAGAAACTGACGTCCATACGATCTTGATGTTGTCCTTGTCTTTTGGTGTTGAGGAGAGAGAAAATCTATTATAGTGCACGTGCCTTCGTGAGAGTACTTAAGTATATCTCCTGTATGCAGCTACCAGCTTTTAGCCGGCTTTTCTTGTGCGTATTGGAGACTTGCACTTGCTTGCTCTTCTACCCGCGAAGGAGAGCAAACCAGCGTCCTGGTCCTGTTCCCTCGCATTCCTTCGACAATGCCAGTCCTGGGCTTGTTGAAGGCTGCTGCGGGTTCAGCAGCTATTCTGAACGAGTCGGTGGCTCCACAGTACACAGCTGATGTGGTCCGGCTACCCTCGTACATTGGAGAGGTTCGTATTCCGCATCTCCATGAGCCGCAGCTTGAGGATTTAAGAGAGGTACGCAACTAATCTTGGCGGGTCCTACATGTACTTACACAGTTTGCCCTCACTTTATACGTTGCATACAGAACCTTTACTTCCAGGGCATGATGGAGAGATCAGATGAGTTTCTCTTGTTCTTGAGAAAAACTATATATTATAACCACTATCGTCTGGTGGAAAAACTGTGATATTATATATAACATTGACGTCACAGATCTTGGATCACCCTGATACCTTCATCAGGTCCACGAGGACTCCGCCGCCTCTTCGAACGACTATCTTCCACAGTACTCTGCCCTGCAAATATCCGCCAAGAGGAGTCCAAGGTTTTGGCATATGAGGTCTGAGGGTCATGGACTCTTTCCGCGCGAACATGATGACATCGAGAAGATTCCCCCGAGAAGTATCGTGGAAGGTACAGTCGTAGGAGGAGATCCATGCTGCGTTACCTGCGGTACTGGTGACCATAGCTTGGACGACGAAAGTCCAATCATCAAGCTCACCAGGAGAAAGAGCCTCGAACGGTTGTCCTTGCTGCAGGATCCAGACGATTTGATGGGACTTCATGCGCTCTTAGACGAGCAGGGAGAAGAAGACCAAGAAGTAGTAACTTTTGATCCATGGTTTGGTGACAACGAGACCTCCTCTGGAACAAGAACCAGATCTCTCTCCCCTGCTTCGAGGTCACCTGGAACATCTTCTTCTAAGAGCACTTTCCTTAGAACTGGCCCCCAAGGGGATAGGGATTTTTCATCATCATCTCCGAAGAACAAGTACTATTCGATCGACCATGCACATGGTTTTTGTGGCGAGACGTGCCTCTACGATTGGCAATATCCGATACTGAAGGTCTTCGAGCCTGGTCTCACTTTATGATCACCGAAAATATACCAGAAGTACTTCGTCCTCGTTCTTGTGGTTGAGTTGGTCGCCTTGGCCTTCTTAAGAAGCAGTAGGATAAGTTTCACTACCTGCTTGTAAAAGATAGACGGTCTACAACTAGATAATCTCGTGGTAGAATTCTTTGTGTGCCTCTTCTCTAATACCCAAAGTCTCCAGCGACGAAGGTGGCAGAACCGCACGCATCTGTGCGGAGAAGGGCTACAGCCAGTATTCGGAAACTGTGACGCATGGCGCTGGCCCTATCAAAGTCACTCTAGATCTCTATGCACCTACCGCCCTGGGAGATCGGACGAGCAAGCAGGTGGTGAATAAACATGTTCTTAATGGTGAGGCATCTACTTCTTCAAACGGAACAAGGTCAACTAGGACTGTGTCTGTGCTGGACAAGGATTTGCAGATTTATTAAGTAGTCTGTGTTGTGAAAGACCGCGGCCTCAAAAAACTTTTATCATATCTGTGTAGAAAAACAAAAAGAATATGTCACTCGAAACGCAAACTTTTGGCACTTTCTTACTATGTGTAGTTCATTGATGGAGTCTCTTCCGTTCAGCATCAGTGACCGTTGCATGCTGAGCTTTAATGTTGGGAATACAGTTGTACCATCTTCTTCTTCATGTAGTGCGTATCAACATCATCGGCATAGCATACATTGTACAACATGTGGTCAGAGTTTGTTTTTCATCGCGTCGTGAAACAGCGATTCAGACTGCCTACAACTGTCATCTTCTGCTAAAAAACACAAACACAAACACTTAGGGCGAAGTAGAGGGTTGAGATCATGAGACCTCATGAAGCGCGTTGTAGAAGGAAGTAGTGCTGAGTAGTGCTCTTTTATACCTCTGGAGTGGGTACATTCATTCAGTCAAGCAGTACGGAGGTGCCGAAGGATTAGCACAGAGGCAGAGACACACTGTTCCCAAGGAAAACGCTTGAGTGTGAAGACGACTGCGTCGTGAGCATGGACGTGGCATCGGTCTACAGTGTAACTGAGTATCATTTCATCGAAGTGCACGACCTACTTTTCTTGCTACAAGAACACTTGTTGATCGATATATAAAAAACTGCGACGTTCAATGACACCACAGAGGTAGACACAACTGCTCTACACATACTTACTAGTTAAGGCAAACTAAGACTACTGCCGCATACTAGTAGAAACAAAAGATGTCTTCCTCGTCCAGCATGTCCGAGGATCAATACAAGTCACCGCGCGGAGGTCAAAACGAAGACGTGCCTCCGACGAAAAGCGATGAGGTGCCTCCTACGACACTCTTTTATGAAGAGAGGGGATATTGTCGAGAATGTTGATCCAGTTCGTTGCTAAGACAAATTGAGAATCAAAACGATGAGCTCATAACACCTTTCTCTCAGAGTAAGTACAAAATAGGACTATGCCAATTAGAGGTCAAAAATCCTTCTAGTTCATGAAACACCACAACAAGCACTAGGTAAAAACTCTTGTCTAATTCTTGCAAGTAGAGGTTAGAACGCATGATGAGGAGGAAGATGCCGAAAAAGAGACGCAAAAGGTGGAAGACGAGGGAGCGCGAGCTGTGCAAGAGCTAGAGGAATACCAAGAGGAATTACAAAATGCATCAGGTCAAAATTTTGTTATGGATTCACTTTTCACGTAACTAACATCTACGCTAACGCTAGCTTGAAGCAAGTTGGAGTTGAACAGAAAGTAGTAGAATGGTTCCCTGTGATGTGCCTTGATACAACTAGAACCACAACAGCTACATCAACTATTGGAGGTGAATTTCTAGTGGGTCATGTTGACGCGAAAGGTGGATTTCCGTCAGATTTTGCCTTCTAATCTCAGCCGAAACCCATTAGTGAAGAAGTCCAACAGCTTTCCACTGGCGACCCGGTCGTTTCCGATAGCTTGGATGTCAGCGGTTGTAGAAAGAGCAGAAAATCTGAAGGGCTCGGATGTGGACTTGGAGTTGAAAAAGGTGCTGAAAGAACCAGGCGCAGCGTTTTCCAAGCGCAAGGACAAAGCTGTCTTTTTTTGTGCTGTCATGGGGATGCTCTTCCTGACTTTTTTAGTCTTCGGAGATTACAATTATGACGTTGTAAGTACTGTAGGAGGTGATGAAGAAGCAAGCTTGTTCGTTGTAGTCGTTCTTTCATCGCATATTATCATTATCTGTCACGCTTCAACAAAAATGTTAGTGTTATTCAACTGACCGACCGGATACAACTTATTAGTCCCATACAAGTCGTACTTATGCACTATGCTGAAAACCTGAAACGGCTCGAGCCTTCTAGCTTGACCACTCGTTGAGGCGTGCCACTGCCACCATGATTCATAACTCTAACTCACGTGGCTCTATTTCTATGTTTGGACAGCGGGATACTTTGTTTTGGTGCCTTGGCGATTCTACGACTACTGGGTGACAAAGTACTTACAATAAATTATAGTTTCTTTATTTAGTTCCTTGGCCCTGCTGCGCGTCTTCACCGCGGTCTATTAAAGAAGATTGCCCAGAAGTCTTGTTACATACAGAAGTGTCACTCACTGGCTACTACATTCTAGAAAAATTTAAGATTGTAGATGCCCACTAAAATAAATCTAACTCAACATCTTTCCTCAGGTGGATGTTTGTCGACATCCCACATCAAAAGTAGATCTAACTCAACATCTTTCCTCAGGTGGATGTTTTTCTATGTCGACTTCTGCTATTTTGCGAATGCGATTCTTCTTCTGTATGTATGGGTGTTTCCCGATGTTCCAGAGCTATTCATAATTTCCTTTTGCTGTTCGTGCCAGCAAGTGACGGGGATACCGCTGTACCGAAATTCTCTGGTCTTTCATTCCTTGCAGAAGCTGATCTCGTTGTACCTGCATTTTTGCCCCTTCCTTTAAGGCTACAGCCGCGTTCGTATACTCTCTCAAAGTCATAGTACGCCAGCCGCTAAAGTCTGCCACATCGGATGGTAGGCCCCAACCTAACCTAAGCTAACCTAACGTGTACTCTCTCAAAGTCATAGTACTCATCTTGATAGAAGACTACTTCTTGGCGGCGGACTTGTTATGTTCTTCTTGAAGCCTATTAGCAACGACAAGGCACGACCAAAGATCATGAAGATTTTGCTAGCTCTAGACCTACTTTATATTTGCTTACAAATATGGGCGTACTACTCCAACACACCTACTACAACAGACTTGGTACCCACTTTACTCCCCTCTAAGAGGAAGTGGTCTTCATGATCCGCCACTACCCGTTGCAACTGGAATACGGTCCCGCGTTGTCAGGCTTCTTCTCAACAGACTACCATTACGAGACAAAGGCAGAACTAGGCTCGGCAACACAAGTTTCCGCCAGTTCACCATCGAGTGGCCAGACAGTATCATCTGATAAGGTGCAGCTCGTGACTTCTGGGACATCTCAGCATGACAAAGCGTGGCTCGTGAAGCACGAAGATGAGGCATCCATGGGAGACGTTTTTCGCGGGAAGCGGTTCGGATTCGTGATTCCAGACGAGTTGACAATGTTAAGAGTTGAGCTCGTCATTTCATGGTCTCTATGTATCTATTTGATTTCTTTAAATTTGAGTCATAACAGCTTACAGCACATCGTCCCAACTACCCCTTTCCCACTCATTTCAAAAAAAGCTTTTAGAACACCCTTCTAATACCTGGTGATGCATTCACGTGGCCCTTCGTTTTTTTCGCGCTGCATCAGTCCTTTCATTACATCTTCCTCAATTTCATCTGCCCAGTGCCGAAAGATCCGATTTACTACACGTCTTACAGGTACAACTATTTCAGTTGCAAATTTATGGTCGTCCTCTAGAAGAACGAAGTAGTTGTATCATCCATCACCATCTCTGTACTTATGTATCATTTATACGTTAATATGAATACAATCCTGCTCACTCTCCAACCACATCATCATCATCATCCTCATCATCATCATCAGCAGCATCATCATCATCATCATCAACCAAAAAATACAGACACTTGACGACGATGAAGGGCAGCCCATTTCAGGGACTTCCAGGTGGAAAAAAATGGGTCCCAATTTGGTACGCGGCAGCGAGTGTGACACTCTGCTTATGATGTAGTTGGGTAGTAGTACGTAGAAGAAGAAGACGTCGTCAGGGAAATCATCTAAGCCATGTGGTGGCTTATGAATCCACAAATAGTAAATGGTAATACATCGATCTTTCTATGATTATGGTATCGCTTCCTCATCAAAAGAAATTGAGGTTCTTCTAATCCTCGTGATGTTCTTAGCCCCGACTCCACTTTGGTACGCGTCACCGGAAGCCATGCTGTTCTTTGGCGTCGCAATGCTCTCGCGTGGTGTGTGGAACGGCGGCAGCTGGTACATCGAAGTTTTCGGAAAAAACTATTCTTATGCTGCAGGGCTTATTTAGAAATGTGTTTTGTTTTTGTAGATTATTCTCTAAGTAGAAATTTGTTTCGTAAAGAGCGCACTGTCCCGCATTTTTATGATTCTTTTTCCTGTGAGGTGTTTGTCATTCTTTGACTAGTTGTACAGGAGCTTCTTTTGAGATGAGTAACAAACGGGTCTGCAGTAGCTCTAACATCGAGGAGAGAAAAAACCAGGTGAGAAAAAGCCTGGTGAGAAAAAGTCGGGTGAGCAGAGGAAGGCTCCCATCTCAGAACCGGGAGTTGCTGCGCCAACCGAAACGAAAGAGAAAGAGGTTGAGAGCAAATAGAGTTTAGCACGATTTCATCCGCATAAGGTTGAAAATTTGCTTTGAATATCAGAGTTGTACCTCACAATTGCAATCTAGTGTAGCGATCTTCATCTTCATGTAGGAATAAATGTAACGAATTCAGCTATCAAGTTGAAGTTGCAAGTACTACAACAGCGTTCAACGAAATGCACCAAAGGCAAGCAAAAATCCAATACAAGTAAATGTACCAAGACCAAGCTGAGGTCCTCAAAAACGAAAAGTATAATCATGTAGATTTAATTAGACTCAGTGGGAGCACACAAGTAGTAGTACTAGTTTCCCGTGGAATCCGAATCATCAATTCTTCAGTAAAAATGCAATTTATGGTACAGTTTCAGTTATTCAAATGTTACTTAAGTAGAGAGCTAGAGCTTGAGTTAGAAAAATGCCAAAATTTTCCATCCTGATTGATCAATGTTCATGAGCCGTCCATCTACGATGAAAGTGTAAAAGGCCATCGTGCTCACTTCATTTTCAGTCACCATCTCTCTTCCGGTTCCCCATGCACAGAATTTTTTTCTCGCGGATTGCAAGTGTAGGTCGGAATGAAAACACCATCACGCCAGTCAACATTGATAGAAGACATCAGATTTTGACGGTAGTCCGATCATCTTCACCGACAAGGACAGAGAGGAAATGAAATGAGTCAAATCACCAGAAGTCTTTCTTTTAATGTTAAGAAATCACTACGTTGTAATGAGATGTTGAACTTGTGATGAACTCCTACACGCTCAAAATGGAGGAGGTGTCTTGACAACTGGTCGTGTACAAACACAAAGAATCGTTTTCACTTCTCTTCTGGTGCTCGTTTTGCGCTTTTTGATAGTAGAATCAATCTAGTCCAATTTCAAAATGAAAACTGTCTCTCTGTGTTTCAGATCCTACTTGTCTGGTTTCTTCGTTCTAATGGTGATGGTGTGCTTTTTGAATTTTGAGCTTGTTGCTTTTTTTGAAGTTGTATGTTAGTGTTACGCGTTCTTCGATGAGCTTTTTCTGTCTGTGTCATCTGACCACACACATCTAATGAGTACATTCGAGCTTTCTTCCACAACATTCACTCGACCGACCATTTTATCCTTTGTCCTTCTTTTCTCTTTTCTGTTACCAATTTTCCTTTTGAAATCTTCAATCAAAGGTTGCAGGCTATGAACCAAAAATGCTCTACGGCCAATGACTTCATTCAAACGACAAAAAAACTTGATATAGCGATTATTTGGGGCATTTGGGTGGCTAGGGGCAACATCAATGCATTCTTGAAGTAGGAACTAGAAGATCATGTACGTAGGTGGTAGATCATAGTGTTTATGACGTTTTAATTGTTGTTGATAGAGATAGTTGGAGGGCCGTGCTTGTTACTGAATTAATTGAAATAACTACTTTTGAGTCTTAAAGTCAAATTCTGAACGATGTACTACTAGTACTAGATTATTAGAGCATCGTTGTTGCGTAGTACCACCTTTGATTTCTTCTAATTTCTTGTATATACTAAAAAACCAAAAAAAACATATCGAATCTTCAATTCTGTCCTTGTAAAAGCAGTTGTTGATGATATTAATCAGATTGAACAAGTGAAGTCGATATTTGTTTTCACTAGAAGTGTAATCTTCTAATACTATGTAGATACTGGTGTTGTTGTAGTTGTCTTGTATTCTACTATTTTTGATGATTTGTAGATACTGTTATCGTAGTTGTCTTGTATTCTACTATTTTTGATGAAGAATATCAATATTGTCCTTCCCAGCTGCTCCATCTCGTGCCTCGTGATGTTGAGAGCGAGGTGGCGTGAGTACTACTTATGAAGTTTGTTTGAAAAAGAAATTATTTGTTTCCGTTTTATTTGACGAACACTTACACGGCTGAGTATACCGCCCAGAAAGTAAGGTAGGAGAAGCAACTAAAGGAGCCACCACCAGACGCAGCGGGACCACGCAACTGCAGGAGAGGGATCTTGTTGTGTGACGCGTATGTGTTTTTGACGCCATTGGCGTGGCGATGCGAACGAGATGTCCGATTTAGATCTCAGCACTCTGCAGCCTCCATCATCGCTGTTGCCTGGAAGTCTGCCTGGTGGAGGTATTCATGATCATGAATTTGTTTTATTCATTTTCATGGATGCATCGATTTTTTGTAGTATCTTCTATGATTAGTATTGTGGCTCGTGGTACTTCACGTCCACCTGTTCCTCTTCATAATGAATCGTTTTTCAGTGCATCAATCTGCTGCAGCAACTGATGTTCTCTCACCCACATCACCCAGATACAACAGGAGCGCCTCCTCTGCAGCCCATGATGTCGGTGATGGATTCCAAATTGAACACGTCAGCCACCGAGTTCGTCCCCACGTCACACATGGCTTCCTACATGCCACAACAGGACCACCTAATGTACAGCAACGACGTGAACCAACATCAGAGTATGAGCCAACATCACCAAGGTATGAATATGAATCATCAGAACATGCATAGTAGCACAACGACAAACAACGTTAACAACGGAATAAACAGCAGTGGAGGAGGATTCTCGATGTCAACATCAGGTATGAATAACGGCATGGGGATGATGAACGGTGACCAACAGGGAGGCTATCAAGCTTATAACCAGGGAATGATGCAGCAACCACAAGCAGGGACGATGGTAGGCGGAATGATGTTCTCATCGAATCCTGCTCAAATGAGTAGCATGATGGGTGCTGGCGTGGGCAATACTAGTGGGACGAGTACAATGGCAGACAATATGGGTGGCGGAGGAGGCTGCGCTGGCCCACCACCCACTATGTCAATGCTACCTCCTGGTGCTGGTTCAACGTCAACAAATCTGAACCTTTCGTCATCTTTTAACGGCACAACTATGGGAGGAGGACCTAATAGTACTATGGGGGGACCAGGAGGACCTAGTCTCTCATGCTCTTACGTGGATATGCGTGGAAATACTAGTACCAGTGCAGGAGGTTTGTGCGCAGGAGGTGAGCAAGTAGTAGACAATTCAGCGGGTTCCTCTTCCTGTACAACAGGAACTAGTACAGCTATGGGCGGTGGAGTAGGAGTGGTGCCATCACTTCCAGGCGCAGCTGGAGGACTTTTATCTTCTGCAACATCACGCGAAAATAGCATCCTATTTCAACATACCAACTCCTCAGGGGGACTGAACAATAGTATTCTCAGTGGTGGGCCGCCGAACCTGCTAGTCGGCAACATGATGATGAACTCGGAAGAACAAGGCAGTCACATCGACGCCAGTAACAATGCGAGCATCAATGCTAGTTATGGTTTTGGTTTGCGTTGATGTTTTTTTCCTTCTCTGTACGTACAACTAGTTATTGAATTTAGTCTTGAATCTTGTCCTTCGTCTTGCTGTCAGTAGATGGAGCGTTCTCGAAATAAAACAAATTTTACTCTGATTATAGTTACATAGTATGCTATGTAGACTCATCTGTTCTCTAACCTTCCATCGACGAAATCGATCGCCTCAGCAGTATCGACGTGCTGAGCAGTTGCCTGGCTAGCACGAGTAGTGCCGCTGCCGTTGCCGCCGATCCAGCCATTTTGTCGATGGGTTCCGCTATAGCCTGTGCGCCTGGCGCTTCTGACGCAACGACTTCAGCAGAAACACAGTCCTCGCAAAAAGAAGAGCCATTTTCGGACTGCGAACCCAAGCAGGATGGTGCAACGAATACTAACAGTAGCAGTTCAGGAGCCTCTACAGGTGTTGGCGCGGCTTGTGCTCCGCCTCCTGGCGGACAAACATCAACTTCTGGAGATGCAACAGGAGTAGCACATCAACCTGGCACCAATGCGACTAACAATCTATTACAACTACCCTCGACGACGACCCCTACCTCAGCGACAACAACGACAGGAAATGTTGTAGATAACCTACCTCCAAACAACTGTGCGACATCATCTACAGGCACCTTGACGACAACGGGCTTGCCACCGTGTCCTCCGCCTGCCGTGGGCGAGGCTTCAACGGCATCCTCAAGTAGTTTGAACTTCATGCCGCCGGTGCAGCTACCTCTAGCAGGTCCCAACGGTGGCTCGTCTCAGCCGAATTTCGGTTCGATGATGATGAACAACAACAACCCTAATATGAACACTAGTGGAGCAGGGGGCAATGGCAATAATAATAATTTAGTCACGCCTGGTGTTGGTACGATCACCGCTAGTAGCATCAGCAACATGTCCTCCGGTCTGAACAATAACAACATAATGGGATGGGACCAATCTCAGCAAATGATGGACATGAGTGGAATAGGAACAATGACCGGAGGAACTATGATGAACAACAACATGACTAGCGGAGGACCTGGCGGAATAATCGGAAATCATAGTTCAACTTCAACAGGAGGGGCTACTTCTATGGGTACTAATATGCAGCAGCATCAATCCTCAATGATGAACAGCAGTGGTCTTGGTCAAAACATCAGTGGTGGAAATGATCTTGTTGCCTCCGGAGCAGGTGGTCCTTCTTCTCTTCCGTCAACAACTGGTCATCTAGATACAACTGGTAATTTTAATAGCGGTTGTTCTTTAGGTGGCATGAACAGCTTTGGCACCGCGAATAGCACGGGTACTATGTTCAACATGATGAACAATGGAGGAGGACAACCGAATGGACCTCCGCACATCAGCGGCCACCTCCCCGGAGCGCCTCCTTCTATTAAGGCTCAACTTTCATTGGTCATTGAGGTTAGTCACTGAGATCGAAGAGGCGACCCTCCCTTGAGAGTAAGTAGAACAGGGGAAAATGAAGGAAAAGCAAAGGGAGAGGCATCATTGACCATTGTTCTTTCAGCATCAGTGACCATTGAATGCTGAGCTTTAATTCTAGCCACAATTCCTTTGCAGCTGCAACGTCCAGCACCACGACCACATCTAACGGCTGCAACGGGGGTTTGTTGAATATGGATGCCGCTCCGTGGGGACCTTCAACATCGAGTGTGGGAAGCATGGGTACTATGGGAGGAATGGGCACCATGGCAGGAACAATAGACCCTGGAGGTGGCGGAGCGAACTCTTTTGGTGGAAATAGTAGTTGCGGAACCTTCGGAGGGAACTCACTCATGGGTCAGAGTAACAACATGATGAACAACATGATCATGATGGGTGGGGGATCAAGTGCAGGGACCATGATGAATATGAACAGCAGCGGCAACATGGGCATGATGGGAACAAATAGCTCTTCCTCCGGCAACAACCTGATGAGCATGGGTGGTAGCAGCGGTCCTCTTGGCTCTTCAAATAGCTCTTCCGGCAACATGATGGGCTTGCAAATGAGCAGCTACCCTCCAAACATGCAAATGAATAGCTTGAATCCCTCTGGTAATCCAGCTGGAGGCTCTAGTGGCAACATGATGATGGATACCAGTACCCTAGGCGGCGGAGATATGGGAGCAGGTGGTTCCTTCTCGTTGAACCTTTCGTCAAGCGGCTTCGGTTCTAGTGGGCAAATGATCATGGGAATGAACGATGCTGTCACATCAGGAGGTGCTATGCCAAGTGGTTCGCCCAACATGCTTCCCTGCCAGCAGCAGACCATGTTCAACAATAGCCAACAACTAGTGTCATCTAACTCCGGAGCAGCACCGGGATCCTCTACTGGTGCAGGAGCTTCCTGTTCTTCTTCCTTTGGAGGCATGAACAACAGCGGATCAGCATCCACGAATACTGTCTCTTCTAGTTTCAACCCTAGTGGTCCCATGTCGTCGACTTCTTTCCCGCCACCAACCAGCATGTCAACTTCATCGTCAACCATGAATGCCTCAGCGGGAAGCTTCAACCCTGGTAACTCCTTCAATCAGATGAACAGCTTTTCTTCTAGTGGTAATTTTGGGGGAGGTTCTACGTCTAGTGTTAAGGTCAACATTTAGTGTCCATCTTTCTCGGCATCTTGGTACCTTTTTCCCTTGTATTCTCATGAAATACAAGGGAAATGGCGCCAAGATGAGGAGGCCGAGATGCACCATTCTAGCACACTCTAATAGTGGAGGTAACAACTATGGAGGAAACTATGGGGGACCACCGTCCTGTGGAAGTGGAATGATGGGGAGCACTGGCACTATGAGTGGAATGAGCGGTATGGGATCCGGAATGAACATGATGAACTCTTGTCCGCCCACGACCTCTGGTACTATGCTGGGAATGGGCAGCAGCAGCATGATGACGGCAGGAGGGTCTATGGGAGGTCCTTCTTCGATGAACATCGGAGCAGGGTCGTATGGGAACAACAATATGCTTGGAGGAGGGATGAACATGAACATGAACAACAACTGTAATCTTCAAGGTGGCATCAACATGATGTCTGGAGGCGGTTCATCCATGAACAACATGAACATGGGAGCAGCGTCAGTTACTAGCTGTCCCAATATGAATCCCTGCCCAGGAGCATCAGGTCCACCCTCTTCGACGATGAACCATAACATGTTGTTTCCACCACCTAGTGCTACACTGCCGCCACGTGGTAGCGGATTTTCCTTCAACATGAATGGGGGACCATCTTCCCAGATGCATCGTGGACCGGGTAACAAAGGCCGTGGCCCTCTCTCTCACCGAAGTGGAGGCCCAACTAATTACGGCAGCATGAACCCGCCAAAGCGACCCTCACCCTTCAATGCGGAGCGAGAAATTAAGGCTTCCCCTAATCCATCCCTGTAGACATCCCTCAAACATGATTACATACGCGCCCCACCACAAGGGAGATACCGACGCATAAGTATGCTTGAGGGATTTCCACAGGGATGAATAGGGGAGCGCTCTAAAGAAGGAATCGAAGATCTAGAACGTCTGATCGACCAGTCAAGTTGTGAGGATCCAGAAGAACAGGCGGAACACAACGCTAGCCAGGACGTAATCCTAGAACATGGTAGTAGACCGCCAGCGTCGACGACGGTCAACCTAACTGGTTTGCCTATGAACGATCACTCTTCAATTGGCGGTCCAGGTCTAGGTATGGGAGGGCTGTTGCCATCTTCAAGTGCTACTGGTGCATCTTCTTCGACGATGCTTCCAGGTGCGACTTCAACAACAGGCGTTGACTCAACTTCTTCTTCTGCTGCCGATAACAAGACTCCAGGTGAGCTTTCCCCCTCTCAATTCCTGCGTGTCCTTGAAGGGATGAAACAAGAGTCGTTTGGCGCAGAAGCTTACGTAATGGAGAAAGCAATCTCAAAAGTTCGAGAACACCTCGCTTCTCTGAACTCTGCTACTCAGCCCTCATCTTCGACGAGTACCTCTTTGTCGGGCTCGGGTACTAACGCGAGTGCAACTAGTTCTACGACTGAGGTCAAGAGTAGTACAATTAGTGCGGAGGAGGTACAAGTATCATCTTCAGTATTAGCAGCTGGTGCAGCACCAACTTCTTCTGGTGAGGCTACGGCATCATCTCCTTCTCTAGAGACCGCTACTAAACAAGCGGAAGCGACATCAACGACAACCACAACGACAACCGCGACAACGACTTCGTCGACTAGCAAAATTCCACCTACATCATCCGGAACTACAACTAGTAGCTCGAGCAGTAGTGCATTAGGTGCTCCTGCTGCGACGTCATCAACGGCAGCGACATCATCAACGACAGCTGCGCCGTGGGCAAAAGGATTAGGATCTAAGCACAGCACCACCAAGACCTTAGTAGAGCAACAGAAAGCATTGGCTCCGACTGAGGTTTTGTTGGATTTGATAGCAGCAGATCTAGAGGACACCTCTGCAGACCTCTGGAATCGTGTCCTATGCTGTTTGACGACGTCTCAGTACAACAACAATACTTGTTCTAGCACAGGAGCTTCTTCTTCTAGTAGTAACTTCAACAGTCAAGCTTCATCTTCTAGTAGTAACTTCAACAGTCAAGCTTCATCTTCTAGTAGCAACTTCAACAATCAAGCTTCATCTTCTAGTAGTAACTTCAACAATGTTAAGGCTGCCCCTAATCCATCTCTTTAGACATCCCTCAAGCATATGTACCCCAATACAAGGGAGATACTGACGCGGCCTATGCTTGAGGGATTTCCACAGGGATGAAAATGGGAGAGGTCTAACAATGCTGGAGGTAAGTCTTCATCTTCAACAGGAGGAGCGGCTACAGGATCTGCTTACCAAAATAAGGGATCTTCAAACGTGATGAGCTCCTATAATAATACCAATGTTGCTAACTACTCCTATAGTAGCATGGCTAGTGGCGTACTACCACCTGGCGGGGCGTCGAAGAATAGACAATTTCCGCCGAATTACACCCTCGGCGGATCCTCTGGATCGTCTGCCGGCAAGTCAGGACCCATGCTGAAGGGCAAAAAGATGGGAACGAAACTGCTGACAGGAAGTAAAATCTACAATAGCTTTAGTTCTTCGAACAGTGCTTCAGGTTCTGCTGCTAGCGGTATGGGTGTTGGAGCTGGTCAACATGTGGTGAACAACTCGAACTCCAGCAATAGCAACATGAACTACATGATGAATGGAGCAGGAGGTAGCAGTAGCGCGGCTAGCAGTAGTAGTCACCTCCACGGTCAGTCGCAGATGAACACGTTTTCAGCTTTTAATGGCGACAACTATGGAACCAAAAACGTAGGAGGTTCTTACAACTCATCATCTTACAAAGGTGCTAGTTGTAGTGGGTCCTTAGCTTCGATGCAGCCATCCTCAGCTAGTAGTGCTGCTAACGACGATGGCCTTCCTGGAGCCAGTCAACATCAGCAGCAACAAGGTGGGACACTGAGCACTGGAGGTGCTGGTCTGAATCCTTCGTCTTCTCACCAAACTTCTCAGCATCTTCCCTCTACAGCCGCTACTGGAACAACTGCGTCGAGCTCTGCTTCTAGTGCCTCAACATCCGGAGGATCGGTTCCAAATTCAAGCAAAGTGGTGCCATCTCCACCATCGTCGAACGGATCAGGGAAAAAGAGCATGTCTCAACAGACGAAACGACACCTGGACAATCTGGGTCTTGGACACTTAGAGGAAACCCTGGTGGCGGATCCTGACTATTCCGATGCCGAATTCGCAAGAGCTAACCTGGCTGGCGCCACTAAAGTCGGTAGTAAGCATCAGCACAGCAAGCATGGGAGCGGAGGTGTTGGAGGTGTCACTCCCGGCGACGGTGTCTCTCCTTCAGGCAAGAGCAAAAAGAATTCAGGCGCTGGAGGGAAGAACAACAGTAACAAGCAAGGAACTGTTACCAGCGGTATTGCTTCCATAGCGAAAGCGAACACAACAGTCGCAGCCGGCGTAATCCCTTCGTCTATTCTTGGAAAAAGCGACGCAGCAATCGCTGAAGCAGAAGACCAACTCGCGAAGAAAGCGAAGAAAAAGAAAGCAACCAGAGGCGGTAAAAAGCAACGAGAAAAACGCGAAATGACTACGTCTACAGCCGCAACTACTGCAGATGGAACCGAAGGAGCGGAGGTTGTTGCTGATGAAGGAACTTCTGCTAGTGCTACTGTAGCACTAGCAGACCTTGCTGGTGACGCAACTGCAAAAACCTCAGAAGCAGGGTCATCCTCACCTACTGGAGCGCGAAAGGCAAAAGGTTCACCTTCACCTTTGGCCAAAAGTGGAGATCAAGTAATGAACCAAGTACTAGAAGACACTGTCGGTTCTTCTGTAGTAGAAGATGGTGAAGACGAATCTTCTGCCGAAACTACAACGAGTCGTGTAATTAGTGCAAAAGCAGAAGCAGCAGTTGCGAAAGCGAAGCAATTACTGGCTGAAGATGACGAGGACGAGCAAGTGCGAGTGCCTGCAGCAGAGGATGTAATCGAGGCTAAAAATGAGTCCACTTCCGGTCCCGCAGAGGGTGCTGCTGCTAATGACGAAGAGGACAAGAAGAACAACACCCTTGACCAAGCAGAAAAAGTTCTTGGCGTGGTTGATGAAGATGAAGATGAAGAAGCGAAATCACCAACGTCCAGGAGCGACGAGGAAGATGCTTCTGTTTCGTCCAAGATGACTTCTTCTAAACAAGCACTAGACGCTGAAGAAGCGCTTCTCCGATTGGAGTTGAGAGTAACTGATCAAGCTAACGATGTTCACGGGCTTGTGGAGGCAGAAACGAACGGCACTGCTACGAAAGAGACCACGGCAGCTAGCCCTAAAGTAGAAGACGACGAGACAGTACGAACTGAAGATGGCGCAACAGCATTAGACTCAAAAGTAACTTCATCTTCTGCCTCGAGTGATGCGAGTGCGAGTCCACGCCTACTTGAAGGAGAGGAAAAAGACGCAGCAGGAGAAGAAGCCCAGACTGGTCCTGAAGATGGCAAAGACCTCCAGACTGCTACTGCGACGTCGAGGAAGGAGAGGAAAAAGGCAGAAGTTGCTGCGAGTGCTGGAGGTGGAGGAGGTGCTGATACTCCTCACCAGACGGATGAGGAAGCTACTACTCCGAAAAAAGACACCACCAAGCTGATCGAAGAGCGTACTATGAGCCGCGAAACGAAAAAATTACACGATACGCAACTCGAGGATGCTGATGTTGAGGTACTGAACTTATGAAATGGAGTTCTACTTCATTTTCATGGATGGTGATGTTGTAGTCGTTGCTTTGTGAAACAAGAAAGATGAAAATCACATCATACTGATAGATTTATTTTACATCCTTTACGTAGTACTAGTAGAGCTAGTAGATCTTGTTCACGACCATCTCAATGAAGCGTTTATAAGAAGTTTCTTCAGCACCTCATCTTATATTAAATCTCAGGCTCGCGATGAGGACGCTCCCAGCGAAGAGGAGGATGAGGAATACGTCAAAGTCGAAACGACCGCTTCTACCGCGGGTATAACTTTCAATGGTCTTTTCCGGCAAGAACTACATGTTGGTCTTATTCTGTCTTACTATTGTTCTAAGTCTAAGAATTCTAATTCTACCTAAGAATAACCTCTTAATCAATAAGTCAAGTTGAGCACTGAGGTTACATGACATGACATGACTACCTTGACCTTCCAAATTCATAGGAGCCACCGGAACAGGCAAAGCTCCGAATAAGAAAAAGAAGAAGAAGAAAAAAGCCGATGAGGACTTCAAGTGTATTGACGAAGAGGGCAAGAAATCCGCAGAGGTCCGTGAGAACTGTCCGGAATTGGGTACGGCGATCTTTTTTTCATATTTGTTCGTCGTAAATCTACTAAGATTGAGAGTAAGTGGCGTAGGGTTCTTTTCTGATCAGTACTAGGAACTTCACCTTCTGCATCAACCTGTATTCCTTTTCCTGAGGAAACCATGCTGCATAAATGCCACCCAACTGAATACAGCTATGAAGCAGGAAGAGCCAGCTATGAAGAATGCCACCAAGCAAAAGCGGGAACGTCTTGAGCGCCAAAGGAAGCGAAAGGAATTGCAGGAGAAAAATAAGGAGGAAAAGCGCAAGGAACGGGAGAAGGAACAAGCGTACCTCTTTTTATTTCTCGAATGTGATTTCAGTGGATGTTGTAATCACAATACACATGTTGTCTATGTCTTTACTCCTGTTACTAGGGTTGTGAAAATTGGCGAAGCCGAAGGTTCTCACAAAATTGAAACAAGCAGATGAAGACAGTGGAACAATAGACAACGATAGACAGTTGCTTGGTCGCTCTCTCCGCTCTGTTTTCCCAAAAAACCTCCTCGTAGGGCTACTTAGGTAAACAGTGAATAAAAAAATGTGTCGTCTTGCTTTTGCTTTGTCCCTGAATTGAAACCGAATAAACGATCGATAGGAGCATTCATGCTAGAAGAAGGGAGCTCGCAAGTAAAAACGACACTGAGACTTACCTTCTGTCACGCGATTTTATGGAAAACAAATGATATTTTTATCGAAAGTGTGTAGAAAATAGCATTACTACAGACGTACTTAGGCAAATAGGAATATCCCTCATTCTCCTCCTTCTCCTCCTTCTCCCCCCTTCATCCGCACTGGCGGATGGCTAACCGAGGACGGGGGCTTTGAATTTGCAAACTACAACGATAATATGGATCACCCCTATCTGGCGAACAAATGCTTTTCCCACGCCTCTCCGGCTAGCGATATTACCCGAATGTTGACGATGACGTCGAGGTTTGCGGAACAGAGTCATGTTATGAGAGGTGATGAATAACTTCGCTTCAAGCTTCAAAATTCATTAGCTGATTTTTCCGAATGTAGCTGTAAGGTGGGCCTAAATTTTGGCGTTCATCAGTTTCAATTGTTGCGCTTGTTGTATGTTAGAGAAGTCCATGTTGCTTGTCCTTCTTCTCTAATAAACGCAGTTCGTTGCGGCTCTTCCAGGCGACTTCTGGTGCTTCCTCTATGGAAGAACTGGAGCAAATGAATAGCAGTGACGACGACGGATCCTTTGCGGAGACATTCAAGAGTTCCTCAAAAGCGAAAGCTTCTGGAAGAAAAAATTTATTCGAGCAGGACCACTCTAGTTCTAGTATACTACCCTCATCTTCGAACGGAGGACTCGGTCTCCGACGTATTGGCGGACAACATAGTTTTCATCGAGGTGATCGTGAGGGCGATTCTCTTGGAGGTCTAGGAGGGTACGACGGAGGTGAGGCAGAACTCCAGGAGCTGAAAAGCAGTATCAATTTTGATTTTCCACTAAGCTATAGTTGTCATCTTGGAGGTGCTTCTAGCGGCGCTCTCAACATCAAGAACAAATATCCCAGTAACAGTTCTATTGGCGCTTCTTTTCCTCTTCCCTCCCAAATTGGAGGAAATGGTTCTACTGGTTGTGGAGATGACTCAGAAGATGTTGACCGTAGCACTTCTCCACGCACAGGCACAGCTGTTCGTCGTTTGCATAAGGAAGGACGTAACTTTGCGGGTCTCCTGCTAAGACAGCACTTGGTTGATGAAGGTTCATCTAGATCTAAAGATCATGTAGGACTAGATGACAGTGGTCGCGGAACTTCTTCCACTCATGCAGCAGCGCCGGTAACTACGTCATCAAAAGGTCCAAAGGTCAATACTTCTGGATCTCTAAACGCCTCAGCGAATCGTCGCAGAATGAACGCGAAAAAGGCGAAAAATAAACGTTCAGAGCAGGCTGCGCAACGCAATGGCAATCAAGGTGGAGGCGCATCTTCTAGTACGACTAGTACAACGCCCATCAAGATGAGTGCCAATAAAGGTAGTGGAGGAGGAGGAGAGATTGTTATTCTAAGGAATCCTGGTACTAGTCTCACTTCGTCAGCTTCATCTCCCTTCTCCCCATCTCTTGGTCGCTTTGGTGGGTTACTAGAAGATGTTGGTACTGGCGGGTACATTGACATGACGTTGGCAGGTTTGAGCACTGGCGAACGAGAAGATAAAAATGCCTCTTCTTGTTCTTCTAAGAAGAATATGTTCCTGGAGAACTCCACATCCAAGACGTCTACGAATTCGTCTACGCCTCTTGTAAAGGGTGGAAGTAAGCTGCTAGGAAGTTGTGGAGGTGACGTGTCTGACGACGATAGCGATGACGACAAAAATGATGAAGATTGTACTAGGACTTTTCCGGATTCCTCGATCGCTCTCAATAAGAAGAAGAAGATTGGCCGTGGTTGTGGTACATCGACCTCTAAGGGCGAGTCGAAAAAAGCGGAACAAGCACTATCATCAGATGATGACGATCGCGGTTCGATTTCGTCCTCTTCGAGGAGTTCTTCCAGTAGTAAGAAAGTAGGCTTCTACAGAAACAAGGGTGGAAACACGAGTCGTTTCAACAACACAAATAGAATTATGTCCAACATTTAGTGTCCATCTTCCTCGGCATCTTGGTCCCCTTTTGCCCCCGTGTACTCTCATGATGAAAGGGGTCGAGATGAGCGGACAAAGATGGGTTAAAGCTGAGTCTAATAGAAGTGCTGGCGGAAGGTTTACTTCCAGCAATAAGAACTATATTAAAGATTACTCCTCCGACGTCGATTCCTCAGACAGCAGTGAAGATAGGCACCTAGAGGATGATGACGATGATGACGACCCTCTATCGCAAGATGACGTGCTACAAGTGGCGCTAACTGGAGACGTGCCTGCGACAATGGTGGCTAAGGCTACAGGAGGCAAGAACAAGAAAGCGTTTGGTGCCACTGGAGATAATGATAGCATTAGCAAGAAAACCGGTGGTCGTGATGCTACAACCGCAGATAGCAACAAGAAAACTTCCACGCTACCCGATAAAATCATGAAAGCTGCAACTGACGGAGAACGATGCAGCCGTGAATTAATGGAGGAACTTGTGTTAAGGCAAATAATTACAGACGCTTATACTGAACACAATTTTCGCGGATAGAGGAACTTGCGTTAAGAGGAATAGAGGAATGTAAATGTACTCGTCAACTTTTGATAATCTCTAAGAGATTGATCCCTCCCTATAGATAATCTCTGGGAGTCTTCAAAATCCGTCATATCCTAGGATAGTCAATCACCATAGCTGTCTAATCGTTGCCGCAGCATGCAAGAGCCACCCCTTCGGACAGACGGATGATATTGGTGCAGAAGAAGAAGATGAAGCTGCCTAATTTAACCCGAATAGAACTCGCAGATCCCGGAAAGTATGAAACCCTAAGTACTTACTTCTACGAAGAAATCCCCTAAGCCCTAAAGAACGAAGTAGAATTCTATATAAGTTGTAGCTGTTGAGAAAAAGAAACTGACACATTTACATATTCGCTCCCGATGATTCCTTATGATCGATCAGTGTTGTTTCAGTTTCTCTCAACAACATGCGTGGTATAAATTTATTTAAGGTGGATTCAAGAAGTATGGAATTGTTATTGTAATTCTAATTGTTGTACCTCCCTCTCCCTGATGTGTGCACCTAATATGGCTATCATGATGTTCACACACTTGTGCTCTACTGCGTCGATAAACAGTTTCTTGTTCATAGAATATCAATGTTTCAGCATTTTGGTTTCATTCTGCTACGACACATACGACGCCGCATTATGCAAGAAAACACGAATAGGACAGCTATGACCTGCAGCGGTCGTGGTCGCTATAATCGCGTTAAGATTATTAATCTTCAATTTTCGAAAGGATCCCCAGAACTTTGATGTGCTATTTGCAACGATGACTTTTCAACGTTATTACAACAAGTCCACCAGAGATATTATAAAAGTGTCGGTATCCTCACGCATACTTTGATTTATCTTTTACTGAATACTCCAAGCAAAACTTATAACTTTATCTTTCTTTTCAATCTTCGTGCTCATAGGGCATAAGATAGGTAAACGTAAAAATTGTGAATGAATACTTGAATTAGTCTCAAGAAACAAAAATATTGGTACGTATATCCTTCTCCTTGAAAACAAGATTTCTCAATTGTTGTACTTGCAGGTTAGTTTTTATTGATGGTCAGAAACTAAAAGCCATATCCACCGTAGAATACTTCTACATACTTAAGGAGATTGTTGTACTAGATTGAGTTAGAAGAAAATTACTGTAGTTCCTTTCGCGCTCGCCCTGCATCATGATTATGCTTATGTTCCTGACTACTTCTGTTATTGATGTTCCCTGCTCGCTACATTTGACGCTCCTTGTAATTGTTAGTTCTACAAAATTCTTCTATGGTCACCCGTATTATTATATATTAGTATGTTTGCGCGCGCGACCCTATCGCTGTATATTCGTTGTAATTTATACTAAAACAATAACGAAGTAGATGAAGACTCTGATCCTTCTAACAAAAATATGACAAGAAGTAAATGCACCTCGGGTTGAATTTGTTTGAACTGGTTTCACGAATACGACAGACTGACACGCTCATGCTCTACATCAATCACGACATATATCAATCTTGTCTTTCAATTTCATTTTCATGCATGCATCGATCAGCACTTAAGATTATATCACACAATTTCTTTCTCATTCTGTTTCCACTACTACCACCTGACCATACACACAGCCTGCCCATAAACATGACCATCCATTACCACCGACAGCCACACATCAATATCAATCCACTACATACCCACATGAGAAACATCTATGATTTTAAAAAGCTACACATCACACCAAAAAAAAATCTAAAAAAAAAACTGCATCATCAGAAAAGGGTACTAGCTGCAAAGGGGAAGTCAGTGTGGTGGTGTGTCGTGTCCGGTGCGTTGAGTCTCGTCATAGTCGAGAGCCTAGAAAAATGGACATTGATCAGTACGTCAAAATCAAGTTCGACCAAAGTTATTTCTGATGAGCGCACCCACGATGAAGAGACAGAGCGACGAGCAGTACATTATAAGAGAAGAAGATGAGATCCCGAATGTGCATGTTTGACCCAGCGTTCACAAAAGTAGATTGAGAGATCGTCCCAGAGGAGTGGATGGAGAGAATAACACGGACGTCGAGCAGAGAACAAGAACACGTCGAGAGCGCTTGAGAGCAAGAGTTAAATGATCTCTACTGAAGGAGCAGACCGAAGTACTACTTGCATCAAGCAGCCTACTTAGGTCATCTTACACTAACCACTTATACTACATCAACAGGAGACAGAGCGACCAAGCAACTAATCACTCAACCACTCTTCCAAGACACGACACAACTACTGTATCATTACGCCTCAACTAATACAACCAAAAAACAGGGGCCTTTGCAGTGAGCGTGGTGGAGACTTGGGATTTCTGGACCGGACTTGCTTTTCAACACCAACGTTACCCCGAGACGAACGAAGGCATTTGGAAAAACTAGGTATATTCCTTTTTCATGCTTAGTTAGGGTAGTTCTACCACAATTGAATTTTTGAGTAGTTTTTGGTTGGATTATAGTTGGATGTTGTATCTAGTATAGTTAGACTTTGATTTGACTGATTGCCACGTTACTGCTAGTGGCGACAAAGACGAAGACAGATGAAGTCTGCGCGCGAGGATCGACACGCCTGTGACTTGATGGACGGAGGGCTCCGGGTGAGGCAAGCGGGATGCCGAAGTCGATCTCGCTGAAGTGCGGCGCTTTGCGTCCGCAATGCCTTACATCCAAAACGTCATCGACCTCGCTGAAGTGTAGCGCTTTGCTTCTGCAATGCCCTACATCCGAAACGTCATAGCCGCGGAGCTCTTTTTCTAACACCCGGCAACGCTTGCAGCCTTTCGGCTGGTGCTTGCCTTGGCATCGCGCGTTCGGCGGAGACATTACCCGGCCCAAACGCGCACGGCGGACACGGTTGAAGCCGTTAACGGCTCCGCGGCAGGCGTCGCCTTTGTCAGGCACTGAGGCCACAAGCCGGCAGGCATAACTCTGACGCTCAGCACCATGAGGCGGCGAACCAAACGCTGACATTGACCCGCGTGGCTCTGAGAGTGATCTGTGCAGCGCTGACTTTGATTACTCTGTCTTTCCCCACTCTGAGGCGGTAAATCTTCACCGAAAGAGAGAAGGAGGCCAGTCCGCACACTGAGAGCTGCGCGGGGCGTTTGACTCTTTTGGGCGCTGTACGCTCTGACACTCCAAGCACCTGCTAAGTGTTCGCTTCGCCTCTGACCTTGAAAACCCTGAGTTTCCCCAAGCTGCGGCGGTAAAGCCTTGACATTGAGAGAGGGCGAAAACTCTGACTTTGACATTGTGAGAGGGTGAAAGCTCTGACTTTCCCCACTCTGAGGCGGTAGGCCTTGACAGTGAGGGAACGCTGAGGCGGTAGACCCTGACACTGAGCGAGGTTGAAAACCCTGACTTTCCTTACTCTGAGGCGGTGAGCCCTGACATTGAGAGACGAGGAGGCAAGCCCGCACGCGAAGCGTTGAGAGGAGCGCGCGGGCCCTTTACTTGCTGTAAACTCTGACTTTCAACACTCTGACTTCAAAGCTCTGACCCTCTGAGCTCTGAGGCGCCAAACTCTGACATTGACAGGCAAGGCCACTTGCAAACGTGTCCAAAACTCGGACACGCAAAGCCCTGGGATTCGTTTACGCGTTTGCAGCCCTGAGTGGTCAACCTTGACATTTGTGCCCTTTTTCGCCAACGAACCTTGAGACCCAAAACCCTGGGACGGGTTCAAAGCCTTGCGACTTCGCTGTCAGTGGCGAACCCTATGACCCCCTGCCTTACGCCTTAAAGCCTGGAAGTCTTGGCCTTTGTTTCCGCCCCCCTTGAGATTCTTCTTGCCTCGCCTTAGAACCCTGACAGCCGACCCCGTTTTTTGTCGATTATTAACAAAGAAGGAATTCGTGGCAGGTAGTGGGTTGTTCTGTTGAGTTCTGCTTTGAATTATGACAAACGCTTTTTACTGATCTTGATGTCTGACATGAAAGACGATGTTACCGATTTCGCTCGGTGGAAGTGAGTCTTTTTCTTTTAGTACTCTCTCTAATCTATTCGTAGTTCTCATTACAATTGGCCTCCGTGGATGGTGTGAAGCGTACGGATGCGAGGTTTAGACCAGGTAGATTTGTTGCATCGATCAATTTATACTTCTTAATGAAAGGTTTGTTGTGTCATGACCACTGTGTGGTCGTAAGTGTGACCCTGTACGATGTGACGAACAACACGGCACAACATCACATCCTTGTCCATGCTAACAAAGTTTTAGATTCGGTCTCTATTTGTTCATACAATCATTTGATTGCCGATACCGTGTCACTCATCTTCAGGTTATGCTTTTCTCTGGTACTAGCTGGGCGAATACTAGCAGAGTTTATAGAATTGCGATCATTGTCCTTTGACTTTTTCGACAAAAAAAACAACAACAAGTATGTCGATGTCGTATAATTTCGTCTACTTAACAGTAACAGGTAAACGACCTAGATTCTGGTTCTCTCTCCCGTGCTACTTCAATCTAGAGGACAAAAGATTTTTTTCAAAGAGAAGCCGAACGGCGATGAATGATTATGATCACATCAAACCCGATACTGGCTGAACTAATTGACTTGCATCCCCTCGCTGTTTGTCTCTTGATTTCGATCATGATCACACTCAGATTTTGTCTCTACGGGTGCTAGGAACACCACTCTCAGAGGCAAACACATAACATGAAGGAATCTACAAGAACCCCAAGCATAGGCTCCATGTTCTCACACAGCTCAATTTTCCATCAAATTGATCTCTCATAGCTATGATTTAGGATGGACTAGTGTCTCAGTTCGTCTCCCTCTTAATACTCCCTCCTTTTTACTTTTTACGGACTACACTTAATTTGTTGAATTTGTTGGTAGTTTGTTAGCTAGGTGTCATAGAGCCATTCCCTGCATAAGTAATCACCCAGTTACAGGCATTACCTCGATTTTTTTTCTATTACATTTTCGTGCGATTTTTTTCATAAATCTTATTTTCAGGTTTGGAAATACTGGCATGTTGACATTTTCGACGATCTATCACACAAAATGAAACACCAAATAGAACGTGTGCGCCGTAATCGTCGCTATCATAGTTTTGTCACCATCCACCGGAGTCGATTCTTAGATCGATGCTGGTGTGCTTCTCTTACGTTGTAATCTGGTATTGGTAGATGTACATATATTTAGAAGGTATCTAGATCTCCTGCTCCTCTTTGTTTTCCAAAGTTGTAAATATATACCTCATTCTTGGTTGTTTTTTATTCTGTGCTCTCGGTTGCGTTTTCCGTGTATCAAAAAACTGTATCGTTGTTATATTGCTCAAGTCAATGGTGCTATCGAAATCGAACTCTTCTGAACATGTTCGAGATTAACTAGTGAATGGAATTTGGTAGTCATGATGTAGACGATGATATTACGAGATTGATTAAGCCTGAAAAACATGCTGGTGAATTTCAACACAGCATGCTGCTCTTTCAGGTAACATATGTAGTAAGTAGAATGAAAAACTAGAGGACTTGGATGCTTGTTGGAATTTTTTTCTCTCAAAAACGAAATTGTCTGTTGAAAAAGGTCGTCATATTGTCGGTGTTACAGGAAAGCTACCTATGTATTTATGTTGGAGTCATGTCGATCGTACTAGAGCAAAAGCTACAAAAATGAGTTTGTATCATGAAGTAAATCGAGCAAAACTGCTAGAATAGCCTCAAAAGTGGAAAGAGCATCAAAAGTGAAAAAATGCATTCATCGACCGCGGTGTGTTGTTCATAAAACTGAACCTTGATGAATTGCAGACACTGCTTCATCGTGCAGAGCATGATAAGCAAAAATAATGTGTCCTCTCCCAGAGCGAGAGGTTTTTTTCTAGCCAGGAGCGGTGCGTAACCCAGAAGCAAGTTAAGAAGAGCTAAGAGACCGAGTGAAGCAGGACAACTTATTTTGAGCGAAAAACACTTGAAGACGGTTTTACTGGAGAAAAAAATGAGGGAAGTGACAGTGAGCTGGATGAGGAAAAATGACTTGAGGAGACAGAGTTTTGGTGTAGTGAAGAAAATGGAAATGGACACAGTGAAATGGAAGAAAAAAAGAAATCGAAAACGGTTTTAGTATACAAGAAGAGGCGAGGCGTCTAATTTCACGCAGTAGAAACTACGAACCAAAATACAATCTAGTTGTATCTCTATTTCATTAAATTATATGTACTTAAGTTAACTTTTAATATTGCATGACCATTTCATCGCTGATGAAACTTCCTCACCTCCCAACACAGGTACCAGCAAAGCGGTCGTCGTGTCTGACTCACCGGATGTAGAGACTGTACCAGAAGCGTTGGCTAAATTGTCGAAGGAGCAGACGTTGGAGCACATCCAAAAAACCCTCATCCACAAAAAAAGCGAAGAGCAGAATAAGAATTACGTTAGTTGGGATATCCGGTTTTAAAGATGTCTAGTAGTTGTAGACCTCCTAGTACCTCTATATACTAGATCTTCCTCGACCTCGGAGCCAAGTCCAGTGCCCGGGCTAGACCTCAAGGGAGAGGCACTCGATGTGATGAAGGATGCCTGGCCTAATCTGTCCATTTCCATACTTTACTATCCTTTGAAGATCAAGGCCATTATGTTGAATGATTAGGAAGAGTAGCAAGATCGAAGCTGGGTTCTTTTCGAAGATGGAGATTTTTTTTGTCCGTCGTCGTCTTCTTCTCCACAGTTGTAGTAGTACTTGAAATGATTACTAGTACTACTACTACTAATTTTTAATGTTACCTAAGTAGCTGTACAACTTCAAGAACTTGTTGCTCTTCTAATTCCCGCATTTGGAAATCGTGATGCGGGAGAGCAAGCGTAAGGAGCAGCTGGAAAGGAAGCAGAGAATAGCTGCCGGCAAAAGTGCGCAGGCACTAAGGAAAGAAAAGAATCAAGAGCAAAAGCAAGAGCTGAGACGGGCCGCTAGAGATATGGAACAGCACCAAACATATAGATGAGGCCTGCAGAGCGAAGAGGAAACAACAACAAAGCTATCTAAAAAGTGGACGAGTCAACAGTCTCGGTTCCAAAATGAAAAGTAGAGAAAAGTAGACTAGCAGTAGATTACTAGACGGAGACAATAAACGGCTACCACTATTCTATCTACTTTCAGACCATCCTCCTCTAGGCTCCCTTTCGTCCTGCAACGTCAGTGCCCATACACCTAGCGACTAAGACTTTCAAATGCAATAAAAAATAAACGAAAACAAGGGACATCACCAGCCTTGTAGAAAAAGGACAACAATAATTTTTAATAGTAAACACTGCAAACCCGTCTCTCGACTGGGTATATCATTATCAACCATATTGAAGATGGCTTACTGCTCCTAGTTCGAGAGGGGACTAGAAAAACCTAGACAAACCTCAACCTCCTTCATACCATAGCGTAAGGAAAGGCGTGCACGGGGAGTCGATACTTCCACGAGTCCAGAGGTGCACCCTCACCGCATGTCTACTAGCGAAATCGCAAAAGGGCATACTGGAAAAACATTGTCGGAATCGCATTAAGGCTTGACTAGCTTTGGATTTTAGAGGTCGTTAATTATAGTTTGTGATTCATAATTATCATCATCCTTTTGGACACGCTTGACCTCTTCAAGCACATACAATTTGGTTCGTCAAGACTAGAGGGTAAATGAGAAAGAGAATGATGACTTCTCCAACGATTGAGTTCTTGTGCTGGTCTGTTCTTCTGCTCTAATCTCAAGAGGTCGACATCGATTACTTGACGGCAGTACGCATGCAGCGAACAACAAGTGGCTTGGTAGGCAGGAATTCGAAAACCAGAACTGGATGGCAAATAGCGGACTCGACAGCGGAAGTGCCAGTGGCACCATCAGCCAAGCGTAATGCGAAACTCACAACCCAACGACTCGGTGCCGCTACGTCAAACTCTATTACGGCCATAGTTTGTTGTCAACTTTGTAAACAGAACAAATGCACAACATGTAGGAGCAGAAGTAGGGGAAACCGAAATCGACGTCTTTTTAGAAGAAGTGGAGAGTGGTCCAGGAGTCTAAAGTGTGAGTGTCGCAACTATATTTTCGTTACAATTTATTTTCTTGTCTTCTCCTTCAAGAAGGTACAAGTCGGCTGAACGACCTCATTTCCAATTGACCACATGCAGCACCAGGTAACATGACATGACATGACATCTTCTTTCCCCATAAGCCTCTAGCTCTAACCTACGCCTCCTCGGAAGTTCGGGTAGTGCGGACCATTCCCTGTACAGCAACTTTTACCCAGCCTCAACGTCCTCGAGCGCGTCAGTAACCTCTTCAAAGAACAAAACCCACCTCTCTGGTCGTGGTGGTCTTTCTGGAGCAGGCACATCATCTTCTGTTAAGGCTTAGCCTAAGTATCTCTCATCTCTTTCTTTGGCTCTCTTTCTACAAGTTGATAATGATAAGAATATAATTTTTAATATACCTCTCCTAGTTAGGATGGCTCTACCACGACTATTTAAAAAGAAGCTAAGTAAGATGAATGTTGACAATCAATGATCTCCAAAAGCATCCATCTCCAAAAACTAAGTCAGTCTCTTCAGCGGTAAAACTATTGTATGCTCTAAATCCTTGACGATATCTTCGGGATCTGTGAGCAAGTTGAAGGCAGCGGCTTTCAAGAGTTCTACAACTACAACCATTAAGGCTCAACTTTCATTGGTCCCCATAATTTAGATTGGATTTATTGGAGAAATCGAAGAGGGTGGGGTCCCCTTGAGAGAACAGGGGAGATAGATGAAGGGAAAACAAGTAAGTAGAGAGATGTGGGGCCCCTCCCGTTCAGAGTCAGTGACCAATGACAACTGCTGACCTTTAATTCCTCTTCCTTGTCAAGTAGTACTGTAGGAGCTCCTGGCGCTGCGCAGAAAAAACTACACCTCACAACTTCCTCTTCATCTACTTCTTCTGGGATTACTGGTATTGCACAACAGATCTCTACTTCTTTAGCTGCGTCTGCACTCGCTGGATCCACATCTTCGAAGTCTACATTATCGGGATCGGGTGTAGGAACAAAAAATACCAGGGATAGAGAGGACGATACCTTCTTTCATGAATATTGTACCAACTACTCCAGTATTCCAACATCTTCAAGGGATTGGAAGCGAGCAGCGTTGCTACAACCAGTGCGGAGTGCTCGTGGAGGTCAGAAAGAGTACGACTCACCCACTGTCGACACCGATGAAGTGATGAGCAGTGTGTCCTTTCTGAAATTCAAGGAAAATGCCGAAGCACAGCAAATTATGACCTTGGTCTCGATGTGCTGGTCACTCATAAAATGTATAGTTCTTGCAGTCTGTCATATCGTCATTTATGGAAGATAAGTACGCACTTATACAGTCTATGCAAATGGAGTCATCGTCATGATGTACTTTTCTTAGTACTTTCCTCTAAAACCAGGCTCGAAATGGAGAAGCTGAGATTGACGCCAGATTCAGACGATGTAGACGAGGAAGATGAGGCCAAGCACGAAGCAGAAAACTATGTTCGAGGAAAATTGACCGGAAGTTTGGGACGACGACTCCTGAAAAAAGGATCTGAATCCGGTTCTGGTTCCACAACTACAACTGGCACTACAGGCGGAAGTAGTTCTCAAAACAACGTAGATAACTCATCTTCACATCCCGCGTCTACCAACGTCGACACCTCTTCTTTTCTGCACTTTCCTGAGGGCCTTCATTTTCAAGGTGGGAAAAAAACAACTCCGCAGGAGCTAGATCAACTACAGCAGCTTCGATTCCTAGAAGAACGAGACGGCGATGAAGATGACGACGAAGACGATGACGACACGGAAGATGAGACTACTCGAGAAGAACAAGGTGCGCAAGGACAGCACGACCTGTTGCTGAAAAGCCTAGCGGGTTCTTCGTCGAGTTACCTCCACATGGGGAGAGCAGCTGGAAGTGGTCTTTCTTCCTCAAACAAGTACAACAGCTGCCTAACGAGGATTCGTAAGAAAAACAACATCATCGTCGAGGAAGACGATGCTGACACGAGTGGAGACAACGAAGAAGGAGCACCTTCGAGTACAACTATGCTCTCAATTGCAGCGGCGCGAAAGAAACAGCATCATGACATCAAGATGAGGGAACTGTTGTTGAAAGCATCTTCTTCTAGTGCGTCTACCAAGACTAAGGCCACAACGTCATTGACAATCGATGTAGATGTTTTGAACAAGATCCTGGATCCGCAATTGAATGTTGATGATCAGGTGGAAAATGCGATCAAGATGGACGCTGTAGATGTTAGCGACGGAGATGATGAGGATGCCACAGAAGTGAACGTGGAACTTCCAAATTCACTTGGTATTGACGAGGACCTGGTAGGCGATAGTATTACAGAGAAGCGGACTTGTTCCTCTACTACTGCATCTAGCGCTACCGGAAGTAAGAACATGGCCACCAGCGCCAGAAAAAAGTTGCAAAGACTAGACGGAGATGAGGATATTTGTTCTAGTGAAGGTCCTGACAGTGACCGGACGGATGCTACTATCGCTTTTCTGAGAAGAGGAACATCTATGAAATCCGCGTCCGCAAAAGGTGCATCAGACGAGAGGGCAGAGATCCTTCGAAAAAAAGTCATGAACAAGAAGAATGACGAAGATGAGGAAGAAGATTCACACGACCGCTTGGTGTTTTCAACAACTACAAATACGAACGCTTCGAGAAGATTCCTTCAAAACAAGCTGAAGATTTCCTCTATGAACAAGGATGACGGTGAGGATGGACAACAACAAGATGACTCGTTCTCATCAACCAAGAGGACTCTGATAAAAGTTGGTGAAGATCCTTCAGATCCTTCAGCGTCGAGCAAGAGAAGTAATAGTAAAACTTCCAATACCTCTTCGTCCAATAGTAAGTCAACCAAAATACCAGAGGACAAAGAGGATGAGGATCACGATGATGATTTTAGCCACGAACAGGAAGATGAAGATCATGACTGTGACTCTCATATTACATTTTCGTCAACTAAGCAGGGAGGTACTAAGGACGAACTTGAACAGCTGGAACGCCTAGGGAAAGTGAAATCTGACTTGCGACGCAAGTCTGGAGCTGCCTCGGCTCTTCTACACGAGGAAGTGGCGCAGAGTTCGGAGGCAGATGAGAGCTCCGAAGAGAAACTGTCTGAAGAGTTGTCGCGATCACCTCTAAGGATCCACTGCGTAAATCGTGGGGAAGATGAGGCGTGAAAAATACTACGAAGATATTACGAAGGTGATATCGACGATGTACTAAAAGAATGATCTACTATACAACTACGATATGTAAAAGAATCTACTATACTACGATATCAAGAGCTAATATTAATTCTTAGAAATAGAACGGTGGATGAGAGATCGAGATGGAATATCTGCTCTTTTTATTTTCTCGATCAAACATCAGGAGAAGGTGCTTCCAGTTCGTGATCCGAAGGAGGTGATCCGATCCACGAATTGAGAAATCACTTGCAGCTATGCAACTCGACGTTATAAGAAGAATTTCATAGATAAAACATCACTTACGACTCTGCAACTCGACGTTGCACAGATGAGAATCAAATGCGACTAGGTGGACAGTAGAAGATTTTGAAACTTCTAGTCATGATAGCCAGGATAGAAAAACAAATGAGCTCCTCTGAATCACTTATTTAATTATGTTTTCATTCTTCTCTCGTTGGCTCACAAGCATCTACTCTTTTGGGGATCTTGTCATATCGATTCATCCTGCGTGTGGGTGCCACATGTCTATCGGGGAGGCACAGAAATAGAATAGAACGAGTTTCAATATTTTAATTTTTCACGACGCGGAACAGTCAGTGCCTCAGATTATAACTATCACAGTATACATTTAACTACAATTTTTATGAGTATTACATACAACTACTGTATCTCAATTCTCAAAATATCGGTCACTTGTAAATGTTGCATCGTAAAACTACTGTGTCTAAGTTTTGCTCAGGATCATTACTATGCCCCAAGAATAGTTCAATGTCAATCAATCTTCATATCACGACCGACGAGCAAAAAACAAAAAGTAATTTATTATGCATAATCACTTATAAATATACGTGATTTTGTTATTTGAACCTGATCCTCCTGGTCCACCTCAAAACGATGAAGAGCTACATCCGCTCAGTTGGCTATGATGTGCCTGCTCAGATAGGCCTAGTAGGCGTACCGCCTAGATGAGTGATTCTAGATGAGCGATTTGCTGGTCGTCCTGGGAAAAGAGACCATAGGCATAGATACACATACTTACAGTTGAACATAGTAGGTGGAAAGGAGCACTACTTAGCATAAATATTTGACCACGACTAGCACCAGCTCGTATTGAATTTTTTTTGGAGTATTTGAGAATGAGAAAAGTAACTAATGTGGAGGTCCTCAATGTGCGTGATTGTAAATACATAGGTTCCTCCAGCATACGTTCCTACAGAAGGCACACCGTCCTACAGGAACTTGTGCAAATATTTTCGTTTTAATACATGAAATGCAAACTATTTGCGATGTTGTTACAACAGGATGGGTACAAAAAGTTAGGGGCCAGTACAATAGGGGTATGTATTTTCGGCTATGATGTAGTAACTACTTGCTATTGGATTAGTTATTGGGTAGGTACCTAGAACTACTCGCTAAGCCTAAGGGTTTACATTGCTGAAACAAGAAATTCTTAATGGTTTATTTGTTTCATGCTCAGAAAATAAAAAAAGAAGCAAGTGATGAAATCGGGATTGAAAAAAATTGTATTCAATGAGAAAAGACGAAAACACAGCAGAACCAGAAGCGGATAGGATAACGTTGGAGTGGATGCTGGTCAAAGAACCAGCACCCACTTCTACGCAGCTGGAGCTGGGTTTATTTTGAACTGCAATGAATATGAATCAGCAAATATGAATAAGTTAATAAGTTAAAGTTTTGTTCTTGCACGGAATAAACACAACTTACAAGAATCATCTCCAATTACTATTACTAATAGCAGCCTTTATTTATCTTTTTGTCAATTGATTGTCGTTAATTCATTGTTCTGGGTGTTTTTATCAGGGGTGCGACCGAGAGCACAACTACCGCAACGAACCGCAGAGAACATAAGGAAAACCGTATAAGTTCAGTATGGAGGAATTTAGCTCGTCCAAGATCTTTCGGTATGCAATCGGCGTTTCGTATTCCTTCTAGTAGATTGTATTGATGTAGATGTGCTATGAGTATAGCAGGTTATTATTAGCGACACACAAGATGAATTCTTTTGAGCCTTCAAGTTTATGAAATGTCTGGCAATCAACTAGTACACCATTAAAAAACACATGATCTTCTACCTACTTGCAATGCATGATCGACTTTTTCCCCTCACGACCCATTCACCGGGGGAATGAGATTGTGAAGTAACAAGTGGAAACCTAGCCGCCCGCAACACCAAAGCTTGTCTTAATTCTTCTCAATTTCAAATTCAAACAAGGTTTATACTTAATCAACTGCTGTGTTGTGTTTGTACGTATTATACCTATTTTTGTATCACTTCTTAGTTTAACAAGTATCCATTCAGTCCTCGAAGATACAGAAGTTGTTGAATCCTGTAGTTTTTTTTATTTCAAATTCTTTTCTTTCAAATTATTGGACCAGACCAAAAAGATCTATCATGTTGTCTGCCGAGGAAATATCAATAAGTTTAAGTAGATGCTTCATCGCAACAGAACGGGAACTTTAGTTCCTGAAGTTGAAGTTGTTAACTTATATTATTTAAGTATTCACGACTCATTTTGTAATTGTAATCAGGGCTGAGGCGGGAACCCCCTGATCCTAATTGTAATCAGATTCATGAAGATGGGAAGTGCTTACGTAGGAGGGAACTATGTTTGTGTGAGAAGTAGAACGTGTACAAATAACAAATCTATCGTTTATGATGAAGTACGTTTTCATCACATTCTTGTCTTGACCAGAGAGAAGCAAATTCTTACGGTAGTTAGTACGTAGAAGTCTCTGGCAGTATGAGGGTCGAAAGAAAAACAATCAGCCATAACTCGTTTCTTTTTTGAAGATGATAAGTACTAGCCGACAAGATGCAGGGGATCATGTCGATGTTGCCAAGATGAAGGAGGCCTACAATCGTTGTGATTGAGCAGCCTTTATTTCAGAAACCTATCTGGTTGTAATCAAGCGCAGCTGTTGTCCTGCATAGAAAAAGGAATGGTAATGACTTGTTCTTGAACAGAGAAGCGCTAGCTTCGCAGTACTATCAACATACGATTTATTAGTATCGCGCAAAAAAACAAGGGAAAAACAAGAACGCATGTAGATGTATAAGCCGACTATACGTTGGTGGGACCACATCGCGAAATGAGGCTGGAAACGTAGTCTTTAATCATATAATAGTGAAGTGTTCATCGCAGTCAAGCTCAAGTGAAGAGGCATTGCGCTTAGCCTTACTTGTTTGTCGCAATTATGCAGATGCCAGATGGATCCTCTTGATCCGTGGTTGGTCCTTCCGGTTGGAGGACAGTGGTGTGGTCCATTAGCATAGCGTCTTCATGCTACATGGTGATGATCTTGAATATTGGTAACGGACTAGGTAGCACCAAAGAATAACCGAATTTCGTAACGACGACTACTACTACTACAAAAATCCCAACTCTCTCCAAAAATAAAAGACCACAATAAGATCATGAAGTTGAAGATGTTTCAACATCTTCGTTTCTCCTGTCTCATGGGAGGCGCAACCGCCTCCCTTGGTGCACACGCAGCGGCCGCTTGGTCTTCTGCTCCCCCTGATGCACTTCACGCTCGAGGAGAGCTCGAATTGTTGAACATTTTTCCTCTGGTTCGCGATGTCCCTCTCTCTGAAATCTCTACGGAGGGTGCTTTGTATGTGCTGCGCTCGTTTGCGGATCAACCCTTGGTTCTGAGGTCCAACAAAATCGCTGCCCAAATCGATAGTACCAAGGATAGCAAGGACAAGACATTGACGAAGAAGCAGAATGCGCATAAATGGTTTTCTCTGGACATTGGAGGTGAATTGGCATTGCGTATGCAGACGTCCTTGCCTAAACCGCCAGTTTTCGCGACTAATGTCTCGAGTGGAGAAGATGAGGACTCGGAGACGAATTTTCTTTAAGGCCTATGCATGGATTAGTACAGTGATAGAACAACTGAAAGCGCATAGTAGAAGAGTTAAATCTTCGTCTTCCGTTGGAGCATCTGCTCTCTAGCAAGTAACCGAATATCTGACTTCCTATGTCACCTCCATGTCTAGTACTCTAATCTGCCGCTTACCAAACCCCCTTGGAACAGGCCACCAGCATCAAGCAGTTGGTTGCGCGTGTCGCCAACGAACCGGAGACCTTCTGGGAACCTGAGATCGTGACTAGTCCTACTGCTACAGGCTCGTTGCTGCATTCTGCGATCACTGGAGGAAATGTCGTTCTAGTCCAAGAGATCCTGGACATAGTCGCGGGCGTCGAAGATGAAGACCACATGGTGGAGGTGGAAAAAGCAGCCTGCAGGAGCAGAACGAGTAGTAGTTATGGTTCGTTTATTCTTGTTGTACTAGAGGTCATTGTGATTGAAGTCTTCGAGGGAAGAGCAACAGTATGCTAGATTATTTTTCTGCATGATTACGAATATGATTAAGTATCTTCTAACTTCCCGGCGACTGCTCCTCTTTCAGCACAGCTACTCTTCTCTCTTCTGCACGCGAAGAGTCCTCGAGGAATGGAACTAGTACAACTGCAGCACCTTGTTGCGGACCAACAGCGAACACCTTCTTGCGCCGGTACAGTCCAGGACGCGCGTCTGCACCTCCTGGTGGTGTCAACATGGATGTTACTTCAGTGTGGCGTGGACATGAGCAAGGTCGTGTGGCTGCACTGGGAGATTCTGGGCATGGTCGCAAACAACGTAGGATCGAGGAAGAAATGTTTTCGACGCAACAAAGTTCCACAACTTCTACTGGCCATGCGATTTTGCCGCACCTGTTGTTATGGCTCGTCCCAGCGAGTTGTTGTCTACTTAGATTGATTCATCTAGGAAGGAAACATGCATATTTATTGATTGAGTTCGTATGCCTGTTCCTTATCTGAAGATATTTTGTTTCCCCTTAATGAGATGCTGTGGAAAAGACTGTGTGCATACTTATCAAGATGATCAAAAACTGCGCTAATGTTCTCCACCATCGACCCCTACGCTGACGTGATCGAACCGATTACAACGGCTGCCGATGTGGATGCCGAGACCCCGAACATCGACGAAGTGATGGCTTTGTTGCTCACACGCTACCTGAATCGCGAGAAGCGTCCCACTCTTGGTGATGAGCTTATGGGCAGCGGCGTGTCCACGGTGTTGATGCATGCATTGCAAGCCTGCAGCAACTACTGGCAAACAAAATTGGACGAAATCAATGAGGAGGAAGAAAAAGAAGAAGAGGAAGTAGTTGGACAAAGTAGTAGTACTAGCCCCAATGATGCGGATGGAGAAGGCGAAGACGAAGACCAGGTGGATGATGAGAAAAGTGCAGGTTCTTCCGGTTCATCTGGTAAGATGCAGAAATTCGTCGATCATTATGGATTTCAGTCAGGTAAGGTCAACATTTAGTGTCCATCTTTCTCGGCTTCTTGGTACCCTTTTCCCTTGTATTCTCATGAAATACAAGGTACAAGGGGTCAAGATGAGGGGGCCGAGATGCAATCTCGCAGACTCTAAGTCAGGAACTGAAGCTGAAGGAGAAGATGATGACAACAACAAAGGCAAACACACCGGCGAAAAGGATGGTGACGTGGTATATTTTCCGGATACTGCTGCGTCGACGATGTGCACTCTGATGCTGAACGAATTGATGTTTCGCGGAGCAGATATTTTTCGATTGTTAAGAACGTCATGGTTGTGTAGTTTTTGAAGTAGACCAACTTCGTGGGTTCAGTAGAATTTCTAGAACACAGAATCAAAGGATAAGTACTTATACCCCACCACAGGAATGAACTCTAGCTTCTAGCTCTAAACTTGACAGGCAATGTGGAAAAGCGTGAGCCTCCTGCGCAGATGAACGCACTGCATTTCGCGATCTCAAAACCTGTTTTAGCGCCTGAAGTTCTGGAAATGCTTTTGCAGGGAGCGAGAGGTAAGTACCTAACAGTACCAAATCGTGATAGAACAGAAACATGTGGGTTTCTTATGACAGGATCGGAAAGATGAATTTATCGCCATGCTGACATCATACCTGACTGTTGTACTTGTAGTTGAAGTTTTCTGAAAATTCATCTACGTTTTCCACCTATCTTGATCTTCAGACCGCCATCTCGCTCAAGGAGGCAACCAGGCTGAGTGGATGGAGAAGATCAATCGCGCAACTCCACGCGACGACGGTTTGCTCTCTCCCCTGCATATGGCTGCACAAAGTTCCGATATTGACGGCATCGAGTTGCTCTACCAATACGGTGCTGACCCTTTGGCTCGCGATGTTGAGGGCAAAACGGCGTTGTTCCATGCTGAAAACGCTGAGATGGCCAAAGCTCTGGTGTGGGAAGCAACGCGTGCGTCACTGCTGCCACCGCGTTCCGAAAGAGTGAAGGAAAAGTACTTCAACCTGCCAGAAGGTATGGAGGCTATGACCTACGTTGAGGGAGAAGACCATGCTAGCACACGTCCTAACACGAAATTTGATGCTGATTTGGTCAAGAAAATGCTCTTCGCTACGGATGAGACCGGTGCCACAGTTTTGTCTCATGCTGTGACGACCATGGCTGACATTGTCGACGAAGCACCTCGTGGGAAGAAGAGGCCGCCAACTAGAGAGGTGGAAAGAGAGGCTGGCGAAACGACTAAGGAGTTGTTGGAAACGCTGATCAAATTCGCTGCAGCAGCGGATGGTCGAAAATTTGAGGCAGGTATTTTTCTACTTCAACAGTACTAGACTAGTACAAATGGATTATATGAATGTGACAGTCGTGAAAACCATGATTATGATATCATTTCATGATGTAGTCCCGCTTGAGATTGAGGTGGGCTGCTTGTCTCTACAAATCAACCCACGTGGATCCCAGACATCGTCAACTTCCGCGAAGGCAGCTTCGGAAAGACTGCTCTCTTTCGCGCTGCTGAGCAGCAAAAATGGGGCATTTACAAGCTGTTGGCTGAAACCTATCATGCCAACGACCTATTGGGCGATGGTCAGGGGCATGTGCCTCGACAGATGCGTCGCGCTTTTAAGGTGCTTTTACTGAACAACAGCGGTAAATGTGCATCTTCAGCTGGTGCAGGACGGTCGACCTTTATGGGGGGAAGTGTTAGAGGAGAAGAAAAAGAAGAATAACTAAATGCAGCAATTAACGTCACCTCTTGTCAGGCATATCAGTCAATCAATCACTCACATGGAAGTAGACCTTGATCTTGACAGATTGCTTTATCCTTATGATCGTGAAAACTTCTTACGACGTCGAATCTAGCAGTACTAGTAGGTGAAAGCGAATATCAGTGAGTAATCAAAAACTGAAAACAAGCGAATAACAAATACATTCACCGAGTATCTGCGATTGTTATCTAGATTACTTACTCGCTTATTTCAGTCTATCGAGTAGTTATGAATACATTAATACGGTCGTCGGAACTCGTCCTACTTCTGCTTGTACTTCTAACGGCTCCCGCATGCCTAATAACGCAGCTACAACAACGTCAATGGAAGCCCTCGTTTCTCCGCTCAGTTCCGATTCGGAGTCCATGGATTTCGAACAGGCGGATGAAGAAGAGGAGGAAGAGAAGGCGATGAAGAGTTCTAGCGAGTCTATGTCTTGATCGTTGAAGAGTTCTACATCTACTAGTTTTGCTGGAGTCTACGAAGTAGACCACTAGACAAGGCTAGAATAAGTACTTCACGGAGGAGGTGAATATGAAACCGCTATAATTAACAACATCTAGTACTTCAAGAAATTTTAGGACTAGACTCAATTAGAAGATTTTCTACTCGATTCGAGGATTTTGATAGAAGATTTACAACTTCGCTCTGACTGCAGGAGGTGGTCGAGCATGTTGTACTCGATAGAAGATAAGTACTAACATGATGTGCTTCCATCCAGCAGACGTCCGCTAGTTAGCACATCCTGCTTACTCCTCAAGATGAAGCGAAGTCTAAAATCTACTGCAATACCACGTCCTCGGGGCTCACACAGACATATAGAGAGAACACGCATAGGGACACTAGCATAGCTACACGCAGATGGATGCTCAGAGGGAGTTTATAAGAATTTCAAATCATGTCTTCAATCTAATGCTAATGATCTGATGTAGTTGTAGTTGTAGGTAAGAAATCTTTGTATCTTCAAAAACATAACGATGGATGGATTAAAATCGCTAATAAATATGCTAAGAATGATTTTAAAAAGGCGTTTTTTCATAGATATGAGGGAAGCAAAAAGCTGTTATGGTGTGAGGGTGACGAAAGAAAGCTTGTTGATGTATAATTCATTAGGGAAGTTTGTGTGTCAGTGTACGAAAAGATTGGGACGCGTCTCTCGTCCCTGGGATGTTGTCAGCGGACTTCTTATTTGCAGACATGATTGCCGCATGATGCTTACTCCGCTAAGGAATCACTGTCAGCCAGAAAGATGAAGCCTCGACGTTGGGGACGATTAGGGTACGACCAGAAGTGATATATTTTGAGCCGGAAGTTATGAGCTGTATGGTCGTGTAACTTGGTCAAACTGGCGGTACTGGTGGGCCTCCTCTAACCTCAAAAACCCAGCATCACAACAATTTACGACTAGATTTAGAAGACTTAACGAACCTAAGGAGAAGAACCAGAAGTTAGCACAAGCAAGTGGTTCAGTGACAAATACCTCTTTTCGAAGTTCTAGCGAAGATGAGTTCGCTAAGGAATCACTGTCAACCAGAAAGATGACCTTTGACTTTGAGGCACACTTCAATTACATATATGTCTCGACGTTTTTTCATTTTCGCAAGAAACGATTTTTAACTCAACAACTACTGGTGGCACTCTGCCTAACTACTCAGAGATTGCCAAAGAAGGCACTGCAGTTTCTGCGCGGGGGCAGGAGGAGCAAATACTATGTGAGAACACCAAACAGCACATGATTGTTGTGACGAAGGCAGTGGAGTGTGAGTAAGGAGGCCCATCTTCATGCTTTCCACATACTATCTTAGAATGGAAAGGTTATCTTCCCCCTTGCTCCACGCGGCTTGGTAGTTGCTCCAGCACTCTTGCTAGAGCTCAAGAACCAAAAAATAGTTTCGCATGATGGTTTTCAACTTTATGTACTTAAACGAGTAGGGCATCTCTGATGTGAGAAAATCCTACCAGAACACTTTTTTGTTCACTATCATAACTATGTGACCAGTAACTACTCGTAACCAAATAAAACTAAACAGACAATCAAAATGCCAAATCCCGTATCCGGTGCGTTCTCCCATGCCGACGTGGCATGCCAGGAGCTCGACTTGCTCGAAAGGGAAGCACTGGAGAGTGATGACTTCGATCCTATTGGCTTTATTAACCGGCAATTCCCTACCGAAAGAAGCTTGCAGGGCGTCGATGGTGTCATTAAGGCTTCATCTTGAGAAGAATCCTTCCTCTGTTCGTTGTCATTGTAGAATGAAGGACTCACGTCTCAATCGAATGTCAATCGTAGATGATAATACACCTCACTCATTTTCTCATTTTCAAGGATGACAAACTTCTACTACACCTTCTCTACGGACGAGAAACTTCTCTACAACATCAAAGAGGATTTTCAAGAATCAAGATGCATCTGGAGCATCTGGTCCGATTTCGTCGTTGCGATTTCTAATGTCATTACGAAATTGGACCAGATGGTCGCATCGATCGAGCAAGAAGTGAAAACTGCGATCCACGCTCAAGCTAAGACTGGGTTTCGAGCCAGGGAGGACCTAGATGAGGCCAAAGCAGCAATGGCGGACTTGCTGACGCGGGTGAAGAGCGTCCAGCAAAAGAGTCAACAGAGTGAAACACTCGTGCTGGAGTTCTGCAGGAACCTGAAGTTCTTGGATTTAGCGAAGAAAAACCTCACGAATACGGTTACGGGTACTTAGTCTTACCGCTTCATCAGGAAGTTCGCTGATAAAATACACGGCAAGTAGACTTCAGGCCTTCATCTACTACAACGGACTACTTCACTAGAGAAGAAGAACTAGAATATTTACTGCTTGACCACGTTATTTTTACATTTATACTAGAACACTTCTTATCACCTCCCTACGTTGCAGGTTTCAAGCGTTTTGTGATGCTTGTCTCCGCACTAGAACAATTGCGTCGGCTCGCAGCCGATCGCAAGTATCGACAGGTCTCGCATCTTCTCAGCGCGTGTGAGGAACTTGGTGCGCATTTTGAGGCCCTGGCAAAAGTCGTCCATAAAGTCGACGAGCTCCTGCGTCAAAAAGACGCCCTTCTCGCGGATTTGAAAGCACAAGTGCTGGAGGACTATGACGCCATACTGGATCCGACCGAGAAGGACTTGAGGCGTGAAGATATCCGAAATGCGGCACACTGTGTCAATTAAGGCTCAGCTTTCAATGGTCACCGTTGAGATTGGAGTCACTGAGATCGAAGAGGCGACCCCTTCTTGAGAGAACCAACAGGGGAAATAAACGAAGGGAACAAAGGGGAGAGCTTTGAAGGGGGTCCCTTCCGTTCAGAGTCAGTGACCATTGAAGGCTGAGCTTTAAGTCAATGCTATGCCTGTTGCTGTGAGGGATGAGATCGTGACACGATTTTGCCTTCGAATTTTGGAGGACTACAAGACGATATTCGCGGTAGCAAATGACCAATTATACGTTGGGCAAGGAGGCGCTGCGTCGTCTGGAGGAGCATCGTCAGCATCAGGAATTAGTGCTTTGGGTGTGATTACGCCAGGCGAATATGCAGGCTTAGAAAACGTGGAGCGACGCTATGCATGGTTGAGAAGGGTTACGGCTTTCATATCCATTGATTATAAGATACATGATGTTGTCAATTATACGGCTGTCATATCCATTGATTATAAGATACATGATGTTGTCATTGTCAATTACATCCTCACTTCAGAAGTTCAACATTGAGTAGATCCCCTTCTCTGCCTGGCAACGCCTCTAGCTTTATCCCGCTCTCTTCTAACACTCCACTGAAGGAGTTCGACGACAATTATCTGGAATTTTTCCCGTCCAACTGGGAGGTTCCCTGCAGTCTCTGCGAACATTTTTGCCATATTACGCGTCAACATTTGGTTGAGTTGCTTGGAGCATCCCATCACACAGCCGATCCAGAACTCCTAGTAAGAGTTCTCCGAAAATCCATCGACTTCGAAAACGACTTAGCCAAGAAGTACCAGAAAACGGAAAAAGCAAGTGGCACGAGGCATATTTCAGAATATGTGGATCCAAAGGTAGCAACCGGTTCTGGCGATGATCCAGATCAAGATGCGGAGCCAAAACTTCCAGCTTCTTTTGCCAAGTATGGATATCAGCCACCGCCAAGAGCCGGATCGCCCAGCAGTGCACGAGAACCAGGAGGAGATGCTAGTACTAGTCCTGGCGGTAATAATATACTTGCTGGAGCTGGAAAAAACGCCCTAGTAGTAGCAGCAGAAGACCGCGAACCTCACATTCCAAGGTTCCGTGGTATCATATCGGAATGTTTTGAGTGTTATTTGGGAACGTGGGTGAATCATGAAGCTGCAAACTTGAGGAAACTAATTCCAGACACCGAAGAACCGCACGAAACATCTAGTTCTTCGATGATTATGACTATACCAAATACTTAGGATGAATACGAGGAACAGCACGACGGACGTTGAACAGTCATTTACTGTACATTTGTAGTCTTGTTTTTATCTTAAGGGTAGGTTAAAGGTGCTTTTGTTTCCGTTTGTTATGGCTCTCCTAAGGGCGGGGACAGCCATAACAAGCTGGATAGACGAACACCAAAAGCCTACCTCTAGTTTATCTTGAACGCGGGAAACTAGTCCCAGCATTTCTAATTCTAGTGGCTTCGGTCTCGCTGCACACGAAGACAAGGATGACGACGACGAAGAAGACGCAGAAGATAGCCGATACGTCTTCCCCTCAGCGCCAGCTCTGTTTGACGCCATGCGACGAGTGATGCTCAAATGCGCATCTTTCAACATCCCGCAGACGATGTTCGAAATCTTTTCGCTTTTTAAGCAGACGGTCCAGCTCTACTGCGGAACCCTGCAGAACAGAGTTCAGGCAGCGACGACACTGTACTTGAAGGAACTGGAGACGGAACAGCAAATTGCAGCTCAGTCTACGCAAAGTGCTCCTCTTGCGGTAGGTGGACAGGAAGGTTTTATGGATAAAACGTTTGGTCGGAAAGTGTTCCAGGAGTAGAAATATAAATATATGTTCCAGGGCTCAGGGCGGGAGGCCCCCCCCCCCCCCCCC